TTCTTTGAGAAAGATAGCGTTAGCAAGACATCCAAACACCTTCAACATATCGCAAGTTCATTTTGCCGTGGCGTGGTTTAAATGAGTGAGTTGAGAGATCACATTGTTTTGTGGAAATCTAATTTGTGGAAAACATGGCGGAATTCAAAGCCACATTAGAGAAGTTATCAGCACCAATAGTTTCAAATGACATCATTTTGGCATTTTCAATAACCAATTCTACAACCTTCAGCAACACATTTTGATGAGACTCAGACGAAGCACACATTTGTTGGTTGATTATTCGAATGTGACTAAACTCTTTGAAATCTTTCATGCAATCTCGCTATCTGATTAAGACAAATGATCCGTTCGATCTAATAATGGTTTAGTAGTTTTAATTCGATATAGCAACCTGGCAATTGTTAATGGTGAGGCAACAGTGGGAGCAAATCCACCATATTTGGGCGATCATCAACAATGGGAAAAAGTAACGACTCTGATGAGCAGCAACAACTGGCATTGGCCCAACAATATCGACACGAATAAAACCAACAGATCCAATGTCCTGTTTTTTAAGAATATATTAGTAATTGTGGTCGGATTTCGCATGCGAGAAGACTCAGATTTTGAGCCGCCCGCTAAACAAATGCTATAAATGATGGCAATTCCTTTTGGAGGATTCTCATTAATGATAAAACCTCCAAGCCAGTTTGAAGTAATTGACCTAACGGCGGATGGGGCAACGAGTGCTCAATAATACTGAAGCTCCTTTCTTAGTAGCCAATAGACCAGTCACTTCAAGCAGCTCTGCTTGGAATGAAACAGCACCACTTCATGTGCAGCAGCGGAGACTACAATCTAGTTTGCTGCTTGGGGAAAATAAAGAAGGTTGTCTTATTATGATGCAATAAAATGCTTCATAAAGAAAATGCCTTCGACATCAACGATTGAATAGTGAATACCACCAATGGGAGCTCAATTGCAAGTCAAGCAGGAGAATGAATAAGTTATAACTGAAGAATGTTGAGAAGCACCGCAATCAATATGTCAATGTTTCCAACTCAACATCGGCTTGCTGTCATTTCTCAACAGCGAAGCAAGCATCAATTTTTCAATCTTGAGTGCTTTCAAATATTCTACAGCAGGAAAAGCTTCGGCAGGTGCTGATGAGTCAGCAGGAACTGCACGTGATCACAAACACTCACTTGCAAAAGTCCACTTGGGTGGAACGAATCCAGGTCATTCATTTTGGATTTGCCGTGTTGAATGGTTCTTTTACAACAGAGGCTAATCCTGTTGATCGTCCCCTACCTGCAAATCAATCATCGCCAAGATGTCAGAGCAAAGTCGTTGCATCGGTGAATCGAATTCAATGGGGGTCCCTAAATTGAGTATGAAATCTTTCAGGGTAGGTGGTGTCAAAAACAAAAGCAGCATAGGCAATCGCAGCAGCTTAATCATCATTGAAAACAAAGAAAATAGTGCAATAGAGCTTATTGCAATTGATTTGTAATTACTGGCATTGAATAATGAATTAAGTCATTTAAGAGGAGTAAGTGACCCGGTCAAAGTAATTCTAGCTTCAACTGCAATAGAACCAAGCAGCTTCTCCATTTACAATAGTACTTCACAGCCATACCATCAATTGTGCACCACTTTTTTCAATTCAGCAGTAAATGGCACGCCAGCAACCATCGCTTTGCAGATGGATTGCACAGCAACCGTATCACTGTGCGAATGAGTATCAACAGCATGAATACCATTTCCTTTCAAAAAGGTTGAAACAGTAGACTTAAGTTAGCGGTTTTGAGATTTTAGACCAAAACTCCAACTGCAAAGTTAGCAGCATTCATTTGTTTCTCAGATTCATGCTAGCAGCTATTCTCAATTTGCCCTTTATCTGTTGTGGCAAATACAACATAATTAAATAATGAGAAGAGGTGCTTAAAATGATGAATCACCTGGATTTGCACATTTGGCCGCTGAGAATCGCCCCCAGAATGATTTGGCGATTCTGAGTGATCCAACCCACTACTATATGATAGGGCCTGGCAATTTCTATTTTTTGGTTCTCTCTTATAATCTCATTTCTTTAACTTACCATCTTGGATTTTCCAAAACCGATCATGATCCAAAGCTCTAACGTTTGCTTGGAAGAATTACAAAAATACTGCATCCAGCTAACTTTACAATTTGGCCATTGGTCTACAATTTCTAGCAGATAATATTTTTCCGTTGGTTGAAGCCGTTATCAAAAAAGTGTAAGTTTTGCTAATGATCTTAAGTCAGTCAACGTGAAAAATGATGTGGTTTCCATTTGCCACACGTTGGATACCACCGGAAGGGTTCCAGTTCTATCAGAAGAGGTGTTATAAGGGAAGGGGTGTAGCCGTAAGGTAAAAGTGAAATTGGCGAAGCTTTGTTGAATAAATAGAGATGAAAAGGTAATTATTATGTCTTTGTGACTTACTTCTTGTAAATGGCGAAGTACAATGTTTAAAAGAAGTGATTACAGTAAATTATTTAATGAACTCCAGTGGCATATTCTCAAGGACCACAGTGCTAATCTACTTAACGCAATTTTCGAAGCTGGTTACGTTTTCCACAGTTCTCACGCCGAAATGGATCTTGCAGAATTTACAGTCCTTCACATAATACAATCCCTTATGCAAATGCTTTGTCCATTCATCTTTGTTGTGAGGTTTTTGCTGGCAACTGAGGCTGACCAATGTTAGTCAGTGCCAATAAGGAACCGTTCAAGAAGCTAAAACGACGAAGTGTGACATCCTCTCACTGTCAAATAATAGTACATTTGGCTGGTGATGGGTTAAAACAGAGGCCGGTCCCCTGGGAATAATGTTCTCCAACTGATAGTTTTGCTGCTGTGACGGATCGGAATGTCTGCGAAAGAAATCAATCTCTTATTGTTTTGTTTTTGGAAATACCTTTGAACGAGATGAAATATTCCAACCAGTTCCATTTTAATTGTGGTGATTCTCAAAATATTTATGGCTTTGATTATGTATTCCGGCAATTATCCTCCCATCGAGGTCTGATTGGTGTCGGTGTTTTACCACCGTTCATCGGAATGCATCAGTACTCTGATGCTTTGGAATGATGAATCAATAGACAATGCTTTCTATGCTATCGATAGTGCAAACGTTCTTTGAAATTGTCCCCCTGCAATTAAATGGGCCTGGTTGATATTCAACAATGATTGTCATTACTATAATAGTGTTCGAGCTCGTAACAGAGGTGCTTAGCGACTACATGACGGACTCGATGTGCCGTCTGCGGTTGCGACAACTACTAAAACCTGGCATCAGTGTTTGGCTACCCGGATGAAACTGCTGCCAGAGAGAGAGCGGCCAATCAAAACATATCTCCAGCAAGTGGGTCAAAATATAAGTCTTGGCGAGAAGGAAAAGAAACTAAAATTTTTTTTATGTCTTTCGCAAGAAAGGCCACTGCTCCGCATGGTTTTATCATGTTGATATTTTTTGGCTAATGCCACTTGTTCCTTCCGTTGAGACTGGTTATATGCGGATAATTGTTGATGATTACTCACGATATGTTGCTGTTCCTCCATTCACTATGCGAGCATTTCCTGCTTTTACGATTATATCTAATATTAAAATAAGTAAAGGATTATTGGATAAAAGGGCTCATACTGTCGGATTCGATGACGAGTTTTCATCTAAGCTGTGCAAATAGGTTTGTCAAACCAAATGAATGAAACATGAAAAGTCACCTTTTTGTGATTCTCGTCATGATGGGGTTGACCGGTGGCAAAGGCCAATGATCGCGAGGGCGACCACAATTTTGGTGGAAGGTCATTTTCTTGATTAATTCTGGAAAGAATAGGTGATGTGAGCAGCGCAATTGATCAATTTCTGTTCCGCAAAGACAGTAGTTCTGTGCACCATACCACTTGAGCTCTTTTTTAGAAGAAAATCAACTGATTCAATTGTGAGAGTGTATCTATCGGATCCTTATGCTGTAATTCCCAAGCAGTCAAGGGAACCGTGTAAGGTATTAGAATTGTCCTGTTGAACATGGTTGTCCACGACATGTGAAGAAAGTACTGCAGATACGACAATTTTCATTACAGCTGTCTTCTTGTCAGTTCTTGTCGCTTTGATGAAACCAAATTCTCGTGTTAAGATCGATTATTGGCTGTCGTTGAGAAATCAAATCTGTTTTCCGTTTGAGTTACAGCTATTGTTGATTGTGTTTAGAGGCGCGAACTCCGCCCTCTGCAACCAACGACGGTGATAACAAAGCAGCAGTTGATTTAGTCCAAACAACAAAATGTAATACCAACTTGAGTGACGAGTCTAATGACATGAGCTCCGATATTGATGAAAAAGACTGTGTCCACCGCATCATATTTGTTCCTTAGGAGGCTGGTTCATCCACTGACGATATCGATGAGGTAGGTGTTCTAGAAACTACTGCAGAATCTCAAATTCACCAGTATTCTGAAAACTAAGATGTTTCTCGATAAGAACGTCGTGACTCTGAAAACCTACAGAAATAGATTTCTAAAGATTCAAAACATTCATTTATCAACCGGTCTGTTTAGACGTATTTGATGCTTCGGTTATTGCCGCTAGTAGTCTTCAACTACATCCTGTAGATACAATTGGCAATAACTCTTTTCAAGAGGAGCGCCAGGCAACCCATGATAGTAGTACCCATATCTTGGGTGACATTCCAGCTGGACAATACCTGCTGGGTGCCGTTCGGTCTGTTCAAATGGATCAGAACTTGGTGATGATCATTTGCATGCCTGACCAGCTGCTACAAAGTTGTTTCAAATTAAGGAGTTGAACATTTTGAGTCATTCTGTCCAGTAATTTGATTGCAAAGTGCTCGAGTTTTTTGCGGTTGCACCGTCAACATGATCTAAGTAGTTTCAAGCGGATGTGACAACTGCAGGTTTTCGCACTGATATTTGCACCCAAACTCACAAGAAGGAACCTGCCGGATATGTTAGTAGTCGATATTGATGAAAAATGAAATTTACTCAAATCAAAATAAAGCCTAAGCAATCTGGTCGTAGATACAAGAAAATCGTATATTTTTTGGAGTTGCTTTGGTTTCCCAAAGATTCTACTAAAGTAGGTGTATTCACTCGCTGAGCGAAACCGCACCAATGCATTCATCAATTCTCTGAACATATACAGTATATTTCAAAATCATTTTATTCAGTGATGGGCTTACTCATATCATATTTCAGTTGATTTTTTAAGCCGATTTATCTGGGAGTGAATTTGAGTGATTTGTTGTACTAGATGTTTCTCAAAATACGAAGCAACATCTCTGACGATGGGTACTTACGTCAGTCTGATGGTTCTTCAGTTTAAAAAGTATAACTTTGAATTGCTGACCACACCATTGATGATAATCTCCTATTAAATGGTTCTTGAAATGGATGGCACTGAGATATATGCTAAGAAGTTACGAGTGAATAAATCAATTGCTGCATCGATCCTTTCAGCTGCGAATCTTTCAGACAAGAGTATTTTCGCTACAATTAGTTGCCTCCTCGATACCTTGGTGCAGCATTGCGAAATCCAATTATGTTGTGGAAAATAGGTATTATGGTACTTAACGCCGAACTTATCAAACGTCGGTACCAATGCTGCTTCCTGAGTTAGGTTAGCTGGATACTCTGATAATATTTGGGTGGAGACATTGAACATTATCAATTGCTTGCTGGGTTGATGTTTCACATCTGTCAAATGTCAATAGATTGGAACTCAAGCAAGTACGCTTCGGTGGCCTTGCGAAATGCCGAACCAGATATAATTTACTTAGTGAAGCTCTCCAACAAGATATGATCTTAGTGCAATTGCTGAACTGCTTTCGTAGGAATACCCTTAACCTAATTAAATAATGTGATGACAATTCTGCTAGCACCTTGGCCATCTGACCGGTCACCCATCGAGATCACAACCATTCCTCAATTTAGAAACTCTTTATAAGAGGCTTGAGCCATGTTGGTGATACGTGGTTTAAGGCGCTTACTGTTCCGCTGTTGAATTTCGTGGATTGATTGTGGGTGATTCAATTGTTCATAGTTGAATTTTTGTCGCTTAGGTGGTGTTGCATTTAAGAAAATACTGCTGATTACTCGGTTGTTTGATGAGTACGCTGAAGTACATCGTAAAATTTGTTTCACTGATTGTGCTGATATTCCTTGCAGAACTGGTTTAGTTTGTTTATACTCCGCCATTTCTGTTGTTCTTTTCCAATTGAGTATCTTAATATTGTGATGAACTTGCATCTATTTTTGATCTTTTTATAGATTTATTTTCTGATTCATCTATTTTCATTTTGCGGTTGATTATTCGTAGGAGACGATCATCGCGGTCTGGACAGTGGTTAGAAAAAATGGGTCGTTGCGAAAAGATCTTAGGCAGCAGATGAGCAGCCCGCGCAACGTTGTGACGCGCATGGAAGCAGGACTTGTCATGCCTGATTGGTTGAGAAGCTGGAAGAGTCTTTTTCGAGCAACTCACAGGCCACTGAATCAGATCCACGCATTGCTGTCACCACCCCATGTTTTCATTTGACGCCCGTGCTCGTCACTCCCACCAACTTTACGTCGCTGGTATGCCGATCTCCGCATTTGATGCTGCGCACTCACACCATGTAATTGTTCAGCCACGCCCAGCAATCATTTCAGGTTTTCAAAAATGGTGGACTACATTCACCTGCTCAGCTCACCAATGGTTGCCGCGTATCGCAGGCTGTTGTCTTTCTCCCGGATATCATCTGTGGGGGTTTTTTCATTGGCCAGCGGTCGCCTTTCATGACGCTGTGCCATTAATGCCGGTTGCCTATTATCCGGGCAGCCGATATCTTTTACCTCCTTTTTTTTTATTTCATCCGTTTCAAAATTGAATGACCATAGACTCGATACACCACCTCCACCCACGTTCTCCAAGTTTTCGGAAATGTGGTTACCGACTTTAGGAATGTTGTTGGGAGCTTCGAGTGCTTTTGATTCAGTCCATCTCTGCCAGTGATCTGCCTCCTCCCGCAATGCTGAGATTGAACTCAGTTCCCTAAAAATGAAGGAGGCTGAAGTTGGAAGTGCATTATCGTTTACGCAGGTAAAAAACTATATTGGACAAACAACGAAAAACAGCTTGCCAGCCCCGTGTATAATGAATTGGTGTTGATCAAAACCGGCCACTGGAGGAGACATGTCTGCAATGACAAAGGGGCGAAATTTGGGATTGAGGAACCTCATAAGAGTCCTCAAGAGCGTAGTATGCAGATCCACAATAGTTGCCTGAACGCATTGCAACAACTTCGAGAGCCAGCAACGAACTGATAGTGTTAGCCGACGTATTACTAAGTGGTACAGGAAAGCATGGTCCCCGAAAATCAGCTGACGGGTGGAGGGTGGTGCGCTTGAAGGTCAACCAGGTCCTTCAAAAGTGTACACAGCTTGGTCTCAAGACATTCGGTGGTTGGATGTACTGGCTCGATCGTTGCTTAAACACGATAGTTTAACATTTTTATTAACAACGCAAATGCAGATAATCTGCTTTGTGCCCGAAGATCGTTAGACGGCCTGTTTTGTAGTGGACCTGTGAGTTAGTTCGGCCACTCCCATTTTTCTGAGCCGCTCCTCAGACTACAATATTTGAATCTTGTGTATAATCAAGCGCTAATGAGGAATTAGCACATAAATGCCCCGATGAAAAAACTGATGGAATCAAATTGCAGGTACTTGATTGTTCCAGCCAAATATTTTGTATTTACAGCAAGGACTCCAAACGAATCAAACTTTAACCGATGAATAATTAATATCACCACTGCCTGCCAAACAAAAGTCTATCGATTCTGTAGCAGAATCCTCAAGAAATCATTTAACGAATAAAAATCACATATAGACAGATCCACCTCAAGCTCAACACCACAACGATCAGCAATTGATTCGATCAATCAATTCATTCAAATATTTAGGACGTGGAGCACTATGCGACTTAGACATCACATCTTCAAGAATGCTTCTTGGATGACCTATTTCAAGAGTAAAAGCAACGTGGCACAACCCTCATTAATATTGACTGCAAAATGAAATATGATTGGAGGTGTTGTCATTTGTAAAATTTTAGCCAGCAGATTGCTGAATGAATATCGCTTTGCATGACTGGTGTTTCAGCAATTGCAGTTGTATATTTGAAGACATCCTTTAATGACACAACTTCAATCACTGCTACAGTAAGTTGAATGTGATCAGCTTCACAACTGAGCGACACCACTGATGGCAGCTGCTTATCGTTCCAACAATCTGGTTTCAGTAACGAGGATCGATTTGCCACCATCGACTTTTCGATCTCCAATGTCTCCACCCCTAAAACACTAAATCTAAAGCTGTTTTAACTGATGAAGCGATTATTTAATAACCAGTGGACGCGTTTCATTTTCAATATCATTTGTCCAATATTGCACAACTTTGATGTTTCTTGCAAGGTGGACAAAGAATTCCACTGACTGACCGAACAAACTGCGTACTAAGAGGCTCCGCAAGTGAATTAGAACCGAAATGTCCATCCCAAAATTGATCGTTAATGAGATGACTCTTCAGCATGATACTCAAAGCCATTTGATTACAATAGCATCCTGCATGTGTTCATCATCATTCCCGTACCTTGCGGATCGGAATCATCTATCTGGAGGTGATCAGCCATTGTAGTTAAGTATATTTTCAGCGATAGTGATAGACCTTCTTCATTTTCCGCAGCACCAAATTCATGAAAACGACCAAGAGTTAATCGTTGATTTTCGATTTGAACAACGATTTGAGATGTGATTTGACCAACTTGTCCTTTGCACCTGATTAGCCAGTAATATTAATGTCATCAACATTAGTTACTAGCTTTCAGTGCTTTCAGTCTTTGTGAAACAAAACACACCATCTTTAGCAAATGCCCTTTATTGCACAAACAGCTAGAGTAGATTAATGATCTTTTTTCGCCAACAAAAAAAGAATCCTTTCAGAGCATGTACTGTTGTGCGCAACCTCCATCCATTCTCTGAACAATCATGATCTTGAAATGGTAGAAATTTGTCTTGCACTTTGCAGGGTCGGTATCGCGAAGAAGGAATGCAGTCGAAACATCCACAAGATGATGATTGAATGAATTTATTGCTGCAACACCTAAAGGGGCTATTAGACTTGAGTATCTATCTGCAGGACAAAGTCCTTCCGAATAATCATTACTATCAAGATTGCAAATCCATTGAGCAACTTCTCTGGGTTTTGCAAAATCAGCAACTGCTGCTGCGCTCATGGCAAATTGCTAACGACGTTCACTGTGGCTTTTTTCAAATGAGTAATTAAACAATCCGAAAGTTTCCATCATAACTATTGAATAAAGTTCTGATTGAGAAAGATCCATCGAGGTTGCGCCTGCGAAATTTCAATTCACACTGGTATCGGCAATACCTGCCGCAGCCAAGTATGTCAAGCTTCACATTACTGCGATTGTAGTTGTTGAATAACAAGACAGGCATTGTAAGATATCCTTAGTTTATTCAAGATGTACTTTAGCAACTGGTTTAGCTCTGGCAATTGGGATAATATAAAAATCAGCATGAGCTTTAGAATCATCATCTTAATGAATATTATCATCTCATGCAACAGATTGTTTGTATCTATTTCATTGTCGTAGACACCATTTGTCGCATTTTCACATGAGCTGACGGTAATAAGATCATCATCATTATTCGAGTTATTTTGGGTGCCTCGTCCGAAGCAGTTGCCGTTGTGTAATTTTAATAATTGATACGATGGATTGATTCTCGTTCATAATGCAGCCGCAAAAGGTGTAACGTCCACGCATTTGGAGATTTTGGCTTGATAACATCTCATGTTCCTCACTTATAAACATGATTGGTTTCGTCAATCGACCAGAAGATCTGACTACATCGCAGCAGCAAGGGAAATTTTGCCCTCCGTTAAACTTTCTCGCCACCGGGGAACCATCATTTGTTGGAATCAAGATAAATGAGAATACTACAAAGATCAGTTCTTTATTCTTGAGTAAATCACAATCATTATCTTCCGGGAGAATTCTCAGGGGTTTTTGTAACAATTGTTGCTGCCAATGTTGAGCAACCAACTTTTGATGATAGTCACAATGAACTGAGACTTTTGGTTGATTTCTTCCAAGAAAGAGAACTGATTAGGCAGCTTTGATGAAAACTCCTTATCGGATATCACACTATGAACCGTTTATCCCAAGATGGATGACTATCCGTGATTCGATATACCGACTGCAGAACAGCTGACTTCAGTCTGGCAATCGTAAGAGCGACAAGATATTCTGAGTAATCAAGAACAACCGTGAGGAACTTACAAATGTCAAAAACGGAACCAACTTCAATTGGCCGAAGAACATCAACATGCGGATGACCAAACGTTGCGGTTGCTTCTTTTGTGGAGGGCGGATTGCTGATGTTGGTCGCTCTTGCGTCGTGGCAGACCTCATATGATACACTTGAACCACCAATGAACCCTTTGAATATGGCTAATTGACATGAATCAATGTCACCTCGGTGATTTGCTAGTTAATAGCAATATGTGGTTAATGACGTAACTGAAATGGAACGAGGGACTCATTAATATATTTATAAGGCAGGATTGTCACTTCCTAACGCACCATTTATGTTAACTCGATCACTTTCAAACACAGACAGGGCCTCTTCAATTGAAGCAGCCAAAGTAGCAATTTTGTTGGCATCATGTTAAAAATAAATACATTGAAAATGACCCGCCATTACGAAGCATCGGAATGTCATCACCTTTGACATCATCAATCGTTTGAAGAATGGCAACACTCTGACATTAATGTCGAGCTAATTTGGTGAATCAATCAGCAGTAACGCAATTATGTTGAATAGGACCCGAATTTTAATGGAACGGCTCCCAAATTGAAATCAGCTTGCTTGCTATTTTGGAGCACCAAGCCAACAGCCGCCGGTGACCATTGTGACCAGCTAAAGCAGCTGACGTAGCGAAAGCATCAGATTAAGCAGATGATTCGCCATAGTACTGCCCACGGTAGAAATACTCGCTATCCAAATGCCCGTTTTGGTGACAACGAAAGGGGGTCCATTTTCTTGCTTTGGCTTTGAAGTGAAAGTACTTGAATAGATATTGACTGTATTAAGCATTAGCTAGCGGGAAATCCTTCTTCAGTAAGGCCAGTGGTCAATTCTATTGCATCAGCATATGTATTTATGTAAAGGTCTTGTCAATTGAAGAAAGACAGTTTTAGCATTGGTGGGATCCGCCGCAGAAGCAAGATGCAAAGAACCGGGAGACACATCAACGATGTGGTGGCTCAAAACATGGACATAAATGTTCTTAACGAGCTCTGTGAGATGCCTCTTATTCGATAATAAGAACTGCCACTAACCCCAAATGGGTATCCTGGTGATGGAAATTGGTCATTCACTTCCAAGAGATCCATAATATTATTGAAAGTCAATGCATACCAAAAAAAATTTTTTCGCATTGTATTCCTCCTATTGTTGAACGGCAGGAGCTGACCAGCCAGTATCGAATCTACGGCAAATCAAATCTGAAGCAACTATAGCTGCTTTCAAATCAAAATCAGCAGAAATGATTGGGACCTCCTTTCTGAATTGCTTGAAGCCACTGACCAAACTAAGCAGGTGACAGACACTAGTTCGAAGCGCAAACAGCAAAGTCGGCAGTATCCGCTAACCTCTAGGAGTCTTGCCAGCGATCATTCGCTATCTGCCTAATTATCAGTTGTGGCGCATTCAAGAAAATATAGCGAGGTAAAGATCTGTACCGAACACAACAATGTAATAAACATCGCCGGCCACAAATTCCGAAATTCGGTTGATAGCGATGCGTCAAGAATGCGGCCAGTGAGAGAGAGGAAGGCACCCAATGAAGGCACCCCGGAGGCTCACAACGGGCCCGTTCAGGCAGCCACTATTACTCAGAGAAACTAGTAAATTTAGTCATGTATTGTAGGAAAGCTGCAAGCACCGTTGGTGCGGCCCAAGCGGCTACGGGGTGTCAGTGCCCAGCAACGTATGCACAATTGCTTCAACGGGCTCAGTGGAAATGGTTCTGATCCCATTAACTGCCCCCTCAAAAAAGGATCTTGTCGTAAAGATTGTGGTTGATTTTCTAATACCGGCATGTGAGATCCGCTAGGAAAGCTTTCTTGATTTTCAATCAATGAAGCCCGGCGGGTACTTTGGCTTAGGGCGACAACAAGGAGACCCAATCAAGTCGAAAGATTGCTCTTCTTGTGATGCCGATGGCCCAAATCTCTGAAGGACTAATCAGGATCCATTCCTGGAATCTTGATATAGATCGACGGCTGAACAATAATTAAAAAATTAGAAAACCAACGAATATTCAATTAAACTCTAAACTCACCTGCATTTTGATACCAAAAAAAAGATTTGGTCGTTTAAAGAGGTACTCATGAATACACTAAATATACAATTATTGTGAAAATAATGGCAACGCCGTTAGTCCAGAAAATGAATATTAACGCTAATGCATAACCAATTATAAATGAATCAGGCCTTACTATGCAGATAGAACCAAAAAGACGACACCACCACCACTCAATCCATCGGTCATTGATTCATCAATCAAATTCATTTAAATATTTCAAAAGTGGTTCAATAAGCGCCTTAATCCACTTATAACCAACAATAGATGTAGTATTATCTCTCTCAACAGTAAAAACAGCTTTGCAGAGCCGCCGCCTAAAAAGATATGTGAGATAACTAACCGACTGCTTCTAGGGACTTCTATGAATAAAGTAGCAGGTGATAGCAGAATTGACATCAAAATATATAGTTTAATGACGATCATTTCATCTACCTTAGTTTATGGCCCCCATTACAATCGCGAGTTATTTGACAGCCTCAGGGAGTGAAGTGTATTGCGCTTCGCAAATCAGCAAGTTCGGTGAGCCCTGCTTTTCTGCGACTCAAGAAACAGTTTTGATTGATGAACAACGTAGAACCACAAGATGATATTTGAACACCAATCTTCTCCGCCCAATCATTGTACAGGTATCAAGCATACTAAATTGATGACGCAGCTCAGTAACGATGTAATACTCCATCTGTGTTTAATCATTATAGCGCCTTCTTTGCTGATCTAAGATAGATCATCCATGACTTCCCTAGATGTCGTGTGAGTTGCTAAGGATCGAAAAATCTCCGACCCTAAGCAAGTTGCTGCAGACTGCAACGATCTAACGGTTAATCACTAAGTGAAGACTTTTCAGCGTCTGACTGAAGGCTATCGGTCTCAAGTCATACATTGTAGAGGCTAATGATCATTCGTATAGCCAACCGATGACTCTCATCAACGTTCAACCAGTCTGTCTTGACTCTGAACCAGTTCAGCTCAGGCAGAGAAAAATCTTCATTACTTTGAGCAACCCAAATTGTAAAACGGTCATCCGGATTTGCTGGTTGATCTTTCATTTTGAACAATTAAGTGACACATGATTGGACAGTTTTGACCTGTATATCCCATCATTCGGCAGTAACGCAATCAGCCACATACACTATTATCATGAGGTGGTGGATCATTTTGCAAGGTACAACAGAGTACGTGGTGCTGAAACTGCTTGTGACCCAAACGATTAGAGAACCATACCCAAGTTGTTACATGGACAAAACCAAGGTTGGTTGAGTCCTTAAATCGATTTGGCAATCATGCGAATTCTCAAAGGTTAATTAGCATATACAAGTGTGAGACGATGATTCTTTTTCATTTCAGGCTCGATTCTACGATGAAGAAAGACAGTTTTGAAATCTATTCAATGAACGATGAAATGCTTTGTTAAACATCAGCACAAATTTGTAAAACAGCGTAATATCTAGATAATAATCAGAATGTTGTATTATGATCAATATCTTCAATGTGAGAAAATCTTTGACGTCCGTGTCTGACTTTAGCATGATCATCAGTTTGTCAGAGTGATCTGAGCTTTGCGACTGTTTTCATTGGGTCACTCGGATCCGCAGATAGGTTTGCCCAGATGACTTTTTGTGATCTAACTTTGTCCTTCTTATAAAGCGTTGGGGATCTGCTTTACACTCTACTTTTTTTATTTCATTTCTCCGATACCTTATTAACATGAATTTGACTCAGCAAGCTATAAGCCAAACAACGATCCTTCGATGAGATGATTCATAAAAATTAAAGGATCCTGCTAAGGTTACTATTTTGTCATCGGCCTTCAATTTGAATGCCAGTCAGGTTGGTCGGCTGCTTCAACCCTTTATCAACTAAAGTGATATGCTCGCTAATGAAGTTCATTCGCCGAAGATTAAAGTTGCTTTACATTCGATTTTTTGCTCATTGGTGACCGGCGGCTGAGTCTCTCCTTTCTGAAACCGTGCAATACAACGGCTGTTAAAATTTCTGGTACTGCTGAAATGTGAATAGTTTAAGGTGGCGGTGCTGTAGAAGTCGCTATTATTATGACTTGATTTTCTACTTGATGTTAGTATTTCAAAAAATTACAGATAGAAAAGTAATGTGATTAATTGTTTAACGAGCTTTATCGCTATCTTTACCGATTGAATTGTTCCAATCATGCAGCAGCTAACATTTTTGGTCCTTCAACATCAGATGCCACCTAGGCTGAAGACGATCCTGCTCTATTATCTGAACCTCTTAAAATTGCTTTTGCTGATGCAAACCCTTTGACCATTCAGCCCAGTGACAATGCATTTGCTCGTTGGCTCAGGTGTAACCCCGTTCGTGTCTCTAGGTATCAAACAACCAATAGAGAGAAATCCAAAAAACGTATCCTTCCATAGTTGTCGCAAAGAAAAGTTTGTGAAAGGTGAGGTTTGGGCATCACGAAGATCTCCTGTTAAATTATAAGCTGCAGCCGTTGCTGCTGCTGATGTGGCGGCTCGGGATTATTCTCTAGTTCATCAATGGCTGCTTTTTCTTTGTTTATGTGACCACTAAGTTGATCTTGAATTGGAAAACGTCAGTTTTACTACGGCTGCTTCGCAAAGTATTTGCCCTAACCCTGATTGGTTCAGCAAGATGTTCTTTCGTTTAGCTCAGATTACTAGTGGGTGAGACTATTGAACTTTTCAATGTCATTTGATCTGTCATCTTTCCGATTGGTGGATCATTTGAGAATGATGTCCAACTCCCCAACCACCGGGCAGTTGCTATTTCAATCTCAACGGCTAGATATGTAATCCGGTCGCTCTTATTCATTGGTGACTATGTTTATTTCAATGGTGCATTGGCTGGAAATCTGGCAGAATCTGTAGTTCATGGCAAAGATGTTGGTGGTTCTCTGCTGCAATAATTACTCCAAAAGTGGCGTTATCCTGTAAGAATGCCACTTGACTTTGAAGCAACTCAAATACTCAATGTCCAGGGTGTTTCAGCTGCGGCTGGATCAAAATTTGAATTCAGTGTCAAACGAAAAGCAACAAACGTGTCATTAAGTGATGTACAAATAACAGCACTGCTGCTCCTGGGCTACTTCAAGAAGTTATTACTGGGTTAATTCCTCTTGTTGCTATTGCTGAGAGTCGCTAGTTGACACCATTGTAGTTGAACAGTCAAGATATTTCGTTCTTTATCGAGTTGCTAGACCTTCGTTATCTCTGCCAGGTCACTACATTATACGAAATCGATTGCACTAATATCTGCGTAAGGCAGTTCACACAGTCACATCCGTTAGCAACTTTGCATCTTAGCTGTTGAATGAATTATGTGATTGGGAAGAAATCAGTCACTGAATGCCAGTTTACAACGAGTCTCAAGAATGTGGTGTGGCCCATCGATTCCAAAAGAATTCTTGAAATCAGTCAAGACAATATTATTTGAGCTAATAATCATCAGTTGTTGACCATTGAAAATGAGATGGTTGCAGCGTCGCTCTTGAATTGGTATCCCACTATATACCCCGTTCTGTTCAACACTTGTTTGAAATTGGTTCTTGAATGGTAGACAGCTGCTACTTTGGTGAAGGAGTCTGCCCGGCGGCTTATTATATGCTCACCACACATTACAAGCAGACCCAGAAAGGTGTTAGAAGTACTTGCTGTGGATCTCTTTGCTGGGACAGCAAAAGAAAGGCTTACCCGGCTGCACAATTTTCATAGCTGACGTATGTTCGTCAGACCGTTTTGCCGCTTTTATGAAGCCAAATCTCGATTTAGGGATTCAGCATTTGAGGCATTAAAACAACAGTTCGGGCAGTCGGATAAGTTACACTGAATGTAGTGGTGCTATATGAGATATTCTTGCCTCTACTTGCAATGACATAAATCACCCAATTCGAATTGCTTTAGACGATCCAGAAAACCCTGATTCGAATACGGATGTTGAAAATATTGACATCTCCTCAGATCATAAAGAACAAAACGCTGTCAATGAAATGAATGGATTCAGATGAATGTGTTGCATCCCCCCATTGCGTGAATGTAGTTGGTGAGTCTAGCAATAGAGGTGGTCTTCATATAGACCAATTTTCTAGAACCAAAGTAGTTCAACACAAATAAACTAATTACTTGGATAATCTGGATAAGTGTTTTACATATCATTCAAGAGACTGTATGAAAGCCAGGTCACTTATGACATAATTCGTTGATACGCTCCTTGACCCTTGAACGATTAAAGCAATTTTGGCAGACTTAATGCGGGAACTTCTTTGGCAATCAGACCTTTAGGCAACGCTTCATAGGAATACTTCTCTGTTGGTCAAATCTGCTGCTGGAAATCGTCTTGATCGCTATCGTTGGTTCTTCCTGTTACGTCAGCTGCAACTACTGAATTTGCAATCCCGGACCCACTTCTCAAGGGTGTTCTTCCGCTTCAAAATATTCTCTATGCCCACCATTTAGTGCAGCTCCCCACTTGCAGAGGGTAGGAGGCCTTGTTCCTGTTGCAGCATCAAAGTCATTCAAGCTGACCAAGTGGATCAGATGACTGCATTCCTCGATGGTGATATTGAAGCAGCGACTTGCTTTAAACAACTCCTGCATTTCTCAACCATGTGAAAACTCACTCAGATTGCAATTTGGGCCCGTCAATCGATCGACTCTAAAAGTCTCCACTCTCTTGGGACAGGATAACCGTTGATGCTTTCCCATTGTACGGATTTCAAACTGCTTCAGCTCAAGATGGTGAGAAGAAAAGCGCAACGAAAAGGCACCACCACAAGCCATAAAGAATGGTTGATTTTCCTATTTTATCAGGATCATCAGACGCAATGGTTCAGGCCCTTAGGTCATATCGCATTTCTTTGTTTATCAATAACGAACGTGGAGTAGTTGGGGGAACTATTGTTCAAGCGAATGCTGCGTAGAATAACCACCGCCGCTCCGTCCCTTTAGAACTCTAGATCAAGCCGATCCTTTAGCAGCTGGAAATGAATGAGTTTCGTTTGTGCGCAGCACCAGTCAAGATTTACCGATGAATCGGGAGAGTTGAAACACATAGGGTAGCTAGATCCTGAATTGTTATCACTTTACCCATCATGTGTTTAATCGTTGACTTCCGCGGCAGACCGTGTCGCTACTGTTATTGCTTTGGCTTTTCGGTCGCTCACTCAATATCATCAATGGCCATGAGACATGAGTATATGATTTGCTGAATCGGCTATAAGATACTTAAAATCAACTGGACTAACTAACCATTGCACATTTGCTCCTTCAGTGAACTGGTTGGATCGTCTGTCCGAGATTGGCCAGAGGATATAGGTCAAACCGACCAGCTTGTTGCTTCAATCTTCTTGATGACACGAAGGACAGGTACTTGGAGCTCAAAGATGCAAGATTAGGTGGCGTTGCTGCAATGCGAAGCCGAATTGGTTTAACGCAGTGTCGCATTGTAGAAAGTAAGGTCGTAATGCGCCTCTTTGAATATTTTGGAGCAGCAATTAAAAATGCGAATTTTTATCATCATAACAACTTCCGTACAAGCCGGCTACCTATAGCTCTAATGACAAAAATTCGAAGCTTAATTGAATCTGCTACCGATACATATCATGGTGGCGCGATGTTGGATTCACTTTCGCATGAGATGATAGTGCAAGTCTTGTTGAGATATAGTCTGCTAATGTCCAGAGCGCTGGGGTGTTCAAACGTCTCATTGAATTGCCTCAACCATTCAATTAATGAAGGATTTAAATTTGTTGCTAACGTTGATGTGGTTGAGTGTGGTTCGCTCCCTTTGTTTGATTTATTGTTGGATATGCTAGAGTATTGTAATACATCCCTCTGACTGACTGCGGTGATAAATTGTTTACACATGTTGCAATTTGATTGCATTACCAGTTTTCCATTCTATTTAGAAAATGTCTAGATTTGAATTTTAAATTAATTGCATTTCAATTGCGTTTCCTTATTCTTAAGTTTGGTGAGTGATTAATCTTTTTATTGCGTTTCGTTGCATGTCGGAAAATGTGATTGATCCATGGATCGTAATTCCAAGAGCTGGGTGTTTGGCAGCAATAAAGGAGGCAAATGTTCAAACAGGACGGGTAACGATATGGACTCGCCAATCTAAAGAAAACGCATTTTTCTCTTTATTTTAATGTCAGACCAGTCTTGACAGTGCCACGCCGATGCCAGTATATGACATCAACTCAGGTTTGAATTCCAATATGTTAGCTTTGCAAGGCCGTAGGAATGATCTCATTCAATGGAGCTGTTTCCTTCAGCTGTTCTCTGACTAGCATCATTTGCACTACCCGGATGAAACCACTGCATCAAGGGATCTGTCGTTCGCCGGCTCTGCGTATTGATTGAATACAGTGAGCCGATCGTCTGAGGTTGTGTGACTAGGATTACGAAAGTTGATCATAATTTGCGGCTCGTGTTGATTGGGTCTTGCGGTGGCTGTCACCGGTCAGCTTGCGGGAGACTCCGTGACATTACCTACCTCTCTGTAAAGGAGCAGGCAATTTCTTTTCTGTTCGTGTTTTTAATATAACTCATTACACCATTTCATTTCTTTAGATTCGCCACAACAATTGTGCTGCAGCAAAACGCAATCCACAATCAGCTTGCTCGTGCTGTTTTCATAAAAATTGGTAGTGGTTGTTTTGGATCTCACCGAAAAATGCCCCGCGACCTTGCTGCGCTGCAATGCTGATTAGACTTATCTCACTCAACAAGCCAATCAATCTGAGTTCTCAACCGAAGTCTTCAGGTATACTGCTTCAAATGTTGACAAAAAAATGTTCTATTGTGAGATCAGTTCTGGTATGAATTTTGCAAACTATTTGTCCAAGGAAAGATGCCGAACCCTATTTCAGTCATCTATCATTTTCTAAGGGGGTTGTTCAATGTTTCATTTAATCTTGCAAGCAGTATTAGTGAGAATTGTGTTTGTGGTATTTCCACCAAGGAGGTTACTGAACGGGTGATTGACCATCCCAATCAATTATGCTTATGATTTGGATGTAGTTGGATGTTGCTTTGTTGCTCACTTTCATTTAGGTCTATCTGATTATTATTGTTAGTTTAATGTCTGTTCATTGTGTTACACTATTGCAAAACATTTGCCAAACATCGTGCAGTGATATGTATTGCAAATGTAACAACTTCAATGAGTGGCTGGTTCTGCTTTTCATATTAAACCGTCTTGATTGATACTATAGGGTACTTGGCTTTGCATTCTATCTAATCGTTATTGGATGTTCTTGTATTCCTCTCTTGTTTATCGTGGTTTTACATAGCATTCCTAGTTCTGGTGCCCGCGGAGTAGTTCTGACAAATAGCTGTAGTTCAGCTGACGAGCAGGCAAATAAACAACAGGCCGGGTAACTACTTTGACGCTCAAAGAAAAAGTGCTGCGCGTGCCTCATTGATTGTCACTTTGACGAATCGTGCAAGTGCAGCTCAGAGGCACGCATATCAAAGGAAGCAATGTTCTTTACTTCTTAATGTTATCAATTGGAAGGCGGTGGTTGCAAATCATATCCACTCCTCCGTGCCCGTGAACTTATCAGACCTACACATGTTTCTGAAACAACCCAATTTAATTCTGTTGCAATCATTCATTGCAGAGATTTTTCTCACATTCTTTCTATATGCTATGTTTATCCTAACATCTGCACTCACAAGGTTGTCATCACTGGATTTAAGCAATTGATATATTTATCAAAATTTCATCTCATACTATTTTCACAACCATATCCATTTTCACTTCAGGTTAGTGGAATCTCACTGAGAGTTTTCTTCATTTTACATTTGACCTTTAGCTGATATTTGTTAAAAGTATTCAATTATAATTTTTTATCATGTCATAAAACAATACCGTTCGTTCACGACATCCTCAAAAGCCAACACTTTTCTTCTTTCTTTAAATATTCCACTTCTGTTTCAAGGTAAGTTCTTTTCTCTAAATTTATATTTTGTTTTGGGTAAAAAGGCGCAAATGATTCATAAGATTGGTAAAATGGTTATACATCTATCGCAAATAAAAAATATGACTATATGTTTAAAAACCCAAAAGAAATAAGTTGCAAATTAAATTAAACTGATCAGCACTCTATAAAGTATTTAGCAAGGCTCAATCATAAATTTTAGTAGTATCAATTTAGTTTGTTAAGGTGAGACTGTCATCTGGATTATTTATTAATATTTACTGAATTTAATTTGCTCCTTGAAAAAACGTTTCTTTATTAAAAGTTGTATATTATGAATATGGTTGGATCGATCATGAGAATAGAAATAATCAGAATGTGCCTAGTTCAAAAGATCATTGCCACATAGATTAATAAAGCCACTGGTGCTTTGAGGTCAGCTAAAAAAATTGGCATAATCATCGACTTTTGTTTGTTGCAGTCGAGGAGAGTTGTGCATGCTCAGCGAATGACAACCCAAAAACCTATTTTGTTTTTGAAAACCACCTTTCCAAGATACGAATAAGCAATGTCACGAAGGTACTTTGACTATTCCAGGTGATCCCATGAACTGCCAATCACTGTCACTAAGATCTGTTAGCTGGACAGATGCTTCTAAATGATAATCCTTAGTTGGCGCATCTTTTGTTTTATTAAGAAGTTTGAAATCAGTACGATGTATTTGACATTATTTATCATGGCAGTGACTGGCCAAACCATTCGGTTGAGAAACGTGCTGCAACGCTCACAAAATAGCAGTTGGATCAATCATTGATGGAGTAGGTAGAGGACTTCGTAGAAGTGATGTACCAAATGTACTATCATACTTAACAGTAATGCCAATGATTAATAATGTGGGAACAGTTGATCAATATGTCGAATGATCATTAGCATGAATCGTTGTTGAATCAACATCATTCTCCAATCCTTAGCAAAAGATGTTTCAATTGATTTTATGTTTTACTCGGAAATCAAATTCAAATTTCATAATAAAGCCTACAGGATATTCAATCACCAATTAGTCTGCTCAATAGTAAGTTGAACAAATAGTTTTGGTGATCTGATCTCTGCCAAAGTTCAAATTTAATTAACTTTAAAGGTTTTGGTTCCTACGTATTTCTTACATTTGTTCGAACTACTAAAATCACAGCAGCAACCACTTTTACAACATATAAATCTGAAAATTATAACAATTGATAGATATATGAAAACTCTAACTGATATTATTTTCATTTCTTTATCGATTCCCACAGAAAGTTAGTTTATTTATGCATTGGCAGTATACCTGTTTTCACAAAAAGTAATCCAATCGTAATTTTAATAGGATTTCTAAAGCTAGTTATTTCCATTTTATTTTAGATTTTACCTTTATCAAATTTTATTTGAAGTTATCCAATTATGATCTTTGATGATCTCTCAAAATGAATATTGCATTGTTAGAACTCCTTGCATTCAACGATTGATCTTGTCTTGGCAGAAACATCAGTTTATACATTCTAGATAATCTCGTTTTTTCAAATATAATTTTTAGTTGCGATATGAAATACACAGATAGTTCATGACTTAGATGAAAAACAATTTAAGAAAGGCAATGTATTCATGGAGCTCATATTCCACGATACAGAGGGAGTACTACTTATGCTGCTCTCTGGGACGCGGAAAACAAAGGTGTTCCCAGTTATTATAGGGCCAATTCCTTAGCTGGCACCATCGGTGAAGGACCAAAACAAGTCGGATCTCTATCAATAAATGACATGTTCGCAGTGATTAAAGTGAATTTTACTGAAAAATGATTTCGAAGCAGCAAATATTCTGTTAACTAAACTCAATTTCGACTGGTGTGGTTTGTTTGCCATTACAGCAGAGATTGGCGAAAGCCGATGGGACTACAAGCCCACCGAAGGATTTACATTAATGGCTGACGTGAGGACCTCAACGCTTAAATGATAGTGCATCAAAATCAGATTCACTTGAAATGAGCCTGATTAATGATGATACCTTTGATTGAAATGTTTTTGCGTTATCTGGATCGACCCATGCTGCAATCAGTGTTCAAATTTTCAGTGATCAAGAATAACACAATCATATCCATGTATGGTGTGAATCGGAACAGTAAGTGTAAATCAGTAGTAACTGCTAATTTTGGTTGGATAAAGTTTGCTCTTGTCAATCTTAAAGGAGACTCGCCAAGAAATTGCATTGCATTTGTCAATTTGGCGACTAATGGCTAGAATGCTAACAGTGACGAAACAAACAAAGAATTCAAAGAAGTCGTCGGACGATTCCTGATTGAGGGACATTCAAATAAACTTTGAGTCTTAAAAGCAGATAAAATGCACATCGATTATGTTCCGAACAGTCAATATGATCCGGTTCCGCCTCACAAAATGGAACGTAGGTCTATTGTTTTCCAATGAGATGAATCACTTCGGGAAAAGACATTACCCAGCTGGTGATATCAAAACGCATCAAAAAAAGATGACATGCTTTCTGTGGATCGAATCAGCGGAAAACTTTCACACTTTCCCAGGTCACGGAGAGTAGTTATTGTGGAGTAGATCTCAGCTGAAATTGCTGTCCTGAATAGTGGTTTTTTATGTGTTAGTCATTACCGAACATAAATCTTTTCTTATTGTCGCTCAAATTCTCACATTCAATGAAGTGGCAGGTGATTTGGCAATTAAGTGGCAAATGAATTTTGAACGATTTTTTCGCTTAAAAGGGATATCAATATGTTTCTTAAGACCAAAAAACAAGTTGATTACAAAGGTGTTTCAAAGTATCAGAAATGAAGATTGTTACATCATCTCTCAAGTCACCGAATGTCCTTCATGCATTCCAACCGAATTAGATATGAATTCAAGAATATCCTTTAAAAAATGAAAGAAACAATTAATGCATTGCTATTACGTTCCCAATCACTGTTGATACTACGCATTAAGACTTTCGATTTGTTTGCACATCTCAATTCTAATGACGAAGCGTTATAAATATCCAATAAAAATGATTGGACACAAACAGGAATGTTAGTGTCGATGCACCGTTAGGTGTTCATAAGGCTGCTCTTAATGCCAACGTCAACGAAACGATTAATAGAAAAGACATGAGCAAAACAGCTTGCAGTGCTTATTCAACAGGCGAAGCTCCATTTAATTTCCACATAAGCCGAGTCAGAGCTGACATAAAGGGTTCGTACCGAGCAATATGTCTACTTCGACTATCGAAATGAAATGATTCGATATCAGTTGAGAACATTGACGTGCCAAGCCGTCTTTCCCATTTTCCTATTGTGTCATCCAACCTGCTATTGTTCTTCTTTTGACTGTCAGTTCTAGAACTCAACCGGCCACGCTATTAGTAACGAAATCGATTTTCAAAGAAGTGAGCGGTGATCCAACAATTCTACTATGACTTCGATGAGAACATCAGATGAAACATCAGATTGGAGTACTGATACTACGTTGGAGGAAAACTGCAACGTCCTGGCCGGTGATCCCGTAGATACCAACAGTGATCAATATTGTGCTTCGAGAGAAGCTGTCTGACATTGGAAACAGAAACCCATGATGAGACTCAGACCAACTATATGAACCAGCAATCAATCAAGGGCACATTCAGTGAGCCGGAACAGATATAACTTCAACAGAAGCATTTGAGCGGAAATGAGAATGCTGAGAACTTGAATCGTCTTACGTCATGACTAACTGTTGAGATCGTTGCAATCAAGCAACGGAATTGGGCACGGTCGCCACAAATTAAATTGTATGAGATTTCAAAAAATCAATTGTTTCACTTGGTAGTGACGAAGGGCATCTATGGGTAAGATGCAGCAAATGGTCATCTGCTTAGTCAAACAAAATGAAGTGAATAGAGGAACATGATGTTTACTCGTCACTTCCGCGAACATCAGGTTAGCACCAAAGATTGAGCAGACAATCAGTAGGGAATGTTGAAGATGCATCCAATGTCTTTGAACTGTCTAAGGCAAAATTCGTTACAATAGCGATAGTTGCGACAACATGGCCAAATCAGAGTGACAGATAAGTATCAATGATGTATTAGAATAAGTAAAAATTATTGCTTTCATTAGCCACCAACAGCAGCTGGCATTACTTGGCATTTGTATGGCAAGACAGCATTCTTGAATTCACATAATGAATATACGGTGTATCTCCAACCCCCAGGTGGAATATCTACAAGCAGAACGACGGTTGGATTTTACCCAATTGGCCGTAAGGTTTGAAGCAAGCCTCACACTTTTGGCCAAACACAAGGAGCAGCGATCGAAAACAAAGAAATAGCTGCACCCGAAGTATGTAACATCCAAGAGTTTCCGCAACGCAAGTCGTTTAACATTAATTTTTGTTCATCATATTATATTTGTGCAGGAGCAACAGATGATATTAATAAGCTGAAAGATTACTCATAGAAAACTTTGCAATGAATGAAATCGGCTTCTCCTCATTGCTTGCTGCAATTCATACCTTGCAGCCAACTGATTGGTACGCTGCTTCGTTAATCGATTTCATCACTGCAACTCAATCTGATTTCTAAGTAAAAACATTAATAGATTCAACAACAGCTTACCGAATCTTTCTCAAAGATGATTAATTAGGATTGAACATTGTAATCACCTTAGTATATAATCAGCAGTTGCCGCCACACTACTATGAATGGTAATACTCTATGAGCGACGATTTTTTATTTGTTGCATCACTTCTCAGCAGCATTTGGCTTCTCCATCATTCGATCATCTATCTGGAGCAATCTTACTGTTGTTCCATCTTTGTCGACCAAGGACTTGACCAATCATCGCTATAATATAAATCGCTAATAGTATCACAATGATTTTTGACTTGCCGTGAAGCCACAGTCGGTACCGACAGAAAATTATTTTCTACAACATCTCACCTTCTAACTGAAATTAGTGACACTGATTGAGGAACTGATAACATCACCAGCGGAAGTAAAGGCGGAGATCTTGATGGTGCCAAATGTTATCCTGAGGACTAGGTCTTCATTTAACCAATAAGGTGTTGCGTTTGCAACTGCTGACGCTGAGCGTGTTTCGTGAACTGAAACAGTGATAAAGCGATTATTCTGTCGTAGCAGAATGCATGGACCAAAAAGCACCAGTGGAGTTCCTAATCAAGGTGGTGATAATGATTCAACCTTGATGGGTTCCTATGACCTTTGTATCTTTATGGGATCCAATCGCAACGATATTAAGTATCGCTTAAGCGCAAGGCGTATTTCCAATAACCGAATATGAGTCAACCATCCTACTACGAAAGGCAATGGCGCACGCAGTCATTGCATGCTATTTTTTGTAACGACATCTTGATCTGTTGCTGCGGGACATCAATATTTTGAAGTAATTTGGTCAAATTACTATTTACATTACACATTTTGAAGAAGTGACAAAACAGCAAATCTAATATTGTTCAAAGCTCTCGCAATTCAGTTACTTCTCACTTTCATTCCAGTTAACAAGTTTAGAAAACGAGCGATTTTTACAACTTCTCTATCTCGAAATGCAACGAATTGAAGTATTTATCCAGATTCAACTGCTATTGGATTCAATGAATTATTTGATTCATTTTCCAGTAATGCAGTTGTTTTAAGTACGCTTCACTTGTTTGTTCATAACTTAATTGAACTTTAACATTCATAGTATATCTTCATCTTGTGGAAGAACATCTGCCTTCACTGTTCATCATTGGTTACATGTTAAAGGAATGGAACAGAGAATTTTTTTGATCTGATGAAAGACTATGGGCTGCTGTATCGATGCTTCATGAACATTATTTGCTCTTGCAGTTGAAGATATTTTTTCGTAAACATGTAGATGAGCTATCTCTTTAAACTTTATTTTTCAATTGCGATATAGAGCCAACTATACATATCTACTAGTGGAAGTAATTGTCATAATTTTGAAAGTGGAACACTCAAAATGAGTCATTTGAAACACAATACCGAATATGTACCTATTCAAATACTTTAGTCAATTATTTTCTAAACGATATTACAATGTAAAGTCACAGTCTTCAAAAGTCTTTGTTTCTTTCTAGACGAGAAGTGTGTGCTCCTACCTAAGATTTTGAAGAGGCAGTTTTGACTTTCCGCGATAACTCAAATTCATGCTCAGTCGCTGCCAATATCATTCGCTTGCTGGAATGATGCTTAGGCGAAATAATATTTTGTTCATACAGCTTCTGTTTTGACAAAAAACTGAAAGCAGTACGATCAAAATACATTTTTTGATGATACTGGTAAATGGACCACTCGTCGGTTTGTCAAAAACATTTAGCAATCTAAGCAATCTACTTAGATGATGGATTGATTGACAAACTAGGTTATTGCGTAGAGGTGATACTGCAATCGAAATATCATATCATAGAGTATTCGTCTTGAATGGTAATGCACCGACCAATATTCAAAAATGGTAGTCAGCATCAAAATCATAGATGGCTCATTCAACATCAGTGGGAACGGCTTACTCAAAGTGCTTTGAGTTCTTTTAATCATTGCAGTTGCAAGTTCGATTCCTGCCTATTAATGAGGGTCTAATCAGGAAATGCTGTAGACTTCTTTTTGCTGCTGTATATTTATTGGAGGAAGGACTTTTGAAAGTCCCTTATCTTTCATTGGAATCTTCTTCAGAAGTTATCCGTTTGCATTATGAATATCATCATGTACTTTCCGGCAATAGTATTATTATCAAATCTAATTGATTTTGAATGACTTGAACTGCGGAAACAGATGGATGTAACAATCTTCCAGTGAAGTTATTTCTGCTGATTGGTGACCCCTTTTTGTATTTGGCCAAATGAGTGGGGCTTGCTTTACACTTTAGAGTCCATTTTTCAAGTTCCAACCATTGTGTGGGATGACGATTCTCACGCAAGTAGATGAAGAGCAGCAGGAGAGCAATTTCGTCCCATCAACAAAGCTGTCGTTGCAGCTAATTCTCAGATAACGTAATTGTTGATGGCGGCAAATGAGAGGACTAGTCGAAAGGAGTTATATATTCTAGCAGAAGCAAAACCATATTACCGTAGTATGTCCAAGTAGTGGAACATATGTTCGTTGCGACCACTAAGGCTTTAAATAGCTCAGAAGCGGCTGTCTCAATTCTAACCTTGCATACAGACTCTCTGGTGAATTCTGTTGACCTTAACTGGTGATGCTGGGCTTGATGAAGATAGATTTTCTTTTTCAATTCACTTCATTTTGTTTGACGTTGCAGATATCCATTTCGATATTAATACCAATGGATGGGCTTCGTCACTATCAAATGAATCAATTGATTTTGAAATCTCTTGCAATAAATTCAGCTTCCCCTGTGCTCAATTCTGTTGATTGATTTTAATTGTTTCAACAATTGTTCAACCTATCAAGGGATTCAATCGATGATTACTCTCATTACCAGACAGAATGCTTCTCTATGATATATCTTTTTGGTTTAGGAGAAGCGTCCATGACAGATTGGTTGTTCTTATGGTTTCTGTTAGACGCATCAAGCATTTTTTTCAAAACCAGATAGCTTGTGAGGATGCTTGCACTTTCTCAATGATGATTCCACTACCTAACTATTAACAAGGACATTGCAGATTCTATGAACAATACACACTCACCATTCGAATGTGACTTGTCTTCTGATGGACCATTAGAAGCAAAACTAGTATCTTTGGTCAATTGTTCAATGATGTCAATTCCGTCTTCTTCGCAGATATTGCAGTGGGATGAGTTCCTCAATTGACGTTCAAACGAAGAACGACAGGTGGTAGGAAAACCATCTTCATTATTCAGTAAGCAAATTGAACCACGAATATGACAATTGCAAATCAGTTATCTGTTCAGATAATTAGAGTTGATTCTTTGTTCGGAATGGCGTTCATTTTAAAGTCTTGTCTGAGTTTCTCTTTGAATTAAATGCGGTTTTGGTTGATGATTTAATTGCAAAAAGCCTATTGCTGATGCGTCCCTTTTCATTCTGTTTTCTGTCAATATGATTCAGCGCAGACGTTGGGACAGCAAATGCAGCAACCACTTTGGCATTTCTTTTGGTATGTGAAAGGATTTCCAATGCTGACTCATAAACATAATTCAGTGGTGATTAGCTGTGCAAGACAGACGCATGTTGGGTCGCACAGTAGCATTAATTAAATGGAACTCTATAGTCGATGAATTGTAGGAGCATTTTTGTGATGATTTGATATCCTAGAATCTTCAGTCTCTTTCCCTTTTGAAAAATCAATATGGATCACCGATTTCAAGAATGAGACCACTTTCCCCGCTAGTATTCTCAGAAATACGTGTAATCAATTCTTTATCTGATTTGACTAAGCATGGTGACATGTGTGCTAACCTCAGTGACCATCCAAATACGAATGATGGCGCAATCATTGGTTCAGTTGTTCTTGAAATCTGGCTAGGAATTTGAGCAACAATAAAATATATCCGTGTCCCGAATCACCTAATTATCAAGTTCCATTAGTTAGGCACAGCATATCTGCCGAGACTATCTCCACTATAATTCATTTTTGTGATTGGAGAGATTTTAGAAGACTCGTCTCTTTCAGCACCGCTAATGAGGATTCATACTCCTGTAATGCAATCTCAATATTTATACACGTGTGCCTTGGATTTGATTGAAAGATCATCAACCGCGGCTCCAAAGAATGCAAGCCAAAAACCATTCAGAGATGAGGACAAACTTCGTTTGCCCTTCATTTGCACTTAAGAGCTGAAATTTATTGAATTTGTCACACACATCAATCATCACACTATTTATGTCAGCGACAGTTAGTTGTGTTCAGTGTGACATTTCGCCATCTTTTGCTAGTTCGTCGTCAACAACAACGGTTGTTGGTCAGCTTCAACTGAGATCGAAATCCAACATGTTTAATCAACCACCATCATCAGTTCCTTCCGTTGTAGACATATCATCAGCCGGTGCATCCACACTGTTCACCTCATGAGTTGCTGAGCATGTTCCACGACCTTATTGAGCAAGGCTGTGCCGCTCGATTAAAATAGCTTCCTGCGAATCTGATTCACTTCTTTTTTCATCAGCAAATTTCAAGCCATCAAGTCCGTCAAATAATTGTAATTTAACCTTGGATTGGAATCTTTCTATTTTTCTGCAACTCCTGCTGAAGTTATTAAATGAAACACAGTTAACCCATTTGATGATAGTTAGTGCTTTTTCTGCTTTGTCCACGTAATTGGCAAGTTAACGAATAATGATGAATCTCATTTTAATCGTTCATCTTTCGATTGACCAACACGTCTTTGAGAATGTCTGTAATTTGCACTGATCTTTTTGGCTCGGTAGTATCGCAGGCGACCGTGAGCTAAACCATTTCGTCGAGCAAAATTGGCTGGAGCAGCATTGTGTATCTTTACAAAAGCAGTGTCAGTGCAACACTTTGAAATTTTCCATAGCAAGTGGAATCCAATTTGGAATGCATCTGACTTCAATGTCATTCAATATTATAATCCATCAAATGATTTCGGTTATGAGAACCGGAACTTTGTCATCGTTTCCATGATTCCGAAATTGGTGAATCACATCTTTGAACAGATCATTTCCATTAGATGAACGTAATCACTGATTGGTTCCCATTGAAAGACAGCAGTGATTAACTCTTGAACAATAGCGACTACTCTACATGGGCCTTCGTTGTCATCAGTAGCAGCCATGAATCCGAAGAAGTTAACTTCATCGGAAGCAGCGTGATCGGAGTTATTCTTTCTGAACCATGCTGCGCAGATCGTCCATTCAAAACCGGTCCCAAACTATTCATTCTAGATTGATTCAATTGACTCAATGGAATTTTTGGAGTCCCTGCGGGCATTGGTGAAATATGGACGACATTCATTTATTTTGAAAAGCAAACATCCCAACGCTGCTGAAGCATGATATGATATATTTCGGATTTCCTCCATAAGTAACTGAATAACATACCTTGATATATAGTTTATTGCTATCGTCTATCTAAAAGCATCACATTACAACTTAACGTCGCAAATCAACTATTACCGTTGAGAAGAAGCAAAAATCTTCTGTGGGATGTATTTCACAATTATAAGCTTTCTCTGAAAGGCAATATTTGAGGAAAACATATAAAGTAAAAGATCCAGTGTAGCAATATCAATCTTTGAGCATGACAGATAGTATCGAATGATTATACTGCTTCAGGAGATCTTAACAATCGCAATTTTTTTCTATTAACTGAAATCTGATTTCAGTCAAGTGTAATATCAAAATGACACTCAGCCAAGTACAAACACTTTCAGTGAGAAAAGATAAGGAAATAACAATAATGATAGGTAAAACTTTGAAAAGCAAACTAAATGTTTCGATCTTGAAACGTCGAAGTTGCACAAGTCGATGCTATTGTTAATTTGGAAATTGCAATCAATCCGCAAAACAGTTGGAGAGTAAAAGGATTGATGGTGAGTAAAATTTCCTTTCTGAAACTGCTAGTGTTGCAAAAAACTTGGCCGAGGATCGTCTGACTGATTGTACAGTTGAGTATATACATCAATGGAGTATTTGCATCCTCACACACAATGTGTGGCGGTGATGAAAGCAATGATGAAGCTGATAGCGTCAGTGAAGAATTGCAAGCCACCTGCGCGGAAAGATTTCAGTACATAAAGATATGAAATTTCAACCGGTTACTATTCACCAGCAGTAAAAATGATGCTGACTCAAATCCGTTCAGATCGTAACCAATGTGTGATGAGCTTGCGCAACAATCATCAGAATCGCTTACCGGCGACAGTAAAGATATAATGAATGCTTGCCAATCCTCAACGAATTTGTATGATGATAAAGAAGCAGGATGATTTGTATCAAAAGCAAAATATATTATTTGCACCTTCTTCTCAGTTAACTCAACAGCCTGACAACCATTGAGATCGATATGTCCTGCGGCAACAAAAATAAATTCAATTGATGAAATCGAATGATGCATATTAGAGTGCCTCAGAAGCATCAAATGTCTCCAAAATTGTTTAAAAACAATGCGGATACAAAATAATGTTGACTCCGATAGATCTCAATTGGCAGGACGAGACAGGATCAAGACAATCATTTGAAGCACTTGGGCACAACGACTTCGATGTTGCTGCTTCAGTTATTTAATATGATGAACAAATGTTTATAATTGTGGTTTCCACTACTAAGACTTTGAATATCTCAAGATTCAACCCCAACTCCGGTGGTTCATATTCACCAATCAATCATATTGGTTATGGCGCTCCACCTGCAGGAAGATCGACATTATAAAAAAAAGGATAGGAACCTTAAAAAGGATTGTATTCGTTGAAGCGAGCCGTTCCAATTTAGTTGAATTCAATAACAAATGAACTTAACACTAGCAATAACTGGAATTAAAACTAGTCAGATCTTTGTTTGTCCTGTGGCCCGGTTTGAATAAGCTCCGTATATGTAGTTCAAATTGACACTGCTGGATCTTAAAAGGATGATACTGATTAACCGAAGAGATCATCTATCGTCGACATTGCTATGATGTATCTGATATGTCTAAAGGTTTCGTTGAAATTCTTATTCAGCAGCCAAATAATGCATCCATGATTTATTTGATGAAGTTTATCGACAATTTTACTTGATTTTCACTAAAGGAAATCAACAGGAAATGAATTATTAGTCCAACATCTTGAAAGTCACAAAAAAACAACAACCTTCAATGAATGTGCTCATTCAAGTTATTGGGGATCTGCGGGTATATTATTATTTATAGCCAGTACTTTCCGATGAACTACTTTTCTTGCCAGTTTTCTTCCAGCAGTACTCCAGTTCGTCCATCAATTCCACATTAGTCTCGTCGTTTCAGACCGCCAATATATGTTTACTAAAACGGGGCATGTCCCTTTTTTAAAGTAGAAATATTTTGAAGCTATATCTTACTGATCTCAGTGTTGTTGACAAAGCACAATATGCCATTTCGAAAGATCATTTTCTGCATCCATATCAGTGTGTGACAGATACTTGTGGCAGTGATTGGGCAACTGATGAAACTCCAAAAAATGGTCAAAGTTCTATTTTCAAAAGGCAGAATTGTAGTATCTTCCTCATGGTCTAGGTAACGAAAATCAGGTGTTGCAATATCATCCATAGAAATTGAATACCGTTCCGTACTGATGGTATATAAGGAGCATTAAATGTTGAAATATCATTCAATGAGATGACAACTCCAATCGTCTTTACTAAACTATATGTAGATAATCATTGGTGGTTCACTGTTACGCTTATCCTGATACTCATATTCGATTTAAGAACAAACAAATATGTTATCGTTCTATTGGAGAACATATTTTGACTAAGCAAAATGACCTGAGCTACATTACCACAAAGCACCATCTTCCTGACGTTGCTTCCAAGTAAGACAAGCAACTACACTTATCACTCTTGTTAAATTGTTAGAATGATTCGATTTTCTTCTCTCAAATCTATTCCACTATGCAGTCCGTGAAGAGGTGACACAAATATATCTACTTGCCTTCAAATCTTGCTCCTTAGAAGTTCTATATTTCTATAGTCCAGATGGCAAGTTGACCACAATTTGTGGTTTCTCACGTACTACGCTCAAGATATGAAGGGATGATATAATTATCACATCTTCAACAATTATAGTCTTTAAGTTTTGACAATTTTAATGAAACTTATCCTATTAGTTACTGGCACATCAACTGGTTTAATTGAAGTTACATTAGTATTTTTAGGAATATTCCATTTCAACGTTGAAAAACTATTGATTGTCAGTAGAAGTTATTCTACTTTTACATTTGAACCTTGCCTAACTTCACTTAATCATATGTCTCAAAGGTTCACTCAGACCGGAGAGATAGACATAGTCTTTTCATTGAATACCTCACTTTCCATTCTATGCTTTTCACAGTGTATGCATCTCTTCGATACTCCGTCATTAGCCACAATGGCAAGAAGCAAATCATCTTGGCATTTCAATCGTCCTTGATTGATCAGCGTGAGATTGGTGCTGAGTGGCCGTTGCTCAACATTTGGATTAACTTGAGAATCACAGATTTGTTTACACTAATGAGCTTCCGTTATTAAAATTCCTTGCTGCTGCTTCTGTCAAACCAGCTCGAAAGGAACTTGCTACTAGTTTATCCATTAGTTGAAGCTGCCTTCGAATCAAATCCAGTTAGGAATTATGATGAAGACCATGATGTTGAGATGAACCATTTGATGAATCAAAAATCTGCGAATCTAAATAATTTACCAATTGATAATCCATTGATATAGTTATTAGAATCCATCAACTATTGAATTAAATGACAGAGTTCAAAAAAACGTTATTGTGCTTCCTACTCGTTCAACAGAATTTAGTTCAACTGCATCGAATGCTGTTATTCTGCAATTTGACAATAATGAGTTAGGAAACGATTTTGGAAGAAATAGTTTAGCTCGCAAGGCAATCGATGCTACTGATGTAATTCAAACATTACCAAGGAATGCCCTCGTGGGAGAGCATAATGAATCAAGTGACGACGGACCGTTTTAAGTTCTTCAGAATCATTGTTACTGAGCGACGACGTCAAAGAAGCAACTATTTTGATAAACGTGCTCCAAAGTTTCAACCCTGGTTGGTTTAGTGATTACAGCAGAACTTGATATGACCAGTGGAACTTTGAAGTTACTTGGAATTTCAATCCATTTAGTGCTTTGATTGAATTTGAAATTGATAGCCAACAGCATTCCAAAATCAGATTAAGAGAAAGCCCATTTAATTTCAGATCATTCCCCTGTTCAAATCCATTGTGAATCAGTCACAACACCTCCTGTTGCAATCAATTTCCAGATATTAGCTGATGTCTAAAATGGAACCAAATTAATGAAAAGTGTCGTTGATGAAGATAATGGAAGGAAAAGAAGAGACGTTCGTGCTCCTTGCTTGACGCTATCGTATGTGATGCACATTCCAAGTCACCAAGACGAATCCTTAGTGTTATTCAAAAGCCGTAAATGCTAACAACGCTGTGTGCGCAAGGAACAACTCGTCAAATGTGATTGATGGTGTGGTTATTGCTGTTTCTGAAAAGATTAATATAATTTCATTCACAAGGGCAGAGAAAATGACAATAGATATCGATCCTAACCATGAATGTCATCATCTACCACTTTCCATGGGCCGTTGGTTTTGATTTTCATTCAAGGTAACTTCTGATCGAACAATCAGCAGATTTCAAGTAATGTTATGCTCCATCAAACAAAACGTTAAACATCTTTTTCTGTTTAGAAAATAAACCATCTGGATCACATTCAGACCTCAAACGAGCTGAGTAATAAAGAATAGTTCTTCATAATGATGGTGGAACGACTAATGGTGATATAGTCTAATGATCTTTAACGAAATTGGGACTAACAATACCATTTTTCATCTTGTCAAGATTAATCACAAGCAATTCAGTCGTCGATTGTGTCAATAGTGATACTTTAAAGTCCAGTTGATCTGCAAAGGGAATAGGTTTGTTTAATTATCAGACACCTAGCGTGAGCGCACATCCGGTTATATATTTCTGCGAACAAAACTCAACTATCCACAAGTTACTCGACCTCTTTTGCATTGGCAAAGCCGAAATATTGATAATTCAAGAAAATAAGTCGAAGTAGGACTAACGCATTTAATGATTATTGACTTGACCTTTGAAAACAAAAATGGATCCATTCATTTAGCCGTTCAAAAATTTTGCAGAAATATATTGAAATATATATTAATTACGAATCTCTATAAGACAGGCTTTGCAAGATAACGAAATGCTACACCACCTGACCAATCTGCTGATGACTTGTTTGCCTTCAATCACATTGCTAGACTAAGATTCATTCGTAGAACGATTAAGAGTGGATTTCTTTGGTTTGATTCATTCAACACAACTTGATATGTTTCCCAAGCGAGCAAAACCAATTTTTTCAAAACAAGTTTGTCAATGTTGTGAGCCTCCAAGATGTGAAGTTTGGTCCCGGCGTATCTGCACCAGTCAGCCTCTGTGACGGACTGGGCCTCGTCCTTATTCGATACGAATAAGTGGGGATCTCTTTGCAAGATCTCCTTTCATCATATTTCGTTCTCTAATTGATTATCACTGATTCGCTAAAGCAGGTTATGCGCCAACAGGTGATTAAGTTCTTGCATGATTGCGACAACCGGTTTGATGCAGCTAACAATACACCTTAGGGTTTAGTCTAGAATCTGAAAGCTGCTGAGCTTGTTCCTTTGCTTGAACCCGTCAGCAAAACCGATGCCACACATCCTGACGATCCGAATTCTCACAACCGCAATGTTTATTTGTGTGCAATTTTCTCTCGGTGTCTACGAGAGCATTACCTCCGGCGGGATTCAAAAAATGAATTGGAATCGGCCGTATGACCGTGAAATATTAGATCAGCAGCGCACGGTGTTAAACGAAACTGTTGTTTAACCTGATATTATTATGAGCAGCCCGCTTTCATCAGCCGGCGGCGGCTATTTGGTAAGCAATCAAGAGCATTGGGAAAGTTGTCACAAAATTAATTGTAGGATCTTAAATGTCACAATGATCATCAAAAGGTTGCATATTTCAACGCTGCTCTCCGTCAGAAGTGTAGAACACAGACACATTTCTTGCCCATTTGACCCACTGTCAGAACATTCTATTTTCTAATGCAACTCAAATGGCCAATCGTGTAGATGGTGATAAAATTTTTGGCGGATCATGTTCGTCCACGTTGGTTGCTGGTGGCAAGGAATCGTTGAAGAAAGGAAGGCCTAAAAAAATGACATTGTGTTGATCTAGCCAAAGGGAAACTGGGCTAGCCGGAGTTTCCTATCACAGCTTGTTGCAGTTAGATCACCAGCTCAGCCAATTCTTCTGTTATTCAACACGATCAGGCAGAGGCCAAATTTGTGCTCACATCGTATTCAAAGTGAATCAAAAAGCCGCGCAAGCTGATCATCAACTCAAAATGAACGATCTTGTTTGTATTCTATCCCAACTTATGTATGCAACGTTAATCGGTCCACGATGCGATTTCCTATTTCCGGACTGAATGGTGCTACTTATAACACAATCGTTCTTTGCAACCGTTTGGCTATCGGAATCCATTTGAATCCAGTATAACTAGAATAAGTCTTTTTTTTCCCCACGGGATTATTTGTTCTCCACCCCAGCTGGTGCGAGAAAGTGGGGTTGGATGCCAAACAAAGATGATTGTGTGCATAATTACGGCGCTTCCGCTTTTGGAAGGGCAGCATCGAGATCTTATCAATTTGATGTTGCCCCATCTGCTGCTGAGCTGGTTTTTACAAGCAGCTACCCACTAATAATTTCTTTGGGTGGCAGAGTTTGAAAAGATGTAACAAAACCCGTTGGCTTTCCTATTCCTGCAATTCGAAATTGCCAGTCCGGTCAAAAGGGAGAAACGGCAAATCATATCACTAAGTGGTGTGGATGATAGAGGACAGCTGCTCCTTGTTTATTCCTTTGAAATTGAGGAAGGCCAATCACAATCGTTCAGGTTGACGAGAGTAACAATTTTGCCGCCAGTCAACATGAATTCTTCGAATATGTGTGATTTGCTGCGAGTGGCACATCAACATTGAGCTTTGCCAAATGGGTTTATTACGTTTGATCAGCTTTGCGATGTTAGACTGGGTCTGTTCACACAGTCGACCCAAATAATCAATTTGAATGGAACCAGTTCAAAGATTGTCGCCAGAACGCAGCAATAAAGACAAAAATATAAGGGTCTCACGAGTGTCATGAAGGGAAGGTTGCATAGCATCGGTATTAAACAATGACAACAGTGAGCAGGACAGCGTTGAATGATCTTGATGTGCGTGACTTCATGAAGGATGAAATCACCATGTCCCCGAGTGTTTTGATTACGTCTATAACGATGAAGCATGAAGCTTTGCCGACAACAGCGCAAGAAATATTTTTGGGATGATCCTCAGCTGCCGCTAAAATCAGGATGACTTGATATGTCGCTTACCACAATATCTTTAAACAAATCGGGCAAAATTATATATATGCTACAAATGGTTTTTTGGTTCAATTGGCCACTGTAATGCGACAAAAGCTTTTTGAGTGATGAATTGTCATGACCCCCGTATCGCTTTCAGTTCGGCATGTGTCTTCATGAATCCAATATTCCGTTCGATAAATCATTCGTTGCTTCCATTTGCTCAGCCAGATTACCTGCCGTGGGGGAAAAAGCCGTGACGGCTCCATTTGCTTCAGGTAGTATATCAAAAGCAACCTCAAATGTGGATGATGAATATCTGGCCACATCTTCTGCTGATCAAATGACAGAAAGCGCGATTGAAAATGACCAGAAATCCAAGGGAACTCTAGAATTTGCAGACGATATCGACGACGGACCTCCAGTTTTCACACGAGCGGAGGCTTCCCTGGAGCCGCTTGCTCACTCCACATCAGGTCTTCAAAGTTTTCTTCATGAAATTGAGAACGTCCTTAATTGGATTTCCACGGACTGATGAACTATCATCGAAATCGGATCTTCTTTGACGTTTTTGGCCGCTGCCGTCATTGCCGCTCTTTTGGTTGATCCGAAAGATGCAGATTCAAACGCAAAAAAATCACGCGATTGAGAACCTCAAACAATAAATCATAACACTTCAATATCAGATGGTTGATCTACCCACTAGAAATGACGACAGCCATAGTGAGGTGCGCTTGAAAAATCGTCCCTGACTGACTACGCTAAATTTCCTTCCGTTTCTCGATTTTGTTTAGATGAATCAATGTATTTACGCCTTGGGTTTTTGTTTCGCGGAAGCAATTTCAAAAGCTTTTCCAATAGTTTCATACTCAGGTACCCCTCCTGTCCATTGTTTGTCTCATGATTCACACAGCATTCACAATTGGCAGCATAGAGTTTAGGTAGGTGGTGTCGTGTTTGCACATGAATTGATGCAATGGTGTTACTGATCACTTGTTCCTTTTTTTGATGGTTGAAGAGTGGAAGTTATGCAGTAATCCTGGGTGGGTTATTTTGATTTCGCTATGTCGGAGTATAGAAGCTATTACTGAATCGATAAAGCCCTCAGTAAAAGTGATACATCTTCCCGTTGGATTTGATGACTTTCACCCGCGGGATTCACCAACGAAGTCTAACCAATACAAGGTGGTACTGTGAAGAGATCGCTCAGAGGTATATTTTTTTGTGTTTTCTTTTACAGATCAACTGTTGAATCGTTGCTCGTTCCTGCATACCGCTTACGGTATCATATTGCTGCTACTCAAGGGCCACAGAGCGGACATTTTGCTGGAACATTCCTCATCCACTACATGGGTCTTAAACCGTGTCTATGCCATTTAATCAGTTATCCATTAGCGGCTCATTCCAAACATGATTTATCCGTTGAGTGAATTCGATACTCTCAGAACAATTGACCAGGAACCATTGCTGTTCCAAATCAGTTGGTAGTTGAATGTTCCCCAATATGCAAATGACTATATGAAGGAAGTGCAAGAGGAAGGCAATACTGTCCTTGCTGACTTCCAAAGATAAATTCGTTTCGCTGACTGAAGAAGTCCAACAATCTCAGTTCTCACAGCAGGTCTTTAAATATTTTGGTACAAATGATGAGACCGTATTGACTACCGCGGTAGCTATTCTGCTCTCAAGTTCGGTATCCATCATCACAATTGCAAGACCTGCAATCAACATACAAAGTACAATCATCTCATAAACAATTGCTTTCTCTATCTTTTACTATCGGCAAACATGCTAACAAAAGTAATGATCATTTTAAGTTCTGGAAGCCGGTTCATCAACCAAGGATTTAATAAATAAATGAATTGATTCCACTAACCTACTTTTGCGGTAAATCGTTTTGCTCACCCAATTTTACCCCCTTTCAATTATTATTGCCCGTTGGATCTCTTTTCATTATGCAGTAGCATTGCTACCCGTTCCTTTAGTGGCCGCGTTAATGAAATTCCTTCCCTTGTTTCAATTTGATTGTCATTCACGTGTTCCAATATTTTTGCAATGTCATCTCGTTGCAATTCTCAAATACTTGCGTATACATTAGATTAGTCTATTTTGTTGATTATTTTATTCACATGAGTCTGCTTAGTGATTACAGGTAAGTCAGTGTCTACGATCAACAACCAACTGTGGATAGGGATATGAGTGGAATAAACATCCAAACACCCACATCTTCGGAATGAGGGCTAGCCTTCTTCAAGCAAAACGCAAAGCACTCCTAGTGCTTCTTTCCACGAAGGGATACCAGAGTCCTCCTGCATGAAGGAACTTGCCACAACGTCAAATCACCCGTTTTTGTAACCACACACAAATATCAACTTGATGGTCCTCGTCATGATTTGATGCGAATTCTTTGCGCCTGTGAGGGGTGGCTGGCAATCAAGATGATCACCCACACATTGAAAATACTTGGCCATCAACATCGGTGGCTCCGACGTTCTCATGAATCCTGAACAGAGTTAACACTATTTCCAAAAGACCGGTGAGGTAGTTATAAAAGGCTCTTCTGAGTCTTCACAATGCCTACCAGTAGTCGCTCAGTTCTATAGTGCGGTTTCGTGCTGCGTCAGTCAATGATTAAAATACCTTTCTGATAGACAACGCTGCCGATCTCTTAAATGAGCTTTTTTAATATAGACATCTGTTCCAAAATTCAATAATGCCCAGCACCATCAACTCACCCGACATAGAATCAAATCCATCCATTTAAAAAAAATTAATCAAAGCCCCTTTTAATCAATCATGCCCAAAGCAGTTTCACCAATAACTAATCTAGGTCTAGAAGAATCTATCGTTGTTTCAAAGGTCCTTATCAGTTGGACTCCGGTTATCCAATTATCAATGATGTAACTTATTTCGAGAAGAGTGGGCCTTCAGTAAGAAGAAATTTAATTTTTCTAACACTTACTGAAGCAAAGCATTTCCTTTCTTTGGTTTTGCGACTATCGATGATTTCGGCGATGAACTGCTTACCAATTCAATAGTTGCATCAGCGCTATGAAATAGTTTCCTGCCATAAAAACAATGTGATCTTGATAGCAAATCATTGATCAAACTCAGAGAATTATGCAAATCAGCAGACCACCTAAGAGACAAATATTCAACAACCATAATATAGATTCACTGGAGTTACCTTCACCAAATGTCTGCAACAGAATAACTTGAGTGTTTTCAAATTAAGTGTAACGGATAGAGCAGACGAAAGTTTGTAACCAAAATGATTCCAACCATAAATTAAACTAATTGAAAGAAGGTCTTAAAGCACAATGTTTTTATTGGTTAATGAAGGATCCCATCTATTGATATCAACAATGGAATATAGGCATCCAACCGTTCTTCAAAAAATTTATAAAGCCAACAACAATCGAAAAGGCACACTCTTAAAAGAAACTGTTCTAGAAAGTCTTTGTGACTTTGTTTTAGCAAAGATGCGTTGAAATGGTAAAACACTGAAAAGATGGGTCGCTATTATTGTAAGAAGATCCGTACGACAAAACATCTTCATGAGAGCAGAATCGTAAGAGCTAGATTGAAGTCGCATGTAAACCGCAGTGAATCTCACAGCAGCGCCCCTGTTCAGCTACCACACATCAGAGAATGAGGTGAAGGTGGGGAAGCATTTCTTAATAAATCCAAACTTGCGATCAAGCTGGAAGACCAGCTAGCAGGTGAGCCAAGGAAGCACGGCTTCTACAGATCCATTAAGGCAAGCGATAGCATGGTCTGAAATCCAAATTGCCGCATTCCAAAGGATTGCACGTGGCAGTGAGCGGATCGGGTGGAGTGAAATACTGGTTTACGCGGTCCACTCTGCAACGTCTTCCAACTTCTTCAAAAATGAGGCATGGAGAGTTTTGGGCCCTCGTGCATCAACAAAAAGACTCTCCATGTTCCTAGGTTACCGGCTCCTTTGCAGGCCTGCGCCCTTGTGAGCGGATTACCTTTGATGCTACCCAACCATCGAGTTAAATGTATTATTAATCGCTAATCAACCGTAACACATTAGCCAAATCATCAACATAGAATTTAAAAGTGAATCTTAGGAACTAATATTAAAAGCAACACAGAATGGAGATGTAAAAGAAATTACAGTGACCGTTAAACTGTATGTACAATAGCTATTACGTAGGCACCATCAGAAAAACCAGCTGGAGAAATGATGTACCACATTCATCAAGAAATCACACTTGAAATGACATCGTGATCGCGGCAGATCCACATTTTCATCCAAACCAAAAGAAACAAAGATTGAATTACTGAATCAATTCATTGAAACATTTAAAAACAAATGCATCAGCACACTTGTCAAAATATCAGGAACAATACAATTAGTATCAATTGCTGCAAGAGAAAACAAAATGATAGATATCTATCCTATAGAATCGTACCTCATCAACTACGGTTGCAGTTCAGGTGATTGGTGGTATCGAAAATTAGTTAATAGTAAATTGGCCTTCGCAGTGCCAAAGCTGTTCATCACGATTAGCGAAGATGAATTTGAAATCCTGCATTAGAACACGGCTTCTATTACTGATTCAGGTACTGAAATGTATTCAGCATTGCAAATCAGCAAAGGAAGAGAGGCTAGTTTCTTTGGCCACTATAGATCTGTCATCGAATCAATGAGGATCCGATAATCGGCAAATGGATTCCGATTAGGAATATCCGCAGCCCAATCACTGCCAGACCTTGCAAATAACAGGAATGAAATAGCACCAATATAAAAAACAGTACGGCGATTTGAGTTAAAACCTCTCGCAACCAGTTATCACATCGAACCTGGATGATCTATGATCAGTTATGTGATCGTCTTAGTGACGCAAGAGCAAAAGCACCATCAGCGCACCAAATTTGCATAGATATGAAACGATTGAACAACGGGTTTGAGAAGTGGCGTCTATTCTGCATTGAACTGAGACCAATCTGATTCCACTTGAGCTTTGTAACTCTTCATTGTCATTGGTGTAGGCTGTGGTCCAGAGGCGGCCAACCTTAATTGCTAATCTTTGAGCCCCACGTAGTCTCGTCATAATCGAAACAAGACGCTAGATATTCTGAACATCAGAAACTCCTTGGAATCGAACCACAAATACACCAAGATGATTCAAAATGTTCAATGACGATAAATATGAAGTCACTATTTTTACCACTGAAAATGATGTTCTGGTGAAAATGACTTTATCCAATTATATCTTTGTGATTGTGTAGTGCTTTGAGGCTTTAGGGAAAACACATCCTTTTTGGGCTAAAGCCCTTCGCCAACCAAAACGTTTCAGAACGTGATACTGAAGTAATTTGAACAGTAAAGGTGAAAGATGCAACCCGAGAAAATTTACCACCAACTGGTCTGCCTCAAGCAAAATACCCAGCTGGCGCGGACTAGATCCTAAAGACCAGACGACATCGAACAAGCTTTCTAACAATGAAAAAATCAACCAACAGACATACATTGATATTTTGTATTGCATGAGGCTTTCCTTGCAAGCAGTATTGAAGATGGGAGACCCATCTTTCAGTTTAGCAATGGTATCAGCAAGACGAACAATACCCTGATATGTGGAAGAAATTAAGCGTTCAGTGGAATTTCTTGATCAATTTGTGTTCCACTTGAGTACTTGCTAAATGTCATTATCAACATTTTGTGGAACCTTTTTGCAGCCATGAAGCAGGCACCAAACAGATTCACTACTTGGGTAACCATTATCAACTGCATAACACATTTCTTTTCATGCAGGACTTCCTTTTCAATTCAATTCATTCTGATTGACATCATCTTTAACTTCATTAACGGAGCAAATGACAACATATTCCTCATCGTCAATGAAATTTCACATTGATCTTTCATCAGAAGTGATTCTATCTGTGCTATCTATGTCATCATTAGCAGTTGACCGATTTTCCCACATGACATTTGTAACAATAGGTGTCAATCCGACCGCAGCTTGAATTTTAGAGTTGCTGGCAGCCGAAGCATGATAATCTTCAAGATTCTAGCTTTCATTAATACTGTAAGAATACGTGTTGAGAGCGCAGTCCTTATCCTTGATAATCGTTCTGTAGTGTTTTCTACAAATGTGGTGGTGAACAAAACCAGATCGGAAACTGGAATCATTTTCCTTGTAATGCCAGACTTGTGAACGATTCAACCCCTAAAAAGCTGAACCAATGACTTTGAACATAACGGTAGATGATTCGTTTTGGAAATGACTTGAGGCAAGACATCAACAGAGCATAACGTTGGTGGAATTCAAAATCTTTAAAAAGAAGACATATCACAGCGTGACCAGGCTAGTTGACTGGTACATCAACACTAATTAGCATTGCGCTGGTACTTGCCATCCACGAGTTTGCGAACGTTCACCCAGCCAAATTATATAAATGTCGTGAATAAGTCAGATATTAAATTTCATTCCTACAGCGTAACCGAACTCTTTCAACAGGGTGGATGCAACTACATTACTTCATCACAAAGTATTGCCTGTTTTCACCAACAATTGTTAAGTAAATGCAAAAAACTGTACCGACCTTCCAACAACAAGTAGTCGTGCCTGATTTGGACCAACAACCGCATGTTTGTGCATTGATTAACGTTGGGAAGAAAGTATCGACTTTCGTCAACTGCAAGGACCACTGGAAATCACTGAAAAGTATTGGCACGAAGCAGGCGAACATCAGTAGTGGCCGTCTTGTACATGACTCCATAACAACTTTGATCGGTTTTTGTGTGGCAGGACTCAAAGGTGAAGTTTGCTGCACAAAAGAGGCTATAGAATTAGGATATAGCAGTCTAACAAATGTGAGGTGGATAATCGGTTTGCTCTTTAGAATTTGGAGTAACAACTGTGAAAGCAGATTGGGCAACGAAGAGTAGGCATAATCTTCATCTGACTCTTCTACCAGGCAATCGACAGTAAAATTGAGCACTTTCAGTTTTCAATAAAACCCTGGGGAGTTTTTTTCAAGCGGCTATGATGGGAATTGGAGTTCCCCCAAGAAGAGCATACAGAACATCTTGAAATGATCCACGACTCAAAACCATCATGGAGGCAATATAGGCCACTTCAATGATACTCCGACCGATACCAGCCGTCCGACTTCAACGGGCACTTGAGTTACTGAAGGAACAAGGGTAAGGCTAGCCATTTAGGGAAGCACCACAATCAAAATAAATCTCTATGGAGTTCGGCATTAGCTTGGCTGTTACTGTCCAGCACCGGCGGGGCAGCCACTCATCCACTTCGGGGCCATCGACAAACATACAAAAGAACAAGAATCTGCTGCGCTGATCGTTTCGCAAGAGCTCCACGTAGTGCCAATCAACTGCTTTCGAATCCTTTTATTTTCAGACAAGGGTAGCATGCGACTTAATTTGATTTTAAGCTTAGAGCGATTGCTTTCCAGCACAGACTAACGCCGTTTTTGCTGCCTCACCACCAGATGGACCATCACCGATCCCCTTTGCCAAATCTCTTCGATCTGTAAACGTAAGTTTTGAAAAGTCGCTATGTTTAAAACGAATCATTTCGTCTTGAAAGTGTCCAAAAGCGAGCGAAGAAAACAATTTGCACATCTCCGCCAGAATTACTGTTACGTGTTTGCAAGCTAATTGTTACTTGACGGCCAATAGCACTAGTTGGAAATCTGTTTTGCCAGTCGAACACAAAATGTTGAGCGGGATTGCATGGCACGAGAGCTGAAATGAAAAATACATTCTGTGCCAACGGATCCACATCACCAGCCAATAAATCACAGTCTTTCATAATGGCATGAACACACCGACTAAAACAACCAGCTTTGAGATTTGAAGCAGAAGTCAAAAATAAAAGTTGGCACGGTCAATTAGGTTCCCTTAAAATTGGCAGTGGTAAATCGCCGTTTTGGTTTTTTCCTTTTGTCGGGAATTTATGATAAAAAAATAAATCAAGATATTCCATATGAAAGAAAAACGGAAAAACCAATGGCCGCGTCCTTTATATGGAACCCGGTGCATTGACCGCGCCTCAAGGGAGCTGACTGGTGGCAGATTCTTAGCAACGGAATGCTGACATTTAGTACGCGTATAATATTCACCACATCTTTTCAATTAGGAGACGTTAAATCTATTCGCTCGTCACACAAGCATCAGTTATACACCAAATAGTCGTACAAAAATGGTGATCGGACGGTAAACATGAAAGAAACCGATCTGAAGAATTGCAAACCAAACTAGTTGAAAAAGGATTCTATCCAAAGCTTGGGCAAATCTACGATCATGTTTCGGCCCCATATATAAACATTGATACTTTTAAATTGCAGTATTCTTCTTCTGCTATTGAAAACAACCATATTCGTGAAATGGATACAAAGACTGTTTTCTTCAAATGAATAATTGATTATCGATTATAGCTTCATTCTCTTGCTAGCGCATGTCCATGATAAAATGATTGTTGCAAATTAATAAATTGATTGATTCATTTCAATGTTTGTTCGCTTATCTAGTTCAGTTGAGTAAAAAATGGGTTTAAAGCAAGCAACAACGAAGTCCATCGTATTTTTAATTCATCCAAGCTCTGTAACTGAAGCTGCTCTAATTTAAGTTGAGTTAGTAATATTTGAATTGCTCGTGAAACAAATAATGAAACTGTGAAAACAAATGCGTTAGTCAAGAAGAACATTCCAATAAAATATTTGGCATCACAGTGACTGTTCGTCTGAGACAATTAACATGAAACAAATAATAGATTCAGTCAACGTCATGAAACTTTAATCACAAAATAGAATAAATTGTGCTTGTTCCAAAATTAATACAATTGCTAACTCCTGCAGCGGAGAATCTTGAAAAAGATTTGAAATGATCAAGCTGCAATGCTGCTGCTCGTTTACCTTATAGTAGATGATGGCAGAATAGTGTGTACGGCTAAATCAATAATAAACATCAATAATCCTGAAATTTCTCTCTTGGCTATCTTTATTCAGATTCTTCCAATCACCATGATTGCAGCCGTTTTGATTTTACACATTCCACTTTGAGACAACTAAATTAGTGGGATTCATAACAATAGTTTATCCATTTGTACCTAAAGGTTGTTCTACTCTATGCTTCAACTTTAATAATTTCCATCAAAACGGATCTACCTTCAAAGTTGATTTATAATAAATGTTAGAATAGTGTTGCAGTTGCCATTTTATGATCAAGTAATAGAATATGATTTTCTGTTGATGCCACTCTTTTTCGTCGACTACTTTTGTTGTTTCTCATATATTAATTATGTCACTTTAGATATTGTCGTTCGTTCAACTGGAAGGGTTATCAATCTTTTGAAAGCTAAAATTAATTGTTTAGTGTTGTAAATGGATGTCATTATTGTCGAAAGTTAAATATTATAGATATATTGGTTGAATCACGAAAGAAGAATAATCCATCGTAAATTATTTTAATGCATTAGCTTTGGAGTAATTTGCAATGAAAAATTTCACTTTTTTACATATCAATGTGAAATATGATCTTTGTTTTGCTGCTCGGATTTGCAGCGGACTTCTACTTATTCCATCAAAACAAGATTTATTTACGTGAATTCCCAGTGATTCGAAATGCTGTCAAGGGGAAGCTTTCGCGACTCATTACAATATAAAACTTACTAAATTAAATAATAATTAGTTCATACATCTTAACAAAAGGGAATAAAGAACAATCAATCATTATTTTCTGATAGAATCTTTCAAACACGGGGTTCTATGTGGCAGCACTTGGAGAAGTCAGAAAGTGAAACGAAAAAGTCAAAGTGGCATTTTCACAATGAAACAGGTTTCTTTCTTCTACGGTGTTCGAAGAGACAATCCTATCTCATCCAGTTAATTCTATTGCTGAATTGATTTCATCCATTATTAATTTGAAAAGTTGCTTACTTCTCCCATAAATATTGCAACAGCCAAATCCATCAGTCGCGAGTATCAACCTATGAGGTGATAATCATTTTTGTTGAGACTTGGCTCGATTCCAAACATTGATAGTCGGCAAAATGACATTAAGATTAAATATCATTTTATTATGGTCCATATTTCCAGTGAACAAAAAACATTCAGCTATTTACATTCAATTGAGGGTGTTCTTGCTATATCAACCACTCTATTGACCGACCATCAATTCAAATTCGTGCTCAATCATTGAATTAATTTCATATACTCTCAATAAATGACAACTCATACTAGAAACTCCTTTTCAAATTAAGACGATGTCAAAGGGATTAAAGCAAGACCAATCACTGTTTTGAATGCGCAATTTTGTTTCTGAGTCATTCGAATTGCCAAGTATTTGAGAATTGCCATTTTTCATCAACTATTTTTCAGACCGCAAACGAAAGGAATGACTATCAAACCTCTAACTAGCGTTTCTTTAGGTTTTTATTTTACTTCAGATGAATTTATTCACCTTTTACAGTTCAACTGCTTCTAAGGTTTGGCGGAAGTTGGATTTTGTTCTCTTTTGGATTTCTTTGGATTTTGTTTCACGTTATTGCAATTTTGCATTTGATCGTTCTCTAATAGTACTTAGCGATATCCAGGTTTTGAATTGCAGGATCTCCTAAAAAAATACTTTTCATGGTTTGCATATCTGTGATACTCCTATTGCTCTTTATATTTCTGGAATTTACATTTGCCCAATAAAGTTCTTTTTTAATTGTAAATCAATGAACTTAGTGAAGCAATTCAGGTTGTCATTTAATTAAATGAGATTACTGCTGCTGAAAGGACCCAACAAATCCAATGATTTTTATGTCTCATTGTTGTTTGCGGGTTCATGGGTCTCAATATAGATTTGGCCTGATTCTTAACAAACCAATTTGCAACCAATCTTGCCTTCAATCGTAGAAACTAGAATTGAATATTGTAAATTATTTGAACTCTATTTGAAATCATTTAAAATATTACATAATTGTATGGAGAGTGGGATATTCGGTTTATAATAATTATTCTTTGATATTCATTATTCCTATTTCAAGCATTGAAGAATTGGCAGTGCTTTGTGAAAGACAGATTGGAGGCCACGTCCTAAAAATGAAATTATTTCGAAAGTGGCCAGTGAAATATCAACAATAATAAGCCAAATCTTATCATCTGAGATTTTGTCAAAGCAACATATATTGTTTCACATCACACAAGATCAAAACCGCATGTGTTAACTTAATATTAAGTAGCATTAATTGCTAGAACAGAATAGCTTTAACTGGAATTAAGAAAATTTAAAAGCGAATTGAAAAAGGATTGAATAATAGATCATTAGTTGAAACCACGCAACGTGGAAATTGGAATAGTAGAAGTTGCTCTCAAATTGATAATTCGAATGACTGAAAGTAGTAACAGTGAACTGAAAATGTTGAAGGTCATTAAAATTGAATTTGGTACATCATCAAAACTTATACATTTCTTTGAAATTTATCGAACTAACTAAAATTATTTTACTATTGTGTCATGGGTTTGAAACGTAGTTGAATCAGCTAGCACCGCAGCGATCGCTGAGTGATTGCCCTCTCTATTAATATATCTGAGTTCCAGTTTCTCATTGGAAATTAGATCTGTAACTGAATGATATATAGTTTCAATATGCATGGTTCCCTAATGAGAGTATGAACGGCCGACCATCCTCCAAAATGAACACCTTTCAACCAGTGGATTAATCAAAACCACTAGTCTTTTTACTGCCTCAAACACGTTCGTGAGAATAATCTACTTTTCTTTGCTTCAGCTAATGAACCCTGATCGGCTGAACCAAAGGACACGTCAACAAGTGATGGTTTCTTTCAAGACAATGAGAGCTTGTTGCCACTTAATAATGACAAAGAACGACCTTGATTTTTGCTTATGGTTCTATCATTTGCTTAATTACCGCCACTAACAACTGTTAGTTCAAGAAAGGATCTCCGCAGTTAATTGATATATGGTCAATACTTTGTACTGTCAACAAATCGGAAATCAGTACGATTTATTTGAATATTATTTTTATTAAAATGAATCGACAAGTCTTCTGCTTGACCCAAATAATGTACATTGTCAAACCAGCAGATCAATTATATCTTAATGGACTATCGATATGTCTGCTACATATGATATGGCAAATGGCATATGATGGCTGACTGGAGAAGCATTAAATCATGCTGTGCGAACAACTGATTTATCTTTGCATGATCATTAGCATCATGGAATCAACATCCATAATCTATTCAAGTCGTTGGGCCAAAAATAGTTGGACATCATTTACTGTTTCTAGTTAAAAAGTTATTTGAGTTGCCCTAATAAAGTTTCATGAAGGAGTTTGCTTTCAAGCAATTGATTGATCAATATCATTTTCTTAAAGGGTGTTTAGAAATCCAATATCTTTGATTGCAAAGATGGTTTTGATTAATGTCTTTATTTTGTCAAATTCATTGTTTAATTTGTCTGCAATTGGGATATCCTCAACATAAATAGATGATAAGCCACTTGAATTATGGAACATTCGTGGATCAAACAAACTTGAGGACAAGTTAATGCGGGCAGTAAAATTGCGTTACATTGTATTGAGCGAGATAGGTGTTACTTACGTCAAACAATTCAATCGCCTCTTGATTTATAGTCCTTCTTATTGTTGTGGATTTCTCAGCAGGTGCGTCTCGATAATAAGGAAGATATAATGCCGTGTTCATAAAACGAAAGTAGGCACATGATAAGCGGATAAGATAGTTATTTATCGCAGCTCATGAAAGCATTAATGGTTATCCCTCGAATTACGTAACTGCAGCGTGGACATCAATATTGCTATGTTTAATTATTTTAAGACATACATCAGAACTAATCTTCCCATAAACAGTAGAGAACATTTTACTTCATTTTCAACGTGCATTGGCTATTTTTGTTTTATCATTTTTCCTTTAACAGTCGATGTTGGAACTCATCAATCGGCTTCATTTTTTTAAAATGAACTAGTTTCTTTTGCCGCAGCAGATAACCTTTTTCACATTAGTGGGATTGCTACTACAAGGGAGATCAGTGATCGAATGAGATCTTACGATTGAGACAGCAAGAATTCTGTTTCGTCATGGCAAAGAGATCCATTAGTGTTCTGTGGCTCCTTTAATAACAATAATTTGACTGGCAAGCTACTCTGTTTTTTGAGCTTAATGTTTTCAAGAGATGGTGTTGATTTCAATAGAGTGAATTTCTTATCCTTCTTACTACATGACATAATCACACTGTTGACGATTTAGCGTTCTTGGATCTCTTGCGGTTTCGTGGATGGCTTGGTAACCTTCACCAGTATTCTTACTTTCATCATGAGATTGTTATCGATATCAAATGGTATGTGAGAATGAAAACCTTTGATTAACCATATTTCAACTGTGGGATTAGGAAGATCAAGAGTTTGCATATCTTTGACGTTATCAAAGGCAATTGAATTTGATTCCGTTTTAGATGACGAAAAAGAAGTATTACAAATATTGCTGTGTAGTCGTTCACTTATCTCAATATGTTTTGTCGTTAATACATTTGACGGTTGAATTAGACAGCTGAGGTTTACACATAAGATGGTAGGATGTTTGTGAAGTAGTTGAACTATCAGAGGAACGGTTTTGAGGTTCAGTTTTTTATGAGGTATCGAACTATTTGAACTGAATAGATAAATGTCATTCATTGTTAGTATCCGAGTTGCTCCGCTAGTTTTCTATGAGTTCTTCATTATAGTAAATCAATCTTTGGTAGATGAATGCTGACGATGATATCGATTATTGATGTCCACTTCAAAAATTCTTCTTCTCCAGTGATGATTGAAAGGAGATATAGCAGTACTGAATGGAGCGTGGACTATTCGATTCCTATTCCATTTTCTACGGATTTACCATAGAAAATCATCGTTATCATTGATCAGAATATATGTTTGCAAATGATCGAGTGTTTTCAGGATTCGTTTCATTATGGGCTTGGCATATCAATGTCCGACATTAATTGTCTCATCTTGCAGCAAATCCATTAAATTACATTAAGGACAAAGAAAACATAACAAGGAAGTAGAAGGAAACTTTGCGAGCACCTTCAGTAGGAAAACGGCTTGGATCGCAAAGCGTCAGGAGATCAGCCGGTGACTGAGACCGAATGACCCACCGCAGAATCGATGCAGGCTGATAGGAGACCCTTAGGTTCCGAAGCCGTTTTTACACGATCGGATGATTCTAGTGGAACCTTTGAAAATCGCAGCAAACGACAGCTTGAGTTGGCCGAACTGCTGGTAAGCGTTAGTGCGGATCTTGGTCTCAAGGGATCTGCCTACAGACGCAGGGAAAATTGTTGGAACCAGAGCAGCGGTCATTTAAAGGAGATCATCTTAGGGTAGAAAGATTAGTGGTTTTGAAATTTTGGAATGTGCGTTTCACAAAGAAGGGTCTTCTCACTCTGCCAGTCGTGAAGCACAACTACCTCTTTTGCTTTCTGCGTGAAGAAGCTAACTGACCGGCTTGTCAGTTTTTTTGCTAGCGGAAGGTCATTCTCTAAACCGCGGATCTAGGTACATCAATCGACTATCGACTCCATTAATTAATCAGACACTGAGCTGGAACAGAAGGATACAAACATGAATGAACATCCAAATCCAATGAATAAAGAAGTTCTTATAATGCCTTCTTATAGATCTTGACAATTTAAAAGAAATAGAGTGATAAATTCGAATTGTAATCGTTGTAGCAATAGTATAAGTTCAGACAATTCCACAAAGTAAATCCATTCTGCGAGTTAACCAACATAGAGTCAATCATGTATTAGTAATTGAGCAAACCGCAAACAACATCAACAGCAAAACTTTAGGCAACCGAATTTCAATCAATGAAGCGACAAATTAGGAGAAGTGAACACAGCAGCCGCTACCACTTTGGCCACCATATAAGCAACATCAATCTGCATCAATTCTTTCAAGAGTGATAGCAACATTGCGCGACCTTTTATAAAGTGATATTTAATTCAAATATGTTTTCAGTTACTGTGATTTGTGGGATAGCTAGGCAAGCTGTTGCCAGATGTGTCATTACATTCGACTACGGATTTGGCGGTACTTCTACCAAATTTGTGGAGGACATGCACTCAAATCGAAACATCGTGGATTGTCGCATTGAGTGAAAGGACTTCAGCTTCACTAATCATTAAGGCCACTGAAGCCAGCTTTTTGGAGTGGCAACAAAGTGATTTTCATTAATCAGCAGCATATACCCTCCATCCTATTTTTAATTAACAGCGTCTCCAGCCCAATCACTGCCAACCTATCAAGCTCCTTCAACAGGTGAAGCAGCTTTGTATTGAACAATGGATGGCTTTGAGTTTGACAATCTTAACACAACTGTACGACAATTTAAAATGATCTTGCATAGCGTACCAAAAGTTTGAATGATTAACACAGCAGCAACAGCAACATCATACCATGAAGAATTAGCTGAACAACCGAACATTTCAATTACTGATCAGTTAGATGAAGATTGCTCTGTGGCAACCCAAAGCCATATGAATAAAGCAACTCCCGGTAAAGGCCTATCTTCATTGGTGCAGTCTGCGCAGAGAACACAAAAATCTTGAACGATCAAACCATCATTCTGACATTGGTCTCCATCAATTTGGAAATACTTGATTTACTTTCAGCAACAACAAGTTCTGGAATGCGACCCAGAATTACTCCAAGATTATTCAACCTAGAAAACTAGTTCACGTATAATTTAAGAAGCAAATTGATGGCATCTCATGATGCCGCAATAAAGATTTTATCCACAGCGCTCTCACGGATCCAGTTCCTTTTGCTCTTTGAAAGATAAAGAACTGGATGTTCAGCTGAAAATGTTTGAGATCCAAATCGTCGGAGAGCAATAACCAACCTGGTATAGCAATAAAGAATACATTTTTTCAGTTCATAAATTGGTTTTGATTTTTTTACTCTTTTAGCGATTACACGGAATGACCAACATCAGCCAGTTGATTCATGTAAATTTGAGCGTCGATTTCTTCCTAAATGACTGGACATGCCACATGCATTTGATTAACCTTGAACATCTTTGATGCTGAAACAGCTAGAAGTGCTCGGTCACTATCATGTCCAAAGAGTGCAACAAATTTTTCACTATGACCGATCACTGCAACGTAAGAAAGCGCTTGAGGTACTAGTCTCGTTTTGGCAAAATCACCATTTGGTGCTCACTTCATTGTTTACTCGCAACGAATGCAAACAGGCTTATTGCCAAAGAGAAAATTAAGCACCAAAATGGTAATGGTCGGAGGGGTCGCCGGAAGTTCTGATATTCAACCGAGCTTACTGATCGTGTCTGCAGATTTTGGCTCAACACTAGTACGGGCATTAACGACAGCGCCAAAGTCGTGCACAGTAGACCAGACTTCAATGCTATTTGTTGAATCATTTGTAATCTGCTTAAGTACAGCTGCAACGACATGAAGCTCGTCTTGACGAACACATTTGGTTGCAGCAAGCTGGTTGTTATGACACTCAGCATCAGTTATTATCTTCACCAACCTCATGTAAATCGTTAGTGCATTCAACTAATTATTTGTATCCGATAAATAGGGATGCAGATCATCGTTTTTATCAGTATATCTGGTCCTGTCAATATATTCATCGCATGGTTGGAGTTGGCATTTCCCATGCCGTCGGATTGAATTGCAGTTGTGCTATCCTCGTCACTGAATGGTAAGACTGATTTTTTCCTGTAGCAACAGCATCAATGTCTGTATCGTCAACCTCCTATTGATTTGGTGCTTAATCTCAGCAACTGCCACCCATTCAAAACTGAGTCAAGATACAACAAAAAGATAAGAATTACTCAGATCAGCACTGCTGTAACTGGAGTGGTAGATTCTGTAGGCCTTTCTACTCATCTCGTTGCAAACAACGCACAGAGCATTGTCTCTTCTCCCAACTTCGTTTTCCTGCATTTTCTCGGACTCAAGCCTTGGTGAGCAAAGACAAATATGTTCAACATAACAAGAAATCAGTTTTGACCCTGGATTTACTAAAATGATCTGGTGATTGGAGTGCCTTCTTTAGAGTGAGTCAAGTTGATCAAGAAAACTGGCAAGCATCAGCGCTTTATTTTGAAGTAATCAGCATCTTTTTCTTCATTTTACCCTTTTGCGGCTTCTGTGACGATTTTTCTTAGCGACGGTGACTGACCAAATATTGATGATATTTATTTGATCCTGACCATTGATATTGGATTCTTTCATTCTGAGAACAATCTTTCAACCGCTTTGATGCAAACTTGTTATCAGTTCTGATAATGCGGACAGTTCTATGCAATAATCGTTGACTAAACTTATTATAATATACCAAGCTGGCAACTGCTACTGATCGTGTAGCAATTAGAGCAAGAAAGACCTTTTTTCCGCAATCATCAACAATGGTGAGAAATCAACAACATTCATCAACAGCAGCAGCTGGCATTGGCCAACAATACCAACATCAAATTGAAAATGAGCAGTGGTGGCTGTTTCGTAGACAACGTCCCCATAATCATTCTCGGTTTTCCTTTATGACAAGCAGACAGTTTGAACCGCGATCGGCAAGCATAGCATTGATATTGCCAATATCCCTTTGAACAATATCAACAGATGTCCTACTTGTTCATTCCACATTCTTCTACTTTACACAACAGCAGCTGGGGCAGCCAGACATGCATAGAGTGGAAAGCCTGCCGGCGCGTCGACCATTCAAGCGACAAAATCTTTTTTAGATGACAAATAGGCAACTCTATTTCGAGCGTCTAAAAATGAAATTTAGTTTCCTCCATGGGGAGCGCAACAATTATTCATCAACGAATCCCGATTCAGATCCATCACAATACCAATATCACTTATTTCAAGTACAGCGTTGCCAATACCAACAATAGGTCCTGATTCAGGAGGTATGTCGCTGCACCAATCACCGATGGCACAAACATTTTGGAAAGAACCAAATCAAATTACACTGTTTTGAAACTCAACAAGAACATGCTAGCTACCATCACCGACCGAGCCAACCGGGACTGATTTTCCTTGAGGGCATGCAAGACTGCCACTGGTGCAGAAACGTTGGCTACAACTAATGATCATGCAATATCCGGCAGTGCGGCCAGCCACTCACTGACCATGTTGGTGGTTCTCTGACTTCGATGGATTGTCATTCGTTTGCCTTTGGGCTTTTTCATTGGATTGTCACCTACATAAACTAACTCTGTTGAACAAGAGCTACCGACCAATTCATCATATCAATGGTGACTGACCAAAACTTTCCATCAATTGATGAGATTTTGTCAGTGTCTGTGTATTGAATGAGAACTTCTTCAGCCAAGATGTTTTCGGAAACGGATCCAGCACCAAATGTAGTTGAAAGTATATCAGCAATCTGGACTATCTTAATATTCCTTTAGAATTCTTTAAAAAATCTAATGCAATTCCTGTTATTAAATCATGCATTTTCCTATTTACCACAAGTAAGATCTTTTGTCATAATCATAGCTGCTTGAACACCAACAGAACTACAATGCTTTTCCAAGTCACTGAAACTTGACGGCGTACTACCCATTTCGTAGTACCTCCTACAATTTGACAATGAACAATCCGCCAGTAACCAATCTGTGGCAAAGGGAATTCAAAGCAGCCGTAAATTTGCTCGAGTTAACAACATCAGCAAGTATAACATCATCTCAGATGAAGGCTTCGTACAGCAGACGCAACTGACAAGCTTTGAGATTTAAGACCGAAGCCCCAATAGTAAAGTTGGCACTATCCAATTGAAATGCTGGCACCTGCCTACGATCAATCGCAATCTGGCTCATACTCTATTAGAGCTGATTTACTATGGTACATTATGGTCGGAAGTAGTTGAGAACGGGGAACACAGAAAAGATCGGCGGCCCTTCGAATAAGAAACAGCGCCAGATGACCGTCCGTCAGTGGAGCAGATGGCAGACAGTCAGTGAAGGACCGAGTGTAGACATGAAGGAGGGTCACAATATTTTACTATTCTTTCTAATTGCCGTTTCAGATTTTCTCGTTCTCCATTTTTCAAAAGTAAAAGAAGAACAGTGACAAGATGGATCTTAGATAAGTCCCTGTCAAGAATTTTGATGATATGTCATTTGAATTCAATTTGTGTTTGATCAAGCAAATTGATTTTTCTGCTAAACGGACTATTCTTACAAATAATCGTAGATAATCAACTGGTAACTTAGTTGCTTCTGAATTGAACAAGACTATATGACGAAAAATGAAATGACCTTTATGCTCCGCGCATTTACTCCATAAAGTCCAATTATTGGGGAAGCATTATCAAGTGAAATATATTCCAGTATAGTTATCATTTTGCGGTTGTGAAAAATTCAAAGTTGAGTATTGTTAGTACTCAAGATCAATTATACATTGTTTTAATGTTCTATTAATCTCAGAAGGACAGTACGCATCTTTTGATGAGGTATTGATTTGATTTGAAGAAGACTAACCATTGTCTTTGTGAATTTGCATCAAATCTCATTTCGTTGTCTGGACAACATTATTTTGCACTTGCTTTCAAATTAACAACTATAATTAATTGTTCTAGTCACACGATGCAATCACGTCACCGTGCTTGTCAATTGATGCTGTTGTTTCTCCAGTTTGTCCATTCTAACATCTTTCGGCGGATTTTCCAAAAGTAAAGACATTTGATGCTTTGGTTCGAATAAACGTGACATCAGCAAACATTAATGAATCAATATCAACACTCTCTTGTGACTTTAAAATATCGTCACTGCGCACAACATTCATTAGTATGATTTTATCATTATGAGCTGTCAGGACTTCAACTCTATTTGCAACTTGAGTTGTTCCTTTCGGGTCAAGAAAATCTTCACCAAGATGGTAATTAACAATTAATTTGAGTGTCACTCAATCCGATAGTAAGCCATTGTTAGTAACAAATATCAAACCTTCACGCCACTAAATCATTTGAACATTTAGGTAGGACGAATATTTTTCTTCTTTTCTGCATTTCCAGCAGTAATAGGCAGACCCCCATAGTCAAAAGGCTTAACTTTAAATTGGGTAGTGACTGCTTCTTCAAAGCCTTTGGCAAGCTTGAATGATACTAACCAATTTCGTAACAATCGTTTGTGGCTTAATATCTTATGGTGTCTGAATAGTTCATTAACTTATAAAAATGGTATCTTGTTTCTTTCATGAAAGTAGTTCTTAGCAAAAAATGTTATGTGAGGTACGTCGTAGCAACTTTATTGTCAAACTTCGGAAAAGCGGCATAATGATGAATAGATTCAAACTTTCAATAATGACCTGAATTCACGTCGGTTTACACTTTTAATTCATTTTCATTCAATAGAAAAGTTGACGTAACCAGAAAGTTTGTAAGAAAGAGAAGTAATGCAAAATGGCCTTGATTCACAAATTCTTGAATTATTCTGAGGAGCAACTTAAACGCATGATGCGAATCTTAACTTCTAATTACTTTGAATTCACAAGCAGTTACGATTGATGATATAACAGACCAAACAATTTCTTTAAAGTTCGATTGACGGCAGTAGCAGCGATGAATCCCATTTAGTTAAATTCATCACACTCAACGTAATTGGCGCTTCAATCAGTGAACAAAGTTTTCATCATCCGTCATTCAGCTGTAGTACAATCCCATATCTTTCCTCATTGAATAAAATGACATCACAATTTCCTTGAGTTACTACGACTGGTCTCGAAATTTAGAGACAACTCAAATATTGTCGAAAGTGATTATTGGAGACCAGTTATAATATGAAAATGTAAATTATGAATCATAGTAAAAAATAATAGAGTAGTATAATTAAATATCTTTTATAATTGTGTCACGTCTCTAAGAATACCTCTCTATTGATAACCTTCTGCATATGAATAGCTTTTGTTTAATATAATACAATTTTGAAAACGCAGAAATTCTCTGTTCTTTGCGTCTCACTAATAAATATTAAGATTGAATCGAAACATTTCACTGCAGATTAGAAAAATAGAATATGCAGCATAACAAAAGCAACCGTATCGTACGAAGAAGTTGAACGATACAGTGATATTTCAGCAATTATAACTATCAGTAATTGAATAGGATTGTCTTGAAGTAGATGACGATCATATGTTAGAATAGTATTAGTTTAACGAGCAAAAGAAAATATTCAAATATGATAATAAAAGAACTGTAACTCAAAGTAAATCAAGCAAATAAATGAAATAATAGTTGAAATCATTTAATTCGGGACATTGGTTTAATCCTGAAACAAGCAACTTGTAAAAGTAGAGATTGTTGTAAACTTGGTATACGGAGTCAATGAAATAAATATTGTAAAGTGGAAACTGCAAGGAGGTTAAATTTTTATTTTAGATGGTTGAGACAAGACCGACACAAGTTGTTCGGTCTAGCCATAGAAGTCCCTAAAGATACCAATAACTCTCCTCAAAGGTTCATCCAGCAATCCTTGTTCTATAAATCAAGTTGCCTAGTTTCAATTGAAGCTGAAGATATTAGTAATACTGGAAATCACATTGGATGTCTTAAGATTGTAAGTACATATCTTTTGTAAACATCTCCATAACAATTGCGGGATCCCTAATAATTGTTTCCTCCAATTTGTAATCGGAAAAAACAATGGATACAAATATGTGCTTACAAGCCTTTATCGATCAGATTCAACTGCATCTTGACGTAAAGAAATCCAGCTCAAATAGTCTCCCATTTGGCCAACAAATATGAAAAGAAGCTGAGATCAACAATCGTTGCCCTAATGGTTATTCAAAATATAATTCAATTGTTAATTCATTACTATACACGGCTAATTCAGTGAAATGTAAAATGTTATTCTCTACAGGAGCTCTAAGGAGACCAGTAGTAACTCAATGAAGAGACGTTATATGTGGTGTTTCCACACCACTCGAATATGTTTGTCTATCAATTGACTTGTCCACTAGATTACGATAATAATAATACTGAAATAAATCATACTCCTCTTTCTTCTCTTGACAAAGCCGATTATGCAACAATTAAACATTTTCCTCTGTTAACATTTTCCCACCTAACGGTTGTTAATCACAGGGCTTAGGCAACTGACAAAGTCTCATGAAAATTTCAATGTGTTTGTTCACAATGTAAGTTAGTAACTTAACGGCATACCTCAGAAAGAAACAATATTTTCTCATATTGTGATTCACCGAAACTAAATATTGCTTAATATCAGATGCAATGACAAGTGGTTTAGTATTTCAAACCAGATGCCATAAATAAATGTCACCAGTGTCTATCATTAAAATCTATGCTGATATTCATTCTTTTTCAAGAATCTCTTCCATCCTAGTTTTCTTGAAGGAACCAAGCAAATTGATATTGATTATTACCTTCTTCGAGAAATTATTTCTGATAATTAACTGACACTAACTTTTGTTAATTCGAAAGCCAATTTGGCTGACATTGATACCAGGACAATTGATATAACTACATTTCAATCCCTGGTTAACATATTATATTGATGGCATATTATCCAAACATAGTACATTCAATGAAACAATTTGAGACGAAGTAAGGATAATTGGTTTAATATTGTTGCTTTTCTTAACTTTACAATTCTGTCACAGACGCATTCCCACTACTAAATTGAATTTAATATATTTGATTGTCTTTCATTTTCTATTTCTACTTAGTTTTCAAACTGAATTTACGTGTCTTCTATTCTACAACTTAAATTTTTCAAATTTCTGCTTTTCCAAAATTAAATGAAAAATATGTTTATTGAAACAGATAATAATATTACAGTTATTTATTTTTTCTATTGTTTGTTAAATTTATTCCGGTTTTTATTTAACCTTGACCGATTGCCAGCAGAGGTGATAAAAGTTATTCATATCAACATTATCATATTTCGGTTCAGGTTATACAATTATGAATTGTAATAACCACAAGAGGATTGTCTGCCTAGTTTATATTTGTCAACATCCTTGATGACTTTTCCTACTGCAAATATTTAAGTTTTTGGGTTTGGCATTGACTCTGCCATCGAATTTTGTTCGTTTTCACAGATATCACACCAACGGAATACTCCTTATCTTTCAATATAGCATTTGCATTTATTGCAAAGTTATACAATTAATGGAACTTATTACAAGCAGGAAACAAATAAATTATGTATCATATTATATTGATCAAAACGATTTCACAAATTATTGTCGGAGTACAATTTCCAATCAAAGAGAGTTGACTTCAACGGCATTTTCCTTTAACTGTTGAAAAAGAATTTCCAAATCATCTAGCGGTTCAAAAGTTTGATCTTTCTTATTTCCGAATGACATTCTAGAGGTTTCGTCGTATGTTTGGTAATGAGCAATTCACTCCAGTTGTAAGTTGTATCCACCGTCTTAGTAAGGTTTTGTTTATCACACCGGTTGAATAGTATTTCAGTAGCCCAAGTGTTGGACTTAGAATTGATTATGTCATGTCAATGATCTCTTCAAAAAATTTTACCGGTAATTTTGGTTCGACTTAATTGACTTCCTTGATCGTTGGTGGATTAACAAAATCTCTCAAGAATTTTGCATTTTGAAAGTTTCCTGAATTCACAAATTTATTTGTCCGTTTAACAAGCAATTGTACTCATCTGTCTGCTCTTTAATCCTTCGGCCACTGCGTAGCACAACCGCCTTTAATCGTTGGTTCATCAACATTAAGTCAATTACGGCAGGTTCAGTTGATCTCGTCATAACTAGCAGTTATGAAAATCAATTATATTAGTATCTTTGCAGTTACAGATATTGTTGGTGAACCGAAAATTCAATATAGAGAATTGTGCATTATTTTCTAACTTCTCGCAGAAAATAAAATTGATTGAGGTGAAACTTGGTTGTTATTCTATGCGGTGAACCTCCCATGAATGGGTGAATTGAATAAACCTGAATAGCCATAATAGGACCTTTGACAAAGCCATTTAAATTGAAATTTAATATTATTTAATGATATCCAGTGTTGTATCGCACAACCAGCGCTTAATAAATCCATTATTGCATTGAATAACAATAAACAAAAAGGTCAATATCCATTTCAGAAAGCCGATGATTAGAAACTGCGGAACCGAATTGGATCAAAACCAGGTTCCTATTAAAATAGATGCGAGCCACTCCCAAGACCACAATCTTTCACTCGGCGTCTGTCGTAAGAATCAAGCAAAATACAGTAAAGTTGAAATGTTTGTATGAAAGAGGAAAGTTCAAAAATCCACCGGCTTCTTCTCCTGGCCGGTGGATTAAATAATCCCGCGTCACGGGGCAGACCGGTGACTGATACGATCACACCAAGTGTAGACACACCACAACCTTAGAACGGCCCCCCTCGGCCCAGTATCGAGACTGCGGACAACGCAGCATAGTTGTCAAACTTTTCAAACATTCTCCATACGACCGTTTGGGTTGGCCCATCGATTACCAGTTGCAGCGACATAACATGCATTTCAGGGATTTGCTGAGGAGCGCAATCGAGTGGGTTCCAATCCGAATCACCGCCATCTGAATGTAACCATCTCTGGGTAAGAAAAGTAGGTGTTATTCATATGCTGGCATTTGCGATGCGTTGAGAATGCGGTTCGTACCCTTCAAGCAGAAGGCGTTGTGAAGTTCCCTTGCGATGTGTGACAAGGACCCTACTCAAACAGTTTGATTGCTTCCTTTTTAATTTGCTCCGAAAAATTCATTTCGCTTTGCCGCAAATCAAGCTTCCATTATTCGCTGATACATTAATGACATCGCTGAACAGCAATAATTGCATAACAACATCCAAAGATTCCGAAGCAAGCAGTAAAAGAAAGAATTTAGTTGTAGCAACTTAATCATTCTGATAATGAAAACCAAAACCTGCAATATAAACAAATCTATTCGATTTCGATATAATATCCCCATTGTCAGTCAAACAAATGAATTACAACATTGTGGAATATTGAACCAAAAATCACACTGGCTCTATTAATCGGATAGAGCCTGAGCGCGGTAATCAGCAAAACCATCAGCATCAACATTTGAATCATTCAAAAAATACATTGAGAGATTCCAACACTACGACAGTATCTGCTTTAGTCATGAGATCAGTAAGAGTTTCTTTTGCATCATGTCATGAGAAAGAAAAAGCAGCACTGCACTTCGAATGTATAAACAGATACCTCAGTGAACTATCCATGGAGTCTTTGTGATTTAGATATGGTTAGCCAAGTTAACACAAGTGTCTCTTTAAGAGTCGATGAGTGGTGAATCAACGGCTGTACCAATATTATTGAAGACCGGCAATAGGACGAGATCTTCTTTGACTGCGTCAGTAAAAAAAATGTACTTTGCTTCACAAATGATCTGGGCCACTGAAACCAGCTTCTTTGAGTCCCAAAAACCTCGCTTTTGATTAATGTCGATCATTCAAATAAGAACCGATTTTCAATCACCAGTGACTTCGGCGCAATCTCTGTGAGGTACGCAACCAACTGAACTGAAACGGCAGCTTTGTGATGATCTGATGATGGATTTCACTTCCAAAATCATCGCACCCTCTCAGCACTCGATGGATGGATCTTACATAGTGCAACATGATATCAACCTCGTAATTCAACCCCAAATACCATGCCGTACAGTAGTCGATTTGCAGCAAATTACATGATTGATCATCAGTTCGGAAAAGGTATGATTCATCAGCTTCTAATTTAGAGCCATTTGTTTTAAGCAGCACCTTCTTTGGGTCAATAAGAATGAGATTATATTGCAAATTTGAATTATCCATTTTAGAAAGTCGATCCATCACACTGATCTACGTCTCCATATATACCGAAATACTTTCGTTACTTTCAGCATCATCAAGACCAAAAAAATGACCCACAGTTGACAAGTGGTCATTGAATTTAAACAAAGAACTGACATAGGAATTAACTAGGTTGGCCTTTCAATCAAATACAGCTACCGTGATGAGGTGATACTTATATGATTTGAGCGTGCAGTCGTGAATGAATTTTGTAATAGGTAACAAGCAATGATCAGCAACATCTCATTAACCCCATTGGATTGCAAGACATCAAGGAGTTCCTTGTAGTCACAAAGTGGAGTGTGTTTAAGTCCATGTCTTCTTGTGTCTACGCTATAGACATTTGTTAATCTTCAGCGACATCAAATCCAGTATTGAAATTCATGTTCAATGCAGCAAAGGCGTAACTATAAAGAAAAGGAGTTACCACATGAATTTGATGATTAGTGAATGACAATGATGTTGCAACAGCAAGAAAATCTATAACATTATCAAACCTAATTAATACCCCAAATGTTTAAAAATAATCAATTGATTGAAGCTGCTAAAAACTTTTAACCGCAATTGTGGTCTTCGCCAAATTAGAAGATGTTACTGAATTCTTTATAAACACACAAGAACTGCCCACAGGCACGTTTCCTGCTGCGTCAGCAACTGTCGAATGAGTGAGGTTATCAGGCATAGCCTCAAGGTCTGCTTGGAAAGCGACTTATTTGATTGGCTTTGCGGCGTTTGGCCTACCAGTAGTGGCGGCTATCTGGGCTACAGCCTTATATGTTAAAGGGGACCGGCATCTAATCATATTTTTTGAGTGCTTTGTAAATCGGATAAGTTAATTCTCAATGTCACCGTGAATTTTTTGACAAACTCCTTGGGTTCCTCCGCGTTGGTGCTATTCAGATTCACCACAAGACTTAGCATCAGCACCTTGATCATTATATTCGGAGTGAGAAACAGAACTTTTTGAATCCATTTCATTGTCATCGAGATTTCATTTCTTTTCACGATATGAACTGCTGTCCGGTCATTAATCATTTCCATTGGAGTAATTATTTGATGTGCTGCCTGAATCAATCTCAGTTGTGTTTTCTTGCTGGATGATAGAAGTAGAGTGATCATCCCTCGAAATGTCAGCCGCAATAGGGGTGTCATCGACGGCAGTTGCAATTGTTTAATCAATGGCGAGAATGCATGAACCATTAAATACAAGTTGCATATCTTCAAACCGACAAACGGAACAGACGACATCACAGCTGTTATGGTGAATCTACACGCAGTAGGTGTCTCTAATTATGCGCTAGCCAACCAAACCACAGCTGACACTTGCAACACCCAATTTGGCTTCCCTGGCCGTGCTGAAAATGATTGAACAAGCAGCGTATCCAAATCCTCTCAACATACCAGCGGTTGTATTTTTACATCAACGAATTGAGAACTGGTAGTCAACTGAAGGAAATGACTGATGGAAAACAAAATACATCAAAAGAAATGGGCTCTCACTTCTTCACTCTCCAAACAATCAGAATCGCTGCCCTCAATTGATGCTGTGCTGTCTCAAGTCATGATGGCATTTTGCAACCGTTGATCGACCCCATTTGCTAAGACTTAATCGGATCGCACAGTTCACCCTTGATTCCTTTTCATGGAGAAGAATTTTCGAACGGCCTCGATGCTGAATTATTATCAGATCACGCAGTAATGACGGTTTCAACCAATATTCGAAGTGTATAACCAATATGATGTACAAACCTGGCAACAGTTGATGATTGTGGTATGCGAGCAACATCATCGTAGCTGGATTGAACATCATCATTCCCAACATAATATCAACTCCTATCAACAGCAGCAGCTAGCATTGGGCCAACAATTTACACGGCAAGTCGACCAGCACTAAACGAAATCTTTTCTGTGGAAGACGCACCAAATCATTTAGTCTGGTTTTCTTTGCGACATGAGAAAGATTTTGAAAAGCCAGCCGCAGAAATTCCAAAGAATGTCCATTTATATTTTGCAACACGGTGATCTGGAGGAGGTAGTCCCTGATTGAAAGATGTAGTAAAAGGCTCAAATAAACATGGCCAAACGAGATATTCACATTATCTTGCAGGTGCTTGATTAGCAGCCGATGAAGGATTAAAATAAACCAAATCATCTTCGAATGAAGACCAGGCCTCTTTAGTTGTGGCCGCTGAAAATAAAATTTTGTTTGCACCATTGAAAGCACAAAGAATATCTCGTAGTGATCCGTAGATGAGACCCTTTGCGGTTCCAGCACCTGTGAAATAATCAATGGTTTCACCAATTTCAGCAATCAGACTCAGAAGAGGAGTTAAGTCGCTGAGCCAATTACCGTTAGGTCAAATAGGTTGGAATGCAACACAATCAAAATAGGTCCATTTCGCCCTCTAATTCACCCTGGAAGTTACTTTGTATCGTCAATCTTGGAGGGACTGGTCAACTTCGCAATCCTCTTGACCAAGCAATGCAGCCAAAGAATCACCTCAATCTCATTACCTTGCAGGAACTGTTGGTGGTGTTAAACTCTGACCAGCCAAATATCCCCTTGGTAACAAGGATAGCACGGTTTTCATTTTTTTATTGGCGTCGGAGATGGTTTCTTAGCAGCTGAGACTAACGCTGGTCAGGGGGACCTACCAACTAATGGATGAACACCAAGATGATTGGCCAAAACTTTTCCGTTACTAAATGTTTTATTATTAAAGTCTGCAACTTTAGTGCAAACTGATTCAGCGTAGGTGGTGTCCTGAAGAAAACCGCTTCCAAAATACTCGCTTCTTGATCACCATTGACGAATTAGACAGTACTGCAATTAAATCCAATAAAAAATAATTGTGGTTCTTCATTTTGGATATGGTGCGTCTCTAGTAACCAAAAGAAGGAGACCTGCTGATAGTATTAGAACCCTCAGTTCCAACTAATCCATGAAGTTCCTCCAAGCGAAGTACTGCTCACCGGCCATTCCACCCAATGTATTCCATTTCTTAGAATCCAGAGGAACCCAATCTGCCTGTAACCAACGTAGGGAAAATCGACTCCAAAGGTGTCATAGCTTTGTTTTGGAGAATATTATCAGCATGTACTACACCTTCTTTGCTTATCGGTCGATCCAACAAATTAAACTGACCAGATATCATATTGAACACCGAGCCACAAGAAATAATCAGAGCAGCACCTATAAGTATTTCTGATTTTTGCTCACCAGGATTCGCAACTTGGCACAAATATTGTTGTGGCGAGCAGATCATAATATATTAACGTAGTGGAGGATACACGAACAAACATCGTAGGGGAAATGGGCAGCCTGTTGAATAAAGAACTGGTTTGGACCACAGACCGCCACGGGAAAAGAACGGGGACAGATGCTGAGAGACACATTGTACACATTCGTGAGATTGACGAGACAATCTGTCATCGATATCTTCCCCTGACTGTCTGATATCTATCCGAGTATTCAATGAAAGAAGATGGCGATTTCGGTTAAAAAATTTGTTCTTATATAATTTTTGACATAGATATATGATTATTGATTGGCCATCACTTCAACCAAATTGGGAATACTTGCCGGCAAATGATAGAAAATAAAACGGATGCTGCTAACCTCACAGCTTTGATTTCGGTTTTCAATCTCAAAGATAGTCCATACAGTAGTTGGTTTAAAGATTTCTCGAAGAAACTGTACTGGTTGCTGATATTGTTGAATGAAGCTAAGTAAAAGCTGCTTCAGATTCGAAATGGCAGAGGTTGGTTACTGGAGAATCTGCTCCCGGCGTGGTAGGAGAATTGCATTACAATTAGTAGAATGGACTTGAAGCATTGGTTGACTTGGAGTAGCTACGATGTCTGATTAATGATGAAATATTTCTTATGGGAAAGTCCATACTTACCTATGTTAGGGGGTGAAAACTATTAGGCAGGAACAAAAAGGAATAACATGATTTTGTTCTGATGTAATGCGTTGTTTTCTCCGTCTACAATGCTGATCTCGATGCTACCGCATTCCATGCAGTTTTTGTTTCGCGCTCGATTTTGAAGTAAGTTTTCTCACTGGAAATACAAAAAATCGCAAACTTTTGTAAATCTAGTAAATATTTTGGTCAATCATCTAGAAGATGAGTTGAATAGTGGCAAAACACGTTCGACAACGGCCGTCTCTGCTACTAACAAACAATTCAGAAAGCCGAAAGGAAAAAAAAAAGTAGTAGCATTCTCACAAAATCAGAGGGTTGGCCAGTTAATGAGTGGCACAGCAGCCAGCCCTCGCAGGGTCGTCAGATCCAGTCAATGTATGCCAATTGTGGAATCACCGCAGGATCGCGAACTCGATCAGCCACTGTTTGCACGGAGGGTGATACTTTTGGGAGCAGATGACGATGTCCAAACAGTTTTATTACAGTTATTCTGCACTCAAACATATTTGGCTCTCTTTGACTGGTTCACCCAATGGAGTTCCCGCTCAAGACAGACTACTGCAATTGGCTACACTATCGTTCTCGTCAATGCAATTCGTAGTGTCATGGTTCGAAACAGTAGATCATTGCCAGATAATTTTTGAGTCGCTCCGCGGCGTAGACCTGATTTCAATTTTCGCTCCAAAAATGTAAGCCTATCCTTTCATTCAGAGCAAATTTTACCCATTCAAACGGTTGATTGGTTGGTAAGAAGGCCCCGCTCTGATTATATAAAAGTCTGCAATCCCCATTTGCTGGTGCGGTATCTACTTCAAAATGGCGTCGGCATTTGAGTCTACTAGCTGGAAATCTTGCAAAAAACATAACAAAAATCAAGTGGATTGACACCGCGCCCAAGTCAAAATCAGCTTCATGAGTCATTGGCACACCAAACTCATTTTGACGTACGTTACTCAATAAGCGGGCAACATGTCGGGTTGGACTACGTCTTGATGATCTGGATAAACCAATGCCTTTTTTGGTGTTGATCTGAGATCAATTTAATTCTCACAGTTGATAATTGCACAAGATATGAAGCCGGTGCTGCGGCTTTTAATCCATCAGAAGCTGCTGCAAGGATGGTATTTTATTCTCAATCTATTTAACCATTTGTAGGGAAGGCGGATCAGTTCTTTGAGTTTGATAAAGTGCTTGGGTCAAAGTTCTTTGAAGATTATTGTCAACATGAAGAAATCAAAACGGATAAATGAATTTCATATCAGTGCTTTCACGATGAAGTCGCCGAACAATGACAAAGAGCAATCAATCCACAAGCCATGACAATAGCAATTGACGGCAATGTCATTGACCACTTGCCGATTGAAGATGCGATGGGTACAGTGTGTTTAATCAATTTACTTCCCGCAATATATCGCGCTTTGTAGGGTACTTTCTAGAAATTATTTCTTGCAAAAAATTAGTTATAGATATGTTGATGGTGAATGGAACATCCGCGAACGGCATGGATCCCAAACATTCCAGGCAATCGAAGTCCAGTGTTGCAACTGTTATCTGTGGGGACCCCGCTGGTATATCATTAGAACAGTCTAAACAATGTAAGACCAATATAATGCTGCGTTGTTGTCAGCTTTGTTTCTCGATTCAAAAATTGCAAATACCACTCTAATGATGAGTTCGTGCCGGCCATCCAAAGAAGAATAGCGTCTGTGGTAGCTGTTACGTTCTTCGCTGCTAGTGCAAAAAAGACTGATCTGTCAACTGCTAACTATCACGAAAATACAACAACTGCAATTACTTCACACGTATCGGCAACAGAATCCAATGCATCTAAATATAGAAACCCCCATGAAGCCCATGAATATAATGCCATCACCCAAGAAGATGTCATCCCAGATGGTGTCAAAACCGAAATCGGAAATTCAGTTGTATCACGAGCGGCCACCGATCAATTTCAAGACGTCGATAGTACTGACACTGCTGCAAAATCTAATATGAACCAACATCCTGCGACTAAAAGTAATTGTCCAAACGAGCTAGAAGTCATTCACATTCACTTAAGCGAGGAACTTATCGCTGAAGATATACTGGTAATCACAGATGTCACCGCAGCTATTTAACCGCTGCTGGGGTTGGTCCTACCAGTCGCAGTCCATGCTGCCACCCGAAATCCGAATGAATGTACTCTTTAAGCCGTTACTTTTAAGCACTTTGTAGGCGTCGCAATCTGAGGCCTCTTCATGCCGATGCGGCATCATAGGAATTAAACGCTCTTTGATTACCTGTCAGAACAGCATTTCTTCAAGATGATATCGATGGTGATATTTTCATAAGACAACCCTTTTGATTTGCTAATGCTGAATATCGTCACAGTTTTGCAAGCTACACAAATCAATTTATGAACTAAATCATCATCTTTTTTCTTGGTATAAATATATCTTTTATGTTCATCAATATTTTTTGTCTCAATGAGTTTCAGGAGATTTTTCGGTGTTTTATCCTTTCAAGAACAAGGAGTGAAGCATTTTTGAATTATAAGTCGTTGACCAAATTATTGCCAGATCAAGAGATGCGATGGACAGGCTGGGCAAGTCATATCTCAGTTGATTGATTAAAATGAAAAATATTGGAGTAATGCAGGGTCGCGTTCTTGGGCTCGCTAATGTTCAATGTAAGAACGGCGTTTCGGCATCAACCTGCATCTACGTCCAACTGACAGTTCAACACTTTTACAATGAGAACTCCAGATTAAAGGCTACACCACCGATGATCAGCCCTTACAAGGTCCTACATAACATAAACGTCTCTGAGTAAGATGCTCAAGTATCATTAGTCTACAAATAGATATTGGCTTTGCTGTTTTGTTGCAAAATATTTTGGGATGATCATCGATTTGCGTTTGGGATACTTAGTTGATATTTTTGGTCACTGTCAACGATTCACGAGGTTATGGTGAACAGGTGTAAAGATAATTGGACTAAGATCTATTTCCTGTTTATTAGAAGCTTCCTATGTCATTTGATTTAGTTAGCTACTTTGACAGTGATTGTGCTGGGGACATCGGTAAACGAAAAGCAGTCGGTGGATATAGGTTAATCATTGGTGAAAAGCAGAATATTGGGAGCTCAAAACAGCAGTCATTACAGACCTTGATGACATCTGAACCAGAATACGTACAACTGACCAAAGTAGCTCGACCGCTGGGCTTCCAACACAGTTCGTCAAAAATTTTTGTGCAAATCTTGATAAGCCAACAATATGTTCTATAGCAGTTCCGCCTTTAGTTTTGCAAATATCCCACCAATCACGGGATTGACAATGATATCTTAATCAAATATCATACCATAAAAGGCTTATGCATTGGTGCGTTTACTCATGCAAAAGTAGATATTGAAAGTGATGCCGCTGGTTTGTTAACCAAGGCACCTAGCGCTGTGGTGCGCAACTATCTCAAAGAGTTGCTTCAATGATTCAATTAATATCTGTTAAGGCATTGTTGTTTAAGTTGAGTTAACACTATCTCATTACTATTGTTGATTCATTTCATGCTTCATATGCTGCAGTGCTTTTCTAGCTTTATTTAACTGACTGCACTGTTATTATGATCACATTGGTTAAGTTTTCATTGTATTGCTGCATTTCTTTTTAATTTGAAGAGTAACTATGGTGCTGGGGTTAAATAATCGGATTTTCACTTGATTTGCTATTCATTTATTTTCTAATTTTTTCATAATTGGACAGCCTTTGGTTTGATATTAGTGTCCACAATTGTAGACACAAGAATGGCTCAGAAAATCGGTTGTTCATGAGCCAACAACTAACCCAGGCAGCAGGGTAACTGTGTTGACGCACAAAACACGAGAACGGTTCGTGCCCCTTCTTCGTAAAAAGATAGAACAGTCTTCCCTGCGAAACTCATCGGCCCAAGTTTGAGAAACACCAAAAAACTTAGCCCAATTTCGGGAGCCACTTGGATGTATGCCTTTGTTTTCTGGCTGTCGGTCTGGAGTCTGCTTTCGTCACCCTCAGCGGATATCTAAGCTCTCCATAAAGGAAGCAGGCTAAATAGTTTTAGTTCTGTTTATTTCTATCCTGATTGACTGTAATATATTATCATGGATTAGGTACAACTGGTGGCTAGCCAAATAGCAAATGGACAGTGGCCAGAATCTGTGAACCAAATTGATCCAGCTCAATTAATTATTCAGCTTTAGGTTTGAAACTCATCGCCGCTCAGCTTTGTCGGTTGGCTCAAGTCTTCATCAAAGAAAGTGCTACTCTTGCTGATGATGCTGGTTCAGAAGATGTGATGGACGCTTCGCGTTCAAATTGCCATTCCGTGAGCAGCGGCGGACCGCTTTGGGCTGTATCGTAGATCGGTAATGTAATCGGTGGTAGGGCCATCAACTCTGACTTAACTTCTAGTTGCTTAAAAATGCCACTGGTGCTGAGGCCGCGATTGCTATGACCAAGCCATCTTCTTATGGAAAGTGGCAGGATACATTATCCAAAAAAATGGATTTCAATAGGTACGTCGATCACCTTGATTGCAATATTCTCAATGAATGAAAAGCGAATGAAGTAGCCGCTATATTCGATGCTACCTCTGCCTGCCACATCGCGTACGCAGAAAAGGTTCTTACTCATTTTACCGACAGTCTCAAAATTACATGTGCTGATGCAACGGTTGTGTCGAATCATTTGGGCGATAATACATTTGCGCGTTACTTGGGGTGGTCAGCCTTAGCCTCTGTTGGTAACGAAACATTCAGGGGGCCGAAACAAAAATATATAAGGTTCTATCGTTGTCACAAAAGAATCGATTTCGCTAGTGAGTCAATGGGTGGACAGCCAGCCCCTGCTGGATCAACCGTCCTGGCCGATGCTTCTGCTGCTGTGGCAGCACCCGAGGGGCCCAGGATTGATCAGTCTTTTGTTTCATGGTCGGTGAAAGGAGCTAGGAAATTCAAGTTGAATTCCAGACAGATCTAATTGGATTTTGGTGCTTCCCAAAAAATTTCTCTGCGCCCTCATTGGATCAACGACTTACCTCCTCATTCATGTCACATTGGTGGTAGTGGATCACTATGGAGGATATTAATTGTATTGGTACTGTGATCCTTCTGAATGGTGGATGACCCGAAGATGTTCCCTTTGCCGACCATACCGCAAATTTGATTTCAATCTCAGCAGCTACAAATTAAGTACCTCATTTTCTTTTATAGATAATTGGTTTTATTTTAATGGTTTATTAGCTGGCAAGAAAGCCGGTTTAACGTTATATGAATCTTCTTTTGCCTCATTTTTTCTGAGCGTGAGTAGGAGATATTTGCATGAAGATTTGGGACCTCGAGGTGAAACTGTTGAAGAACATAGATCCAAAATCAATGGCACTTCAGCTGCTGGTGGCTCACAATGTCAGTCTGATAACAGAGGAAAACCGACGAAAATAATTAGTTAGTGGTCTACAAGATAAGCCACCGCTGCCGATGACTTTTCCAGTTAATATTGTTGAGCCATACCAGTTGTTGCCGTTTAAAATAGATCTGTAAGTTTGGTTAATGTTGATGATTACCCAGGATCTGCCGTTGTACGTTGCACTGCTAAATAGTGATTAACGGTCACAGGGCTGTCATATGATATTGTATCTTCTTAACTACAATAGGATAAATTGTTGATAGTGTCACATCTGATTATGAGTGTGCGTCACAGCCGTTCAAAGAATGTTGTCATTCTCAAATAATATAACATGAGATGTCATCTCTTTAAGATTCTCATGAATATGGGCTGGCTTATCACTGGCAAAGATCAATCGTAAAATCAGCCGGAATGACGTTAATCAATGCCAATGTTGCTGATCATGTGTGGCACATAGCCATAATGAGTTCGGACCTGTTAATAAATTTTATTTCCACCAAACAAGACCCTCCGTTGACAGCTCCATTTAAATTATCTTACAAAACAAAGTTATCTCCAGCTGGGAGGAATCGCTTTCAATTTCCTGCTCTTGCCATTACCTGCAAAAACATCAGGAAAACAAAGTGAGTTGAAACAAGTGTTTTCTGTGTTTTTCTCTTTACGACAAGTGTAGAAAGGCTTTCATAAGGTCAGTAGTCGTATCAGCAGTGGTTTTGTTCCATCATTTGGGTTTTCTGATGAAATTAAATTCCCTTCCAGTAATCCATCTTTTGGTGCCTTGTTCCGCTAATTTGTTCTGCCGTTCTGGCTACTTTTAATGCAAGTGGTGGTCTGGGCAAAAATCAGTCAAGTGCTATTAATGACAAAGATCAAGCAACAGCAATCGCTTTACTCAACACATCAAATAATAGCCGCAATCAAAACCAAGTATATTTTGAAATCAGCTCAGATGACGAAAAGCAATATGCTGTCCATGACAATGAATAGGACTCAGTGGAATATGTTGCATCCACCGCTGATATTGATGTAGTGGCTAGTGCCGGAAGTGGTGCCAATTCTGATATGGAAAAACTTGCTAAACCAAAAGAGTTGGTCCACAAAAATTTGAAGACATTGACAATGCACGTCAATGCATATCCAATGATTTACGAAGAACCATCAAAGGGGGCTCCTCTCTAAGAAAGTTGGCTGCTGCTCTTATTGCGTCACTAATGTTAAACCAAAACCTCCCGACACAAACAGCAAAGTGCCTTAGCAATCGTTGCTGCAAGCAATGCTTGACATCAATACCCCTCTGATGGATGATATTTGTTTGGAAATAGATCACTTTGCAGGCATGGGGTGTTGACAATGAAGTCAGCGCAAACTGGTGATTTTACTTCCTGCAACCCAGTTGCACAAAGGGTTTTACAGATTGAAAGTACTGATTATACTGAAAAATTTACTATGGTACTTAGGTATATATGTATTAGAGTCGCTGTAGTTTTTGCACCATGAAGGCCATCCTAGGTTTATTAAAAGAATGAGGCAACGGCACTCCGCCATCGTGCTAAAGACGATGAAATTTACTTGAAGTATCATTCTGGATTTGTTAATCAAAGTACTCATTTAAAATCTGACAGACACAAAAATCAATTACCGCAACCAAGCAATCACATCTTTGAAAGTGCAAGAAATGTTTAATGATACGCAATCGCTTGGCATCCAAAAGCTATAGCAAAAGAAAGAGTGCTCTAACCTTCAAAAGACAAGCACCACTGTTCGGTTGCATTGAATGTGGATCACCACCTTACCCCGGATCATCACACGTAATCCTCAGGCAGCTCAAAGCCATATGACAGTTCATTGATCAACAAAAAAAATCTTGCATCATTCCTACGTCGTTTTGATTAACATCATGTTGCTTCATCCAAAACAAGGATTTCAGGTTTGTCGGGGACCTTTGTCAAAAGATTGACAAACCGCTTAGAAAGGATGGGCATTATTTGCGTGCTAGACAAATATTGATCACATCTTGTAAGAGCTACGTGAAACTGATTCGCTCTGAGCTGGATGCAGATGAATCAACACTTTGAAGATTAATTGTTAAATTGTTTTTTCACGCTTTAAATTGTTTAAAGAAATATAGTGCTTTTTTGGGTAGGTCACTCAGTTCATTGCATGGGGCACCAAGCAGAATCCAATTAGGAGGTGCTAAAAAGGGGTCAAGAAATTCAAAGTAAAGCTGATTAACTGTGCATTTCAAACCACTGTCAGCAGATTAACAAGTTGAATACCTCGACAGTAATTGGGCTGGAGGCAATGGAGACCAAGAATCAGTTGGTGGTAATAAGTTCTTCATTAATCAAAAACAGGTTACTGGCGACTCCAAGGGGGAGCGTTTAGATGGTTTTCAGATTGATGAATCTGAAACCATGTTGGGAGCCTCTCGGATGTCTGCATTCAGTTCTTTGGCGTCTGGCGCATGTCTGCTCTTGTTACTCTCTCTGATCAAACCCTGTCCTCCATAAAAGGGGCCGGCTATCTCTTCTACTGGTTTTCTCCTTATATTTTACTTGCATTACTTTAGTATAATGGATACCCTACAAGAAGATATGAGCGAAATTGCAGACGTTCGCAGGAAATATTCTGTGAGTTGAATGAATGTTGACGGCTTTACATTTTGGGCTTCTGTCTTCAATCTCAATGGTGCTCAGCTCGGTCTGTTGGTTCAAACCTATGATAAACCAGCTGTCACTGTTGCTAATGGTGTTCATTCAATCATGGCGAATGCTGCGTTGAATTCCATTCGCCTACGTTGGCTACCAGCGGATTAGTTCCAACTGTACTAGAAGAAGTGTAATTCCGCAGGTGGCGAGGCCGTCAAATATTAGTTAACTAGCACCAGCTTTATGCCACTAGTGTTGTTGAGAATGCTATTTCCAATGCCTGATCATTTTCCATTGGCAAATGGCAAAGTACATTGTCCAATAAGAATCATTACAATAACTTACTGCTGTACAATGCTGATTAAGATTCGGCCATTTGCTCCGCAGCTTGCGTATTGAGTCCAAAATACCCTGAAAAGGTTCTTAATCAGTTGACGGACTCTCACTAAAACAGATTTACCAACCCAATGATTTTGGCCAATCTTCCTGCTGATGATGCATTTGCTTGTATCTCAAGCTCAACACTGGTGGTTTCTGTTAGTAACGAATATTTCAAAAAGCCCACCCGAAAAGAATATCTTGCAATCGGTTTCCCAAAATGGACAGTTGGCTGGTGAGTGTTTGGCACCACGGCCAGTATTTGTTGAGTCACAAAATCCAGCAGATGCTTCTTCTGCCGTGCCTGTTTTTGATGCCTCTAGGTTCATCAATTGTTGATTTGTTCTTTGTTGAAATAACTTCCAAACACAGATTCAATTCCAAACAGTTAAATTTTGATTCTGACGCATCCCAGCATATTTCTGCAATCACACACTGGTTCAGCGAATTAACTGCTTAATTTGTTTAGGTTGGAGGGATTCATGACACAATCGATGAGATCACTGTCATTGGTACTGGGATGCCGCCGAATGGTGAATCAATAGAAGATCTTCTTCTTGCCCCACGTGCGGCCAATTAAATTATGACATCAGCAGCTAGTGATAAGCAATCCTGGAAGTCATTCAGAGATGGCTGCGTTTAATTGAACGGTGCATTAGCTGGCAACAGAGCCGCTTCAGCATTATGAAACAGTCTTGTTGCCCCAGCTGCTGTGGCGTTGATGACTCCAAATTGTGTTGAGCATTTAGGTCATCCAGGTGACGTTCTTGAGACACATATAGCGACAATCCTTTTCATTTCTGCTGCTGGAAATTCAAAAGTCATTCATGTCAAAAAGGAATAATGATCGAAATTATTATTAGGTCGCCATCTTGCAGGCCACCTCCGCCGTTTGTCTTTCTCATGTTGATATTTTCAACGAATGGCAGTTGTTACGGTTGATGAAATTCTTTAATTCTTTATTATTTTTAATGATATCTCAATATATGTCGTTGTGGTTCCAATTGTTGTTGGATCAGTTGCTATTGTCTGGTTGGTGTATCATAATTTATTCACACGAAGGGTATTTTATTAAGCTGTTCATCCAGTCAGCACCCATTACGTGATCCCATTCAAGCCCGTCAATGAATGTTGTGGATCGCAAAGAATCAAAGATCAAATTCCCGCTCATTAAGACTCTCATGAAAATCGAATTCCTAATCGATTGCAACAAACAATTGTCACAGAACTGTAAACAACTTTGATTGAAATAAATGTTGCGGAATATAAGCTGACAAAGCTGTGCTGTGTTCAGTGCTTTTAAAGTATTTGATTCACACCACACAAGGCGGTCGGTTAACTACTCGTTTTGAATTATTCTATCAAAGAAAATGAAGAGCTGCTACGTGGAATGCGTTTGAATGTGCTGCATAAGGCATGATCCCCAAACATATCAGGCAATCCAATTAAGTTGACACAGGTGTTCTGTGTGTCTACTTTGAGCACAGCCCGAGTAGAAACACATATATGGTGTGCAGCCTTCCTCACTGCTGAGTTACTGTCAGTTCAATTTGACGATTTGATAAAACCAATTTTCCTTTAGATGATCCAACATTTACTCCCATTAAAAAGCCAATTCCATCCGCTGTTGGAGTTACGTCTATTGTTACTGTTGGTTTGGTAGCAGCCTACCACGGCTATCAGTGAAAATGAAACGAAACTTGAAGTGCTTCAGAAAATACATCAAATTGGAACTCCAAAAACGAGGATGAATGTACTGCCATTAGCATAGCAATAAAAGTGAAAGACGAACATGATGACAAAAAATTTGGTTGAAAATACTCTGTTACATCTACTGACGATGATGATCAAGATGCTGGAGCTATGAAAGGAACCGTATCCTTTAGGAGCTAACTTGCAGCAACAGAAATAGCTCATGCAGGAGATTTCGATGACATTGGAAATGAACTCAAATTAGTTTCAAGAGACTCACAAAATACCATTAATGACAGGTCACGCTTTCGTATTTGGCCGCCGCCATTAATGCCGCTAATACTGTTAAGATTGCTCTGGCAGACATCATAGGCGCTGCTGCATTTGAATCATAGCTTCAGGGCAAGCTTGAGATCCACACCTTACTGTTAGTTTATTTTCTTCTGCAGAGGAACTTGTTCGCAGCAGTTGACTGTTTACAATGATGCCAGCACCAACTGGCGATTTTGATAAAAGCAGACTACTAGCTAAATGCATTTCATAGTTCAAACGAATTGATTATACTAAAGGATTTTTATCAGTAGCTAGAAATGAATGACTTTGATTCCGTTTTGCCGCTGCGGCATCAAAGTCATTCAACGGCATTCAAATGAACCTCATAACAGGATTCATTCATGGAGTTATGACGCTGAATTGACAAGAGTCTAGCCACTGGATTGGATATTCATCAGTATCTTCTTAAAGTACGAAAGATGCACAAATCATTTCAAAAAGAAAGGCAATCTCCATTTGTTGTTGCTAACAAATGCTTAGCGCTTTTCAACCACGTAAGGATCAAAACCCTTTAGCTGATCATGCTGTCTAATATCATTCAACTAACTAACACCCAATGGTTGGGTTATAAGTGGGTGTCTTAATTATTACCGGATTATCAGATTCAAACGCAAAGCTGGGTTAATCGGATCTTAGCTGATTCATCAAAAAGGAAATTTTTGGAGTATCTCTGCATAGCTTTCTTAAACTTGATCTTCCTTAAGGAAACTATGGTATTTCGATATTTGTGGAAACCCTCGTCAGAATAGTAGCTGATCAAAATAGAATTGGTGGGTCTCATTCGCTGGCCACACCAATGATGATTTTCTCATGCAAGGTGCTACTTGCTAAGCATGGCTCTCAGGTAGTTGTTGAAGAACCGCCACTTTACAGATCAATAGTGGGATCATTGCCTCTTGCTGCAAATCGCTTATGGTCCGATATTGCTTTTGCTGTCAGATGGCTCACTTCATAGCATCTAACAAATCAAAATGCATTTCCATTGTGCTAAATGAGTGATAAGATATTAAAACTGAACCCCCTTATTTGTTCATTACACAGCTCTTTGATGATTAAATAAGTTGGCTATTCTAACAGTGATCAGCGCGGTATATTCGTGATCAAAAAATTGTGCGTCGTTATATGTTCCTCGTTAATCAAAAATCAAATGCTTGGTGGTGCAAAATGCAGGTTTCCGAGGCGTTCTCAGTTTGTGAGGTTGATTACGTTTCACGGACTGAAACACTCGAAGAAGCCTTATTCCTGTTGCTGCTTCTCAAATATATTGGTTCAAATGTTGATAAACTAATTATTTAGTGTAATAACTTTTCTGCTATCAACTTCGCTAGCCACCCCACCAATCACACGTACTCCAAACATATTTCAATCAAGCATCATTTGGTAAAGTAGGTCTGCAATGTTGGATTAACTTCTGCAACTGATCATAGTGAAACTAGTGTTGCTGATATGGTGACTTAGGCGCCACGCGCTGCAGCTCTGTTATATCACAATCAATTGCATTAACGAAAGGATTGTTGTTAGATTTCATTTCCTTGTTCACGTCGTTTCGGATCCATTTCATTATTAACAATTGTTTGAAGTCTTGCTGGTAATACCACAGTACTGTTGCACACTAGCTTGACGGACAGTAACTCAATTGGTTGTACGACTCTTCCACGTTTGATGTCGCACTGGTTCTATTTGCATTTTTTAAATTAATCAACTAGGTATGATAAACTACAAGTTTCAAATTTGATGTGTTTATTCATTAGGTTTGGTAATGTTTTTGTTGTTCATTAGCGTGTAATTCTATAAAGGAGTGGATGGCTGTGGCTTGAACTGCAATTCAGAAATAATGGTGCTCCCAAACAAACCAACTCACAAACTGGCCGTGTAACGTTCTTGACGCACAAAGCAAAAGACCCCTAGGAGTCATTGCTTGAAAAATGAGCGGAGTTTTCCAAGTGCAACGCAGATGCCCTTATCTCAAATACACCCATTGTTCTCACCCCATGATGTAATCGTTTAGAAGACCGTCGCTGAAGCTGAATCCCACTACTCAGCTTTTAGAAGGAGATTCCCACTAACCATGTTTGGCACTTGGACCTGCAACTGCTCTGTTCTAGGAAATCTATGGCAATATATTAGGATGACAAGGTATAGATGAATGAAGAGCGTCGAAAACTTCACCAGTTTCTACTACAGCAAACAGTGTTAGATTACATAGCATCACTGGAGTCGACCGGTGTCTGACACCGAGGGACCGACTGACGAATTGGGAAGCATCAAAGCTGCTGCCCGAACCCAGTAACAAATCCTCAGGCAATCCTCTCAACGTATTTTTTTAATTTGGAGATCCTGCAGACGATCGTTTCAATTAGCCGAGCGGGTTCCGGGAGGGAGTGCCAAACATTCTCACCTGGGGTCTGCTCAAGCGGCCAGAGGAGTGGGTTTGAATCTCAACAATGGTCGTCGAAAAGAATACCTCATGGGTTGAAGGAAATGGGTGTATTTGAGATAAGGGCATGCGCGTTGTACTTGGAAGGCTCCACTACTATCTCAGGCAATGAGCTCCGAGAAGGGCCTTTGCCTTGTGCGTCAAAAACCTTATACAGCCAGTTCGTTAGTTGGTTTGTCAGCGAGCACCCGTTTCTCAGCCCCACTGCTCAAATGACAAACATCGATCTATTTTCAAAATTAAGCGCAAATGAATAAGGAAACTAGTACGAAATTTGACGAGTGAACTCTTCAACAAAAAAATGAGTACTTCATAATACCAACTTAATTCTTTTGAAAAAGAAAACGAAAAGTAGCGCTTCATTCAGCTTGTATCCGTTGTAAAATCAATACAAGTATGGTCAGTCAAGCGATTGTGCAACAATTCAGTGGCATTAGCAAGAAGACATCGAACAAACGTTAGTAATCGGATAAGGTCCAAATGACGGCAGCAGCAAAATCAAATCTAACATCAATTCAATCGACCAAGTAATTTCTTGAAATGGTTTAGCACTGCAGCGCCCAGCGGCCAAATCAACGAATCCGTAACACTAGTTATAGCATGAACTCCTGCAAAGTAACTCCAACATTCCAGAACTCTTTATAATTATCAACCATATTGAACTACGCCTGGATCGGTTTGGAAAGGTGGGTTGCTTAGCCATCTTGTTAGCAGAAAAAATATCGCAATGAATAACTGGATCATAATCATTTGAACGAATTTATTTAAAAATCACCATTACAAATACGGTTCCGTTGACGGCCTTACTTCGTGAAATGTACTCAGTCTCACACATCGGCAAGACCATCGATGACGGGATATTGCCGCACCAACTTGTTAAGATTTGTACAATAAAAAAAATGTAACTACCAACCAACATTTGATCACCAGTATATCTAACCCAATTAATGCTAATGAATCCAAATAACTCAATGATGAAACAACAGTGTAATGAACAGTTGATCGATTGGTGTTTCAATATCTGATCACCCACTTACCACAACCAAAACAGATATTTATCAATTAAAAGTAATGAACAAAGTCATCTAGCAGCAAAAACAATATTGTACCAAAAGCAGTCTGCAGTGAAATGCACCGATCAAATTTTTCATTTGTAAAGTGATAATTCTTCAGCAACTATCGCTGATCCATCAGTCTCAGGTTGTACCTAGTTTGGTCTATTCATCTTGGGCCTAACCAGAACATCAACCTCGTCAATTTTATTGAGTTTACCCACTATTCTAACAACTGTATCTACAGATCGCAAACAGTCATTGTTGCGTTGAGCAAGTTTATGCTTAAAAGGGCATCCCATAATTACTGGATCCTTTTCCATTTTGAATAACCAGCTGAAACTCAAGTGAGAAACGTTACATATTGCATCTGATGATCAGGCTAGCATATGGTCATCAAGGTGTAAGCCAGCAGTAAAGTGGTGTCTGCTACTTGACACATAAGACCTCCTTCTTCAGCTAGGTTCTTCGGATCCCACCGCACTGGAGTGCAAAAAAGATGTTTTCGCACTAGCCAAACAATGATTGGACAAATCCGTCAATGGAGTTGTGCAACCTCCATATCTTCACGAAATAAGGAGCATTAGCAAGCCCAATAGGTTGTTTCATGTCAACTTCATCGTCGATATTTCAATCATGAAGTGCAACTGCTTCATCCATTCAATGAACCTAAAATGACGTTGAAACTGCAAGAGCAGGTTACACTTCGAAATCTTCGTACTTAATTACTACACTGGGTAGTTCCGTATGTTCAGTACGCTAAACAAGAAAAAACTACTAAACAACAAGGCGGCAGCTTGCAAAATACAAGGTGGCGCTGTCTGGATTCTGAACACCATAGGGGAGCTAGCAGCTAATCTTCCTGAAGCATAATCATCTAACAGCTAAAAGTTATTCTGAAATATCGGCTCATGACCCGTCTCACAAGCGATTAAGCTGATTAGGTCAGCAAAATTGCTTGAGCAGTAGCAGTGGTAATAAAGCCCTTCGCCAAATATGTCAAAAAAGCCCCGACTCAACTAATGTCTTTTAAGGCGCTTGTAAGTCACTCAAATAATTATTTAACTTCATCAAGAACCCTCTGACAATCTTTTCTGGATGCAACAAAGCGGCCTCAAGCAGGTTCGCGAATGGCGTCAGCATTTGAAACTTGATCTTTATCATCAGTGGATGCTCCTAAATACTTCTCAATCCAGTTTATTGTCATGGACACTATCATTCTTTTAATCATTTGGGCAGCTGTCATTACATTCCACATACTCATTGTGGACTCACCTCGATGTATTATTGGAAACATTTGCAGATGGGTTAACTATGTCATTGATAGCAGTGGGCAAGTTTCATTTAGTATTAACAACAGCAAGGAGTGCAAATCCATCATCAGCAGACATTGGGGTGAATATTGCAACACATGATGTATCATTCAGAAGAAATGCGATTTCCTCAAAAGAAAAAGAGCTGAGTAAAGCACAACTGCTATAGAGATGGTGCAGACTGCAAACAAATCTACACGCATCGTGGCTATCAAAAGCGCATACACCACTTTTATCAGCTATCCACCATTGGCTGATCTCAAAGGAGATTATAGCATAAGCAGCTCATCTGAACAGCTTCAACATACCAGCCTTTGGTTCCTTTCAATCCTGCATCCAAAATACATTCAGCACACCGATTTGATTTGAGGGAATCATATTCATCAAGAAGTCTGCACACATCACCGCTAAATGTGACAAAAAACCAGGAATATTTGATTCAATTATCATTCTCTCAGCTGCTGCTATCAGTGATCTTTGCCAGCTTTGCATGGAACGGACCTAGCACTTATGACTCAATCTTGTTGAGAAAACTCTATGAATAGCCTGTTTTCAACAAATAATCCTATCAGGCCGGAGAAACAGCTTCAGGCAAAGTGTTCAATGAATCTAATCAAATATACAAACCTGGCATCAGCTACTCCTCCGCCGCAATTTGATCCACAACCTTAGTAGATCATAAACTGTCAATATTGCAGAGAAACTAACGATTTTCACCAACAGCAAAAAACGACATTCGCTTCAGGACATCAACATGACGATGAACAAAAGCGCAAGTAGCCTCTTTTCGTAGACAACGTAATAATAATATTGGTAGCATCTCCGTTAAAACAAATCATCTTTCTTGAATCACCAACAGCAAAAGCGTCTTAGGATCTTGTTAAAGACCTAGCATCAGTCTCACTGGCATGTACTGAACGATCATTCCAGATTGAAGTAGTTAGCTAAGCAGCGGCGCTGCCACCGGGTCATCTATACAGATTGAAAGCTGCTCTTTCAGCGTATAGTGCTCCATTCGGATATACGCAGCTGTCTTGCATTGAGCCGCAGCATCGTGTACATGCAGTGGCTGACAATGAAGTTGAAATGGCACCATAAAATGAAGAATAGCCATTTTCTAGTGCTCCCCGAATGGGGTGAAATACAGAGCCATTGACTGTGAAATCAGCAATTGCTTCACGGTTGTTAGCAAACAGATGCGAATCAACAGTCAAGTGTCTTATTCAATTTCCGTCAACAGAAATATGTTGCAAAGCACTAGAGGTCAGCTTGAGCAATGGGCAATTCCGAAGAGCAATTGCAGTTATTTTATCAATCAATCGCACAACGATTCATCAACTTTGAAAGACCTCCGAACAGCCAAAGCAGCCAAAGGTTCTTCATCACATGATATGTCCGCAGCATACCATGATTCAGCAGGCGCTGGCTGTGCATTGAATCACTGAGTGGATAACAGTTATTAATCACGATAGCAGTAGCATGTCAATCGAACCGCTTCTGGATATTTAAATATCTTATCATGATCAAAACTAATGGCGGTTTTCAGACCTACCAGCGGGTGTATGACCTCAATCTTTATTGGGCAAAGCCGCAGAATTTCTATATCAATATGTTGATTGCGTAAAAATTGGAATAACGACATTTCCACATAGAGAAAATCCAAAAGTGAATGAACACAACAAATCGCGGCAACATCTTCAGCGTATTATATCTTGAAAATAAAGAAATGAGCTGAATCGAAATTGCTGTTGTAAACTGTACTATTCTACATTAGCTAATAGGAATCATCAATTAATAGTGACGTGCCACTGATGAAGCGAGCGTTAGCACTAATGATACTAGAGAGGCCTCTCAGGTTAACTTATATTTCCCTGGCATTCTTCTAATGGCATTCCACTCATGGCAGTTAAGCAAAGCCAATGACGTCAGTCACTGGCATATTTCAACTGCAATATAATGCAACTATTTGCTCTGTGTGAGTCAGCATGATCAGCAAATATAGAATTTTGTTGCCTAATTGATTGAGTCAACACCCCAAATTGAACACCAATAATCTCTAATTCCATGAGCTGAGTGGTGACGCTAGCACCAAGCATCAGACTTTGCGATTCTTCCCAGCAAACACTGAGAATAGTGCTCATCACCTGGTATAGCAAACCAATGATAATATATCTGAATTGAAAGCATCTCCGATAGGGAGCGTAGAAATGATTGCCATCACTAATTACAAAGAACCGAGTTTGATCACGGAGAGTCACCGGAGCACATGCAAGGCGGACAGCACGGGATCAAGTGTAGACATCTTGCCACCTCACGACACGCTCGGTCACTCCGATCGTCGTCTGCAGGCTAACGACATTGTTGGCCTCCATTAACTCAATCGTCTGAGCTGGGGTTGCTGATTTATGGAGGGCTGTTTTGAGCTTCTTGAATGTCTAAATTTGGTCTCTCGGTGTCGGTCACTGGTCAGCTTTCTTGACAATCTGTGATCCATCGCATTCTTTTTAAGGTGACTAGCAATTTTTTTCCCCTTCTTTTTTCATAGATAGACTTTGCTTTTATTACATCTTCATGGATTTTCCGCAACATCGATTCGCTATATGATCGCATCGGTAGCAGAGATCCCCAGCTTTTTATTGGAGAACTGGGATAGATCACCGAGCGTCACTGGAGCAAAGCCGTGACATATACTGAGGGACCAAATGTAGACGTCCGGGAGGCTCACATCAGCTACATGATGAAGCATTTTCATGCAATTACTAGCTGAAAACTATTAGGTGATTTTTTGAAAAAGGTGTTGGGGCGATATTAGCTGATTTTTTCAAGACATCTCCGAGCTGATTTCTTTTCAGCTTCTCTGTTGATCAAGGTTTAATCTTTTGTTGGGTGTAATCTTCAGTTTTAATACATCATGTAGTGTAGTGAGCTTCTGCTGCAGCTCTCTGCAGCTTGGATCAATCAGGAAGGGAAGTCATGCAAGTAAGATTTTTGACCATGGAACTGGTAGAGAACAACCCTGTATCTTATTAAATAAACTTCTTCTACTTTCTTTTTTAAAGGGTGATATAAGTATTAAATGTCATATATCTCATGGGTTTGTTTGTTCACCATATCATCATTCAGTGTTTTTGGTTCAATTGTGGTACTTTACAGAAACAAGTACTTCCATGGATTTCATTGAATTGCTCGGATCATTTTGTATTTAGCCTGATTATTGGTTGTCAATTCATATCAATGCTGGAGTCATTTAAATTGCCTTAGCTTATCAACCTCGTTTGCATTAATTCTACCAGCTGCAATTACTAATGTTGACAATAGGTACAATTGAACTATTTTCTAACATCCATAACAATAATATTGATAACTTAATTACTACTGTGTCCAATGTTATATCTTGCAGCCTCATATCAAGCTCTGGGCAGTGTTGATTCGGATGTCAAAGTTAATCCAGCCATATAAATATAATGAAAAAGGATACTTGGTAGAAAACGATCAGTTTATGAAGAAAAAAGTTGGATGTAAAATTGCTAACTAATTTTTCACCATCAGCACTAGCACTTCCTTATCTTGCCATTTTTAGCTCCAATTTGGGTGTTTCTGTCAAAGGTTTGACCAAAGAAAGTTGCATGATAGTTTCGAAATCCTGGGCTCACCCCAAATCAATTGAAAGTGATTTTTCAATGGTAGATGTTATTCTAAAACTCATTTCAGATTATGAATTATTGTTTACAAATGCTGCAATGAAAACCCTGTGAGGATTAGAAACAAAAAGTTGCTGATCTTGATAAAGAAAAATTAAACGAAGGAAAAGCTTGGGATATTGAAATATGTTATAAATGAAGAATAGTTAAACGTACTGCTTCAAAACTTTCAACAAACACAAAAAATTAGCAGTTAGTTTCGTATATAAAGCTTTCAATCCTCTCAAACATGATGAATCATTTTCTTTTAGAGTCAAATCACAAGTTTAGTTTAGCTCAAGAGACAATGACTTTTAAACAAATTGTTTTCTTACTCGATGATACTAATGAAAGAAGTAGAGGTTTTAATTAAAATGGTACATGAAAATGAAAAGCGTTGGAATCCGTTTTAATAGGACGAAGCAATGAAAGTTATTGAGAATTTAGAAGCTTAAGCTAGCTCTACCTTTAACAAAATAGTCGCCATTGCTAAATAATATTCAAAAATTCAATGACAACACAGTAAAAGTTTTCTGTATCTGAATCAGATTTCCACTTCTTTTTAATTAATCAGAGTCACATTCATTTTGATATATTTTGTAGCTTTGTCATTCCAGTGTCAGTGCCTGTAACTTTGGTTGTTTTGTTTTGTGATTTTCACAAAACCAAATCATTGTAATAAAAATGAGCAATTTCAGTCTATTTTGTTCCAAACTATCATTATCAACTTTTTGAAGAACTTCAAAGTTTTCTTATTGTCTTCAAAGGCCGAACCAAAGTATAACCAAAAAATCACAACAAAAATATTAAAAAAGAATTTAACAACATTAATCTAGTCCTAAACTGGAAACATTTATAGGAACTTGAACATGAGCAAAAAAGGCATTATCAATGACAATAGACAACCTGATAAAATAAAATCTTGAAATTAAACAACTTTGGAAATCAGGTACCAAAGTTTTTTTGATATTGGGTCTCAATCTCCATTGTATTTTAAATTGAGTCTCCCAGCTTGATCGATCATTCAGCTGATTCCCACTTTTTTTTTGCCATGAATTCAGTCGTATCTGATCCGAATTAAGAACATCAAACAAACCAGGAATAAAAGCTTCCTTATATTTTAAACTTTTGAAACAGTTAATTATTTGGATGACACTGTTATCAACTTCGAGTATTAAACCCTTTTCCAAGTTATTTATCCTTTCATCAAATGTATTGAATGTGTTGATAAGCCTTCTGTAACTGTTTTTATTCAAGAAGAGCCCATGAGGCAAATCAAAAGGAACAGAAGTGGAAGACTTAGTAGTTACAGCAATTAAATTCAACGAAACAGATGTGATTTCTGGCATTTGGAAATCTTGATTTCTGAACTTTTGACTTTTGAGTTGAGTTGGTTTGATATTATTTAAAGTCAAGAAAACATCCAATTCTTTTAGATTAGATTCAGAATAGTAATCATTAAGAGCAGCCTTGAGATTTGGATTTTTTATCAACACTAATTCAGGGCATAAATAAGGCAAATCATAGTCGGGAGGTTTTATTTGAAGAACTATATCAATTGAAGGTTTTTTTGAAAGAATGGTGTTATGATTAAAGAACCCGCTGAATATATTGTTGGTTTTGTGCCTTTTTAGTGTCAACTGATAATCAAACCATTCGTTTTTCAAATCGCCTACAGCAGGTCCAAAATTATAGGCAGAATCAGCAACTGACGTTAATTGATTCTTTTTTTTTCTTTCATTAAAAATATCAGAAGAAACACCAGAAATTGGAGATCTGTCAGATAGGTTACCATTAACTGATGACTGTGTGTTTAGGATAACAGGAGTTGAGAGAGAGGTATAAGATGCTGTGTCGATACAATTTTCGTTGTTCAGTTTTGACAACCTCTCCAAATTGTTAATTTGATTGGAAATAGAATTTTCTAAAATTTGCAATTGTTCATTGAAATGATGAGACTTGTTCTTGAATCTGTTTGTGTTAATGAAGAGAGTTTCATTATGACTAGGTTTGGATGAAGGAATTATTCTGATATTATATTCAACCTTGCTAGAAATAAAAAAATCATTTAGACTCAAGGAAGAAATGTCGCTGTTAATATGGCAAATTAGCCTGGAATTAAGGGAATAACAGACAGCAGACTCAAAATCACTAAAGTCATTTAATGTATAAGGAGAACCTGGGGTATGATCAAAATAGGATACCCCAGATATTTTATTCATAGATAAAGATCTATTGATCTCCTTCTCTTTGCATTCAATGCCTAAACTTGGAGGTAGGTTTAAATGAGAATTTGAGTAAAAGTAATTATGATGGCAAGCAGAATCTAACAATTTATTAGGGACTTTGAAGTAAAAGAGTTTTTTGTATTTGGTATTAGGTTCTAGTATTCTATCATCTGGCAAACCAAGACAGCAATTATCAAAATGAGATTTACTAATACAATAAGGGTAGGACATACCATTGGGTGATATTATTGAGCCAAATGACCATGAGGCACTTAAATCAACCATCGAAAGAATCTGCTTTTTATAAGTCATATCTGAATTGAAGTTATATATGGTGCCTTCAAGTGATACATAGAAATTATGGAAGGGGATTGGGTTGGATGATAAATTTTGGATGATAACATAACCTTCAATTAAATCACCTGTAGTAAACTCTTTTAAGAAACCTTGTGCAATCGAAGGGATGTGGAAGCTTGGAGATGATTTGGTTACTACCATTTTGATTGAGATTTTATGATTTAATTTTTCACTGAGATTTTGTATATTGTCATATAATACAGTTGAGAGGTTATCATGTTTCGCATCCAAGAATAGGTCTATTGGCTCTCTATTAATTTCATTATTAGATTCATTTATAGTTTGATCATTAAAACTATTAGAAGTATTAGTAGGGAGAGAAAAAAATGTTGAAAGATCATTAGAGGCTGCATTAAAGTTGGGATTGGGATTGGAATTTGAGTTGAGGCTATTGTTAAAATTGGAGATGTTGGTGGAGCTGGAGGTGGATATGGGCTGATAAGCAGGGGGGTTTTCTAATTGGAAGCTTTTAATCGAGTTTTTGTTAGAGAGATCACTTGAACTTGAATTGGAAACAGCAGGAGTTAAAGCAGTGGATAGTAGCTGAACAGTATTCAATGAGTTTGACTTTATGAAAGTTTCATACATCTGAAAGGAAGGTAGTATATGAACAACTGTGTCGTCACATTTGGATCTGTCTGAAGTTGATGGAGATAAAAGAGAATCGGTCGTAACCTGATTTTCAGCTGAAAAGGGTGGGTCTGCGGAAAGCTTTAGTATTTGGTTCATTGAAAACATAATATGGAAATTACTAATTATACTTACTATTCATTGTGCTATATTTTTTGGTGACCAAATCCCATTCTAATATTGAGTGATATAAGGATGAGATCTAAAACTAAAATGAGAAAAATGTTTTTTTGAAATACAAATCAAAACCTTGAAATTTATATTATTTGTTGGTGACTCAACTCAAGTCATGTTTGATTAACAATATTATTTTCTCTTCTTTTCAAACTTTTCCTTATTGTTTTATTTTTGTTTTTGTTCTGGAAAACTTAAAACCAAATAACATTGTGTTGCATTTTGATTCCCTATTCCTCAAGATATTTGTATGTGATAACAAAATAAGTGTGCAAAATGCTCATTTTAAATTTTAAACCTATTAAAGGGTGTTTGTTAGCGTGAGCCGATAAGGACAATAGTGACCACTACCTAGACTCTTGGAGTTAATAATTTAACCGAAGAATATGGTGTTTGTATTGTGTAGCACCAACCATTTATGGTTCAATATTTAAGATTAAACTATGTTGAATGAGAATTCCTTTGTTGGATTTTGTACAATATGAAGAAAAACCATTTGAAATATAGCTGGGTTGCCCAATATTTTCTGAGTGGATAACTCTGATTCTCCACAACGGTGACTGAAAATGAAACCTGAAAATATCAACAGTTATATTGTCTGTTGTAACCATCTTTGAACATTTAAAAACCCAATGGCGTAGCCATACAGTCGACTTATCAATATCTGCCACATTCGAAAAATTATCCCACTCAAAAGCTCTAAGAGAACAATACGTTCTCAAGCACCAATAAGAATGAGGTCAAATAACCGGCGTCAAACACCTGTTTAGCGTTTCTCGATTGTGAGATTATTGTAAAATCAGTAGTTGACTACCATTTTAGTCTTCCTTGTAGACTTTGAGCCTTTCTTTACAGTTCTTTTTTACAGCCTTTCTTTAAGTCTTTCCTTTAAGTTCTCTTTTACACTCCCTTTAATTATGCTCTGTATTTAAGCTTTTTCAGAAAGCCGTTTTAGGTCAAATGTCCTGATAGAAGCACACCAATAGCCAAACACCTTCTCTACCCGGATCATTATCGTCGGCGGTTTCCTAAAAAGTCACTAACTTCTAATCTTACTACCTAATTGAGACTTCTTTGGAGGTGGAATGGCTTTTGAATCTTGGGAATTGAATCGATAGAGATGCGTTTCTAAAAGAACTTGCAACAGTTAGGACAAGAGCTAGAACTTGAGCTCGAACAGCTGTGGTTGCTGCTTCTGCTGGATGAGGTGCTTCTGGTGCCAAATTGGCTTTGTGTCTAGCGAAAGGGAAAACAATAACCGAAAGAAAATGTCTTGCCTTTACAGGCTTTTTTGCAGCAGCCATTTTCGTAGCAAACCCTAACTTAATCCCCAAGAAGAGTGAGCATATTAAGGATTGATAATGGGTTTCAGCACTTGTTTTCCATGATCTCCTGTAGCTTTTCTAGCCTTTCCAGTCGTTTATAATGGAGCTTGTATACTTTAAAGTGGATGCACCTTGATGGTATTTGCACTGAATAATCGTTTAGAAATAACAAATATCATAAGAGAAGCAGATTCAACTTGAGAAAATATAGTGTAAGAAAAAAAATATAATGGATATCATTTCTTTAGCTGAGCTACAAAGTAACAACTCCACACATCTCAAAAAACATTACTCCTTAACTAATGCTCCCAAAAACCTTGAAACCATTGCTCACTCAACTGTCCACTTCAAGCCCAATCCTAATTCTAATTCTAATTCTAATTCTAATTCTAATTCTAATTCTAATTTTAATTTTAATTTTAATTCTGGCTCGACTTCAAATCTCAAGCCAGGCTTGAATTCCACTAGTATTGATAATTCAAACGATTTCAATCACGAAGGTTCTCTGTTGATTAAAAATCTAGATCAAGGGTTAAATTTTCCTGAAGGTGGTCTCAGAGCTTGGTTGGTGGTATTGGGGTCGTTTCTATGTTTATTTATTTCTTTTGGTTTATTGAATGCCTCAGGTGCGATTCAATCTTACTTGCAATATCACCAGTTAAAAGAATTAAACGCTCTATCTATTTCGTGGATTTTTTCCATTTTCTCTTTCATAACCTTTGCTACAAGTGTTTATGGTGGACCATTTTTTGACAAATTTGGCTCAACGATTCCATTAACTATTGGTAACATTTTCATCTCAACATCCTATTTTGCTCTTGGAAATTGCACTAAATACTATCAATTTATTTTATGTTTTAGTATTTTAAATGGTGTTGGGACGTCTTTTGTGTTTAATACGTCTATCAGTGTAATTTCGCATTGGTTTTCGAAGAAAAGAGCTTTTGCTATTTGCATTGCATCCATTGGTGGTTCAATTGGTGGTGCTGTTTTCCCCTTGGTTCTAAGAGATTTGTATCCGAAAATTGGTTTTAAATGGTCAATGAGAGTTCTTGGTTTCATTTCACTCGGATCTCAATCAATTGGTATATTATTGGTCAAGGAAAGATTTAAAAAAAATGATTCTTTTCAAATTGGGTCTTTGAAATCTTTCTTCAAGCTACTAAGTAAAACTTTTCAAGAGAGTTTTGATTACACGTATTTTAAAGAGAGAACCTATTGTGCCTATGTCGCAGCTCTCTTTTTTCTGGAGCTTTATACTTATATAGTATTTGGGTACATTTCTTCTTATGCTTTGGCAAAAGGATTTTCTGACTCTCAAAGTTTGTTGTTAATCACAGTTTTAAACGTCGCTGGGATTCCTGGAAGAATGATTCCAGGTTATTTGGCTGACAAGTATGGTCGGTTTAATATTATTAGTATATTCACCATTCTATCTACTGCAACAATATTCATTATATGGTTGCCATTTGGATATAACATATATGCTTTATATTCCTTTGTGGGTATTTGGGGGTTCTGTGTTGCAGCAATTTTAAGTCTACCTCCATCATGCTGTGGCCAAATTAGTAATACAGAAGAGTTCGGCAAACGATATGGCACAGGCTATTTCATTGCAGCCTTTGGTTCATTGATCAGTTTACCAATAAGCGGTGCATTAATTGGCGATTCAACCAATTCAAAAGGGTATGATAATGCTGTTATATTTGTAGGTTGTGCCAGTGCTGTTTGCAGTTTCTTTTTCTGTTTGAGCAGATACTTTTGTGGAGGCAAAAAATTGTTCAAAAAAATTTGAATTAGTTAACAAGTTCAATGATAGTATTTCTTTATTATTATATTAAGGTTCAATTACGATTTGTGAAAAATTAATATACTTGTATTGTCAATATTCTAGAATAATCAAATAAAAAGTAGTTTATTATATCAATTGCAGTAGAATTAATCATTACAACAATAGGACTGTAGATTTGAAAGAGATTCCAGCATATCCTCAATTTATTGTACACTTTCTGTCAAGGGAACAAGAAAAAAAAATAATAATTCCAGCATCAAGAAGCTGTCTCACACCTCGTCGAAATCAGGAGAAGTAACCAATATGACAGAATCACCTCTCACAAAAAGCATATCGTGTTTTTTGATCTTTTTGACAAACTTCTTGGGGTCGTTTTGATCAACGAGAAATATCGTCTCCACTGTGTCGCCTAAAACCATGTTACAGTGAGAGTCGTAGCCATGCAAAGTGCCCACTATTTCTCTGGCACCACGAAGCTTTATGTAGACAGTTTCGTCCAAGGACAACTTGATCAAGTCAAGGGGCTCAACGACGTCCAGCTCACTCATTGTATACCCAGTAGTTGTTCTTTCAGTGCTTCTTCTTTTCCTGCTTCTTCTGCCTCTGCTTCTGCTTCTATTTTCATTTGGTTCATTTGGTCAGATGACCTTTTGTTTCAGCTTCCCAATGAAAATTCAAACGAAGGAGAAAAAGCGTTTTCGAATACTTTGAGAGATTTTGCAACTGGGGCCTGGTTTTTAATTGATTAGGTGTGTTATTGAGATTTATTGTGAGAGTTGAGCCCGAAGATGATGAGCAGAAGTTTTTCAAAGCAGTTTCATACCAGTTCGATAGCCAGTTCACGAATTCATGGACACAAGTACAAGTTGAAAGCACCAATTACTCCTAGTTCCAAGTTTATCAAGGTGAAAGATGACCACCCACTATGGCAGTTTTTCCACAATAAAAAGTACCAACGATCTACAGGTGAACTCGATCAAACAGGGAGACCATGGACAGTGCCAGAACTACGAAGAAAGGATTTCAATGATCTCCATAGTTTATGGTACACATGTCTTAAAGAGAGGAATATCCTCGCGAGAGAGCATTATCTTTACAAGAACGATTTCAGATCCGATGTTGATCTATTTGAAAAAGCATCGGAGGATATCAGGACTACAATGTGGAGAATTCGATATGTTTTAGGGGAAAGACAAAAGCTTTTTGAGAATGCCCAGGGCAATTTTGAATCGTTTAAATTGAAGTTTTTGAAAGAGTTTGAAGAAAATTATATTCCAAAGAGGGTGCAAACGAGTGGAAACAAAAATAGTAATGATAATGGAGATAAAAATAGTAGCTTTGTTGGGAATGAAGAGGGTACTACAGAATTGTACAATCAACTAACCAGGTTGAATGAAGCTTTATTCGATATAAAGTCTAATGTTTTTGAAAACTCAGCAAACGAAAATTTATTGGAGGGAATCTTATTCAATGCCAATTTTAAATTGAAGAAATTTGGTACCGACGAACAGATTAAAGAGTATTTCCCAATCATCGATCCCTTAGTGGGATTGTATTTGACATTTGTCAAAGGTATTGAGTCGAAAGAGTTGTTCAACAACTTGGTCGCTACTTTGAAAGATAAGAAGATCTTTATCACTGATCCCAAGACCAAATCAAAGTTGAAAGAGTCAAAGGCATTTCAATTGGAAAAATTAGAAGAAGCGTTATTGATATTCAACCAAAGTGTCATAGAAGAAGAAAAAGAATAAACAAAATAAACAAAATGGAACTTGTTTCCTTTACTGTAACTTTTACGTCTAGCTTTTTTTTAGATAAATTGACTTTTATTTCTTATTTATTTATTTATTTTCTTGTACATATAAATAGAAGAAATTAGATTCGAATCATGACCCAAGAACCAGCGTTTAAAATAAAAACCAGATGCTTATATACATAGTTTACAAATTATTTATAGGCGCCAACAACACCACCTAACAGTTGAAAAAAAGCCTATTTAGCGAGCTTTTTAACGAAATGGAACACAATAGGGGCTAAAAAGAGTGTTAGTACCCAAACTTTTCAAAGTCTTCAAAGTCTTCAGCAGCTCTTCAACTGCTCTAGCTGGAGAGATACTTACTGAAATACAACGCACTGGCGATGTAGAAGGCAGTTTGAAGAGTGGCATATGTTTGAGCAGTGTGGATCTGCTTTTCTTTCTCTGAGGGAGGAGCACCTAAACCAAACATTGTGATGTGTTGTTCGTTGTTGTTTGTTGTTACTGAGCAGTTAAAGCAATTAAAGCAGCAGAAAGAATTCTTCTTCTTTTCCTGCTTTTTATGCCACTCCGGGTAACTCGATTTTTGCCCACTCAAAAGCTCTTGTCTCTTTCTTCGCTGCTGGGACCAACTCTTCTTCTTCTTCTCCAACTACAATGAATGAATCTGATGCCCACCCTGCTCCTGATTCTGAGTCCCACTCCATTGCTGAAGTTCAGCGTACCGACGCCCAGGACTTTGACCACGACGACTTGTCTGAGGTCGACGAAGATGCTCCGGAGCCAGAGGAAGACCCCTTTAGCTTGTCCATTCACAAGAAGCGAAGCTCTTCTCAGGCCAACACCCAGTACGACGACCATCCTGTCCCTGTTGTCAATGGTATTGGTGTGAGACTGTCCAGAAAAGAATATGGGCCTGGCCTTTCTGCCGGAAACCAATCGTACGCCAACACAGAGGAGGTATTGGACTCCAATGAAAGAAGAAAACGAGAATACGAAGAGAAATTAGATGCTGCTGTGCAAAGCTTGTCCAAAAAGAAAAAACGAAAGAAAATCGATTCAGTTGATTTGGAACAACAGCAAGATGCCAAGATTGAAAGATTGAAAAACGAAATGGCCTACGCTGCTGAGCAAGATGAAGCTGCTCTGAATAACAAAATTCCGGCTACAAACAAACTACTATTATTGCCAAAAGTCAAGGAAATCTTACTAAGAGCTGATTTGGCTGACTCGATATTGGATAACAATTTACTAGCTGCCATCAGGAAATGGCTAGAACCTTTGCCTGATGCCTCACTTCCTGCTTTTGAAATTCAAAAGTGTTTATTTGACTCAATCTCGAAATTGCCCATAAAAACGATTCACCTCCAGGAATCTGGGTTGGGCAAAGTCATGCTATTTTACCAGAAATCAAAAAGAGTTGAACCCTCCTTAAAAAGACAAGCCGATAGATTAGTAGGAGAATGGACTAGACCAATTATGAATAAATCAGACAGCTATAAAAACAAAACCATTCAAAAGGTCGACTTTGATATAAATAAATTCCTTAAGAGAAAATTTGCTAGTCAAAACTCAAATCAAAACTCCTTATCCAAATCAATGCAAAATAAATCGACTGCCTCAAATGATAAACAAAACAGAAAATCCATTTATGAGGAAAAAGCTGAAGGAAGAAATAGAACTGTTGCTCCAGAAGTTAGAACAACCGCCTATAGAATCGCGCCAGTTGTTGATATCACGACTTTGAACACCTCAAAGACTTCTCAAGCTGCTTTAGCTGGTGTAGGCGCTTCTCTAAATAAAGACGAACAATTTAAAAGAATTAAGAATAAAATGCAATATATCAATAAAAAGAAAGCAAGAGCTCAAGGTGGTGTTAGTATTGAAGGCAGAAATCTTTCTTGATTTCATTTCCTCTGTTCTTTTAATTATATTATCTCCAACATTTTTGCTTCATTTTTCATAATTTTCAAAATTTTCAATTCATGTTTTACTTTTATTTATTCGTTTTATTAACATCTATAATTCAATTTCTCAAAAATGGTCTCTAATTAATATTGTATTTTATCTTTAAATAGATTAGGTTCTTTCTTTTAAGTTATAACTATATTTTTTTGCTTACTATCTTGAAAAGTATCGTCTCTATTCAAAATATCTTTCAATATCAATGTAAACGTATTATCTACATGTAATTCATTTAATTGTATATCATAATAACTGGATACAGTAAAACAACCCAGTACTATTCACAATTATAATTATTTATTAAATTAAAATATCAACTAAAATATGAGCAAAATAATTATTAAAGAAACGATTAAATGAATAAATGAATAAATGAATAAATGATTAAAAGATTAAAAGATTAAAAGATTAAAGGATTGAAAAATTCAAACTCAAGTTATAAAAAGTATTAGTTCATTACAAAAAAAGTTTAAGCACAAAATATTAAAAAAAAAGAATTAAGGAAATAAATCAGGTTGAAATAATTAGAATGAAAAGAAAATTAAAAAAGCAAAATAATAATAAAATTATAATCATTTGGTTAAAACATAATACAAAAAAAGATAAAATTTCAATCAGAACCAAAATAATAAAAGATTAATAAACAAAAAATACACTGAACAATGATTAAGTCTCAAATAATTATAACAGTGAACTAGAAAGAAAAAATAAAAAATAAAAAGAAATTAACAAAAGTTTTAAATTGGATTAAAATAAAGTTATCTAAATCTGCTCAGAGAATCCTCTGAATTGGAAAAATTTGTTTCTGCCGTTATAAATGACTCAGCACCATATTGTGATGGAGCTGATGATTCAACTCCAGTAAATGCACTTCTAAAGGTTATAACTGAATTTCTCGACTGAGGAATAGAATAAGGATCTTGTAAACTAACATCATCTTTTGAGAGATTGACACTTTCTGGTCTCAATGATGAATTTTTAATGGCCGGTGGCTTTGAAGTTGAGGGTTTGTTGATATTGTCATTTAGATATAAATTTGATGAGGAAGAAGGACCACTAATTGAGTCTCTAGGAGAGATATTTGAGGGAGAGACTTTTCTTTGAACTAAATTTGAAGGAACAGAAGAAATGGAGGCTGGATTATTAGCAAGATTAATGGTAGATTCCTTGGTTGGTTGTAGTTGATTGATTTCCTTTTCTTTATCACTTTTCTTGTCTTGATTTAAAATTTGATTTATGTCTAGAAGATCAAGTGTAGTGTCAGGATTCCGCCTTGATGTCGTAGCTAAAGAAGAAGTGACAGTTTTTTCCGAATTTAATGTTTGAACATCATTATTGTGATTACCATTCAGATAAACAGAGGAGTTGTTATCATGAAAGGTGTTGGGATTGGTATTGGGATTGGAATTGTTTTTGTTATTTGATTGAAAGTCGCTGAGGATTATTGTATCATCCCTTGTAATATTTACATTAATGCTATTGATTTTGTCAATCAAATCTTGCATTTCTGGGTCCATTGGTTTATCGATTTCGGAATCGTAATTGTAATTATCTTCGATATTTTTATTAAATTTGTTGTTATTATTGCTATTATTTAAAATTGGAATTGAGTTTGAATTATTGTTGTTGGATAAATTAAAGTTATCAAGGGAAGGATGATTTGAGAGAGGGACTGAGTTTAAACCTTTATTGCTGTAATTGAAATCGGAAGAAATTATATTTGAGGCAGGCAAGAGAGGAGAAGAAGAAATGTAGACATTTAGGGAGTTTTGAGTAGAGTGATTTTCGTTATTTGGGGAATTGTTTGAGTTGTCAAGTTTGGTATTAAGAAAATCCAAATCAATTGAGGAATGGTTTGAAGAGTGTTTATCCTTATGGATTAGGGAAGATTTTGAGGAGCTTTTGCTGTTCGAGTTGAAGAATTTTTTTGACTTATTGACCCAGCTTATTCTTGTTGCGCTCAAGATTGAAGATTTTGATCTCTTTGGTAGAGGAATTCTTTGGTTATCGTTGAGGGTTCCATTTTGGAATAAGATTGGTTGATCAAAGTCTTTGATTGAAGCTGAGTTACTGTTGTTTGTTTTTGAGTTGGCAATGTCATTTGGTGAAAAGAGAGCTGTGGCAGTGTTGTTAGAGAAAGGAGTTGATAAAGATACTGGGGATTTTGAGTGAACAGGAGAAGCAAAGGGGTCTAAAGATAAATTGAGATTTGACTTTGAAGGGTCCAAGGTTAAGTGTCTAATATTGTTGTCATATTTGTTTGATAAAGAGGTCGAGGATTTCTGAACAGAGAAGGGTTTTTTAATTGAGAGAGGAGATACAGGGGTGAATTCGATAGGAGAGTTTGGAGCAGAGTTTAGTTTGTCGAATGATTGATGAGTTGAGATGACTAAAGGAGTTTTAGGGATTTCAGAATAGGGGTCTTCTAATTTATTATTATTATTATTATTATTATTATTATTATTATTATTATTGTCATTATTATTGTCATTATTTAATTGGTTCGAGAGACTTTTCGAAGAAGATTTGGGGGAGGATGCAGGTTGAATAGTTGATTTATTTTGAATTAGACTTTGGGTATTAATGTGAGAATGTGTAGAAGTGTCATTTTCAGAATTAGGATTAGGATTAGAATTAGAACGAGGATTGATATTTTTTTCATTATCGTAGTTGTCATTATTATCGCTATTTGAGGGGGATGAAATATGTTTTTCAGTTATTGGAGAATCTTTTGATTTTGAAGAAACTGAAGGGTTTGATTTGTCATTATTAGAGGCATGAAGGGTGTGATTCTGAGTGCTTTTGGTATCCTTTAGGATAGGATCGTCGTGGTTTGAAACATTTGGTAAAGCATTTTCCAAATCATTCTTGTTTGAAGTACTTAAGGTATTTGATTTGATTGATTTGGTTTTCTTGAGGTAGTAGAAAAGAGCAAATAACACAGCGACAAGTAGTAGGGGTAATAAGACACACAAGGCTATATATCCATCATGCCATTGTCTTTTGCATAGGTGAAACTTTTGGAGTGAGTCGAGAGAGTCTTTGGTAGACATTTTGGAAGTGGTGGATGGTATGTGATTGTTTTCAGTGACAAAGTGACAAGCTCATAGTGTAGAGGAACAGCCAGGAGATATAAACAGCTTGTGGCAGAACGTATTTATAAGGACTGGCTGGAGTCTATTTATAAAAGCGAGGTGAGAGTGAGGTGAAATGGGCCTGAATTGAGCTCGTATGGTGAAAAGAAGCAGAGAGATTCAATTGCACAGTTCTTTTGGGAGCAGAGCTTTCATTGTTGCTGCAGTCAAAAACAAAACAACGCACGGTTGGGACAAAAAGAATCCCGTTTTGGATCTGGAATGTTCACGCGGGGAGCTGCGGTGCGTATGCGGGTGTGCAGCGCGGGAGATCCACCAATGCGGCGCACTAGTGGCTTTCTGATCTGTCGTTTTTTTGGATTCTGCTGCGTTTGGTAGATATGGCCACAGGGCCACTGCAAGGGTGTTGCAGAGTGTGTTGCAAAAGAGGACGAGAACGTACAAGGATATATTATTAAGCACTGGCAACATAGATATATTATGTATAAAAGAAAAACAGCAGCCATGGCACGCCAGAATAGCAACATTGAGCCAGAAATGAAAACAACTATCTTTAAAACAACAAAACTGAGAAAATCAAAAATGTAACATCCAAAAGCCATTATTTGGCCTCTTCGGCAGCTTCAGCAGCTTCTTCGGCTTGAAGTTTTTTCTTTCCTTCTGCTGCCCTGTCTCTGTACACATTTTTTTGTTTTTCGCTCAAATTTTTCCATGTCTTGCCGATTAACCTGTAGAGATCTTTCTGAGAAACATCGCTATGTTCAGCTTTCAACACTGGGTATTGTTCCAAAAAAAAGACTTGGTAGCAATGAGGGTAGTATTTTTTGTCGCTTTTTTTCTTCAAGAACAACGGAGAGGCAGAATGGAACTTGACCAAAGCAGCGGAAGAGAAAAGTCTCTTACCTTGAAAAGAAGTAGCGCCGATGAAGGATCTGGATAATTGAGTAGAAAGCATGGTTGAAATGGACAAAAGCACGAATATATCTTTATGGGAGATCCAAGAGGCAAATCAACTATCACAACAAAACATTGCAAAAGACGAGCCGTTCCAGAGCAAAACGGACGTGAGCAGTCACATGATATCCGCGTGATGATTGGCCAGTAAAAATAGTCTGCTTATGTAATCATATTGGAGAACCCTACACACAAGCGCATAGGGACGCGTTTACTGGCTACCATGCCGATGGGCCTCCTTTGTTCGAGCCACCAGAGCTTCTTCTGCTTCTTCTGCTGCTTCTGCTTCCGGTTTTTGGAGCTGTCCTTCTTTTTTTCCTTCTGCTTTTTCTTTTGCTTCCTCTTCTTCTGTCCTCTTCTCTTCAACACACTCACTGCCACTGCAACACTTCTTCCGGCAACTGTTTTTTCTCGACCTCTCTTTCTGTTCCCAGCAAAGCCACTTCCCTGCTCCTCTTCTGCTGCTTCTGCTGCTTCTGCTGCCAGACCCAGTCTCTACTTTTCTGTTCCTGACATTTTCTGTTTTCCTGAGCTTTTCATCCTATCATCTTCTCATCTTCTCGTTGTTACTTTAGCTGCTTCTTTCAAGTTTTCCTTTTTGTTGTTTGTCACTCGCTTTTTTCCTCTCCTCCATCATCCCATATTTTCCCATATTCTTTCGATACCATTATTTTGTTTTGTTTCTGATCTGTATTTAATTCTCTGCTTTCTCTGCTTTTATTTTCTCTTCTTTATTTCTCATTTCACTTTCTCCCACCTGCGTTGTTTTCTGCTTCATTGCTTCTACTCTACTCTACTCTCCTGCTTCTGACTTTTCACTAAAGGAAATCACCAAGAAATTCAAGAAATTCAAGAAATTCAAAAAATAAAAAAAAACAATTTATTTACTGAATGAAAATGCATAAGATGGATTTGCCAACCTACAACATCTATCATTCCTACAACAATGATCAATCCTCTTTTGGATTAAACAAACTTTGGAACTTTTTTCAAAACTTTTCCTTCTCCAATAACCACTATACAAATGCTTATACTAATAACAATAACATCATCATAAATACTTGTTCTCCTTCAAAAACAAATCTAAATCTAAATGGAAATCTAAATTTAAACCTAAATAACTCAAACTTTTCCAATAAAAAAAGTTTCAAATCAAATTTATTAACCTTCATTTCTCTTAAAAACGTTAAAATCTTCATAACCTGTTTGCTATGGTACTCTATATCCTCAATCACTTCCCAATCAACAAAATCAATCCTAAATAAATTTCCCTTTCCTTCCTTTCTCTCCATTTTTCAATTCCTAACATCAATCTTCTTAACCCTACTAATTGTCTTTATCAATAAAAAATTAAACAACGCCCTACTATTAGTTCTTCCAAAGGGCTTTCTCCCAAAGGACTTTAATATAAACTACCTCAAAAACAGACAACTCATTTCAAAAATCTTACCAATGGGCATCTCTCAATTCATTGGAAAATTCTTCTCTCATCTATCGACAACTCTCATCTCAATAGCAATGGTATCAAGCATTAAAACCCTATCTCCCTTTTTAATGGTTTTATCCTATAGATTATATTATAAAGTAAAATTCCCTATTCAAACTTATTTAACCCTTTTTCCTCTTGTTTTGGGTGTTATCATAATGGTTTTATTTGACAACATCTCCAGCATCAGTAAATCTTCTTCCAACAACACCCTCAACCGTTCAGACACCGATAACAATGTCACTGGCATCATCTCCTTTCTCTTGAATCTTTTTTCAATTTTTAACTTCAATTGGTCCAATAATGACCATTTCAAAGGCTTGCTTTACTCCTTCATCTCAACACTCATTTTCGTTGTTCAAAATATGTATGGCAAAAAAGTCGTCACATACACCTCCTCTAAAATAAACAATAATCCTGCTGTTTTGGCTCTCTCTTCCGGTATTTCTACTCCAACAAACTTACTCTCAGCTAGCAACTCCTCTCTTGATTTACCCAATTACAATCAAAATAACACTCAAAATAACATTCAAAATTTCAACCAATTTAATGAAAAATTTAATCAAAATATTAACAATACCAATAATATTTCTCTCGATAATAATAACATTGACAATAATCCTACCAACTCTTTATTACCATTGTCTCAAAATATCAGTGTCTCCTCTTCTGAATCCTTTAACAGATTTGACGAAAAACTATACAATCAAGAAAAACAAATTGAAAGATATTCTTCTTCAAGAAACACGAGCCCCTACTTGAACATCAACTTTATCCCTTCAAACTCTTTGCCTTCCCCTTCTTCCCTAAAATCTTCGCCTTTAAATGATCTGAATAAAAAGGATATAAAAATTGACAAGTTGACTGTATTATTTTTTTGTTCTCTTTTTGGCTTGATTTTTTCTTTACCTTTATTCCTTTTTTCAGAATTGCCAATCTTATTATCTTCAAGTACTAACTTAGGTTTAAACTTAAATCTAAGCTCAAATCCTTTGCTAACTCCTTCAATTCCAACTTCACTAATTGCTCAACAATTATCCTCTTCATCAAATAATAATTATGTAAACGACAATCAAATCATTGGTATAAAAAATCCTGATTTACCTGCTGATTACTTATCTTCTGATGATATTGAAGAAAAAATCTTGGTTCAACATGGAATGTTGTCATCTCCTTCAATTGCTCATTCATCATCATTATCTTCTTCCCATCACAAGTCCTCTAAAAGTTCTTGTCTTGACGATCAAGAACTGAAATCAAATACCTCTTTCATTCCTTTTAAACTTTTAGTTCTAAACGGTTGCTCTCATTTCTTTCAAGCTTTATTAGCTTTTCAATTGTTAGGCTCAATATCAACTGTTAGCTATTCAATTGCTAGTATGCTAAAAAGAATTGTGATTATAACAGTTAGTATACTTATAAGTGGGAAACTGATATCAAATTCCCAAATTTTAGGTATAATATTAATCGGTATCGGTCTTTACTCCTATGATCGTTGGGGTGAAGATCTCAAAAATAAGAAAAAAGGTGGAAATTTTGAATTGGTTCGAGAAAAGAGTAATCTCAATATTATGTATAATGGTGCTATAGTAAGAAATTAATACTTAGCAAAATGATAAAACAAAACAAACCAAAACTAAAATATGCAGTCATAAACAAAAAAGTAAAAAAATAAAAAAATAAAAAACGTAAAAAAATAAAATAAAAATATCGAAAAATTCTATAAAAATCTCTTTTTCTTTCTTTCTTTTAGATTTTGTTCATTTATTTTCATTGCTATTTTTTATATAGTTTCCATTAAGGTTATTGTTTTAATATATTATTTGGTCTTTAACTAAAACACTATTTGTTTTATCCCATGCCACATTCAATGGTGAATTTGTCTCCAAAACATGACAAAATCTTGAAAAAATCGCCAAGAAAAAGCGTTTGTAAATGCATGTACAATTATAACATACTGATATATGCCATAACATGCATAAAACACAAGTTTACCAATTGAGAAATATAAGCTTGTACCTCAGCATAAAAAAAAGTTATATACAATAATAATGACTAAAAGGTCATTGAATATTTTCTTAAATGTGATAGGAGACCAAGAAGAAAGATGTGATTTTTCCTAATAGATAAATAGAACTACTCTATGTTTATGTTATGTTTCAAACCTCTTCAGTTAATTGATATTTAAACGAATTCAAATTAATCTCTCTGATATACTTTTTGACCACTCTACATTTCCTATTTAGTTATTTTCCAAGCATGGCAAGTCAAGCTTAGGTAAATAATGTCCATTATTTGAGCTACTAGAGTGTTCCAAAACAATTTTCTTCAATTCATTGGATGATATATATTGGCGTTGTAATACTGGAAGATAATTTTTGTTGATTTCAAATACTTCTAATGAATTAAAGAGCAAGCGTAAATCCTCTAAACTATCAAAAATATTAAATATATCATTGTGGATTAACTTAAATTAAATAAAATAAATTTAATTTATGGATAGATTTTGAAGACTTTAGTTTCCTCCAGAGTTTAATTCTATTATCAATTTCTCCAATTCTCTTATTTGATAAACTCAACCATTTGAAATTAAGAAATTTATGATAATTTTTTAAATGATTTGATTCTTCTTTTTGTATATCCCAAATTTCCAGTGAAGCATCGTTGTCAAACAATAGTATAAGTATTTATATGAATGTGAATTGAATATTACGGATAAAGATATCCATTTAAGTGCTTTCTTGGGTAAAGTGAATAATCAAAGCAAATCGGGGAAACAAGAGCCCAATTATGATTTAGAAGTCTAGTTGCATCTATAAGCAAAGATACTTATTGTTGCATGCTTCAGGTTCCAAAAATTTGTTCCAGAAGGTGTCAGCATCAACTCATCCGCTCATACCCGTGTGTATCCGAATGCACATCCTGCATATGCACTATGCACGTGCACTATTCGAAAGCAGCTAGAACCCGACCGACGTATTCGAGGAAAAGCCGTAGATTGCGGCTCAAGCAGAAGACGGCTGCACAGGCTCCGAAGCACGAAAGACCAACGGCGAAAAAGCAAAACGCACTGTTTTGCTCCACGCCGAACAACGAGCCCGGTGGTGCTGCTTCTGCTTCGTCTGCTTCTTGTGCTGCTTCTGCTTCTCGAATGTTTTTCTGTCTGGCTATTTCTGCTTTCTTCCTCAGCTGCTTTTGTTTCCTCACTTCTGTATTGTTCTGGATCGCCTAGATGTGTGTTAGGTCTTTCTCTGGTTCTTTTGTCTTGTGATTTTTGATCAGCTCAGTCAATATATTATGTTTTTTTCATTTCGAAAAAAGGGAATAAGGAACTCCATTATATCTTCACTATCTCTTATCCAACACTTCCACACATCCTTCGACTAACACAGCTACAACAGCTTTCTCAAAGCTGAAGAGCAACACTTCTTCAACCTTCCCAGGCCTATTATAGTAGAGCCTTTAGCTCAAGCAGTACTCTTTCCATCACATTCCCTTTATCGTACGCAACCACTCTCTGGCTTCTCTTTCTTCGTTGTGCCTGTATTTATATTCACTTCTTTTTACTTTTATTTCGTTTTCGCTTGCTGTATTTTTTACCTTTGCTTATTTCACACCCACAATTACTTTCAACAATGATAAAGTCGAAAAAAAGCTCTAAAAACCCCATTCATCGTCTTCACCACCACAACAACCAGCTTCAGGATGGAGAAAATGCTGCAAATGACATCAGCAATACAATTCCTGATTCCAATTCAACCATTTTAAATAACCAAAACAATCCCCTTATCAACAACAATACCAACACCAACACCAATACCACCTCTAGTTTTTCCTCAAATTACAAAGGTTTTCATAGACTGTACAACTCCTCCTGCAAGAACCCTGTTCCTCCTTTATCTGAACCCATAAAACCTCGTCTTTTATCTAAAAAATCGTTTTCTTCTTTAAAATCAAACAAATTGGCTAACTTGACTAAAAATACAAATCCTCCTAATAGTGATGCAATTCTCTCTTCTTCCTCTCTAATTCCTGATATTCCAAATAATATTAGTATTAACAATAACATTAACAATAATCCCAATAATAATCCAATTCTTATAAATAATTCCTCCATCCCAGATCCTTCTCAACCCATAATCGCAACTGCAAACACCAGCCCTAACCCAAACATAAACATAGAGATCAGCCTGTCCCACCACCAATATCCCCAAGCCTTTAAATCCTTATCAAAGAAACCTTCGTACTTGTTCAACAAAATAATCTACTCTCGAAGAGAAAGCGAATCCTCAAGAAAAAGCGACACCTCTGATCAATCTCATCTCAACTCAAACTCAAATTCAAATGACTCAAAATCTGATAACATTTCCTCTTCAAAATCAAACGAAATCAGCTATATAAACTCAAAAATGTCTAGTTTCTTTAGCAGAGAAAGACACAACTCAAAGGACTCAGCAATGTCTCAAACTTCCTCCTTTTTAAACAACTCTCCAACACAAACTTCTTCTCCTAAATTTTCAAATACTCTTCAACAACCTCAATCTCAACCCTTGATTCAGCCTCAACCTCAATCTCAATCGCAATCTCGACAACAACAACAACAACAACAACAACAACAGCAACCCCAATTGCAATCTCAAATCCAAAATTCCACCTTACTCCATTCAAAATCTTCCAATAAAATTTTCTCCCTAAGCTCAAAGAGACAAGGCTCTCGATTTAAACTAGGTAAAAACTCCTCTTCCATACCTACAAACAACAATCAGAAACCAATTATCTCTGTAAATACTTCCGATGGCAATACACCTATAAACTCATCGGCAAATTTAACTATAAATACAATTCCAACTATAAACACAAACTCAATCCCAAACTCAAATACTACAAACAACTCTCCGATAAACTCATCCTTCAATAAAAGTGTTGATAACCTGCAACCTTTTCCTAATTCCTTTTCGATCCCACACTCAAACAGCTACTCATCCTCAGTCAACATCACTGATTATGACCTAAATATCAATGAAATGCAAGGAATCCTAACTTCGGATGCTCAATCTCTACTCACAAAAAATAAACCTTCCATTTCCTCAACAAACCCAAAAACCTCACTAAGAAATAACTCTTATGCTTATAACTACAGCTCATCTAATTCAAATAGCTTTAATGGAAACCCTTATACCTCTTATAACACCAATGCCAGCATAAATAAAGGCTGGAGGCCTCCTGATAGCTGGGACGTTAAAAGTGACGACTCAATGTTTTTAAACTATTCAATGAACAATTCAAACAGAAAATACTCAGTCATATCAAATTTCGATCCAAAATATAATACTAATCTTCCAAATCCAAATGGTGATCCCTTAGATCCACTCAATCCTTCAGGTTATCAGGGTTTTAAGAGTCATATATACACTAGAAATAATTCCTTTATCGCAGAAAACCCAAACTCAATTCCTTTCGTAAATCGTTCTTCTGTCTCTCCAAATTATATCGATGAATCCTCATCTGGAAGCCCTTCTAGTTTAACAATGTTTGATGAAAAGTCTCATCCTCCTTCTGTTTACAACTTTTATAACAATAATAACTCAAATAATCCGTATATCTCTTCAACTGTTCCAAGAAGAAACTCAAATTTAAATCCAACTCCTTCTTTGTTTAAAGCAAATTATAATTTATCCGGCGTCAATAATTTTAAAGTGGAAAAAAAATCTTCCTTCACTCTGATAAATTCAACTGACCCCTTTAGAAATAATCCCAAAACTGGTAGTATATCCACTCTTAATACTTCCAATAATAACTATCTGATGTCTAGAAAAAATTCTGAAACATATACAATAAAAGTCTTTAGTGAAGATGATTCATTTGCTACCATTCTTCTATGTCCTTTAGAAATTTCGGTTTTAGATCTATTGAGTACAGTTTCAAAAAAATTTAGACTAGATGAAAAAACTATAAAAAACTATAAATTGTCTCTAAAAATTGGGAAATTATCAAAGGTATTGGAAATAATGGACAAACCAATAAAACAACAAAATAATTTACTCATGTTTGCCGGCTATGATCCATTAAAAGATAAGTTTAACATTTTGGGGACTGATATTGTTTACTTGTGCAAGTTCATTCTTGAAAAAAATCAGCACAAAATATTATCAAGCGATGAAGCCAATTCCATAACAAGAGATTATGTTCATGTTGATTTACGAAATATGGATCTTATAAACATCCCCTTGGTGTTTTATCAACACACTCATGAAATTGAAGAACTAGATGTTTCAAATAATCCATCCATTTATATTCCAATGGACTTTATTAATTGTTGCAAAAATTTAAGAAAGATACGTTACATTTCAAATAGATCAGTCCGATTCCCTCTAAATATATTAGAAGCAAAAAAACTATACCATTTGGATTTACAAAAGAATTTATTTATCGAGTTGCCTTTGCAGCTTGGGCAATTAAGATTCCTCACAAAATTAAACTTGAATTGTAATCAGATAATTTATTTGCCGAAAACATTTTCTCAGTTGAAACATTTGAAATACCTAAATTTATCATCTAATCAAATAAAAATATTTCCTGATACACTCACAAACTTGCCTTTTTTAACCGAACTAGATTTAAGCTACAATATAATAAGTTATATACCAGAAACAATAGGAAATTTGAAACATCTTGAAAGATTAAATCTTGGAACAAATGCTCTATCAAAATCCTTACCACTGTATCTTAATAGATTAAAAAGATTGAAATACATAAATTTAAACTATAACAATCTCAGTAACTTTAATATTTTGGGTGAACTCAAAAACCTTGAAGAATTGTATGTTTCGAAGAATAATGTTCCAACGTTCAAAAATGAAAATGAAAATCTTCGAATTTTTGCTTTTGACAGAAATCCAATTACAGATATAATTTTCAACAGTTCACTTATTTATTTAACACGACTTAATTTATCAAAAGCAAAGTTGGCTTCAATATCGGATGATTTACTACTCAAGGTTCCAAATGTGGAAAACATAGTATTAGACAAGAATCACATTGTAACCTTACCTCCTAGCATATGTACCCTCAAAAGATTAATATATCTCTCTTGTTTTGGCAACAATTTGCAAGCTATCCCCGAAAATATAGGAAATTTAAGCTCCTTACAGTACTTAGATCTTCACTGCAATAACATTCAATCTGTACCTCCGGGTATTTGGTATTTGAAGTCTCTCCATAACTTGAATTTATCAACTAATTTAATAACCCACTTTCCTTCGCATCCGGGAAATTGCAATAATACTCCTCGAATTTCAATATCAGAATCCTCTCCATTGATGCTTGGCTATCAGTCTTTAGCCTCTACAATTGCAACTTCAAAGGATTTGAAAGCAAGAAGATCTTCTTTAATATTACCGGAAACCTTTAGTGCAGCAGTAAATGAGTATGCAAAACGTCAGGAAAAACAACGCAGCAATAGTTTATCTACATTAGGATCAGAAAACGATTCGCTTTACAACAGAGCTATGTTACCATCATATTTGGGAGACAGCTTAATGGTTTTAAGTATGGCAGACAATCGATTGCTGGACGACTCATTTGAAGCAATTTCGTTAATGACCTCTTTGAAAAGTCTCAATCTATCATATAATGATTTGATTGAGATTCCCATTGGTGGGTTGCGCAGAATGAACAATTTGACGCAATTGTATCTATCTGGAAATAAGTTAACAAATTTTCCGACAGAAGATTTATCCCAGCTAGAAAATTTAAAGGAACTTTATATCAATTGGAATAGATTCCACACTTTGCAAGCAGAGCTATCAGGGATAAGAAACCTAACGGTTCTAGATGCCGGATCAAATCAATTGAAATATAATACTAGCAATGTATTATACGATTGGAATTGGCATCGAAACACCAAATTGAAATACTTAAATTTTTCGGGAAACAAAAGACTAGTAATTAGCAGCTCAAGGGATAATCAAGACACTTTTGCTCATTTAAAGGACTTGAGAATTTTAGGCTTAATTGATTTGACATTTCCTACCTCTTCTTTACCTGATGAAACATTAAACACTCGTGTGAGAACAACTATCTCTCAGATAAGTAACACAAATAGCAAAATGATGTATGGAATAGCTGATACTTTAGGAAAGCGTGAAAACATATCGACCAGAGATGTGTTGATCGAAAACTTCAGGTCCAACCACAAGGAGATCTTGATTTGTCTTTTCGATGGTAAAGATGAAGACCAGAAAGATGGACATAAGCTTTCTAAAATTATTGAAGAGAATTTCCCAAATCTTTTAAGTTTAGAGTTGAAAAAAATAGGTGATATTAGTGAATATGAAAGAAAAAAATCAAAAGTTAGCACAATTTCGCAATCTGAAAATGGCGATATTACTGATGCAATTCGAAGAGCATTTTTGTCGTTAAACAAAGTGATCAATAGTTATCTGGTCTCCAAAAATGCCGAAGACACAGTTGAAAGTACTACCAAATCTAACGCTCCCAGACTCAATGTTGGTGATCTTTCAAGGGGATGTTCCGTCACCGTTATATATATTGTTGATAAAAAACTATACGCAGCTAATATAGGTGATACTATGGCATTGCTATCCAAAATCAATGGCGATCACGAAGTGCTCACTGTAAGACATGATCCAACTAAACGATGTGAGTTTGAAAGAATTAGAGAAAGTGGAGGTTTTGTTTCCAGTACCGGTAAACTAGATGGCATTGCAGAAGTATCAAGAGCTTGTGGTTACTTTGATTTGCTCCCTCATATTCATGCGTGCCCAGATATCAAAGAAATAGATTTATCAGTTTCAGATGAAATGTTAGTCATTGCTACAAAAGAACTTTGGGAGTATGTGAGATTTGAAACTGTGGTTGATGTTATTAGACAAGAAAAAAATGATCCGATGTTAGCGGCACAGAAGCTAAGAGATTATGCAATATCTTATGGAGCAGATGATAAGATCACTGTCATAGTGCTAGCCTTAAATGTAAAATCAGGAAAGGGAAAAACTGAAACGAATGAAGAGTCAATATTACCTATCAAAAAACGAAGGAATAGAGGATATTTGGCACAGGACTCCAATTTGACCAAATTGGAAGATGAAATTGAGCCACCAACTAATTACCTTGCATTAGTATTTACTGATATAAAGAATTCGACCTTGTTGTGGGATACATATCCAATTGCTATGAGATCAGCAATAAAAGTTCATAATGCTATTATGAGACGTCAGTTACGAATTATTGGAGGCTATGAAGTCAAAACTGAAGGTGACGCTTTTATGGTATCATTTCCGACTCCATTGTCTGCATTAATTTGGTGTTTCAAAGTTCAGTTGTTATTGTTGAATGGGGACTGGCCGACTGAAATATTACTCTCTGATGAAGGTTGTGAATTGACAGGATCTGATGGAAAAGTTTTGTTCAAAGGTTTGTCTGTTAGAATGGGAATTCATTGGGGTATGCCAGTCTGTGAAAATGATATTATCACTAAGAGAATGGACTATTTTGGACCTATGGTTAACAGGGCGGCAAGGGTTAGTGCTGTTGCTGATGGAGGACAAATCACAATAAGTTCAAATTTTTATTCTGAGTTTAAAAAGTATGAGAAAGCATATCTAAGGGTCAGAAATGAAAACTGCTCTTTACTTGATGCTTATGAAGATGAAACTGTTGGTTCATTGTACTATAATGAAATGGGAACGATTGAAAGCATTGGGTATGAGCTAGAACTATTGGGGGAAAGAAAGTTAAAAGGCCTTGAAAGTCCGGAGACAATTTGGCTAATTTGCCCAAAAGAATTAGGTGGTCGACGTGAATTTCAAAAGTCCTCAGATATTAAAAGCGAAAGACACCGAAGAAAGGGGTTAGTTCCATTGGAAGACTTGAATGATTTAGATTTGATTGCGATTCGATTAGAACACATTTGCTCATATTTTTTTTCAAGCAGCAAGAAACTTGGTAGTGCTAGCAGTAATGGTGATGATGGAAATAAAAGCATTAATGAGAATTCCAATGGATCTTTTTCCAATAAATCAATCAGTAACTCTAATTTTGTCACAGGTGGTAATAATAAGACATATTTATCAAACACATTAATCAATTCCGATAGTGATAATATGGCCATTCTTGAGAATATTATTACGAGAATTGAGAACTGTATCTCGATGATAATAATCAGAAAAGCTATTGGTAAAGTTGAAGGAAGCTTTAGATTTTCAAATAAAAGTAAAAACATTGACGATCTATTAAAAATAATAGAGAATTTGATTTGCTAGATTAACTTTTTATTGAAATTTTTTAGAAAAGATTTTGTGTGAATTAATGTACTTTATATGACAGTAATAGTTTTAAATTTTTTTGCTATTTACTTTGATGATTGAGTGGTTAAATTATTAGCTTGATTGTTTTTGGTTTCAGGATTAAAAGGTACATCCTGGTTAGAAAAAAAATGAAAATAAAATACGAAAAAAAGGATAAAAGATATAAATAAAAAGTGAAATAAAAACTTTTTTATGGTTGATTTAAAAAAAAAGCTAGAATTGAGAGAATTTATCTTTACTATTTGATGAGCTCAACCCATACCATTCAAACCAGACTTACCAGAACTAAGATGATTTTCAAAAAAAAATCAATTTTATTTTTGATTAAGCTTTGCAAAAGATAAATAATTCTTGCTGATGAAGAAAATGTTGTCCAATATAGCTCTGAGAAGATTTTTAGCGGTTGATAAGAATCCAATGATGAGAATATGGGATTAGTTTTCAGTGCTGCTGATACTTTTAAGATTTTAAATTGTAAAACTCTTTACTAACTTTTATTTCTATTTTATATTTGTCGTTTTAAATTTTTTTTTTTGTTTTTCATTTATTTCAAACGATTTTAAAATAATTTGATAATACTCTTCAAACGTGAACAATAATTGCCATTATATACCATTTAATTCATCTATTTTAAAATTAATAATTTTTTCATTCAACTTTGGCAATAATTGTGACAAAGTGATTCTCAATTTTGATATTTCATTGGATAAAGTGCTTTGTGAAGTAATCAAATTATTTTGTAGATTTTGAAGACCTGAGAGTCCATTCATATTTGAAGAAAAGGAATTAAAGTTATCTTTAACTAGTTGTATTAGATTTTTATAAAATTGTAATTTTTGTAATAGTTGAATTAATTTTATTCGTTTTAAGTTCATAGATAGTCTTAACTTTTTGTACAAAGCAAGTGAGGTCTTTGAGAATAATTTATTAGAGGACAAGTAAATTGGGTTGGGTAAATTTTTGAGAATCAACAATATATTTTTAAAATTTTGGTTATTGAGATTTAAAAGATTATCTAAATTGTTATTCATGAAATTTAGCGAACTTGACAAGAATTTAATAGATGATAATTGAGTTAATCTTTGAAAATTTAGGATTTGTAAAGAAATTTGATGATTTGCTTGTTTCAAAAAGACATATTTATAATTTTTCTGAAGGGACCTGTTTAGTTTTAATAATATTTTCTTCAATTCGAGTTCTGAGAGCTTTGAAGTGATTTTTAGATGATTTTTAGATGATTTTTTTCTGGTAATTAAGGGTGATGGTGGGTTTACTTGAATAGTGGATAATTGGTGTAAAAGCTCAGGGGATGGCTTTATCGGTTTGGAAATGATCTTGATTTGTGTTTGAATAAACATCAAAATGGATATGTAAGTTTTATCCATTTTCTAGCTGAATTATGAGAGTAATTAAGAAAATAAATGAGGGTGAAGAAGAGGTTTGGGAGAATAAAGTGGAAAATTGGAATAAAAGAAAAAAGAGAGCCGTGGGATTCGAACCGCAGAATTTTGTTTCTTTGGCGGAAAAGGTGAGTTGTTGAGTAGCTGGAACAGAAATGGACAGCGTTGGGAAGCTGAAGAAATAGGCAATGCCACTGTTTGGAGCAGGAGTCAGTCCTATCTTTTGTATCTTTGGGAAGTCTTTTGAAGGGTTGGGAGAGAAACAGTAGACACACTTGACTTGAGGAAGGATTAATTTGTAATTTTATTATAATAGAGAATTGAGGATGTAAAAGGAGAACGTAAATAAAGAGTGCTACAGTATATACAAAAAATGATAGTACGAGAATGTGGAGGTATTTTCATACAAAGGATGGTGTGAATGAAGACCGTAGAAAATGAGTAGAGTGTAAAGTTGGGTAGGATAATTGAGTTATTTAAATTGGAAGAAAAGTAATTAGGTTGATTGCATGAATTACGTGGATCAACTTAATTTTTAGTGGAATAACAGGAAAAGATTATTTGATATTCGATTTGAGAGCAAAACAAAATTCAAAAACACAGCCCTGAAATGTTATTTTTTGGACCAGGACATGAACAAGCTTTTTGGGATTGAATAACAATAGAAACCTTGAAAAAAAGAGATGGGACGTTGAGGTCTGTTTTAATGGGAAAACGTTTTTTTTTCTTTTTTTGGGACATAAAGATAGGAAACAGGTTGGTTCGATGCAAAACAGCGTAAGGAGCAATAAGGTATCAATGGCGAGGGAAGTGAGTATGATTTAAGTCATCAAATGAAAAAGCAATGTTGAAGAAAAATGAAAGAAAATGGGCTAAACAATAAAGAAACATAATATAGTATCCAATGAAAACAAAAAGCATGAAAAATAAAAAAAATAATCTCATAAAGAAAAACCGAAAGGATATCTAAATATCTAAATAAAAATGTATTAAAGGATTAAAATTGCTCATTAAAGATTTCTTTGCGGTAACTTTATTTGAAAATAAAGAGAGTTAAAGAACCAGAATTTCCTAGTCTATGTCACTCAGCAAAATAGTCCATAAACTCCTGGTATTCTATGAAGCCGTCGTTATTAGTATCGATTTCATTAATTATCTCGTTGATATCTGCATCAGTCAAATTGTCAGCAAGAAATTTAAAAGTGTCAAATAATTCGGTTCTGGATAATTTGCTGTCGTTATCTTTATCAAAACCCTTAAAAGCAGCAGATATTGCATCTTCATTTTGATTAGACAGAGAGTCTGGGGAAACATTGGAGTTAGAGCTTTGTTTGTTGCTATTGGGAGTGGCAGAGTTTGCATTTTTGTTCAAGGGATCATTCGGATTTTTCTGGCTGGCATTATTCTGATGGATCGGTTTAGGATCGAATCTTGTGCCACTTGGGATATTATAGTGCTGAAGTTCTTTCATCAAGATTAAAAACTCGTTAAAATCGATAGTTCCATCATTATTAAGATCAAGTTGCTGAATCATTTCATCAATCTCCAAATCTGTTGGAAACATATTTAAATTATTCAAGACAAACTTAAATTCGCTCGCTTCGATTGATCCATCGTTATTTCTATCGAATATTTCAAAGGCTTCTTTAAAAATCTCGTTTTCATGATTTTTATCATAGATAGTATTAGAATCCTGATTATGTGACATATTTCAAAGACAATCTGAGAAATTTCTAGGAGTCCGTTTAGGGGTGTATTTGATTGATAATTAATTGATTATAAGTTTGTTTGGTTGATAGATGTGGAAGTGGGTTGAGAAGGAAATAGAATTGACAGTGAAATGGACAATAGAAGTGAAATGAACAATAGAAGTGAAATGAGCAATAGAAGGGAAATGAACAATAGAAGTGAAATAGCAATCTGAATTGGGTCTGAAGCTGAAATTGAGTCGATGGTTGAAACAAGATAAAGCCTAAAACAACATTAATCCAATCTCTTTATATATGAAAAAGAAAGGAAGCAAATCTAAAATAACCTCCAGCAAATGAAGACGAAGTTGCACATTTCCCTAACCTGAGAAAAGCCTTCACGAAAAACGAATATTATTAGAAACCGCTGCAAAAAAGTGGACAGAGCCGGATCTCAACGGACGGAACGCGGCAGTGAAAAAAGGGGCACCGTGTGCGTGGCGCCAACATTTGACGTCGGGCCGACGTTGGCTTATTTTCCGGAAGCAGGCTAGCTTGTATAGACGCACATCTGCTATGACAGATGCATCACCTCATGCATCTACCATGCTCATGGAGCAGATTTCAGGTTTCCTACTGTTAATTGGGGCTCAAAAATACTGTTTCAACAGTATTCGAAGAGGCTTTGTGCAAAATGAACTAGTATCAACACCATGCTTATTCAGAAGAAACTTGCTAAGCGATAGAAACCTAGCTATAACTGGCCTGTAGTATAATACTGAAAACACTAAATTTAAGTTATTGTTTATTATTATTTTAAACTTTAAACAAAATTTGTACGAGGAATCTGTAATATCAGGAGTGTGCAATAACTATGATGGATATATAAACAAATTATCTTTTTAATGTTTTCGGACGGACTATATAAATAAACACCACCATTTAGTAAATTTCAAATCAAATGATTGACCACTCAGAAAAGTTGTTCAAACCATTAATTAAAGCTTTTCTTTTTATCATTTCGAATGTCAAATAGCAAGAAATTTCTTCCGATTCCTCTGGCTTGAGACGTTCTAAACGCTCTTCTAATCCTTCATCTTCATTAATATTTGGGATTTGATAAAAAGACATATCAAATACCTTTAATATGGTAAATTATCTAACTGTTCGTCACTTATGTGTTTAAGATAATTTCCTTCCAATCCCAAAATTTCTAGTTTAGGAAAAAAAAATTTGTTCCCAATGTGACCATATCATTATAGAAAACATCTAAATGCAATATATTGTTGAATTTCAGTATATTTTCAAGGTCATCCAATTTATTTAAAGAGAACTTCAATATTTTTAAATTAGAAAAATTATCAAGGTTGATTTGATTTGAACCAGTTTCACAGATTTCAGTGTATTCTAATTTCGACATATCTAAATTGTTTAAATGATTCAACATTTTAAAATTAAAGGATCCAAACGAAGATAAGTGCAAATAAATGAAAGAATGTGAATGATTAATATCCACAAATGGGTTTCCAGAATTGGAGAAATCTAAAATTTCCAAGTTATTTAAATTATTTAGATTCTCAATTTGGGTGATTTCATTTGTACTCAAAGCTAAATATTTTAAGTTGGGTAAATTATCCAAGTTTTCAATCTTTGAAATTTTATTATCAATTAACACTAAAAGTTTCAAATTCTTTAGACTGCCCAAAGTTTCAATTTTTGAAATTGAATTGCAACTTAAATCCAAAATAGTCAAAAGCGGACACCCGATTAGATTTTCTATTTTGGTGATTGAATTGAATTGCAAATCTAAAATTTTCAAATGTTGGAAATTGTTGTAAAACTTGTGAATCTTTAATAAGTCACAAAATTGAAATAAAATGTTTTCCATTTTATTAGCTTAAAATAAAGGTTGTAAAGAACTTTTTAGAAAAATGTTAAATGAGTAATCAAAGTTTTTAGAAAAACCAAATTCGAAACTTTGCAAAGGTGATATATTGCTCTGTAGCAAATTAGTTGCTAAGCCAATCACTGGAAGAATTTAATATTCAAAACCTTTGAGATATCTGTCATTTGGATCAAAATTTTCATAAGAATTTATTAATTTTCTTATCAGTAAATTTTGAGTTGAATGGTTTTAAAACATCTCCATCATCCACAAATAAATCATCTTTTGCTGAAGATTGAAAGATAATTTTAAGACCTTTGTATAGTAAAGAACTCCATTAATGAAAAGATTTAAATCGGTAATATTGATACAAAAAAACTGGGAATAATGGGGCAATGAAGAACCAGAAACACGCGCATTTATGGAAACTTTTTCAAATAACCATCTCAACACGAGAGGTGTATTGAAACTATCTGAAAATGTCAAAAGCAAAAGAAGATCAAGAGGTAGGGACTTGAAAATAGACTTCAATATGACAGGAGGAAATTAAACAATGTTGATATAGTTAAGTATCATTATCAATGGAATATACCAAACATGGCAAACATAACAAACATACCAAACAGACAAAGTGAAAAGTTTAGACAAAAACAGAAGTCTTGAATGTCTGGAATAGAACAAAATAGATCCTCAATATCAAAAGTGTTGAAATTATATCGTTCATTAATCTCAGTTACCATTTCCAAATTACATTCGACCTATCATTTCTTCAGATCCAAAACCCAATTGTTCAACAAACAAAAATAAATCAAGTGGTATAATTAATTTTTTAACAATTTTGCCAAATTGTTCCCGCACAAAAAGTACTTGTAGTCCAAATTTGCATATTTGTTTTGAGACCTGCGATAACCGATTTCCAGCTAATAAGTTTCCGAACATTCATTCTAACCGTTCAAACCCGGATAAAACGTTCGAACCAATTAACTCAATTCTTTGATTTAAATCATTGATGCCGAAAGCGTTTGATGGAATATCATCTGCCCCTTTGTTATCACTGCTTGTGTTCTTGACGTAAGTGCTGTCAACTTGACAGTCGTCGAATGAGGGGCAGAGTTTTCTTCTAGTGCTCATGACTATTAGAGTTCTCTCTCCTGCTTATTCGACGACTGTTAAACTGACAGCACTCACGTCAAGAACACTGAAAGTGATAATGAAGAGGAACTTGATAGTTCACCAAAGGCTTCTGAAATTAACGAATTATAACAGAGACTTGAATTAATTGAATCGAATGTTGCATTCAGATTTGAACGACTAAAACGAATGCTTGAAAGTGTATTAGCTCGTAACAGATGTACGGATATCGGTTAGCCAAGGTCACAACAATTTGCTTATGTAAGACTGGATCATTTTAACAAAATTGGGGTTCTTTTTCATGAGGTAAACCGTTCATTTTCATAACCTGTGAATCATTGATTGATTTTTTTGAGAACGCTTTCCTATGTGGTATTATATGATTAAAGCTGGAGTCGACTTGAAGGTTTTGTTCAAAATTCCAGAAAAATCTTTTAATTGGCCACTGAAATGTCAATTACAGTTCTGCATTCTGATACCAAAATATGCAAATACTTATTCACTGTTGTGAAACAGTTAGCCAATAAGATTCTCGAGTTTGACGTTTCATCAGCTGTACCGTTTGTACCACTCTTCTCTAGGGCTACAACATAGTCCTAGATGATTCCGAAGCCAATTCGTGCAGCCAGAAATTTGATACATCAGAAAATTGGCTGCAAGAACAGCAGAGAAAGCAAAATAACTACAATTATAATATTTTATTTTTATCATTATGAATTACTTTAGACCGAAATAGAATTATATAAAAGGCGTTGTAATTTGATCAATTTCGAAAGAATGGGATCAAGTCTTCCAATACATATTTCTAGTTCTCTTCCAGTTTACATAAAAAGCCCTAAGTTACGGTCTTAGTCCCCTGAGAATTGGAATACAGGAAGCCCTACGGTTACGACCCACGAAGGTCCGCGCGCAAAACAGCACACAGCCTAACCAACGTGACTTTTTTCTGGCAATAATTCACTATACCCGAGGTTCAGAACTCGCTTTATCGAGTTCTTCATCTTTGTTCACTGACACCTCAAGACTTCTCTCTGTGCAAGAAATTTGTTTGATGAAAGTTTGCTGAACTTGTTTAAGAGAATTATAAAACCCTTGGGGATTTGATTGATGATCATATTCATGATCATATTCATGATTCAAATGTCGCAAGCTTTGACATAGATCTAACATGACTTTCCTGTTTTTAGCAGTAAGATCAAGTCTATTGTTATGGCTTAAGAATTTTGTAGATTCAAGTCTTTTGGAGATTTCAAATGAGTGCCTGATAACACTCAGAGGAAATAACCCAAGATTTTGCACAAACTTCATTCCATAATTTTTCAATTTTGATTCACCAGTTACCACTTTGTAATGCATATCGAATTCAGACCCTTTGATATCAACACTCATATGCAATTGGACTACACCTGGCTTATTTCTCAATATCACAGGAAGGTCATGAAAATGTGTTGATAAAAAGACTGTGGGTCCAATATCAACTAAATATTCAGTGATGGCAACTGATATCGATAATCCATCGACAATACTTGAGCCTCTGCCTAACTCATCAATTATAACTAAGCTTTTATAATTTGCCTCTTCAATGATATAAGCGATTTCATTCATCTCTTGTGTGAAGGAAGACGTGTTGATATCAGTTAAAGTATCAGTGCAAATTCTAGCATTTAATTTGTGGAAAATCGGAAACATTGCATAATCAGCAGGAATAAATGAACCAATTTGAGCCATCACAACTAGCAATGCCATTTGTCTTAAATAAACCGATTTACCACTCATATTTGCACCAGTTAAAATATGTACTCGAGATGTATCCCTTGTTGAGTATGTATCGTTTGAAATATAGTCGTGATTTAATGTTGTTTCTAATATTGGATGCCTACTTGATTTTAAAACTAGTTTATCAAAGATTTCAGGGCATGTATAGCAATTCGTCGCCGTTTTAGCATTGTACGCAAAGCAGCATAATAAATCCAAAATAGCTAAAGCTTCAGATACCATAAACATTGTTGATATATAAGATTTGCACTTTTCAGTTAATTCATTAATGATGTGATCACTCATAAGAATAATTTCACTTAAAGTATCGTTTAGTCGTGAGTTACACTTTATGATATCCAATGTTGTACATTCAATAAAATTTTTTTTATAAATTCTATTAATAAATATATCTGGTAACTTGTTTGTATCGATAATTTGTGATTTTTTGATTGTTATATAAAATCCTCTTGTTGAATCAAATTTATGGTCCAAGATTAATTGATGTTCCTCAGCTATACCTTCTATTAAAAGAATAATGTCATCAATTATATTCTTATATATTTGTCTTTGAACATCTAGTAGGCCGTTTTTACCACCTTTGACAGCATAGCATTTTTGGTTTTTCAAGTCTAAGGGAGTATTACTCCAAGAACAATCTTCATTAATAGAGTCATTGATTAAATTTTTTACAGATATTAAATCAGGATGAGAACATATTTCTTTAATCTCAAGTAACAAAATCGAGTGAACATCTTTCAAGGAATGACTAATATTTAAGGAGATATTTAGTGCATGTTTTAGTAAAATAATATTATTAATATTTTGGTCTGATATGGACCTTGATTGTATTTGTTTCTTTGAAGAAATAATCAAGCAAGAAAATAAACGGTCTAAATCCTGTGAGTTCTTTAAAATGGATCTCACCTCAGATAACATATCATTATCCATTAATAACTCTCGAACTGACTCAAGTCTTAATTTGATACTTTCTGGATTTGTTAATGGTTGTAAGATGTTATTTCTCAATACCCTATAACCCATTTTGGTGACGGTTGAGTTTAAAAACTTTAAGAGAGAAATACCATGCTTATTATCAATTGAATTGTTGACTAATTCAAGTGATTTAATAGTCTTGGAGTCGATTAATAGAGTGCTTTCACATGCTTTATAAGATATCCTTAAATTGCCAAATAAAATTTGACAAGTGGAAGAATTTTTCATATACTGGATTATAGAATTAACTGAGGCTAGCAATATCGGTTTGTCAGTTAATTCATTGAATAATTTTGTGAAATCTTTTTCATAGGCATATTTCTTTATTTGTTCAAGGCCAGTTGATGGATTAAATAGTTTAGAGTTGATACCAGTTATTTTGCAATTGCCAGTGTTTATAATAGATTGAATGATTTTTATGATTTTGGATTGGTTTTGGTCATTTTTTTCAACATTAGTTAAAATATTAGTAGTAACAGTGGAAGTGTTGGAAAGGGTGGTATTGGTTGTATTGGTTGTATTGGCGGCTGATTCAATGCTTGACAAATAGTTAATTGGAACCAAAATCTCTGTAGGTTGATATATGTTTAGCTTGTGAATTGTTCTAACGTACGTCTGAGAGTCTTGAATATTCGACAAAATCAATTCGCTGGTGGCAAAGTTAAGAAAGCAAACACCAACAATGGGAGAAATGGTTTTTGATTCGTAGATGGAACAAAGGATCTTAGAAGCATTGGGATTGTAAGGTAAGGGAAGACGTGAAGTAGATGCTCTTGTAGCTGACCGAGAGGTGAAGAAGGCAGTGGAATTGACAGATCTTGACTTGTTCATTTGATCTGGTGAGTTAAGAAAACAGTTGATCTAGATCAGAAGAAACAAAGCAGAGAACTGAAGCACAAGAAAAAAATGAGGAAATAGTTCTAAGCGCCGAGGTGGTGAACATGAATAAATCTCTCTGAGAAGAAAAAGGAATACGAGAAAACTCCAACAGTTCATAACACCAATTAATACTTTCAGTAATGAAAAGATTAGGAAAAATAGAAGCCTTCAGCTGGTACATGTTCATCTATAATAGTTATACAAACTTTTTATTAACAGTAGCTGATTGTGAAGATATATACAAGACAAAAAGATAAGAAACCACAACCATCAACGCTTTGATGCACCAGCTCAATGAATGATTTTCGTTTTATAGCTCTTGATGGTGAATATGGGTTTATTGGTATCATCATCGTCTTCATTTGATGGTTCATTGATGATAATAGGCTTGGTGAAGAACATTTTATCAGCAGGATAAATTTCAATCACATAACTGATATCTCTGATTTGTTCACTCAAATCTTCAAAGGAAACCTTGATATAAATACTAATAAATGCCCAATTGAGAGTGCTATTGGTTTTATCTTTGAGAGTGAAGTTCATTTGATAAAGCGTATCATTCTCATCCAATGAGGCTAATAGTCTCCTATCAGAGTTGATATTTTCATTGTGAAGTAGGAATCTCAATTTATTTAGTGTCAATAAATTTAATCGTTCAATAATCGAGCTTATTCTACTCGCTTTAGCTTCGTTTTCTTGAAAAAAATTTAGTATATTGTAGCCCTTACCAAGTTGATAAATATCGGAGCCAATTAGATCCAACTCTTTATTAAATGGGATATAATTATAATTTTTATAATTCTTTGAAGGGTTATTTTTCAATTCAGTTATAAAATAGTTTAATCTTTTTTTTAAATTTTTCTCGTCATTTTCAATCGCAGTGATAATTCTCTTTTTTATACCAGAATTGAGTTTTTCAATCTCATGAAAAAACTCTTCTGAATTGTTTGCTTTTATCTTTAATTTTGTATTAAACATGGCTTTCAAGATTTTATTGAATAGTTTATAGTACATGAAGTCCTTGTAATATCTTGAAAGGAACGTAAGAATTATAACCACTGGCACAACATAAATGAATATTGGTATTAATATATATATGAAAACATAACCAAACAAGAAAAAATAAAATATTAATCTGACTGGTGGAGGAACGATGGACCAGAATCTTGATATTCTATTTCTCGGTTGATTATGAAACTCGAATTCGTAATTCACTTTAAAATTTCTTGATGAACTAAACAATCGAGTGATTTGATGATTGAGCATTATTTTATTGCTATTGTGATGAATAGTATAGTCATTGCTTTGATTATTTAATAACCAATTTCGGCTGTTGAAAATCACAGAATTTAGTGAAATATGTCTGAATGAGCGGTTGTTAGATAATAAACCAGTTCTATTTAATGATATTCCAGCTTGAAGATAGCTATTACGATAGTTATTTGCTGAACTACTCGCTTCTCTCAAAGAGAAATGTTCACCTTTCAATAGTGATTGAGAAGTTCTCATCAATCTCGAATATCCAGTAGTTTTGGGAAGAAGTAAAAAGGGATATAGCCCATTCCTCAATACCATGATCAGATATTAGATTATATTATAATTTTGTGTTGTCTTATATATATATATAAATAAGATAATAAAACAATAAATGAATGCTACTCTTTATCAGCCTTAGCCAATAAAATTTGATACGGATTTCCTCACGCTAGTAAAAGAAATTTCAAAAATGGTCATAATGTTGTGATTGGGAAGTGTTATTAATAATCACCGGAATATCTGTGGAAGCACATCCATATCATATCATATCAATATATAATATCAATATATGATATCAACAACATTCTACACAGAGAAATAGAATAAATAGGGTAGCGACCAATACACAACTCACATAAAACAAACATGACAGAAGAAGACAACCAGCCTAAATGTCCTGTAGATCACTCTACAAGAGAAGCCTGGTTGAGAAACAATCCAGGCTCGACTTTTACACCTCCCACAAGCAACAACACCACTACCGCCACTGCGAATGCTGCTACTGTTGATAGAAATAATAGTGATGATAGGAAATCAAATTCTTCGTGGCTAGGCTTTGGTTGGTTGTACAGCTCAAATGTGGAGGACAAGAAATCCCCAGCTAAAGTCGCAGAGAATCAACAGTGTTCCTCTGATTCCTTGGTGGAAGAGTTAATGAGTGAAATATCAATCAATAACAATAAATTGGCAGTCGACAGACAGATCTCCTCGATACCTAGAACAGGGGCCAATTCAAACTGGATATATCCCTCGCAGAAGCAGTTCTACGAAGCAATGAAACGAAAAAACTGGGATCCAGATAGCTCGGATATGAAATCTATAGTTCCAATTCACAACTTGGTTAATGAACAGGCCTGGTACTTGATCAGATTATGGGAAAAGGACCAAGGGGGCGAGAGTTGTGGAGGAATCGAGTTGACGAGCTTCAAAGGCAATTCCAAGAAGCTTACCCCAAGAGCCAGGTGGAAACTCATCATGGGATACCAAAAACCCTTTGATAGACACGACTGGACAATCAACCGATGTGGCAAGCAGGTTGATTATGTTATTGATTTCTACTCAGGTAAAACCATTCCAGGAAGCGATTTACCTAGTTTTTACTTGGACGTCAGACCCAAGCTAAATAGTTTTGAGGGCTTCAGACTAAGATTGTTTAAAAGCCTTGGTTTGTGAGCGTCTCTCACTGGTGCTTGTGAATAGAAACCCCTTTCTTGTATTCTGTGTAGGCAACACAAACACCACAGGCATCAAAAACACCAAAAACACCAAAAGAAGTATCTTTTTTATGCTGTGCACGTGGTTTTTCAGCAAGATTCAATTTTTTTTTGTTTTGAGTTTCTGAAATTTTCTGTGATTTTCAACGCTTTTCAGTTGAAGTTGGCGATTAGAGTGTAATTTCTAACAAAATGTCTTTTAATGAGTACAAGGAGTATATAGAGGAAGGCGACTTGGTACTTGCGTGGTTGAGTCGCGACAATTTCAAGCCAATTTACATTGGTGCAAATGACAATTTAAACACTAGATATGGCAGTTTCCCCCACAGTTTAATGATTGGTCAAAGATATGGTTCCCAGATATCTTCAAAATCAGGCAAAGGTTTTGTATACCTATTGGCTCCAACTCCTGAGCTATGGACATTGTCTTTACCTCACAGAACCCAGATTGTCTACACTCCAGACTCCTCATATATAATCCAAAGATTGAATATATCCTCAAACTCAAGAATAATTGAGGCTGGAACAGGATCCGGATCGTTTTCTCATGCCTTTGCAAGGTCAGTGGTCAACGATGAAAGAAATAATGGATTGGTGTTTTCTTATGAATTCCATCAAACCAGATATGAAAAGGCTCGAATTGAATTTGAAAGCCATAAACTCTTGAACAATAAGATCATACTAACTCATCGAGATGTTTGCAAAAATGGGTTTCAAGTGAATAATTTTCCGGAAAATAAGAACATAAATAATGCTATCAATGGTGATCGAAATGGAAACACTCAGATGAATGTCACTGTCATATTCTTGGACTTGCCATCTCCTTGGGATGCAATTCCTCACTTGGATAAAGTTATTACCCAAGAGCATGAAGCCAGAATTTGCTGTTTTTCTCCCTGTATCGAGCAGGTGGAGAGAACTATTCGAGCATTGAGTTCCAATAGATGGGTCCAAATTGAAATGGTCGAAGTCCAGTCAAAAAGCTGGAAGTCTCATAAGATGATGATAAAGGATATCGACGATGTTGTCAACAGATTAAAAGACATCAAAAGAAGAAAAATAAATGGTATACAGGAATTGAAAGAAAAAAACGCTCGCAGAAAACGAAACTCTTCTGACCTAGAAGAGCTCCAACCAAATTCTGAGGAGGGCAAAGAAGCACCAAAGCAAGAAAACAAAAAGGCTAGAGGCTTCAATCCATTTGGTCGTGGTTTGAGAGTGCTTGAAGGTGACGAGAATTACAACTGGCTGAACATAACAAGAATGGAACCAGAAATCAAGAGCCACACGAGTTACTTGACGTTTGCATGCAAAGTCCCCGAAAACAAGAGTAAATAGGACCCCAGTAGCATTAAATAAAGCCAATAGTACTGCAGTTCTTACTGTAGTTGCCTTCTTTCATCTTCAATGCTTCATTTCTTTCTTTCTTTCCTTCTTCCTTCACTGCTGAAGTTGCCGATCGGATGTTAGTGCTGAGATATACACATCCGTTCCAAAAGGCACGCGGAGCGACCACGAGAAATTTTGACAATTTTCCATCAAACAGAGGTGAAGCAAAAGGTGGTATTGAAACTGGTTTCGAGAAAGCTCACATTCTGGCAGTTGGTCGTCGCAGCACCTCTTCTCTATTATTGTTATCCTTTCATCAGGTTCATATGTGTATATATTGGATGCCAATTCAAAAGAAAAGGAAAAAAACAAGGTCACTCATCGCATATTAAACTCGTTCTGCACTACAAACTCTTTCACTAAATCCAACAAAACTACATTCTAAATGTTAACACAAAATCAAAGACCCCAGGGCCAATTTATTCCCAAACATAACCTACAGCAGGGCCAAAAGAGCAAAGACGAAAACCTCTACTTGGAGTCTTATCCTTTTACAACAGCAGCTGCTCTAGTTGGTTCCGTTGATAAGAAAATTTTTGTGTTGTTGAGAGATGGAAGAAACCTATTTGGTGTTCTAAGGACTTTTGACCAGTATGCTAACTTGGTTCTACAGGACACAATAGAAAGAATTTATCTATTGGAGAAGAAGTTATACGGAGAAACTTTTCAAGGAAACTTCTTGATTAGAGGCGAAAACGTTGTAATGTTTGGAGAACTAAACATTGATAAGGAGGATGTCCATTTGGAGGACTTTAAAAAAATTGAATTCAAAGAGGCCGAAAAGACTTTAAATGAAATACATCAAAAAACGATTAAAACGGAAAAGGAAAATTCAAAGATATTTTTAAAAAATGGTTTAACAAGTGATTTTACAAAAAGCGATTTATACTAGAAAACCTAGTTCAAAATAAAACCAGATTTAGTTTTACTTAACTTTATTAATTTATTTATCTTTTTTATCTTTTATTTTATTCTATTCTATTCAAACTGCTTTTCTTTTATTTTTTACTTTTTATTTATTATTTTTTCATTTATTATTTTTTTATTTTTTTCTTTCATTTTTTCTTTTTATTCTCTTCTAAATTTTTGCATTTTATGCTGTGCTTTTATTTGATTAAGAATAATTACTCACAATTTTCCATTATAGTGTGTTGAGTTGATAGTTTAGTTTTTTTTTTAAGAGTTTTTTTTTTAAAGTGTTTTTTTTTTTTTATTTTAACCGATTTATGATGAAAACAAATAACACTAACTGTTAAGTAGTAACTTGGCAGCTATGCTCAATTTAAAATAATGATGCTCAATGATGGTTGATAAAAATATCTCACTAAAACAAAGAAAATATATGATTTCCATACAATTACTTACTTAATGTTTAAATTTGTCAATCTTGTAGTCATTTTTTTAGTCATTTTAGCTTTATTTTTATTATCAATCTTATGGATTCTACTAGCCATACCTAAACCAATTTCTTCTCCATAAGCATCCAAAACAGTTTCTTCTTCTTTACCAAATTCCAACCTATTTTGGGCCTTTCTTAATTCCGACATTTGGAATTGTTCTTTGAATTTTCTAAATCTTTTGCCCCCTCGCTTTTTTGATGGTTTATCCAAGGGAATCGGTAAAGCTTTAGGTGGTCGATTATCTGGAGGCTTTGCATAATCCACCAACTTTTGGTTGATTTCCATTAACAACTTTTTCCCCATTTCCCCATTTGAATAATTATGGTTTAAATCAATTCTTGCGGCCAACACTAATTTTGATGAAACCAACTTCATTGCTTTCTTTTGCAATGAAGTATCTGGCAAGTTTGAAATGACCGGGGAGTTGTATATATATCCTTTTAATCGAATACCATTTGAACCAAAACCTAAAGCTACAGGTTTTTTCGAACCAATAGAAGAAATATTGCAAGCCGGTGTTAATGATAAGTTTTTCAAGCTACCAGTGTAAGCTAATAGTTGAGCAGCACAATTTGGACCAATTATTTCGGTTAAATTGGGGGCAAATTTGTATAGTTTTGAAGCAACATAGTTGATTAATTTTTGGATTGCAGAGTTTAGAGATAACAATAAAGAACAAGCTTTTAAAATATTATTTAACTGAGAAGTTGATAGCACTTGATTATTATTGTTATTATTGTTATTATTGCTGTTGTTATTATTATTACTATTATTATTATTATTATTATTATTATTATTATTAGTGACAATGGAGTTATTGCTGTTGTTATTTGACTTTAGATTCTTTTCATTTTCTAATAAACTTATTGTTAAGAGTAAATGCTTTTCAGGTGGTAAAATTTTCAAAAAAATAGGATCATTAATTTGATTTGAACTTTTGATTAAATTTAGGACAATATTAGCGTAATCAACAGGGTTTTCAATTAATAGAGATAATTCTGAAAACTGTTTGGAATAATGAATTTTAATGAAATTGTAAATGAACTGAATTTCGTTGTTTATTTCTACAGTTAGTTCATTAACTTTTATTAAAAAATTGTAATCATCATTATCATTATCATTATCATTATCATTATCATTATCATTATCATTATCATTATCATTATTGATTTGGTTAGTATTGATTTTCAATAATATTGAATCAACAATCGGTAGTAAGTTTGATATGGAGGTGATGTCATTAATTTTATTCAAATCCAACCTGGAAATTAAATCAGAAGTCGATAACGATTTATTATTTGATAATAAATTATTAATTTCAGTTAATAAAAGTTTGTCAGAAGAGTTCGAATTAGAAGAAACATTAGACTTACTATTTATTTCTTCATAGTCGTTTGGTTGATTATTATTGGCGTCAGCTAGGGAGTGTTGGTTATTAAGGGTGTTTGCTTTGTTATTAATACTGTTGTTGTGATTTTGCTGGTTGTCTTCCAACTCTGAGTCATCTTCAGAGTCGATATCGCTGAGATCAGCAAGTAAGGATTCCTCTAGGGACAAACCCATTGCAAAGAACAACAAAAGTAGAAGGTAAAGTGGAGCGAAGAACCACTAAAGACAACAAAGGCAGTGGATGGTTGTCGAAGAGATGAAAGACTTTGATGAAGATAACATTTTTATATTTAGATTTTGATTCAACCGAGACCAAAAATACGGGTCCGAGGGCAGTATATAACATAAAACTAAAGAGGAAACGAAAAGGAAGAGAAAGGAAAGGAAAAAAAGAGATAAAAACAAAGAGAAAAAAAGAAAAGGGAAAACTAAAAACTGTTAGTGAAGAAATAGAAATTTAGAAATAAAAGTGGAACAAACTGATAGATAAATTAAAAGTTATCGTCGCTATAGTACTTGTTAAAGAAAAGTCTCACTTTATCAAACTCAATTTTAGCACAATCCACAGCATTTTTGGTATATAGAGTCCATTTTAAGTAGTTTCTGTCGTTCGAGTTGACAAAGGGTTGTTCTTTAGTGTTGTCATGCAATTCGTTGAGTTTGACTAGAATTTCTGAGTAGTTGTTTGAATTTGCATGTTTGGCAATATATTCCTCGATTTGATTGTTCAATTTCAGAAAATCGGATTTGGAAGTGTCATTTTCGTGATTCTCAGTGTCTTCAATCACTATTGAATCGTTGATCTTGCTTAGACTTATCATTTTGTCATTTTTCTGATCTATCTCAAACAATTTTCTTAGAGGAATATCGTTATTAAAATCTATTTGAAACCCATTATAATTGATACACTTGGCATAATTTTGAATTCTTTCGCAGTTATTTTGGATTGTAATTAAACCCAAAGAACCAGCAGCTCCTTTGATGAAGTGACCTAGGTCACTTAATTTAATTAGTAGTTTATTGAAATCATTTAGATGCTTTAGTTCAATTTTGAAAATTATGTTACTTTTAGACTGTTGGAAGATGAAATCTTCTTCATCTTCTGAGTTTTTAATTAAATTTTCATCGATTTCCTTTTCAATATAAGGCACTTTGAAATTGCTAAAATAATCCAAGTTTTTATTGTTTTTAAAAATGTTTTTGAATATTTTATCAAGGATCAAGTCCATTTTCTGAAAGGTGTTTTTAGTTTGAGCAATAAACGTCAACACTAAATTTTTGGAAAAATCCGGCTCGTCTTCATCAAGAGATAGTATATCATTCAAGATTTCCCAGTCTATAAGATTCTGATCGTCTAGTATTTCCTCCTCAGGATCATTAACGTTCTCGTCGTTATTGGTTATGGGCTGGACATATCTGTGAGTGGGAACAGCAATAAAGGGATCCTCTCTTTCAAACCTCAAAATGTCATTATTCATGGCTGATGTGGGGGAACAGAACTAACCAAACTGACCAGATACAACAGCTGAAAACACAACTCAGCGAAACAGTGCTTCTTACAATTGAAATCACTTTTACAGATGAAATAATCCTCGCAATTGCAATATTTCTCACTTCCTCACAACAAAAACAAAAATTAAAACAAGTTAAATTTTCGTTAAGGAGCAAAACCATTCTGAACACAGACGCACCTTGGCACGCATTTTCACACGCATTTTCACACGCATTTTCGCACGCACTATCTCACGCACCTTTCGGAAAATTTTTATCACCTTTTGGGAAATGTTTTTCATCTTTTTATGAAATTCTTTTTGATCTGCTTCTTTAAACACCAAAGGCGACAAAAGTGCACAACCAGGCAAACAAACTCGACCTTTTGCACAACTAGTAGGTGGAATTGTTGCTATGAACGCTAATGAACTTACCATTGATCATGAATCTGTCACTTTTTCCAAGACAGATGCTCAGAAAAGAAAGAAACTAAAATACCAACCCTCATCCAGCTTTCGCATTGACGATAATTTGCTACTGACATTCAACGAGATCTTAAAATTCAATGAAAAAATTATAAAAAAGGAGATATCCAAAGACTCCAAAGACATCTCACACTCCCTGGCTGAATTGTCTCCGTTAATTCATTTTATATCTCAGAAACACATCTCGAATTTTGTTTCTGCATGGAGTTATTATTCAACCGTAAATGATCACTCCAATTTTAATCTTTTCACTAAAAACATTTCAAGCTATATCAATATTTTAGATTTCTTTTACCAAAGATTGGAGTTGTACGATAGCCATAATAAAAACACAAATATTCAGGACTCTATATCCTCATTTATCAAATCCCTATACGAAAATCAAACAAATTTAAAGGTCATTTTCAAATCTTTGAATAACTTGAACAATAATAATAACTCAACTATAATTTCAATTCTAAATTTATTAAACAAAATCGCATTATTTAATGATTCGTCTCTTATCGATGATTTCATTTCCATTTTTTTCCAATTTAATGCTCTTTCTATAGACCTTGATCCCACTAATGAGACCAGCAACAACAACTCTGCAGCTTTGAATACAAATGATACATCGATATCAGCAAATTATCTAGTAAATCTTTACAAATTGCTAATTCCTTCAAAATTAAACTCCAATAAAATTTTAAATTCTTACTCCATTCGTTATAATTTCATTTCGTTTTATTTAAACTTAATTCACCATTCATCTCCCTCAATTAGAAAAAGTTTATTACTAATTAATCAAAATAATAACAATAAAAATAATAAAACTAATATTTCTTCAAATAACTTTATAAATAACAATAAATCATTCATAAATAAGATTTTAACCACTTGGTTTAAGTTCATGCCCACCAATGATCCTGATAATTTAATCATAAAGACTCTATCTATTTTCAAAGAGAAAATTATAAAAGAATCTTTATTTAAGAAAATCACTAAAATCCAACTATTCAATGATTTATCCTTAAATAAACTTCTACCTCTCTACTCAAAAAAGGATGATTCAATTATCCAAGAATTCGATGAATTCTTAAACATTTATTTTTTAAACGAAGAATTCGGTATTATAAATTTAAATGCCAACCAAAGCTTTCTTTTTCAAAGTAACTACCAAAATAATTATTTAAATAACTACAATGCTAATCAAAATAACTTCATCACAATAAATAACAAGAAATTTCCTACTCAAAATAAATTGATTTACAATTTCATCATAAATTTAAAACCTTGGGAAAATTTATATCACTCAAAATTAATTATAAACATCTTTAAAAAATTGCCAGAGTTGATTCCTCCTTATAATCTCAACTCATCTTTAAGTTCTTTAAATCTTGATCCAAAATTATCTTCTTATTTCATTGGCCAGTCATATTTCTTACAAAACCAAATCAATATAAATATCAAATTGCCAAATTTATCTAACATTGATAATAATTTATCAAAGATTTCAATTGATTCTGTTTTCGAATTGATTTTACCTTCAAATTTATCAAAACTAAATATAACTAAAGCTTTCAAATTTGACGCCCTTCTAATTCGACAAATCATTATCCAATTATTAATTTCAATCTTTAAAAAATTTGATCTTTTTTCTCAATGGTTCAAAGCCTCTAATTTATTAGATGACTTGTCAATTTTGGTTTCAAAATTCCAAAATTCGTTTCCAGATTTATCAATAGTCTTATCTTGTTTGACCGATATTAATAATAAACACATGTCTTTGCCTAATGATAACCCCAAAAATTATAAATTAATGATTTTATCTTTATTAATTTTAATCAATGATTATATAAATACATTCTCAAACATTAATTTCCAATTTCCAAATTTAGATTTTTTCATAAATTTATTCGATCAATCAAGTTTTAGTGGTATTGATTTAATTTTGTTGGATAATTTTTTCAATTTACAAAATAATTCTCTATTATCTAATATTAATAGCAATAATGCTTCAACAAATATTAGTAAATGGTGGATTCCCTCAAAGTCTTCTAATTCTTTGTTCACAAGTTTAATAAAGTTAAATTGCGTTAATTATTCTTCCAATTTAACCATAAACAACAAAATTTTAAAATTATTAAATAATTTAATTAGTTCCCATCAAACTTTGATTTTTAGTGCTCCCAACTCAATTACTAACAGTAATTCAAAAATATTGATCCCCCAAACATATTCACTATTACACTCACTAAATTTGATTTATCACGCACGTTTTAGTAATGATGTGAATTTTCAATTCCAAAAAATCTATTCCTTGTTAGACAATACAATTTCAAGAGTGATACAAACACCTTACAAGTATCTTGATATTTCTAAAAAAACTAACTATTTAAGTCCCTTTTTGATTACCTTTATTGAACAACTTAAGTATATTGATAAGAAAACCGATTATGATATTGTACTACTTTGGGTATTGAAATTCTTTCAATGTCTCATTATATCTGGAGAATCAAATGTTGAAATCTTTCAATATTTGAAACTAGAATTACGAGGCAAGGATAAATTAGTGGATGAAATTTTATTCAGCAAGAATTCGCTAGAAAATGTTTTTTTAATTAGCACTAATGATGAATCATTACTTGAAAATGATGCAAGTTTTCATATTGCTGAAAATTTGAATATTCTCACTGAAACTAAAAAAAATAGTATAATTTCTCAGTTTTCTTATTTCGAATATATCTTATCCGAACCCTTTAACGAGCTATCCGGTATCAAGCAAGATTTTCCTAACAATGATCTTGACTTTGTGGGGCTACTTTTTAGAATAAAGCTTCTAATTCAAAATAATAAACTTTCATTCAAGAAGGCAAATTCGAAGACTGTTCTATCCACAATGATTGCTCAAGTTTTCAAGTACTTGTCAATGAATTTTGATATAATGATCTTGTTTATCAAAAATTGCACTCACTGGGCTGATTTGGTTTTTAACTCGAAAAACGAAATTACAAATGAAAAGTCATTACATGTTCTAGCAGAAATATCGAGGTTTTTCTTTGAAGTTTACCAAAAAATCAATGAAGATGAAAAAACAATTGATATCAACAAACCTAATATATTTGGCTTGTATTCAGAATACATAAAATTGATTTTAAGAGCAAAAAGCAAAAGTCAAGATATGATCAAGTTGTTAGACAACTCTTTCTGGTCCTTGCCAGACAAAGTGATTTCTGACTATTCTTTGACTGCATCTGATTTCAAAGATAATTTTATTAATGTGCTATTGAAGCAATTCTATTCTAGAAAAATGGAAATTCCAGTTAGTATGATGGTTACAGCATTGAAAAGTCTCAAAGATTCGAAAATTTTGGATTTGTCTCCTATCTTATATAATATAGTAGATAACAACCTCATCGAATCTATTGATAAAGAGCATGCTAAAGAAATTGCATTATTGATAATTGATGAACCATATAATTACCCAATTTTGGGAGCGATAATGAAAAACCAAAATAATGTCTTTGATTACGTTGTTTTTGAGTTGGAAAATATTATATCTTCAAATAATTTGAATCCATCAACAACTAACTTATTAATCTTACATATCACTTCTTGTTTCAAAGAGCACATTATTTCAAAATTTATTAAAAGGCATCGAAATAAAGATTTGCTAAATTCCCTTATTGAAAAATCACTCAAAATTATATTTATTTTGCTTCAAAATGATGAGTTTTTCAACTTCCTGTTGCATAAAATTATTGATATAATTGTTGATCAGATTAAGTTTTTTTCCGAAAATGATAAACTCTTTATAATAAGCAAGTTGTTTAGTGTTAATTTTAACCTATTTACTAATGAAAATGACAAGGTTTTTATATTATCTAAATTTCTTGGATTAGTTCAGAATTTGAAAGAATTTATTAATCTGAAAATCATCAAGAATTGGTTTAACAATTTTATTTTAGATTTAAATAAACAATTTTCTTGGATCAATACTGGTCAGAAAAACATAAAAGAAATTAAACCTATAATAAAAAATCTCAACTCTTTTCTCCGTTCTGATAAAAATTTATGTCTCTGGAATATAATTTCAGATAAAAGTTTGTTAAACATTCAACTAGAAATATTATTGGGTTCAAATAATTTGCTACTTGATAACGATATTTTAATATATATTAATTTAATATTACTTGATCACCAGCGATACAAAAAGTTGGCTCAAACAAATAGATTATTGCAGATATTAATCAACAATAGCAACATTGTATTCAATAGAAAAGATGTTATCAAGGTAAATGCAATGACCAATAATTCTCAAGCTACAAAAGATATTACAGATTTTTCAATCACAGATATTAAGTTTCTAACAAGTTTAATTTTGTACAAGTTGATTAAGTATGATGCAAATCAAGTACATGATTATAATTTACAAGAGCAAATTTTATTATTTTATTCGGGTTCAATAAATTCATACGACTTGATTTTTTTCAAAATATTAGAGATCATTGAAACTCGGTCCAGAAGTTCATGGATGAACAATTATCTGATTGGGAACAATTATCTGATTGGCTTCGAATTCATTGAGATTGAAGAAATGAGCAACACTAGTGAACTTGAAGAAATCAGATTCATCTCTAAAAATAAAGAAAAAAACCAAAAGAATACCAGAAGTAAACTCACTGTATCACTATCAAAAAAGTTGATTGAACTATCATGTAATAATTTTATAAATCAAAAAATTGACATTTTTGAAGAGAAAATTGAAAATAATTGGGATGCTCTTAGTGCATATAACAGTCAATACAAAGAAATTAAATGTGTGGACTATCGTCTGAACAGTACCATCACACATTTGTCGATTTATGATGCAAGATTTTTGAGCTTATTAATATTAAATAACAAAGAATTTGTTACCATCAAAGACAATGTGATTAAATTCAATATAAGACGATTGATAGAGATGAGGCTTTTAGAATTTATAATTGTCAGTTTGAATTCAACTGATCAAAGATTGGTAAGTATTCTGCTAAAGATATTAAGTAATATCTTGATTGAAATGGAAGATAACGAGAAAAAAGCCACGAATAACCATCTCGAAAGTAATGAAACAAACGAATCCACAAAACAGGGCGATCAAAATGATAAGCTGCAAAAAAAGAATTATACTATCAGAGATGGATATATAATAAAAATTTTACTCAGTAAATTATTTTTCACTTTGAGAACAGATGGTTTTAACAAATTATCAAACATTTTCCTAGTTCAAATATCTAGAATTGTTAAAATTTTAAACAATCCAACTCATTTCTTATATAATAAGGTATTTTGGTATTTATTAAACACCAATAAATTTAATATGAGCGAATTGCCCATCTTTAAAAACATAATTAAAATTGGGGGCAGCACTAACGATAATAAAAATAAAAATAAAAACATTAGCACCAATATCAATAACTATAATAGCGCAAACTTTATAAGAGAAATTAATTGGATAGTTGATGGAATTTTAGTTGGATTGAAAGATGAAAAAGATCTAAAAGTGTTAATAAAAAGTAAAGCGCTTGATTGGATTTTGTCCTTTTTGAACATGATTACTTTATCCAATGCATTGAGGTTTAAACTTAATTTAGTTTTGGCTAAAATTCAGGAACTTAACAATGATATTAATTTTGATAACAATTGGAACCTATTAATAACAAGATTCGGTGATTTATGTTACTTAGAACAAAGAATTTCTGGATTGAATAAAAACGAATTGAAATCTATCAATAACATCAATACTAGTGTTAATATTATTGATCAAAACAAAATGAATCACAATTCAGAAGAGCTAATTAACTTGAAATCCATAGCCATCAGATATCAAATTTTAAATGAAAATAATAAGAGGATCAAAAAGTGGACAGAAGATGACTTTGTCAATAGCATTAAAAGAATTTGCAGTAAATATTAGCCATATAAATTGATAGGCTAATAAGATATGGCTTACTCGTTGATAATTTTTTTCACAAGAGTGAATTTGAACGTGCCAGACTGGAGATTGATATGAGATCTATTGTTTTATATATTGATATGTTACTTAAAATAAAGTTTTGATAAGCCTGTGTTCAAAAAAATAATCATCAATATACCCTATCTTATTTTTATTAAATATAGTAGATTATCCCCTTTAATCGGTTTTAAATAAACACTCATCAACATCGATAAAAGATAAATAATGACATATTTGAATTATTTCTGGTTGGTTTTTTTAAAAACATGAAAACGAACCAAAGAAAAAAGCATGCAAAAAAATAAATAATGACTCAATTAATGTGAATGAAGTTAAAAAGAAATTTTGAATTTACAATCGAAAAATATAGTTCATGTATATAAAATTTAAGAATTCAAACAATCAGCTTGTATTTTAATAATTATTAGCAGCAATAGAAATAATCGTCAAACAGTAGAAAGTGATTTTAAATTCATGCATGAAGATTAATGTGTAAATTATATAAACCTTTAGTTTTTTAAGATAAATATATTAGCATTTTTCAAATTCTTAATTATTATTTGTTTTTTTTTTTGTTTTCTTCATTTCAAAGAGAAACCTAAAAATTATCGCAAATAATTGAAAATGAAATTTTTATAAAATCAAATAAAGATTTTAATTTGGTTCTCTGAAAACCAGCTATTATGTTTTTCGATTTGAAAAAGAGATTTTATGTAGAGTTGGCGAATTTTCGATTTCTTCAAGAATATTATGATCTAGACTCATTTTTTTTAACTCAACCAAATTATATATATTCTCAATCTTTTTAATATTATTGCTTTCCAAATTTATAATCTTAACTGATGTTAAAGCAGATAAGTTTTCAATCTTGTCTATGTCATTATAGGATAAATTCAAATTCAATAGATTAACTAGAGTGGATAAATTTTCAATTTTAGTGATTTTATTATCAGATATATTTAAGATTTTCAAATTAATTAACTTTTCCAAGTTTTCAATTTTAGTGATATCATTTCCTGTTAAGCCTAATTCCTTAAGATTAGTTAAAGTTGATAAGTTTTCAATTTTAGAGATTCTGTTTGTATCCAAATTTAAATATTTTAAAGAGCGTAAATCTGATAAATTTTCGATTTTTGTTATTCCGTTATAAGATAATCTTAATGATCTCAAGCTGACTAATTGAGACAAGTTTTTAATTTGGACTAGATTATTATAAGCTAAATTCAAGTATTTGAGATTGACTAAATTTGATAGATTTTCAATTTCAGAAATTTGGTTTCCAAAAAATGTCACCTTTTTTAAACTTTGCAAATTGGATAAGTTTTCTAGTCTAGTGATTCTATTGACTGATAAATCCAATTTTCTCAAATGGGTTAAATGAGATAAGTTTTTGATTTCATCGATACAGTTTGCAGATAAATCCAAGTAAGTTAATCTTGACAAGTTTGGTAAATATTCAATCTCTGGGATATCAGTGTGGGATGAATAAAGGTTGAAGCATCTTAAGTTGGGAAATCTGTCGATCTTGAGTTTAATTAAACTATTATTAATTTGAATCAAGCTGGTATCAGTAACATGAAAGTAAAAATGTGTCAATGTATTTGAGCTTTTAGATGCTAGGAGATCAAACAAGCCTCGAATCTCCCAGTTGAAGAAACGATCACTATTATTACCACAATAGGATAACCTCAAGTATTTTAAATTTTTCTTCTTTAACAAAATGGGGGAGAGCAAATGAATATCCAGATTTAGAGACGATACAATCAATTTCAGGCAATATTTGTAGAATTGCAACAGAAACAAACCGAAAACATCATAACATAGGCACAATCTATTCCTGTCATTGCTGTTTTGGGAGTGGCTCTTCAAGTAAATAGTTGAAAACAACAACCTGAAAGCAAATTCCAGAATTAACTTGTGCTCATGCAAAGTGAACAACCAAATCTTGTTTAGCGAGAGATGAGTTAGGATTCTCTCCACGAAATGAAAGGGCAAAGAAACAAGCAACAGGCTTAGATTGGTCTTCGGTGCTTCAAGTGAGTAGGCATTGTGCTGTTCTGTGTAACCTTCTTCCACCATTCCTCTCTCTCTCTAGCTGCTCTTTTAAAAGCTTTTAAGGTTATTGAAGCTGTTGAAGCTCTTTATGGGGTTCTTTTCAAGGGTCCCTGTGAAGTTCCGTGAGGTTTTTTTCAGGGTATAACCTCGCAAGGAGAAATAACTCCCATTGGCTAGACCGGCTATTGTTTAGCTTGGCCACGTGCAAAATGCTTTTTCTGTGCTTTTGAGGACGTTTTTTGAGGTGAGGTCGAAAAGTGGCAGCAAAAGCACGATGTTAAGAGGAATATCGAGAAGAACATGCTCCAGAGGCAGTTGGACAGCTCCAGTTCGCTGCTGGTCGAGGTGGTACAGCACTGGCGAGGGTGTGCCAGAGAGTGCTGTTCCGGTGAATTTCAAGGACACACACTCGTTGAAGAAAACAGTCTTTGACTACAAGTCCATACTAAGCAATTTGGAGAACCATAAAGAGAGTGTTAGAAGACGTAAATTTGCTTTAGAACATGACTTGGACCTGTTCCCCATTGCTATGAGCTTGTTGAAGAAGCTCAGAGAGCAGTTTCGTGAGCTTCTGGTTCAAAGAGCAGCACTACAAAAGATATCTAAAACCACTTTTCAAAAAAGAAATGGCAACAGTAACCAAGAAAATGATAATGGTGACAAACTTTCCACGGAATCTCGATCGAATAATCTGTTTGCCCAACTCAGAGATATAAAATCTGAATGTGCTGAGATAGAGAGCCAAATCAAGAACTTGGAATTGGAAATTTTTAAAATATCTAATGATTTACCTAATTTAATTGATCCATCAGTTGGTGATGAACAAATTGTTGATAGTTATATTAACCTTCCATCTGAAGATGCAGAATTTTTCTCAAGCCTGCCAACAACTCAACAACAAGAAGAATATCTATCCTCAAAATATTCGTCAAGTAATTTGGATCATAAAACTATAGGTGAGAATTTCAACATTCTAGATTTTAAAACTGCTGTTAAAATATCCGGTACCTCATGGTATTTCCTAATTAACGACGGTGCATTATTAGAGCAAGCTCTCATTCAATATGTCACTAAAGAAGCTAGAAAGTTGAATTTTTCATTTGTAATACCTCCATCTATTGTTAGAAGTGAAATAACAAATGCTTGTGGTTTTAGGCCAAGAGACCAGAATAATGAGCAACAAATCTACGAATTGACTAATGATAATTTATGTTTGACTGGAACCGCTGAAATTCCTTTAGCCAGTTTGAATATGAATAAAATACTCGAAAAGACTCAACTACCTAAAAAATATGTTGGAGTAAGCAGAAGTTATAGAGCTGAAGCTGGTGCAAGGGGAAAAGATCCCAAGGGTCTTTACAGAGTTCATGAATTCACCAAAGTTGAATTATTCATCTATTCTACTCAAGAAAATTCAAATACCGAATTGGAGAACTTGAAGAATTTTCAAATTAAACTAATTGAAAAATTGGGATTATTTTCAAGAGTACTTAATATGCCCACTGATGATTTAGGTGCACCAGCTTATAAAAAATATGATATTGAAGCATGGATGCCAGGTAGATCTAAATGGGGCGAAATAACTTCAACTTCAAATTGTACAGATTATCAAAGTAGAAGATTCAATATAAAATATAACGATATTGATAAAAATGGTAAAAAGATATCCAAATTTGCTCATACACTAAATGGTACTGCTGTAGCAATACCTAGGGTCATACTTGCTCTTATTGAAAATAATTATGATAAAAATAATAATTGTATATGGATTCCTGAGCCATTAAGAGAGTATATGGATGGAAGAGATAGGATTACTCCATTTGAGGAGTAATAAATGCTTTTAAAAGCTCCAGTATTATGGCTTGTAATTAGAATTACATAAAGTGTATTTTTCAATAAGTTTAAACTTATAATTATATATGTATATAAAATAACAAAATAGAAAAAGGAAATTAAATTAAATTAAATTAATCCAATATTTACATTCGTGTTTATATTTAAATAATTAGTTAATAATTATATTTAGAAATTAAAAAGCTTTTGCATTCCGAATATTTTCTTGAATTTTTTTCGATTGGAAATCAGTAGCAGCTTCTAATAATTCCTTGTATCCATGTTTTTGTTTCTTCTTAGAATAATCAGGTAAGACATGAACATTACCGAGAGATTCAAACATTTCGTTAGTTATATATATAGCATTTGGTAAGCTTTCATTATAATGAGAGGCAGCATAGGATAATCTTTTAGTAAGATACCATTCTTTTAAATGGTTTATAGTGGCGGTTCTTGTTAAAATATCGTCTGGTATTGGAATACCAGTTTGGATTGAGATTTCTTTGAACAAATTAAATCTTAGTTGTAGATCTGTCAATCTTTTAGTTTTAAAGATTTTTTCAAAATCTGGCTGGGAATCTGAATCAAGATTTTTATTTTCAGACTTGTTCTCAATTTCGTTTTCCTGCTCTTTTGCTGGTTGATTTGTTTCATCTTTTAGGAACACAGTTTTATAAGCATTTATTAAGATATCATTTAATTCAGATTCAGTTGTAATTGTCTTGGAAGAATACCATTTATCGATTTTGGAATATTTTAAAACTTTTTTAGGATAGGTTGGTGAAGATGGTAAACCAATCGTTTGCACTTTGCTGATATCGATTTTCTCACCCTCTGCAGAAGCTAGATTTGAATTTAAGCCTGTGTGCTCTTCTTCTTCTTCTTGCTTCAGCTCAAGCTTCTTAACTATTTGACTTGTCTGAGGACCCTGTTGGTAATTTTTTAGCAATTCATTTGAATCTTTATAAAGCTTTGTTTTAATCTCTGGAAGCTCAGTATTGTCGACAGGCTTTTGCTCACCTTTAATCAAGGTTCTAGTCTTACTTTTCACCCATGAAAGAAAATCATTGTTGGCATTTGTATTATGGAGGGCTCTGGTCAAATAAGCACTGTTCAAAGAAACAAGTGCTATTGAAGGCACTCTGGAGGATATTGGAGATGTCCTAATAAGAAACAACATTTGAGACACAAGACCAGTCAGTAAAAGCAGCACTAAACAGTGTCGACGAACTCGAGTAGTCCCAGTATCCAAGTATCTGTGATCCAACCGAAACTGCTGGAAATGGAGAATCTGCTGAAACTGAAAATTTCTCTGTTCCACCAATCATCTGACAAATCCCGACGGTGGCCGGGCGCAGACTGAAGGTACAAAAAAACACCGCGCTTAACTACTGCTAAGCACAAAACGACTTCTCCACCAGGACTCGAGCCTGGAATCTCTCGGTTCCTTGTTGAGTTCGTAGCCGAACGCCGTAACCATTGGGCCATGAGGAACAAAATCAAGGCTCAAATGCCGTCGGTATTGCTCATGCTGCATCACGCATCATACTGCGTTTTGACACATGCAAATGCGCTCTGCTGGATCGGGTAGGTGCTTCCGCTCTTGGCTTCCCACTGCCTGGGGTTTTTCTTTCTTGAAATTTTTATCTTTTTCATCAGCATCAATTACTAATTTGACTCCATTTACTGGTCTAGCTGATCTCTCATCATCGCTGTTTGATATTTTATTTATATCTCGAGATTTAATCTTCCACTTTTCCTCGATTGGGGTGTTTATGGATAGTGTTGTATATTCATACCAAACAACTTCAAATGGACAGACAGATAACTATTTTGTATGGCACTGAGACTTATAACTCATATGAGTATGCCATTTTGTTATTGCAAAGCTTGAAGAAATACCATTTTGATGCTCAAGTTTATTCGTTGGACTCATTCGATTTGAAGAAACTAATTTCTATCAAGATTCTAATAATCATATCATCCACCACGGGAAATGGGGACATTCCAGCAAACAGTAAAAAGTTTTGGAAATTCTTACTAAAGAGAAATCTACCTTCAAATTTCTTGGATCATATTTTCTTCACCACTTTCGGATTGGGTGATTCTTCCTACCCCAAGTTTAATTACTGTATTAGAAAATTCCATATAAGATTGTTGCAACTAGGTGCAAAGGAAATCTCAATAAGAGGTGAAGGCGATGAGCAAAAACCTGAAGGTATTGAGGGCTTTTATAAAGAATGGGAAAATCAATTAATCAAAAATCTAAACACAAAATATCCTCTACCAACTAATTTAAAACCATTGGATGATGACTATTTCAGCAACACTATTTTTCCCCCTATTTTCAAATTTAAAATCTTGTCAAAAGGTTTAAAAAGAGATACTCAAAATCAAGATTTAAATCAGATTTCAATCACAAGATCAACTTTTTTTAATCACATCAAACTTGGAAAAGTTATCTCAAACCAAAGAATAACATCTCTAAATCACTTTCAAGACGTCCGGAACCTAAAAATTCAAAATTTGTCTGATAATCAAGACAGCGCTGTTCGGCCAATTAATCCAGGCGATTCTATATCTTTGTACCCTTATAACGATCTAAAAGATGTCAACTCACTAATAGAGGATCAAAACTGGTCAGATATAGCTGATTATAAAATTTCCTTTGAAAGCGATGACTATCAAAATTATTTACTAAACTACCTTAACATTGATACTTTAAATTTTGTTAAACCATTAACTTTACGATCTTTACTTATCTATCACTTTGATTTAAATTCAATTCCAAGGAGATCGTTTTTTGAAAACGTATTTAAATTTTCAACGAATGAAAGACAAAGAGAAAAATTATATGAGTTTTCTAAGTTTGAGCATTTACAAGATCTATATGACTACTCCAACAGACCTAGAAGATCTTTATTAGAAGTCATCTTAGAATTTGATAGTTTAAAGATTCCTGTTGAATACATATTTGATGTCTTCCCAATTTTAAGACCAAGATTATACTCAGTTGCCTCAATTGACAACATCAATAAAAATTTCCAACTATGTATAGCAATTATAAAATACCAGACTATAATCAAAAAATTAAGAAAAGGTGTTTGCACCAATTATATCAAAAACTTGAAAGAAAACGACAATCTCATCTTCAAAATAAACAAACAACCTCTACATTCAAAGGTGTCAATCAACAGTTTAGATAAACCAATGATCTTAATAGGTCCTGGCACTGGCATTGCTCCCATAAGGTCCTTGATTGAATTTAAGGTCAATCTATATGATAAATTAGTTGCAAAAAATATTGCAAATGAAGCCCTAGATGAAAATCAAATCGACAACCTCAATCTCTCTGAAAAACTATTCCTATTCACTGGAAATCGTTTTGAATCAAAAGATTTTCTTTATGGTGATTTATTCAAGTATTTATCTGAAGAAAATCGCTTGACTTTGTTTCCTACTTTTTCTAGAGATAATCAAATCATTAACAAAAAAAGAATCAGATATGTTCAAGATAGAATATATAATGAAAAAAATCTAATATTTGATCTTGTTTTCAATAAAAATGCTATTATTTATCTATGTGGATCAAGTGGTCGAATGCCCATTCAAATTCGAATCACTTTAAAAACAATTTTAATCGAATGTGGGGATCTCTCTGACTCTCAAGCCGATAGTTACCTAAAAAAAATAGAAAATTCTAACCGATACATCCAAGAAACATGGTAACGTATTAAGTATCTTGCAATATATAATTCTTTATAGAGTAGTAGTTACTTTAATAAATGCCTTTTCCAATAAGATGATAATCACCATATTTTATTTTTTGTTTTTGTTTTTGGGTTCAAAACGGCTTGAAAATTGTGTCCTATTTTTTGTTTTCTTGTTTTTTTTCTCCAAACACGAAATTGAAATCAACCAACAATCATTTTTAGCTTCGCTTTATCTTTATTCAGACTTATCGCACTATACACTCGCTCAGAATGTCGTTATGGGTGGATCGATACAGGCCTAAAACACTAGTATCTCTTGATTTTCATCAAGATGTTGCCAATCGATTAAAAGCTCTAGCTTCTTCGGGAGATTTTCCTCATCTTTTGATCTATGGGCCTTCTGGTGGTGGTAAGAAAACAAGTATATTGGCCACCTTGAATGAATTGTATGGTTCAGGTATTGAGAAAATGAAGATTGATGTTAGGACTTTTACGACACCAACAAACCGTAAATTGGAGTTTAATGTGATCTCCTCCAACTACCACATTGAGATCACTCCCTCAGATATGGGGAATAACGATAGAATCGTCATTCAAGAGCTATTAAAAGAGATTGGACAAACTGAACAGATTGACTTTCAAACTGGCAAACATCGATTTAAAGTGGTTATAATTAACGATGCAGAGTCGTTAACTAGAGATGCCCAGGCTGCGTTAAGAAGAACAATGGAAAAGTATTCAACTAATATCAGGTTAATCTTGATTGCAGAATCCACGTCCAACATTATATTGCCAATCAAATCCAGAACCTTGTTGATACGATGCTCATTGCCTACAATTGAAGAAATCAATCGGGTTTTATTGAAAATTAGCAAAAAGGAAAATTTACAAGAAAACAATCAATTGCCTCAGAATGATCGAGAGTGTTTGAAAATATTAAACAGGATTTCCATCAATTCTGAGAGAAATCTTAGAAAGGCAATTTTGTTATTTGAATCATTAGTAATGATTCACAACAAATTGACCATAAATACCCCAATAATTGAATTGGATTGGGAATTGGTTATTAAGAATCTATCAAACTCAGTATTGAAAAATAGATCAGTTTCAACTCTATCGCAATCAAGGTCAATTTTGTATGAATTAATAAGTCATTGTATTCCACCTATTATAATATTGAAAAAATTGGCATTTTTTTTGATTTGCAATGAGAGAATTGAAAACGACGATGTTAAATTTCAAATAGTAGATGCTGCAAGTGTATTTAATGAAAGATTAAATCTTGGTTCAAAAGCTATATTTCATTTAGAAGGATTTTTAGCTAAAACGATGGTTATACTTGAAAAAAATAGGGTTTAATACAGGATAAATTTATACAAGAATCAATTAATAAGTAAGTAAGTAAGTAAGTAAGTAAGTAAGTAAACAAATAAATAGGAAAAAGGATACTAAAAAATGGTTTACCAACCTCTGTACAATTTATATTCGCGCTTTTTACCTTCTAGTATATTCTTGAGTTCTTTTGATGGGTTTGCTATCATTTTAGAGACGACGTTTTCCTTTGGAGGAACTGGAATTGTACGATGTAAACTCACTCTTGGTAGATCTGTTTTAGTGACAGTTTCATAGACACCAGATAGTTTTTGAGCAGCTTTTCTAAGAGTATCTCTTGCGACTCTTTCGTGTAAATTTGGAGCATCGATTTCAAACAATACTTTACCAGTTGGAACTCTTGCGGCCCAATGGTCAAATGCACCTTTACCTTTACCCATACGAGTTTCGTTACCTTTAACACAAACAGGAACACTGCAAACAAATCTTTTGTACAATTTGCCGCTGATGGGTCTCATGGCTCTCATTATAACAACGTCGGCTTCTTGGAGTTGTTTAGCAGACAATCTAACACCTTCTGATTTCAATCTCAAACCATAACTGCCAAAGACAATTGTAGAGCCCTTTATTGAGCCTCCAGTACGAACAGGCACTCTGCCCTTGTGACCTTTTCTTACACGTTTAAATCTGGGGGCATATTCATGACCAAGACGTTTTGTGATGAATTGGTTTAGTTTGGAAAGACCTATGTGAAAAAATTGGACATGTTAATATTAGTTGCGAAAGGTAGAAGCAATAAAAAAAAGGTATTAAAAATAAAACAGAAAACACACACCTAAAGAGCCATATCCTACGATGGAGGGACGAAGACCTAAAAACATCTTTGGAAAAAAGTCTGGGTTAAAACAGTCGAATCGTTATTCGATATTCAAAAAGAGTGAAAAGATCGATTTGGGAATAAAATGAGATATAATCATCACGTGCAAGAGTAAACTTTATATTTCATATTTTATATTTTATATTTTATCAACTGAGTTTTAGTATTTTTATTTGTTTATTAGATGCTATTTAATGGGCGTTATGATGATCAAGTGGTTGTTGTTTAGGTGGTTTGGAGGATGAGGTTGGCAGTGGAAGCAGCCTCGTACACGTCGTTGTGTGTGCCAAAGTTACCAACAGAGAGTGTGTATCTGAGCTGGTATTTTTCTAGAACATCCGCAACAAACTGTTTAGTTTGGTTCAACGATAGTAGTTGATCTTGGTAGGAGTGGACAATAACGAATTGGTTGTATTTGAGAGTTTTCAGAATATCAGTAAACAAGCTGCTGAAGTTTGATGATGAGGTGTAATCGAATTCATTGTGGTGCGCCTCATTAACAAAAGAGCTGTATGAAGGATATTCTTTTATTAGCGATTCAATGTTGTAAATTCCATCCAATAGGTAGATATTGTTCAAGCTTTTCTCCGGAAAGGATTTACTAAACGATTGCAAGATCTGTTTTTCTTTCTGATTGCCACTTTTATCTTGATCTGGGTTCAGTTTAAACCATTGGGATAGAATGGAGTTGTAATTCAACACTTGCAATATCAATGTCGCACCCACAGAATGGCCGATTAAATTGATTTTAATTTTGTCGTTGTTCAAACCAATTCCTTTCTGTTTTAAATGCCCTAGGATCGATGTAAGAGCAGAGAGGACATCTAACAAATATGAGGGAAACTTGTGGATGGGAGCCAATCTGTAGTCAATTGAATAGAAGTTGTCTGTAATTGTGATAGCAGTCTGGGTTTTATTGTTCTCAACAGCAACGAACTGTTCAAATAGCTTATCAGAATCAAAACAGGTGTTTAATGGGTCTCTCCAGGCCCCACCATGAATAAAAATACTCACTACATGGTCCAGGCTTTGAGACTCAGCTTGAGTTGAAGTGCTACTACCACGAACATAATGACATACTACCTGTCTTTCGTGGGCACCATAATGAATGGTTTCTCTGCAATAGTCTGTCTTCATTTCCACAGCTGAATAGCACTGAAGCTTTGAGCAACACTGATTATATACTTGGTCAACATCGCGAAATGGCGTGTTTCTATTGGCCACTTCCCCAAATGTTCGGCGCTTAACTCTCTCTAACTCCCTTTGAATCGCCATCCACAACCACGTATTGTATATGCTGGGCTTAATTTCAGTTGATGAGCTTCGTTAATTGCTGGGAGGTGGGAGTGCTGTTGAACTATTATATTCCTAGGTGGCGACTGCAGCAGTTGTAATCAATTGTAAGAAAGCTAAGTTCTGGTTTATTGAATCAAGATGGTGTGCTATTTGAGCTGCATCAGAACTAATAATCACTAATCGAATTCTGGAAAGTATATGATAATAATTGAATCAAATCAAGTAACTCAGCCTATTGATTGCAGACTTTGAAATTGAAAGCAAAACCATTTGTGGATTGACTTATGATCATTACTTTAGTTCAATGAGGTCAAAATTGGCATCAATTCGAATAGATTGTTTTGATAAATCAAACATTATGTTTTCATTGAATTTTTAGGCAATGGTAATAAGTCTGATACAATTGGAAAAGTGATATTAAACACTACACAACGTTTAAAAGATATTACAATCTGCTTTGGATATTCAAAGTGAAATAAACTACCAGAAGTCCTAAAAACACCTTGTGTTGAATTTCATAATTTACATAAAATTGACCATCTAAATCATCAGAGTGAACATGGTCAATTTTATGGAAACTTGATGGAAGTAAATGCAAATAATACTTATTGGGTTTTTAAATTTAGTAACCACAATTTAAATAATACTAATATAAGAAATATAGAAATCTCATCCAGAGATATATTGAAAATTATTTTTCAACAAGCAATTAAAATTGGAAACTTTGACAAACTAACCAATCTAAAGAAGTTAACAATAAAAAACACAGAAATTGAAAAAATTGAAAATCTAGATGAATTAATCAATTTAGAATACTTGAATATATCACGCAATTGGAAAATTAGAAAGATTGAAAATTTAGATAAATTTGAAAATTTAAATACATTGATCATGATATATACAAACATTGTAAAAATAGAAAATCTAGATAAATTAATTAATTTAGTATATTTGGATTTATCATATAATCTGATGTTTGAGCAAATTGAAAATTTACATCATTTAAGGAACCTAAAAAAATCAGTATTATCACACACAAAAATTGAAAAAATAGGAAATTTAGAAACATTGAACAATCTAGAGCATTTGGATTTATCGTATAATTTGAAAATTGAGAAGATTGGAAATTTAGATGTATTGATCAATCTAAAATATTTAGATTTATCACATAATTCTTTGATTAAAAAGATCAAAAATTTAGATATATTGATCAATCTAGAATTTTTAGTTTTTTCATCGGCCGGAATCATAAAAATTGAAAATTTGGATAGGTTAGTTAATCTTGGAGACCTTAACTTGTCTGGCAATATTATCACAGAAATTAGTGGATTGTCAAAATTAACTACATTGAATAAATTAAATCTTAGTAAAAATTGGATTAACCAAATTCAGAATTTTCCAAATTTAACTCACTTAACTATATTGGAGTTACTGAATAATACGATTTTCGAAATTAAAAATCTATCATATTTATCAAATTTAGAAGTTCTTAATTTGGGAAGTAATAAGATTGATGAAGAAATTGAAACAGTCGAAATAATGCTATCAATTGATGAAGAAGAGACTGAAAGAGCTCAAATTCAATCATTTATTGAATTGAATTCTTTAAATATTGATGGATTGGATTATTTAGATATTGAAGACCCAGATTTGTTTGAAAAACTTAGAAACATACTGCTTGAAACTTTATTTGATCAGGAATCTATAGCACAGCTGGATGAATAATTTTAAATTTGTCGCTGATGATTTGAAAAACAATACACTTTGTTATATTTTTGTAGGAAAATTATCACAATAAACCACATTTGAGCTGGATCGTATAAAACATTATTAAAAGTGAGACTTTTCCCTAGGTTGATTGATTTTAATCTTGAAAATTTGGTAAGTGATGTCTATGAAAAGCAATTTCCATTTTTGTTTATAATTTTGATGTGTGAAATTTGATTTGGAAGAGAAATTGGGTGATAAAAGCAATCATTTATAAAAAGACACCAGGATGGTAAACAGAAGTTGTCAATTTGTACTATGTGATCTTTGGATGAATCAGTGATTAATTTGCTCTACTTTCGTGTTGGTATAACAGTGGAATAGTATAGTTTGACATTGTTGTTTGGTCAGCTTATTCTGAATTGAATATTGGTTTCTTGAGTTTAAAATGGAGCAGTAAAAGAAAAAGACCGGTCGATCAGAGCCGTCATCTGAGTCTTGATGTTGATGAATTTAATAACTTATACACTGGTAACATTATCGACATAAATTTAAATTTTTTGAATATGACAAAAATGAATATATGTTTTGTAATAATTAAAATATATTTGATCAAGTCTAAGAATTAGAGTGCCAATTCGACTTTAGAAATGCAAACATTTTGTTAAACAAAAAATGATAAACAATCATTACCAAAGCCTAATTATATTGACAGCAATAAAATAATTACAAAACAAATTGAAATCAAAATATTGAATACAGGTTTAATGAGCAACCCATTTCCTTTCATTCTTATTGAAAAAACATTGGTGTGGTTATTGCCAGTAGCACCTGCCATATTTTTGATTGTTGCGGCAAGCAAAACTCCAAACTTTGACACTTCAAGCTCTCATATTGAGCACTAAAGATCTGATAATGGACAATAAATTTCATCGAATAATGGTAACATTTATAGATATATACAACAATAAATACTTAATAAAACCTTGTACTAAAACCTTGTACTATTGAGCTAAAATCTTTACTTAATCGGAACAACATAACAGCCAATTTAAAGCCGCCATGTTATTTGAGTTCAATAAAGTTCTAAATACTTACATCAAAATCAAAGATGAAGTAGTGTGCAGCAATAACGGATTATTGTTATTCCGTTGCATAAAATAGTTGATCTTAATACAACAAGAACAATTTCAAAAATGCGGTTTAAAAGTAATCTTAAAACAAAATTTGTCTTGTATGGTTAATTGCCTAAAGTGTATTTCACCAAACAGATGGTTTAATACTTGCTTGTCTTTAAAACCCACCAAACCGGCTTATGATGTTAATATTCAACTTAACATGAATAAAATAAACGTGTGTTGTTGGTTTTTCGATTTCTTTTAAATAATGCTTTATGATTCAGTATAAACCAGAAATCAGAGTCTTTCAACATCTCCCCGGATATTTTTTGATGTAACTGTAAGTACAGTTCAATCTGATGTTCTTGTGGTTGATCTTTTGTTGTTTTCTGATATATGCACGGAATTTATTTGTGGTAGTTGAAAGATGTCCTTAGCAGTTTTATTATTATTAGTCTGTAAAAAGCTTTTCTAAAAGCAGCTTTTCTTTGAGGTCAAATTCAAAAAAATTTATTAGTTTAGGTTTTTAGAAAGTAAGACACAATTGACTATCTGGTAGTGCACACTGATTCCGAGTGGTGGTTTGTGAAAGCAAAACACAAAGTTTCACCACTGGCACAAAATCATCAATCAATTAATGCCATAAAATTAGCATCACTGGATAGTATTCAATACTGATTTAGTTTCCAAATAGAATACACCAAAATAAACAATTAGTAATGTAAAAACTCAAGCCTTTTTTGTTAATTTGAAAGCTTCTTCGAATGTGTAAACATGTTAAGTAAAAGCATTCAGTAAAAGAATTCAGTATAAGCGTCAGTTATCTGTATTATTGGTATATATCGAGAGGTTTGTGGGTGAGACAGGCAGTGGTATCCAGAAAAAGACAAAAGTAGCTGTGTGTCACATGTTACACGATATGCTGTTAGAAAAGAACGCTACTTTTACCAAATATGCACATAGTCAGGAATTTTATTTTTTTGATATTTGTTTCAACAAACAAGACTCTAGTCAAAACATTAATACATGATAAAAGTCTGTTAATAACTTGATTGGCTTTGTTTTCTCTTTTCTAGTAACATGGACAAACCTCAAAGTTGTTTTTGCAAAAAGTTTGCAATTAAATTTCAAAAACATTTAGTCAGATGCTCCATTTTTTTAGGATTTTCATTAACGTTCCAATACAGTAACATTTTACTGGCTTTTCTTCAATTGGTTTGAATTAAAAGTATTACAAACCATACAATTCAGATCTTTTTTATGTTTTATGCTATATTTTTATCCTAAGATCATTACAAAATCCGTGTGTGTTTTACTGAATATTGATGTGTTTTAGAATCAGTAAAAAATGATATAGGTAATTTAAAGGAGTTTCAAAAATGGTATTACAATATATTTCTACTATTATTACAAAAGATAGAATTGATGTGAATAGAGCAATATTCATTAATACTATCATGATTATCAATTTAAGATAACTGTATTTTGTGTCTGATCTCAGAAGAGTATTAAATTGGAAAATTACTTTACTATTGAAAAGCAAAGCTATCAAAAACTAAAATTAAATAAATTAAATGTCTATNAAATTTATGATATGTTATTTGGTAAAATTTATTTATTTAAAATGAAAAAAAGTATATTCAGCATTCAAAATATCTAATATTTTCAAGAAACTCAAAAATCTTATAAAAAGGAACTACTTGAACAGGAATTTTTCAGAACTCAATCAGTTTACAATTTTAAATATAACAAATTAACTTAATTCAGGGCTTCAGATATTTTTACAATTCAGTAAAAATTATACTGCTGTACAAAATCAAGAAAAAATATAATAAAATCAATAACCAATTAGAATTTGGACGGTTAGAACCAAAAAAATCCTGGTAGAATGACTTAATTTATAGAAATATATTACAAATTTGGGATTGTATTCCGGTTCATGTGTATCGGAATTGTGGCGAGTTTTGGAAATATGGTTTTTATTTGTTTTCTGGTGGTGTGCGATTCTTATGGCACATGATTTTATTAAGTAATCAAAGCAAGACTCAATTCAAAAGGGACTTGCCACAAACTTGTGGATGGAATAGTGCTGGAGCTGTATTCGGACTTCACAGGCTTAATACTTTTAACTAGCATCTTTTAATATAAGTGTTATATATTTTTACGATTTTGTCTTTCTTTTACATTTTTTATATAGCTATTTACTCTATATATATTATTTTATTGTTATTGTTTTGTCAAATGTAGTAATTGAATGATTGCCTAATTAGTAGTTTTTGTCGTTGTTTATAACTTCCTAATTTATAAAAGAGACCAGTGGTGTGGGTCATTTCTTCTAACACATTCATTAACATTATATCTGCACGGGCTTAACTATGTAATCGGGATCCTTTGGCTGTGTGATCTGCCTTAAATATGAGTATACGGAAATGGAAAAGGGAAATATATTCGTATTAAATCGCAAAAGTACAAGTATTGTTTATATTTGTAAAAGTTGCTTATGGCTTCTTAATTAGGGTTTTTTAATCAAATCTTACTTTGTTTCTACATAGTACCCTCAGAGATATTTCCACTATAAAATAAAAACGTTATTCAAATTGTGAAAAATAAACTAGCTTGATGGATTATATAAGAATAATTATTTTATTGAAAAGGATAAAGTGCTTTTCTGTTAAGTTTTAATTACCTTGTTAATTCCAAAATGCTAGGTTTGTAAATAAACTTATAGATTTTATTGCATTTTTTAAATTGTCAAAGTTAAAAAATTTTCATTTCCAGTGGAGTGAAACCACCATAAATTAAACTGGTCGATCAAAAAGATTTTAATAAAATTAATTAAATTTATTTTGTTTGAAAGAATATTGAACCAAAAAATATAGAAACATTATCAGATTAATTGAAATTTTAAAACCATTGAGCAAAAATCTGGTCAAATTATGTTGAAACAATGATCAATTAAAAATCAAACAAAAAGATATGAAGTTTTGAAAGACTATACAGAAATATTCCGAGTAAATGGTTTTACCTCAATTTAAAAATTTTCTTTTTAATTTTACTTAGCATCTTCAGCAAAATCCTATATTTTGTCTATATGTTTAGTTCATCATAAAAATTGCAAAACATAACATTTCAATTTGGTGTTGAAATTGTTTTATGTATATTCTCCGGATAATATCTTTTTAAACAGCAGATTTATTTCCACTAATGACTCGAAATAAGTCTTTATGTAATTTTTGTATTTTGTAAAATCAAAAATAACAGTTTAATGAGACCAAAATACTTCAAAAAAAGCAAAAGCACCGTATCTGCATGTGGTGCATATATCACATGCTCTGGTGCATGAATAAAAAAGTAATTGTTTGGATGTATTTCGGTGGAAATTCAAACTGTTTTCAATACCAGTATATTTTGCAACTGAGTTCCGAACACTACGATAGAGTGTATTGAAGGTTCTTATTGCCTTAAATTATTATTTTTCAATTATTGGGCTAGTTGAAACAGTTATTATGTCCAAAATATTTTTCTGTTTTTATTGGTTGCAACTTTTATTGCCTACTGAAATTGCTGCTGCTTTGTAAACAAAAATATATAAGTCCAGAGAAAAAAAGATGAGCCAAAAATTAGAAAAAAAATAATAGAATCATAAAAAAATTCAATACACTGCATACAAATACTAGAAAGGAATAGAAATAATTTAGCAGATTTTTACTATCTGTTTCAAACGAGCGAATGAGCGCCCTTTAACTTAAAAAACTAATGGAATAATAATAATCATTAATCTGTTTAAATTAATACTTGTCATAGCGCTACCCTGCTACAGCCAGAGTCTAATTTCTAAAAGCCATTAGTTTGCCTTAGTTCAAATAAGTTAAAAATAAAAATAATAGAATCATAAGATGATATTCTATATAAATGGGGAGATAGCGCCCTGTTTTTTTATCAAGTATTTTTCTTGATATCTCTCCTCAAAGAAAGAACTTTTCAGTCAGTATCTGCTCGTATTAATTTGATAATATTTTTTTCTACAAATTGAACAATAATCTCAAAAATGGCTTGCCCAAGTGCTTCTTGTAACTGTTCTTACTGTCAAACTGTTGCTGCATTAGGTGGTAACTCTTCAGGAAAAACTGAAGCTTCTGGATCAAAATGTACATGCAAATAAACAATCCAACATTGATGGTTTTTGGCAAAAGAAAACAACTAGATTTATTGTTATGATATAATATTTTCTTTATTTCGTGGTATCTTTTTTATTTTCCCAATAATTTTTCTATCTCATGTTCTAAATACACATCTCTTATGTCTCAACTTCATCCAGCTATCACTGTAGAGTTTGAATCATCTCTCACCAGAAGAAGCAGATGTGATTGCGAGTCAAAATGATTCAGATGAGATGATTCATTTTGACTCAAAATCAAAACGGCTGCACAGCTCCGTGTCAGCTCCGTGTCAGCTCCGCGCAATCAAAGTGTTCCATGTGACTCGGCTTTTTATCTTGTCTCCGTCCCTGACGCAGCCATTTTCAGAGTGTCATGTGATCAGTCCAGTTTTATTCGAACAAGAAAATCAATTGATTAATCTCCAAGACATACACAACCAGAGATAATACAATGATCCTAAAAAAGCCTTTTGAATCAGAAAAAAATCAGGATGCTACAGTCTACATTGGAAATTTGGATGAAAAGGTAGATGAGGTTTTGTTGTATGAGCTTGTGTTGCAAGTTGCTCCTATTAAAAGTCTCAACATGCCCAAAGATAGAATTTTGCAAGTTCATCAAGGTTATGCATTTGTTGAATTGAAATCAGTTAAAGATTCAGAATATGTTGAAAAAATATTGAACGGAATTTTGTTGTATTCGAAACCTATAAAGGTCAAGAAAACCACAAATCAAACCTCAAGAAAAAACCAAATTGATGTGGGCGCCAAATTATTTATATCAAATTTAGATGAGTTAATTGACGAAAATTACTTAAACCAGGTTTTCAGTAAATTTGGAAATTTCAGCTCTGATCCAATTATCATAAGAGACTCTAAAACTGGAAAATCTAAAGGTTTTGGATTCTTGAATTTTGATTCCTTTGAAAGCAGTGATTTAGCCTTGAAAGAGTTAAATAACAAATATCTTATGAATAAAATTGTTTTCATTACCTATGCCTTTAAAAAAGATGGTAAGGGAGAAAAACATGGTGATGAGGCTGAACGATTATTGGCTGCACAGGCTAAAAAAAATCATTATCAATTAACCAAAAATTCAAATGGTAATAATTTGATTATTAATAATTTTAGTAATGTAAACATTAGCAATAAAAATATTTATAATATAAATCATAATCAGAATAATATTGACAGCAATTGAATCAATTATTTCAGCTATTTATATATTTAGTAAATCTACAAACGTCTATCGGAAATGAAAACAAAATTATTAAAAGCTGCAAAAAAAACTCTATGAAAATAAACTTTTGAAAAATTAAAAATAAAAATAAAAATAAAAATAAAAATAAAAATAAAAATAAATATAAAAATAAAAAAATAAAGAAATGGAAATGAAAAAATATTATAAAAGAAAAAGAAAAAAAAAATTGAATTGAATTGAATTTAGATTTTAAAACTTTTTAAATTTATTAATTTATCAAACTATTCTAATTGACGGCGGTTGTTGCTGAAATGTCACTTGGACTTATACTATTTTTAGTTGAAGAAGATGACTGATTGCCAGGTTTTGAAGGCAATCCAAGATGTCCATTTTCTTCAAAGAATCCCTTTTCTTCATCTTTATTGCATATACATGTATTATCTGACAATGCTGAATTTTTTCTTTTTCTTGTGAATTTCAACCCAAATATGCTTCTTTCTTGTTCTGTTTCGTCTTTACCTAATTCTTTATTATTATTACTAGCTTCAAGATCTTTAGTATTATTGAGGTCATCATAATTTTTTCTATTTTTGCTTCTAGGTGATTTCTTACTTTTTCTAATAAAATCAAATGACAAAAAATAAACGGTCCACTTGAATAATCTTGATGGGAAAATCTTCATAACCCATTCATCAGGAATTATTCTAATAATAACACCTGCTGGTAAAGACAACATACCACAAATAATTGCTGTGCCCCACATTGCACCAGTTTGATCAGTAACTGAAAATGCTGTACCGCCAACAAACATGATTAAAACTTGAATACCAGCAATCAATACTGCAATGGCAAGGAAATAGTAGTTTCTAAACAAGTCTTGGAAAAAATTTAAATTTCTCATAGTAATTCTGTCTCTCACTCTCTTAATACCATCTGCTTCATTCAATTTTCTAGTGACAAATAATTTCCATAATTGAAGCCACACAAATGTATTGAATGTCATTGCATGCAATTGTTGTTTTTGATATCCAGTTGCTTCTCCATCAAAGAATATTCTTTCACCACAAAAGTGCAAAACAAATGTAACAATTAATTGAGTGCAAGATTGACCAAGAATCATTTTCCACGTTGAAACAGCAATTAATGGTGCTTTTCTTCCATCCGGTCTAGTTTCTAAAATGTGATCATCAGGTTTGTCGGTTGCTAAAGCTAGAGCAGCAAATGTATCCATAATCAAATTAACCCATAATAATTGAACAGGGGTTAAAACAGATTCATTATCCGATGATGCAACTGCTGAAACAAATGTTAATACAACTGCAGTAATATTGACAGTCAATTGAAATTGAAGAAATTTTTTGATTGAAACTGAAACACATCTACCCCATTTAATAGCCTTAACTATTGCACTGAAATCGTCTGTCATTAAAATAATATCTGATGCTTCTCTTGCAACTTCAGTACCAGAAATACCCATGGAAAAACCAACATCGGCTAATCTTAAAGCAGGGGCATCATTTGTACCATCACCAGTGACTGCAACCACTTCTTTCATTTCTTTCAAATTTTCAACTAAAATTCTTTTGTCTTCTGGAGAAGATCTGGCCAAAACTTTCAAAATAGGAATGATTCTTTTAATTTCTTCCTTGGGCAATTTTCTAAAGGTAGGACCTTCCATACAAGAATTTGGATTTCTCAAAAGGGCAGGTGTTAGTATTCCACAGCCTAAAGCAATGGATCTAGCAGTCATAATATTATCACCTGTAACCATTCTTACAGTTACACCTGCAGCTTCACATTGAGTAATAGCATCGGCAACCCCCTCTCTTAATGGATCATGAATACCAACTAAACCATCAAAAACTAAGGAGCTTAGTTTATTGTCAAATTTATCGTCTTCACCGGCAACAACAATTGTTGGAACATTTTCGAATGGTGATTTATCATAAAGATTATTATCCACAACAAGACTTTCAAAAAATAGATCGGGATCAATTTCAGTTCGAGCTTCATTTAATACGTTAGGAGATGGGGGCCAGCTTTCAAAATCTTTATGAGCTAAGGAAATGGTTCTTAAGGCATTATCTGCATAAAATTCAATTTTTTTGTTCATCAAAGAGAGAGATTCTTCATCAAAGAAATCTAGAGCATCATTTTCATTTTTATAATAAAACCCACACTTGGACAAAACAATTTCAGAAGCACCTTTGATATAGAATGTAAAATTACCTGAATCATTTTCAACTACAAGAGCTGACCATTTTCTAAAACTTTCGAATGGAATGACTTGGACAATTCGTTTAATGTTTAGTTGAGTGGTATTTTTTCTTAAAAAGTCCAAGCTTTTTGAGTCATCCATATCAAACAAATCTTCGGCCAAATACATTAAAGCAATTTCAGTTTTGGAACCGTTATATTTTTCAGAATTTTCAGCAAAAACAAGTTCCGATTTTTTTTTAAATAGCCTAAAACGTTTTGATTTTTTAGGTGAGATACTGATAAGATTGGCAGGTTCTAAATTTCTAAAAGCAGAAGAATTCAAAGTAATGTTGGAGAGCAAATAATTTTTGAGTTTGGAGGATAAATTTTGTTTTATATCATTTGATGTGTTGAGAACTGGTTGATTTGATTGATGTTTTTCTTCAATGGCATCGTCAAAAATGATTTTATCATTTACAACATGATGGGTACCGGTGTTGTTAAATTCTAGGCCACCAAAAACCCCTCTGACAACTCTCATTCTATTTTCGGTCAAAGTACCAGTTTTATCGGAACAAACAGCAGTGGCACCACCCATTGTTTCGCAAGCTTTTAAAATACGAACTAGGTTACCATCTTTTGCCATTCTTGTGGTGGCAAAGGCCAAAGCTAAAGTGACAGCTAAGGGCAAACCTTCGGGGACAGCAACAACAATTAAGGCAACAGCAGTGATAAAGATATCCAAAACTTTTGTACCCTTTTCAGTTCCAGGCAATTCATGATATTTTCCGCCAGAAGGCAATTCTGAGCAAAATTTGAGAATTAAAACTAGGAATAAGATACAACCACCGATAATGGCAAATTTGTTGATTCCGTTTGCCAAATGGTCTAATCTCACAGTCATTGGAGTTGGATCAGGTTCGACTTTAAGGGACATCATTGCTTTTCCATGCATTGAATTTGGGCCAACGGCGGTAACGACAGCATCACCTAAACCAGAGATCAATTTTGTGCCAGAAATCATAAAGGGATCCAAAACTCTTTTTTCGTAGCCAATATCAGCGGTTGAATTTGAAAATTCTTTATTGTATTTTTCGAGGGCGGGAGCTAGAGAGACTTTTTTGATGGTTTGGGATTCACCAGTAATGTTTGATTCATCACATTCACATTTTCCGTCTACAAGAATGGAATCAGCAGGGACAACATCACCGGTCTGCAATTTGATTAAGTCACCAACGACGATGTTGTGGATGGAAATGTAGCATTCAATACCATTTCTATTGACAATAATATCACGATCTTCTTTTTTGGAGTTTAGTTTTGCAAATTGTCTTTCTTTTTGGAAGTCATTTGCGGCACTAACTAAAACAACAACGGCGACAGCGACTAGAATTGCAACACCTTCAACCCATTCGACTTGGGGAATTTTTTTTCCTTGAGCATCGAGTTCGGGGTCTTCACCAAAGGTTTCATACAAACCTAGGGATAAAGAGATAACAGCAGCAATGGTTAAAATGATCATAATTTTATCCTGAAGAGCAATCCAGCATAAGGTGAAGAATGATTTTGGAGGAGTGACGGGGATTTTGTTTTGGCCATATCTTGATATTCTTTGGTCTAATAGAGATGAAGAAGATAGTTCTTCTGACGATAGACCATTTTTAGGATCAGTTTTCAAATTGTTGAAAAAGTCGTAAATTGTCTTTCCATTCAAAAGCTGTATAAATTTTAATATTGATTTTGGATCGTGAAGAGAGCTAAGATGTTCAGCAGAATAAGGCAAGAAATCATCTGGATAGGAAGGGCTGTTTTCTATATCTGATGGAGAATCCAGGGGAGCAACATTTTTGTGCAGTGAAGGCATTATATTGTATAATGTAGTTTATATTCACTGCTGTAAGATATTAAATGGAGAAATATCTTAGTGAATAATAATTCAAATGTTATTGGAAATAAGGGAGAGAAAAGACTGTTGAGATTGGACTGGATTGGCTTGGAGTGAGTGAGTGGTGGAAAATATAAATTGATATTTTTCAGTTGCCAAAAAGTTGGAGAGCTGTCTGGTTGAAATGAGTAAAGTTAAAAAGTATCCAAAAAAACGAAGTAGTGTGTGGTTTGGAAACTAGAAGGGTGAAAATGAATACAATAAAATAGACTTGTAATATTCCTAGATTATAGTATATTGAGACTGAAGTAAGAAGACCATTCTTTCGTTTTTTCCAGTTTATTATATACAAAAAGCGATCAGTGGAAGAATAAAAAAATAAAAGCTGAGCGAAGTAGACCCCCGCTGAAGTGGGTCAGGCCGAATAGGAAAGTTAAAAGAGCTATAGCCTTATGAGGCCCACTGTTTCTAACCCCAGTGAATGAAATGCTGTTGATTGATAGCCTAATTTGTTGCGCTGTTGATAATGCAAAGCGATTAGTGAATTAGATTCATATATATTTGTTGGGTGGCCAGAATAATGAAACAATACCGATGAAATCAGTGATGGAGCTCATGAAAAACAATGAACAACAGTTCTTGAAATTAAGATCATTTACAGGATGATACAAAAAGGAAAAATATAAGTAAAATCAGCCTTGAATTTTGTAGGGGAAGCAACCTCAACTCATTTCTCAGCCAAAAAAAAGCAGAAGTTATGACAGAAATTGTGACTGCAAATAAAACAGAAAGGGAGGATAATTGTAGATCGATGATATAACCAGAGATAGCAAGTGATGCCAGAAACACATAACAGACCATTGAAGAACAAATACAGACACCAATAAGGTTAAACCCACCAGAAAATAGGACAAGAATAGGATAATCAGCCATTTTGATATCGTGCTAAATTCCTGTGGTTTAGTTTCAAACCCAAACAACGATTATGAGCTGCTGGAGCAGAGAATAGCAGTCGCTATTTGGGCTATTGAAACTATTTTGTGCTCAACCCCGAGGGCTGCTTATCTCCAGCTCCAACTGGTGCCGAAGATTTCCTCTCTCAGCGGCACCGTCGGCACGCACGTGAGCTGCCAGCTTTTTCCCTGCTGTGCGGACAGCAACGTCACATGTCGTCTGCGTGCAAACGGGAGAGCGCTGCAGTGCGCGAACAGGGGGGATCTCGTCGAGGTGGCTATGCCAAACCCGAAAGGCGTGTGTTCAACAGCTTCAAGCATAATACGAAAATCTGCATAGGCACTACGCGCAGACCCATCTGAACCCATTCCGGTGGACCCTTTGGGAACCACTGGAACTTGCTGGGCATTCTTGTTTATGCTTCGACAGTGAATTGTAATAAAATACTATGAATTAGGCACGTGCCTGTGTCTCACGTGAAAGTGCTCACGTGCCACTGCTCACGCGAGGAATTCGTAGGGGCCCTCTTTGGCGCGCACGTCGAGCGAGAGAACGCTTTCTGCGATGTCCGCGCCCTCGTAGACAATTTTGCCGCTGAGACGGTCCCCCACTGCAACGGAGCCAATGCCCTTGGGTGTGCCAGTGAGAATCAAGTCGCCCTTTTCCAACGTCATTATTGACGACATTTCGCTCATGATCTTGTTGATTCTGGTGATCATCAACTCAACATAATCGTCCTGCTTGGTTTCGCCATTAATCTCAAAATGGAGCCTGGCTTTGTATGGATCTGGGATTTTTTCCTTGGGGATGAACGAACTTAATGGGCAAAACGTATCAAATCCTTTGGAGATAGACCATGGGAGTCCCTTTTTCTTTGCCTCGTCTTGAACATTTTTTGCTGTAAAATCAATTGCCAAAGCATATCCTTTAATTGAATCTAATGCATCTTGATCACTGAAATTATTTGGATCGATATTTTTCAACGTTTTTCCCATAACCACCACCAACTCAATTTCATGGTTAACAACAACTCCCTTTGGAATCAAAACCGGCCCTTCATTTGGAAGCAAAATAGATGATGATGGCTTTAAAAAATAAAATGGCTGAACATTTTTCAACGATGACAATTCTGAATATTGATTAACATAATTTCTACCAATACAAAGGATTTTTCCTGCTTGTCTAGCGTAGTTAACTGACATTTTCCGATCTTCTTTATTTTATTTCTCAATATAATAATATAATAATATAATAATATAATAATATAATAATATAATAATATAATAATATAATAATATAATATAATTAAATTAAATTAAATTAAATTAATTACAATCGTTGCCAAAATATAACGAAAATACCCTTAATATTAACAAATATATTGTCTTTTGTCTTTTTACTGTACATTTTCCATTCATTATATAATATTTAAACTATTCAACATACTGGCTTTCTCCATTTTGTTTTTCTTTATTTTTCATTTTCTGTTAATTCTTCTTTTTATCCCATTCAAATTTCCCTTTCCATCTCAATCTCGGCAATCTTCCTCTGCTTTTGCGTTTCGCACTCCTACGCTTTTCTTCCTTTCCATCAACTTTTGACATCAACGATAAACAAATCAATCAATCTCATTCCACCTGATTTATTCAATACAAATTTACAGCCAATCAAATTCACTTTTTAATAATTTCAAAATAAACAAATAAACAAATAAACAAGTAAATGAATATATATACAACTGGATATATCTTATGTTTTAACCACAAATAATCATACATCAACAAATAAATAAAAATAAATCAATAAATAAATAAATGAAAATTTATACTAATTTTATTCAAACTAATAAATAACCACACATTTCCCATTCTCCCTACCATCCCTTAATCATTACCTAAACATCTTCCTTGTATTAAACTATGAGTGTGTGATGTCTACTACCAGTCCTATTCTAATTAGGGCTGATTTATCTATGACTACCCTACTTAGGGCTACTTTAATCATGGCTATAATTACTATTTCGTTATTTCACTTTAATTGCCTTGCTTTGAATACACCCTAAAAAAGAAACAATTTATTGCTACTATAATGTTCTATCTGATCTTTCCCATTTAATCCTATAAAAAATAAAAGAAAAAAGTGATATTCTACATTTCACTACTTTTCATTTTCTAATTGCTCATTCAAAATCTTTAATTTCATTCAATTCAATTCAATTCAATTCAAAAAAACAAGAGGAAAGGAAAGAAAATAAAATAAAAGAAAATAAAAGAAAGAAAAATAAAAAAAAAAAAGCTGTTCATGATTTGCATTAAAATGATATTATTATTAATATATTAATAATTAATAACATTACTCCAATCCAGATAATAAAGGTCTTGTAACACAAATAATAATATTCATCACATTCAAATCACAATATTATCCTCTAAATAAATAAGCCAATAATTTACCCAAACTCGCCTGCAGATATATCAAGCCTTCTCCAAGATTAAATACAGTTTTCATGTCTTGATTGTGCATTACACCGCATTTATCCTTTGATCCAGCATCCAGCAACAAAAATAAATAGAAAAACTTCAACCACTGACCAATCAAATTCAATAGCAACATATCTGAACCTGACCACTCAACTTTATTACAAAAATTCCAAAGCAAATCAGGGAAGTGGGACCCTAGCTTTCAATTGGACAAAATCTTCTTTTGTACCCAATATTCTCTCACCGTTTTTCAAACATTGTTCCAACTTTCTATTGCTCTCTGTTTTAGAACAATGTTTTGCCAACTGAAAAAAAAAAAGAATCAAAGCAAGCACTACTGGTTTAATTCTAAAAACATGATTATGGATATCTTGTTTTCTTTTTTATTGACTGTTGGAAATTTCGATAAAGTCAAAAAAGCGAGAAAAGAAGTTTCCTTAAAAGTATTTTACCGACATGTATGATCTGCCCATATAATTATTTATCCTAATTCCTAATATTATTAACCCTAAAACATTAAAATGGCTTAACCTAACTTGGATAAGCTTAACTTTACAACCCCTTTCTGGAGAAAATCTGGAGAAAATCTGGAGAAAATCTGGAGAAATTCTGAATCAACCTATTTCATTTGTTTTATTGCTCCCAATTGCTCAATATTATCTTGAATTTTAAATGCTAAATTTTTATTGCCTTTCTTCATTGGAAATTATCTTTTAGACCATCAATGTTAAATCAGGGAAAGAACATACCTTTTTTAGTAGTTTTAGTACCACAGAATATGCGATTCGCATTGAATGTTTATCATAAGAAAAAAAATCATTTAAATTGATTGAATTCTCTTTATTTTTTCCTATTTTTTTTTTAAATAGATAAATCATATTCTTGATCATAATTTTTCAAATTCAAAATAAAAACACAATTTATGACAATCATTTGTGTCTGAAAAAATGACTCAATCTGATCAAAATAGTATGGATGAAGACCAAAATCACCAAAGGGTTATTAGACCTCCTCAATTCACTTCAAAAGCAATAAAACACTACTTGAAAACAAGATTCACAGAATTAATACCATCAAAAGAAGAAATGAAAGCAAATAAACATTTGCTAAATCCATTCAAACCTTTAACACAAATGACAGCCAAGCAGTGGAATTTTTTTGGCATTGCATTTTGGGGTTGGACCTTAGATGCTTTTGATTACTTTGCTGTTTCTTTAAATGTTACAAACATTGCTCATTCTTTAGACAGGTCCACAAAGGATATTACTTGGGGCATCACTTTGGTTCTAATGTTAAGATCTGTTGGTGCTATCATATTTGGATATCTAGGTGACAGGTATGGTAGAAAGTGGCCTTTTATTGGAAATTTAATTTTGTTAAGTGTCTTGCAGATTGCAACTGGATTCATCAATACTTATAAACAATTTTTAGGTGTTAGATCACTTTTTGGAATTGCAATGGGTGGTGTCTTTGGTAATGCAGCTGCAACTGCTTTGGATGATGCTCCTGCTGACGCTAGGGGTGTTCTTTCTGGTATATTTCAACAAGGTTATGCTTTTGGTTATTTATTAGTAGTTATATTTCAAAGAGCCATTACTGACACCACAGCAAAGGGATGGAGGTCTCTATTTTGGTTTTCATCGGGTCTTTCTGTCATTTTTATTGTTTGGAGAGCCTTCTTACCGGAAACAGATGCTTTTATTAGACACAAACAGCAAACACTAGAAAGTACCGAGGAAAGTAGCAATAAAAGATTTCTCATTCAAGCTAAACAAGCTTTGAAAACTTATTGGTTGATTATGATTTACTTGGTCATCTTAATGGCTGCTTTCAATTTTATGTCTCATGGCTCCCAGGATTTATATCCAACCATGTTGACAAACCAATTAAATTTTGATCAGAACCAATCAACCTTGACAAATTCTTTAGCTAATATTGGTGCTATCGTCGGGGGGTTCTTTTTTGGTTGGAGCACCAATTTTATCGGAAGAAGATTTGCTATTATTATTTGTTGTATTGGAGGTGGTGCAATGATTTACCCCTGGGCTTTTGTTAGAAACGATGGTATTAATGCTGGTGTTTTATTTTTGCAATTTTTTGTTCAAGGTGCTTGGGGTACATGTCCTTTGCATCTTTCTGAACTATCTCCTCCACATTTCAGATCATTTGTTACAGGTGTGTCGTACCAATTAGGTAACTTAGCTAGTAGTGCTTCATCAACAATTGAGGCTGCAATTGGTGAAAGATTTCCAATCTTTATTGAGGGAAAAGAAGATGTGTATGATTATGCAAAAGTTATGGCTATCTTTATGGGTTGTGTGTTTGTTTTCCTTTTGGTTGTAGCTCTTTTTGGACCTGAGAATAGAGGAGCTGATTTGAATGCTGAAGCCCCAGAAAATTATGCTCGAGAAGCCAAATTTTATAAAGAAGCTAATGATGAAGAAGAAAAAGTTTCATCTGAATACAATAGGAAAAAAAGATCCTTCGAACATTTAGAAACTCATTAGATACCATGATGATACATTAATGATTTTATATTTTATATTTTATATTTTCTTATTAACTACTTAATGAAAGTCCCTAATTGATTAGCAATTTTTTCTTATGCTTGTCAAGTAATTTGAATAAATATTCAAATGGTTCTCCAACGTCAAGAGTATGAAAATAAAAGTCTTCTGAATTAAAAAATTCAGGCAATTCTATATTTGGATCAGCTATCATCAATTGGGCAGCCAAAGAACCAGTTGAATCAGAATCTCCTCTGTGGTTAATTGAAATATCTAGCAAATCATCAAAATCTTTTGCTACTTGACTAGAGTAAATAGCGATTCCCAATGATTCGTGAGCTACCCAACCTTTACCAAGCCTACCAACTAACTCATCATGTCTCAAAATATTCTTGTTTTTTTTAGATTCTTGTATAACGTCTACTAAATCCTCAAGATACTTCAACATATTCAAAACTTCTTTTTTATCATCTTCGGATTCTAAAAATTCACTATAAGCTGTTAAGATTTTCAAATTTTCATTGAAAGACTCATCGAAGGACTTTCCTTCCATGATAAGCTTTAAATAACCTAGGAAGAACCCACCACTTAAATAACCCATTGGATTAGAGTGCGTGGTGGCGCCCTGTCTGGAGCCTATATCAAATAATTCAGGCAATGATAGCCTCTGTGACAAGATAATCAATGGAGCAACTCTCATAATTGTGCCACAGCCCTTTGAGTTGTTTAGCTTATCAGAATATGTACCCATTTTGTTGTTCTTTATAGCTCCAAGACATGTCAAACCTGGGGCTCGAGCATTCCACAAAGATTCATAAGAAAGTAACTTGTTTTTTTTATTTGATTTAAGGATCTTCCAACGCTTTGGCTGATCAAAACTTACATTAGAAGTTCCATTTTGCTGTGTTAAATACCAATCTTTGTAATTTTTCCAAATTTCAAGAACTAATTTGTCGCTGTTTATGTGATTGCTATCTTTCAGACCAAGATAATCGAAGATTCCATTTAAACAAAAGAAACTCATTTGAGTGTCGTCAGAAACCAACCACTCCCCCTTAGCTAGTTTGGTTTTTGTAATACCTGATTTTCCAAATACTTCTTTTATGAAGCTCCAAGTCCAAAACTCCACCTTTCTACCAATAGCATCACCAATTGCTCCTGCAACTAATACTTGTTTGATTTTGTTTATAGTTATGGCCATTGTCCAAAACACTGAATTTGCTAGGTTAATTTTTCTTTTCTTTTTTTGTTGTCTCACAGCTAGATAAAGGAGCTAGCCTTTTTTATATAGTGTAAGATCTAAAACCAAACAGAGACCACAGCCTGCGAGTTTCTGGAAAGATACAAATTTATGGATAGAAATTCAGTACTTATTGCTAGTGCCTTGAGTTTATTTTAGCTACTCCTCAGCCTGCTATTGTTTGCTTATAATTTGTTTATGATTTGCGCTACGTTGCAATACAAGAACAGAACAATAGAGACAAGCTTCTATTGTTTGTATTGGTACTTTTCTTTGCCCAAAATGCATTTTTGAAACTACCAAAGCTGTTCAGAGCATGTTTTTGGTGGCTCGCAACAGAAAATCTTCTTTGTTTCGCCAGTTTCTCTACAACTCTATTTCTGTGTCTAAACATTGTTCTGATTAAACCTTTGCTGATGCTCTGCAACAAAATTTGGATATTACAAAAAATGGTAAAGAATGAAAGAAATTTACAGATCACAAAGTAAGTCATTATTAATCGAATAGACAGAGATGTTTATACGGAAAATAAAAAGTGGAATATGAATAATGAATTGTAGTAAAAAAAAATTGGTTTGGCTCCTAAATATTTTCAAAGCTTTCCCTCACCTTGATGTAATGTTTCAATTCATCAGCAGATATACTAGGTATTAGTTCATTTCTCGCTTTGATGAAATCCTGTTGTTGAACTACGACATCTGTATCCTCACTTGTAGCTACCACATCAAACCAAGTTCGAAGACTTATAGGACCTTTTCCTTCGAGAACCATTCTTTCATTATAATCTTTAACCTTTTTATCGACTTCTCCTGCTCGTCTGGTCATTGAATTCAACATCGCGTCACTGCAAAGAGCATAGAAATCAGCACCAGTGAAATTAAATGCACAGGTCTCAGCAACCTCCTTTAACGAAACCTTTTCATCCAACTTGAACTTTCTAGTTAACGCTTCTAGAATCTTCAATTGTTTGTCATGAGTATCAGAAACACCCAAATACAACATTTTATCAAACCTTCCTGGTCTTAATAAGGCGTCATCTAGCAAATCTGGTCGATTTGTCGCCCCTACAACAAAAACGTCATCTCCACCACCATCACTGCTGGACATACCATCCAACTCTGCTAAAAGTTGAGACACAATTCTATCCATTACACCACCAGAATCTCCCTGATTACCTCTTTTTGGCGCAACAGAATCTAACTCATCAAAAAAAATCACACAAGGTTTAGCATCTCTTGCTTTTTGGAAAACTTTTCGCACATTTGCCTCAGACTCACCAATATACATGTTCAACAACTCCGGTCCTTTTACACTGAAAAAATTAAGAGAAAAATTTGTTGCTATTGCCTTTGCAAGAAGGGTTTTTCCAGTTCCTGGTGGTCCATAAAACAATATTCCCGATCGTTTTTTAAGCCCATTATTGAATAATTCAGGATTCTTAAGAGGCATTTCAATTGTATCCAAAATTTCATCTTTAACGAGATCTAATCCACCGATATCTTCCCATTTCACATTCGGAATTTTGGGTGCACCGATCGAATCACTATACTTTCCTCTAGTTTCATTAATTGATTTCTCAAAACTATTTGGGAAAATACTAATATAACCGCCAGTAGCTAAAATTAAATCATGAAAAGAAATCTGTCTATCTTTTAATAATCCCACATTATTTCTGATAAAAGAATAATAATAATCCAATGAAATATTCTTAGCATTACGAACTATCACATTTAAATCCTTTGGTGTAAGCCCAGCTGATTGCAAACTTAACGAGCTCGCTACAATATCATTTCTTGGTATAAATTTAAAATTTGAAGTTTTAAAGACCTCAATAAACTCATGATAAAAATTCGATTCACTGTTTCTTGAATAATTTAAAGTATCAAAATCAATTAAAAACTTGAATATTTCGTTTCTTTCATTTTCATTAGGAACACTAATTGGAATCTCAAACTTGATCAAGCTTCGAATATCTTCACTTATCTTATCCAAATCATTAATTGATATAATAAATATTATTCCAGGTTTTTTAAGATAATCATTAATCATTTCAATAAATTTTAAATTGAAATTGTTTTTCTTATCCATCGAATCGCTTGGATCATTTGTAGAATCATTTTTTTTACACAAAGCATCAAAATGCGTGAAAAAAATTATTAATGGAGAACAACTCTCTACAATTTTATCTAATTTACCTCTTATCATTCCCACGGTTTTCAAATCCTGGCCTGGAATTAACAAATCATAGCAATTTAGTTCAATTAAATTGATACCCATCTCAATAGCAAGACTTCTAACAAGGGTTACTTTACCAACACCTCGGGTTAGAGAGTGTAAAAGTACAGTGGTTTTTAGGTTAGTTTTAGATTTGTTTTTAAAAGATGTCAAGGAAATTTTAATTAATTTTCGGAGTTTTTTGGCATAACTAAAGAGAACTGAATCACTGTTATTTGAAGGATATTTAAAATAAGGTCTTAGATTAAGATATTCATACCAATTAAAGCTTGTTGAGTTTGAAGGTAATTTAAAATTATTGATTATTCCGGATTGAACCATTTTAGTCTGAGAAGGATCAATTATAAATTGTTCCAAGGATTCCGTATGATTATTTTGATTGTTTATTATGTTATCATCACTTGAAATATCAGTGATAATAAACCAGACTATGGCATTATTATTTCCTTTGGGGATGATGGAAGGAAATTGCAAACTAGAGTTATCGTCATCAAGATTGGAACTGTTGAGTGTATTAGGATTTTGTATTGTATCTCCATAAATATCAAAATAATTTCTAGCCATTTGAAGATCTATTAAAATTGGAATCAAATCATTTTTTTTAACCAACCTAAATTTTGATTCAAAAAATTGTTTTAATTTAAGTAGGAAAATGGGTTGATAAGTTTTATTTAAAGAGATTGGAGAGGATATTCTTGAGATGGTGGCTCTTTTAGCGACTTTGAAATTTGAAAAATAATCCTTTGGTAATTGGTTTGTCAAGTTTTGTTGTTGCTTTTGATTTGAATCTGAATCTGAATCAGAGTCTAAGTCGTTGGGGATAATTTTTGATAATATTAATCTTTTGGGCTTATTTAAATTGATTAAAAAAATTGGGGATAAATAAATTGTATTTGAACTATAGTTGTTTGGCTCAATTAATGCAAACAATTTAATTTTAAAAAGGGTTTTATTTTTCAATTTGATATTGATAAAGTCACCACTAAATGAGCCAAGTTTAATTAAATCTGATAGTTTAACAAAACCAAAAATTTGATCGTCCTCTTTTAGTAATGGATCAGGTATAATGTTATTTATTTGATGAGGCAATGGTTTAACATTGAATTGAAATTCATATTGAAACTGGTTTTGAATTTGGCCAGTTAGAGATAGGTTAAATTTAGAGATGTTGTTGTTATTGTTGCTATTGTTGCTATTGCTGTTGTTATTAGTAGGATTATCATTTATGGATTTAGTAACTGTATTTGAGTTTTTAATTAAGGTGATTTTGGTTTCATTTGAGATTAAACCTTGATTGAAAGGTTCAGTTAGTATGACCTTACCATCGTTGATTATATTTTCGTTAATGTTATTAATTTTGATGATATTTTTAAGATTTTCGTCATTGATACTATTGAATAGATAGGAGTCCTTTTGAATGATTTTTTTATTAAAGAAATCATTGAAAAACAGTTTTAATTTTTGTTTTGGTAAACTATTGAAGATATTATAGTAAAAGGAATTTAGAGATATTACAATGTGGTCTAAGAATATGGGATTAACAGAGATAATCAAGGATTTGTCGATAGTTAGATTTTGATGAAAGTTCAAAAAGTTTAGTATTTTTATGAAGTAGTTATCCAAATTGTTATCAATTGAGTGTAGTTTGAATACTTTGAAGTCTGATAGTAACGAAGAACCCAAAAATTTGATTGAAACGTATTTATCGTTGATTTTGAGAACATCAGAATCGAATAGATCATTATATAGGCTTTTTGATATTGAGACCAAATCGTTTGAGAGAACAGTTGAATCATTGAGGAATATTGTGTTGACCAATATGGGAGATGAGATGGGTGTGTTTGGCTCCATTGTTCAAGCAAAGTGGAAGAAGATTCTGCGTGTTTGGGAAGATGTAAAAAGGATAATGGTACTAATTTATAGAATCTAATGAGACTTTTCCATAGCTTATCGATAGAACAAAGCAAATCATATAACTTATAAGCTCAGATGGAGGAGTTTTTGTTGAAATTTGGGATGGAAATTTCCCAAGTTCTAGGTTTGCCCCGAATTGCCGATGCGGGACGCGTTGGGGCAAAAAGGGACGCTCTGAAATATTGAATATAAAAAGTATAAAAAAATATAAAAATTATAAAAAATATAAGCAGCGAGATGTTGTAGAAGGATTTTCTCATGGTTTAATCAAATATAAGGCTTAGAAGAAGAATGTGTATTTAAATCTAACATTTAAATGGTTATTAGAAGTATGAATTGAATAAAAAATTTACTAAAAAAAAAAAAAGCGAGCACCAAGAATTTCAATTTTTTTTCTTTGAATATTAATATTGGAAATAAATCAACCAAAGTTATTGTTATTAAAATATCATTTAAATCATCCTGTGAATAGTGTAGAGTACATTAAATCAAATCAAATAAAATTAAAATAAACAGATACTAGACTTATTTCTTCTCTTTGATTCCGAGAATGGCTCTACCAGAGTAATAAAGAGTGGCACCGGTGGTAAAAGCAAATAAACCCCAGAAAGGGTAGATGTAGAATTTAGAACGAGGGTGCTATTGGCAACAATTAGTAACGGTTGGTTAGTAAATGAAGAAGGAATTTCGATAAGCAGGTGCAGAAAAGCTGGGAGATAGAAGTCTACTAAGAACATACTCTCATCCATAGTGATTTATCAGAGTTTTGATATAATCTTTGTAATTCAATAACAGTGTTTTTTGGCATTTTGGTGTTGATTGTGAGTGAGTGATAATATGTGTTGTGGTATGTAAATTGGAATTGATAGCTCAGATGTTGGATATAAGAGGTGATAGTGAAATAAAGGGCATAACAGTAATCACCTTTTCTCGCAATCTCAGCCAATGAAAAGCGGATTTTTTCCAATTTGTTTTTTTCACACCATTTTCAATACAACTACCGAGTATTAGACGGAAACGTGACTTGGATCACGTCTTCAAACCGATATGTGGTCGGAAGTGGTGCGGGAGGCCAGAAGCGAGCTCGCTGAAAATGGCCTTGCCCGACGCTTAAACGATATCCCAAAGCGATACGCGGTGTAGTTTTCCGGCCCGATCTCAGCGCATCGGTCTGTTCGTGATTTCCGTGCTCCATTTACGGCGCACTTCGAGCTCATTTCTCTATCTCAGACATTGGATTTGATGATGAGATAAGAAATCGAGTTGTTGGAGATGAGGTATATAATATGCCTCTAGTTTCGAGGTTTTTTTTTGCAATGATGGATTGTTTTCTCTTTTGTTGCTGCTTATCCACTGTTTGTAACATTTGAAATGACTAAAGCTGTGGTCTTGGGTTCTGGTATTATTGGTTTATACACTGTTTTTCATTTGCTTGAGAAGCAGATCAAGCCATCGGATATCACTGTTGTAGCTGAGTATTTCGCTGATGATCAATCGATAAACTACACTTCGCCATGGGCTGGCGGTAACTTTTGTGCCATTTCTCCCTCTGATCCTTTATCGTTGGAAATGGATAAGTTTACTTATTTGAATTTGTTCAAAGTCCAAAAGGCACTAGGTGGCCCAGAAAAGTCTGGTTTAGACATGATGCCAATGACCGAATTCTGGGACTACGATCCACCTTCTGAGAAATTAAAGTCTTTGCAATCCTATTTGAAGGATTTCAAGATCTTGTCCAGGGATGAGTTGGCCAAGAAAAACGAACCCAAAATCAAGTTTGGTATCAGCTACACCACATGGAACTTCAACTGTCCATTTTTCTTGAAGAAAATGAGTGATTACATGAGATCCAAGGGAATTCTTTTTGTTCAAAGAAAGCTAACTCACATCTCGCAAGCATTTTTAGATGAATCTACCAAGGTTGTCTTCAACTGCACAGGAATTGGCGCCAGAGATTTGGTCAAGGACCACAATGTCTTCCCTGGCAGGGGCCAGGTCGTCGTCATCAAGGCTCCTCACATCAAGGAAAACTGTGTTCGCTGGGGAAAGAGCACAGCAACCTATATCATCCCCAGGCCCTACTCCCAGGACTCGTTGGTGTTGGGTGGCTTTATCCAGAAGGACTGCTGGTCTGGCGACACTTATGGCGATCAGACCGAGGACATCCTCAGGCGAACCACTGCATTGTTGCCCCAGATCCTCGAGCAAAACGCCCATGGCAGTAGAATAGAGGACCTTGAGATCAAGAGAGTGGCTGCTGGATTGAGGCCTTACAGACATGGTGGACCTAGGGTGGAAGAAGAACAGCTTCCTGAGGGCAAGAGTGTGGTGCACTGCTATGGCCAAGCTGGCACTGGGTACCAGAGTGGGATGGGCTGGACCAACACTGCGACAGATCTCTGGCTCAGGCGAAGGAGTTCAAAGTTGTGATTGGGCTGTGATCGGGCTGTGATCGAGCTATAGCATTCTCCATAGAGAAGTGCTGCCATTTCAGACCAGCGATTTGGCTTTTCCAAACGCTTTTCCAAACGCACGCAGAGTTCGCGCAACATTTTTTTTGTTTTTCTTCCACCCACGCTCTTTATCGCTGGAGGAAGTCGTTATATTGTGTTTATAACCAAACAAGTTTCTTATTGCTAGCTGCCTGCTTCTTAAATGACTTCTTCTTCCTTCACTTCTCCTGTATAGTACTATTCTCTAGATTTATGACAAATAAAACCACTCCCCTAATAAATCAGACCGGAAATTCTTCGCAGAAATCACACAATTCACATGAGAAAACAGAAATACCCAAAAATGATTCTTCAGATCCAGTCGTAGTCGCTAAAAGAAAAAGAGGAAGACCTAGAAAAACGAGCATCACTGAAAATAACACCACCAACAACACCAACAACAGCAAAAACAAGAACAACAAGACTAATTCCAAACCATCCACCCCTGCCCACGAAGGAAGGTTGTTGCGAAAAAGACCTAACCAAGACAACTTTCAAAATTCAATATCAAAAAAACAAAAAATTAAAAAAATCAAATTTATTTTCAACCCAAAACCTCCATTATTAAACCCTTCTCAGCGCATTCCCCCTCCAAAATTTTCTCAATTTGAACACTATCTAAACTCTTTCAAGTCCCTAGACAACGACGTTTCAATCGACACATTCAACGACATTGTTCAGAAAGATTCACTCCTTCTAACCAAGATCAAACATGGTCTTACAAACAATATTCTAAAACTAAACGACAGCAAAGAAATCATCAAAATTCCAAAGGAAAAACCCTACCAAGACCCTATAAAGTACTCACAAATTGTTCACAGCGATCACCTCCTTGCTCATGCAATCAAACTATCCAAAATCCATAACGACTTGCGTAAAAATCACATCTTGAAATGCAAAAAAATAGCCTCAATGATACAAATTCACTTCAATAGATTGAAAAAACTCAAGAAAAATGAATACCAACAAGAACTAAAAAGAAGACAAACGTTGGCAAAATTTGTCATGAGATTAGTTAAATCATACTGGAAAAAGGCTGAAAAGGCTCATCAAATCCAACTCAATGCTAAGCAAAAAGAAATCCAAATGGAAAAGAGCAACATTAATATGACAAAAATGGTTCTCGAGTCTCAGTTAAGAACTGTAGAGCATGTAATGAAAAACAACTTATTAAGTGGTTTCCCCAAAAAGACTCAAAATCAAATCAATTCTGATTCCGATTCTGATTCTGACGACGGAATTGATTCCGATATTTACTCTAATCCTTATGACTTAGAAGCTGAAACTCCTAAAACTAATACCACTGACAAAAGTGAAAGTGAAAGTGAAAGTGAAAGTGATACAGACAGTGAAAACATAAGTGGCACTGAAAGCGAATCTGAAAATAAAAATAAAAATAAAAATGAAAGCAAAAAAAAACACATTCCTACAAAAACTCTTACTATAATTGATTCAAATAATAACACACTCAAATTGCTCAACAACAAATTTCCTAATCAGAATCAAAATGACAACTACACTGATGATGATGATGATGATGATGACAATTTTGATCAAAATAACAACTTGCAATCTCTATATAGCGAACAGGATTTGCTACCCTCATCTCCATTTCCCGATACTTATCTAAACACAAACAAACTTCATTACTCAGAGGAACAACGCAAACTAATTGAAGAAACAGATAAACAACCATATGATTCGCTTCTTGATAGTGATGATGAATCCTTGTCTGAAGAATCCTTATCCGAATCTGATCATCTATCTGCTTCTTCTCAACCTGAGTCGGATGGATATAACCTTTTCAATTTACTACAATCAGATCCAAGTGATACTAACGATAGCTCAAACGAAACTATTTCAGAAAATAAACAAATAGTTAAAAACAATAACCTCACTACTCTAACTCATACTGATAATCAAAACAATTCAAAAATTAATAATAAAATCAATGAAAAAATCAATGAAGACTCACAGCCCTCAATTCCTGATGTTCCAACTCCCATGTTGTTGAAGGGCACACTCAGAGAATATCAAAAACAAGGTTTGAATTGGTTGGCCAGCCTATACAATACAAACACTAATGGAATCTTAGCGGATGAAATGGGTTTAGGGAAAACTATTCAAACTATTTCTTTAATATGCTACTTGGCCTGTGAAAAACATATTTGGGGTCCCCATTTAATCATTGTGCCTACATCTGTTATGCTTAATTGGGAAATGGAATTTAAAAGATTTGCTCCTGGTTTTAAAGTACTAACTTATTATGGAAATCCTCAGCAAAGAAAAGATAAAAGAAAAGGTTGGAACAAGCTCAATGCCTTTCATGTTTGTATCACTTCCTATCAATTAGTTTTACACGATCATCAGTCATTTAGAAGAAAAAAATGGCGTTACATGATTCTAGACGAAGCTCATAATATTAAAAACTTCAAGAGTCAACGATGGACATCCTTATTAAATTTCAATACAGATCATCGTTTACTTTTGACCGGCACTCCCTTGCAAAATAATATCGGCGAATTGTGGTCATTATTATACTTTTTAATGCCTTCATCAAAAGGGAATCTATCAATGCCTGAAGGCTTTGCCAATCTTCAAGATTTTCAACAGTGGTTTGGAAAACCCGTTAATAGACTCATTGAATCCGAAAATGATTCATCCACAAAAGAAATTGTAAATAAATTACATCAGATTTTAAGACCTTATTTATTAAGAAGACTAAAAGCAGACGTTGAAAAACAAATGCCTGCCAAGTATGAACATGTTGTTTATTGTCGATTGTCAAAAAGACAGAGGTTCCTTTATGATGATTTTATGTCTAGAGCGAAAACAAAGGAAACACTATCTTCTGGTAACTTTTTATCTATTATAAATTGTTTGATGCAATTAAGAAAAGTCTGTAATCATCCTGATTTATTTGAGGTTCGACCTGTGATAACCTCATTTGCAATAGACAAATCAGTGGTTTCTGATTTTGAAAGTGATGAATATTTTATTAGAAAAAATTTAACTAAAAGCCAAGATAGATTTCGATTAAATTTATCTTCTATGAATTTTGTGTTTACAGAGAATGAGGATTTCAATACATTTAGTTGTGAGTCAAAGAAAAGATTGAATGCAAGCAAGTTTTTGAAAGAAGAATGCGATAATTTAAATAAATTATTAATAGAGCCTGTGAAGCCCAATTATAATAATATACAAAAATATTACAAGTATCAAAAATATGTTGAAAACCAATCAATGCTAGATCATATGAAACAGCTACTTTATACTAATGAATTTAGGTGTAATAGAAAACCAGTGTTTGGAAAAAATCTAATAAATTTATTGACAATCAACAGAAAAAAACAGTATGAAATTATTCAAAGCGAATTTTTATTGTCTGAATGTTACAAAGAGCTGGTTAAAACAATAAGAAAAAGAACAGAATTATTGAAAGACATTATTGACAATTTTTGTTTTGTGACTCCACCTGTTGTTGCTTTAGACATACCTTCCAGGATTATTCCTTCTCCTATAAGAGAACATGTAATTTCATTGAAAATGACCAATCCATATCATTCAATACAGACAAATTTATCGATTGGGTTTCCTCATAAAAGTTTGCTTCAATATGATTGTGGCAAGTTGCAAAAATTGGCGGGTTTATTACAAGAATTAAAAGACAATGGACATAGGGCATTGATTTTTACTCAAATGACCAAAGTGTTGGATATATTGGAAAAATTTTTAAACAGTTTTGGATATCTTTATATGAGATTAGATGGAGCTACTAAAATTGAAGATCGTCAGTTATTGACGGAACGATTCAATAATGATCCAAGAATCACAGTTTTCATTTTGTCTACTAGATCTGGAGGATTGGGTATTAATTTAACAGGTGCAGATACAGTTATATTTTACGATTCTGATTGGAATCCTGCTATGGACAAACAATGTCAAGATAGATGTCATAGAATCGGGCAGACAAGAGATGTTCACATTTACAGGTTAGTAAGCGAGTTTACTATTGAGGAGAACATTATCAGGAAATCTAATTTCAAACAAAAATTGGATAACGTTGTGATTCAAAAAGGTGATTTTACTACGGATTATTTTAACAAGTTGACTATATCTGAGTTGATTGGGACGGCCAATGGGTTGAAAAATGTTGATAATATAGAAGAGATTGATCAAAAGAATCTTATTGCTTCATTAGCGATGGCAGAAGACGCAGAAGACGCCAATGCAGCACAAGAAGCAATTAAGGAAAACGAGATGGATTCGCATGATTTTGATGATTTTGGATCAAGATCGACAACACCCGTAGCCTCATCAAATCCCCAGACTCCACAATATGAGAGCGATGTGGAATCTAGTGTGGTGGAGACAAATAATAACAGTTTGGTTGAAATTGAAAAAGAAGATGAAACTAAAAAAGTAGATGAATATAAAGGTGAAGAATATGAATATGAATATGAATACTTTGATGACGAGGATTTTGGACATATTGATAATTATATGTTAAAATTTATTGAAGAAGGATACTATTACGATTAATGTTCAAACAAGTTTAGAATTACAATATATATAAAGAGGGAATAAGAATGAGAATGAGAACAAGAATGGGAATAAGAATATTAATAAGAATAGTAATATGGGTTTGAATTTCAAGATAAATAAAAAGACGAGTTATTTTGAGTTGAAAAGTTCTACTAAATTTGAGGCTTTGAGTAGTTTAATGTTCCACAGTTTTTGCAAGTTCTTTTATCCAAGTCCCTGTCAAATTCTAGGATTCCTTCTTTGATTTGGGTTCCTAGATCAGTTAGATAAAACTCTTTGTTGTAAACAATTTCTTTACAATTTGAACAGTACCATCTTATTTGATCGTTGAGATTGGATGGTCTATCTTGCTCAACGACGATTCCAATTGTGTTGGCAAAACGAACAGGATTATGAGGGACATTTCCAGGCAAGAGGAAGGAGTCGCCCTTGTTGATAATTACATCTCTAAATAGGCTTTTACCATCATCGTCTTTATCAACTATTTTCAAGCACATATGACCTTTATACATGTAGAACCATTCAGGAGTCTGATTGACGTGATAATCAGTTCTTTCGTTAGGCCCACCAACTATCATGACAGTGAAACCACCTCTGTGAAGGCAGAAGTTATTGACCGGAGGCTGTAGTAGGTGCTCGTTGTCCCTGACCCACTTGTCGATGTTTATTGGTTCTGGCAACATTGCTGGTGGTAAATAAACAGCTAAAGCAGTTATATACAATAGTTTGAGAACAGAAAATGAGTTGAAAACTGTGGAAGATTCGTACTAAAAGAGCCACTCCGGCCCAATGAAAATCCGGAGAAAGAGCTGGGGATGAGCAACTGTTCAGGTGAGAATTAGAGCAAGATCTTTCGATATTTGGCAGCACTAAGCACCAGTTTAGTGAGCAAGAGCCTGGTAAACAGCGGGAATGGCAGGCAGAGAGATCAACTTGTTCAAGGGATACGCTTCCCCCAGACTCCTTCCTCGTCTCGAGATTCTTGAAGCATCGTCGAGAATATTGAGACCTGAAAAGAGGACCTACGACGAGGATCCAGAAAACAAGCATCCTCTCTTGTATGGAACAGACATTGGAGCCTTGTGGGTTCGAGAAGAGATAGCCCAGTGGAGCAACAGCATCTTTTTTGCAGACGAGAAGCACAGCAGGGCCAGGGCCAGAGCTGACAGCATCAACTTGACTGGGGGCGCCAGCTATGGCATTTGCAACATCTTGCTACAGTGCACTTTGCCCCACAACAGCTTCACCAGACAGGCCTTTATTGTGACGCCCACGTACTACTTGATCAACTCGTCCTTTGTCGACGCTGGCTTCAAGGGCAAGCTCACTGGTGTGGAGGAGGACGACAATGGGAACTACGACCTCGAGGCCTTGGAGAGCAAGATCAGGGAGCTCGAAAGCAGCTTTGAGAACTCCAACATCGACGACTCGTCGATCCAGGGTGGTGCCAATCGCCCATTCAAAAAAGTCTACAAGTATGTGTTCTATTGTGTTCCTGAGTACTCCAATCCAACAGGAAAGTCCCTTTCGACTGAATCAAGAGTGAAGTTGGTTGAGCTAGCCCGAAAATACGACATGCTAGTGATCTGCGATGATGTTTACGATCTTTTGAACTACCAAAAGGGAGTGAAAACGTACAAGAAGAGAATGGTTTATTTGGACAGAGAAACCCAGAAAGACCCAGAGAGTTATGGCAACGTTATATCAAATGCTTCGTTTTCCAAGATCATTGGACCAGGACTACGAATTGGCTGGCAGGAATCTATTAACGATAAATTGGCCATTATATTATCGCAGGGTGGTGCAAACAAGTCAGGGGGGACACCAGGCCAGTTCAATACCTACATTGCTGGCGAGTTGATCAAGTCTGGAAAGATCAACACAATCATTGATGGCCTCAACAAGGTGTACTCCGAGCGAGCAGAAGTCGTCAAGAAATGCTGCAAGAAATACTTGCCCGAGGGCACCACCTTTTCTGGTGCTTCAGGAGGATACTTTATCTGGGTGACCACTCCTGATCATATTGATTGCAGAAAGGTTGTTGAAAAGGCGAAGGAATCTGGCTTGATTCTAGCTGGAGGAGACGATTTCGAGGTGAGTGGAGACGTCAAAGGCTGGGGTCGAAACAGTGTCAGAGTAGCAGTCAGTTATATGGAAAAGGAGGACATCATCAGAGGATTCCAAATCTGGGGAGAGACCATCCAATCTCTTCAGTAAAGAGCTTCAGTAAAGAGCTTCAGTAAAGTCTCAGTAGATACTTTAAATATTGTTTTAAATATTGCTTTAAATATTGCTTTAAACATTTCTTGCAATAAACCGGAATAAAACAATACCCACCTTATCACGTGCAAGTACCGGAAGTCGTATCTTTCTTTTGAAGATAGTGAAGTGATTACGATTGTTTATCTCATTTTTTTTGTTGCCTTTGAATCAACAGACTTTACCAATTTGATACCTTTTTCTCCCACAGACTGGATTTTACGTTTTATATCTTGCATTTTATTATTCTGGATTGCACCTTTTACTGGATACAAAGCAAAAAATGTGGTCATATATTTTCGGAGGTGCTCCAGCTAAAAAGGAGCTACCCAAAAAAGCCATTGTTGATTTAAGAGGACATATTTCAATGTTAAATAAGAAAATAGCCCATTTGCAAAACCAGATCGAAGAACAAGACAAAATAGCTCGTAAGAATGTGGCGACTAATAAGAATGTTGCCAAAACTGCTTTAAAGAGAAAGAAAAACTATCAAACACAACTAGAAAAGTACGAGTTACAAATTGACTCATTAGAGTCGCAGTTAATCTCCATAGAAAGTGCAAACTTGAATTTGGAAACCATGAAGGCCATGAAACAAGGTGCAAAGGCTATGAAGGCCATACATGGCGACTTGAATGTGGACAAGGTTGAAAATACTATGGACGATATTAGAGACCAAATTGATTTATCAAACGAGATTTCCGAAGCCATATCAAGACCATTGGGTCAAGAAGCAGATGAAGACGAACTTGAAGATGAATTGGAAAAACTACAGTTGGAAGAAGCAGAAACTGTTCCAATAAAGAATCAAAAGGAAAAAGAAGAGCCAACAACTACAACAAAATTGCCTTCAGTTCCAAATTTGCCATCGCCTTTAAAGAATACCAAGAACAAGATTGAGGAAGAAGATGAAGATGAAAAGGCATTAAGAGCATTGCAAACAGAAATGGGATTATAATGAATAGTTTTTTTTTCCTTTATTTTATTTTATTTTATTTTATTTTATTTTATTTTATTTTATTTTATTTTCCTCTTTATTTTATTTTCAGGTTCATTAATAGTAAATAATATCTTATCTCATTTTTTTTGTATTTTTTTGATAGTTTCCATTTTAAATCCTACTTTAATTTTTTTTAATTTTAATTTTAATTTTAATTTTTAGATTATTGTCTTACTCTACTCTTTTTTTTTTATTATTTTGTTTTTGATGACATAATTAAGAAGTATAAATTTATAATAGTATATATTAGTTTATATATAATAATATATAATCTAAACGTGTTAATCATTAGAGTTATCTTGAGTTTCGTATTCTTGTTTGAACCCAGTGTTTGACCATAGTTGATGGTTTTCAGGTATGAAATAAGTGATATTTCTTGTTGAATAATCGATATTGTTTTGCAAATTCTCAATTATATCCTGTAGCAATATCGCTTTACCTATTGAAATCTGATTACCTAAGCCATTGTTTTTCAAATTGGTTATATGAATATGAAAATGGTAGTAAGAAGGTTGGTAATGAACAAAAATTCTCAATTGATTTGCGTTGATCTGGTGGTTATAGTGAATCGGAATTTCTTTTTGGATGGTGTTCAAGATGGAGATTAGCCAGTCCAAATGCTTTTCTCTTTTTATATCTCTTATAGACGATATTTCTTTGCCATTGTAGGGAATTAAAATGAGATACAAGTTATCTAGGGTTTTCCCATCCCATTTCATATCAGGTAAAAGAACAAAATCGTTCTCTTTCTTAATGATAACCTTGTCGGATTCTGCATTGTTGTACAATATGTTGTGAACCCATTTTATTCTATCGCCCTTCATTGTCTCGATGTAAGGTTTGACGTACTTGCTGTAGTAGTAAGGGGTTTCAGTGATGATAATTGAGTCTCCAGCATCAAATTTTTTGATGTGCTGGGAAGTAGCAGGATAGATCAAATTGAGCTTGACACTTGGGGTTTGTGTTAGCGACTGGTTCAATAGAGAGAGAGACCAAAAATAGACATCGTTATTCTGAATCAAAGAAATGTTATTCAAGTCAATTAGCGTTGATAAATCCAGGCTGTTACCATCACCAGCACCAGCACCAGCACCATTGGGACTGAGGTCAAAATGGGTCTTTTCCAAGGAGACAATCGCGTCCTGACCATAAATAGTTCCAAGAACAGCACAGTTCTTGAACTGGGGGCTCGAGGCAAGAGTTCTGGAATAAACAAAGGCCCTGAGCAAGGCAGAAAAGTCGACAGAGGAGACCATTTGCAGCATCTCCAGCATCTCCAGCATCTCCAGCTGTGTTGAAAGCAGCTCGAGTAGATCTGTCGCCGTGGCAGCATCGCCGGCTTTTGCTTTCCGCTTTAGACAGCGCTATCCGACGAGGCTATTTTTAGCAGCCCGAAGCGAGCGCACCTGCTGCATCCGGACTGTCACGTCATTCCAGCCCGGTACGGGAGTTACGCGTGCGACCCCCGTTTATGGCCCGTAACGGAAAAAGTAATCTTCCTCAATTGTTCTTTTAAACACCTTTCTAACTTCCACTCGTTGCTCTGTTCTCATTCTAACTTTTCATTTCTATTGTTTCCTCTGGATTGCTTGTTTTTGCTATAACTGTTCTTCTCTTTGGTTCCTCACTCCTCTTCTGCTTTTTTCTCTCTTTGTTTCTCTTCGTTCCTCGGAAACCTCGTTCTTTTGCTTTTGACACATTCATCAGCTATGTCTTCTCTTCAGCCTACCACCTCCTCTTTCTCAAATAAAACCTCAAAGAGCTCCAGAAGTTCTCAGGATCTATCTAATCTATCGCCCGAGTTCTTGCCCATCGTCACTTTGCTCTCTGCTCAGACTCACAGAAGGTACCATGAGGGCATTTTCAATTTGCTCAACGACTTGAACAGCGATGGCAAACCTGCTGACAGGAAATGGCAAGAGGTTTATGGAATACTCACTGGAACTCAATTGGCCTACTGGAATGCTGAATTGCTATCCAACAACAGAGGTGATCCAGAGCAATTCTTAAAGGCTTCTTCAAAACCAAAATATATCAACATTTCTGACGCAAACTATAAAGCATTGGCTTCCCTCCCAACTTCTTCCACTCCCTCCTCTCCATCTTCTTCCCTAAACAATGTGATACTAATTTCAACGACTTTGAAAAACAGATTCATTTTGCAGTTTCAAAATCCTGACAAATTCATCAAATGGCATGCCTCTTTTAGATTATCAACTTTTGAATACACTTCCCTACAAAAGGCTTACACTGCTGCCTTACTATCAGCAAGAGGCACGCGATTATCTGACATCAAAGTCATACTATCCGAAACAAAATTCAACTGCGAAGAATGGACAATGGTGCGATTTGGTTCTGGTTCTGCTTGGAAAAGATGCTACGTTGTGATTGAACAACCAACGAAAAAACAAAGAAAATCAAAAAAACACAATAATGGCATTATGTATTTCTACGAAAACGATAAAAAAGTGAAAAAAAGTGCTGCTATTGCTTCAATTGTCTCATGCAAAAGTTGCTATGCTGTCTATCCTCAATCCACTATATTTATCGATCAAAGCACTCAAATAAAAATGGAGGTTGAAATGGTTTTCCATACAGATTTCCAGAAACTGAGTGGTTTCAAAAAATCCAAACACCCAATAGACACAACCGTCTTCCTAATGCCGGAATCTCATTCTTCTGTTCCAGGCTATGATACACTAATTCGTTTCTTAATCCCAACATTTGATGCCTTCAATCTCTATGGCAGACCAAGCAAATTAATCGCTGAAAAATCAAGCATCTATTCTCTTTTATTTGCTCTACCAGTACTACCTCATGTTTACTACTTGCCTTTGGAAGATGTTATCAACTTGACCTCTTCTTCCGCATCTATTGCCTGGTCTCCTGAGGAGTGGGAAGTTCGAATCAAAGAAGTACTAAAGGGCAAAACATTTGAAGGCTATGAAGGTTACAGCTTACCCCAAACTGTTCCCGATTCTCCTCTGGTTACTGATGGACAATCTGTTCATTCAATTCATTCTGTTGTTTCAATATCAAGGTCCCCCAATTTATCTCAAAATGAACTTCTAGGTTCTTACACTAAAAACATGGTTGATAAAAACCAACAAAGTTTGACCTCTGTTATGAATAGTGAACTGAATGCTTCTTTATCCCACTCTTCTAGCTATAACCAAATTCATCAAACTTTGGCCTATCAACAACGTCAAAGATCTCCCGAACGTCAACGATCTCCTGAACGTCAAGGTTCTCAATCTCCCAGTCATAATCATAATCATATCGCATTACAATACTCAGGCCAAAGCAGCAATGTCAATAATAATGATCAAAGCCACGGGCTAAATCAACAGCAATATACAGGTTCTTCAAGTAGCTTTCAAACCTCTAGAGGATCTGATAACTTTTCTCAAAACAATTCAAACCAGTATCTTCAAAATCCAAGGATTGTGCTTCCTGGTCAAAACAACCCACCTTACCAACAAATTCAAACTCATTCCCAACCTGCAGCTCAGCCTCAACAGCAATTCCAACCGCAGCAACAAGCCCCAGCCCAAGACTTTAGAAACAATCAATATGGCAATTATCAACAAACTCTGGGTGCACCTGGAATGTATCTACAAGGCCAACAACAGATTAATCAGCTTCCTCTGCAGTCCACACGAGGCCAATATACATCTCAACCACATGCCAACTATCCACAGCAGCCTCTGAACTATCCTCAAAAACCCCCATCATCCTACAACCAAGGTCTCCAACCCAATTATCCACAACAATCTCAACCTACCCAAAACTACCAAAACTACCAAAACCCCCAACCCAAATCTCAACAACTATATCCTCAACCCCAACCAAATCCCCAAGCCAATCCCCAAGCCAATCCCCAAATTAATCCACTAATTTATCAAGAAAACACTCAACCCCTTCACTTACACAAGCAAAATCCTATTAGCCAAAATGTTCCACCTCAAAAACATTTGACCAGAAAAACCCCTGCAGGTTTTGAACCAAACTCCCCCGGCACTATGCCTTTGAATTATAATGCCAATAAGTCCAATCCTAACATAAATTCAAATATTCAAGTACCAGAATATATGGCTAATCCAAATTCTTCGGGTGCTGCTGATAACAATGGCTACCCACCCACCCACCCCTTACCCCAAATACCACAACCACAAGTTGGTCAAACCAACGCTCCCTCCAAGCCAAAGAAACTACCACCCTATCCCGTCGAGGACCTTCCCTTTGCTTCAGAGCCTATGCAGTATAATGACCCAAACCAAAGCTACGGCAACCAAAGCTACGATCCCAATTACGCTGAAAACTACAACCAGGCCCCATCCAACCTACACAATTACCAGCCTAACCCAGTGGACCACCTAGCCCACTCGTTGAGCAACACTCACCTTGTTCAGAAGAACTACCCTGGCCAGGGAAATGGCACCGCTCCCTACCAGAACTACAGCCACTACTGAGTGGGTCTGGTTCTTTGTACATTAGCTTCTCTTCTCTTCTTCTCTTCTCTCTTGCTATTTATAGACGTAATAAAACTCGCTTTGTGGCTCCAAACCTCCATCGCGCACGGTCTGGGCGTGTAAATGCCGGCCCGGGCCGTGTAAATGCCATCCTGGAAATTGCGAATAAGTGCAGTGTGAATGAGCTGCCTCAGCAAATAACGAGCACCACTCCAGCCTTTGCTAGCCTCTGCCACCCTCGCTGTTTATCTTCAAATGAAGCTTGTCTTTGCAAATCTATGCGAACCCTCTGCTAATTGATCTAGCCACAAATCGTTACTACTCACAGACTGTACTGCTGTCCTGGTTGTAATTTTATAATGCCGCCCTCTAAGTATAATCGTTCTCGAAGCAACTTTTCCAAGAGCTACCATTCAAATTACAGCAACTCCAGCTCAAACTCACCAAGGACCTACTCGGTCACCCCTAGCACTCCCTACACTGGAACCAACCCCAGGAGCTACAATAACTTTGCCAACAATGGGATCAGTAATAACGGTAACAATAATCCGTCCTCCAATTCAACCTATGCGTTCGCAAATGATAATAATAACAATAGCAATAACAATAACTCTGTTATCCCCAACTTGAATCCCTCTGTAATACTAAATAAAATACTAAAAGAAATGGATTTGGAGTATGACGAAAATCTTGGAATGTTGGATGGTGATTTGATGTTGAGGAAAGACATATCTCAGTTGAAATTAAACACACTAGTAAATTTGAAAAACTTTGTTGAACTATTGAAAAAAAGACTATCAAAGATATCTTCTGAGGACTCTAATTTGATTCTTAAAATAACAGATGCCGTAAAACTAAAAGACCCATCTTTCGGACTATCTTCAACTTCTTTCAAATCCGGCGACACTGGATTTACTGGATCTTCAAATAACGATTTCTCAAGATTAGCAAGCACTGTAGAACATGCAGATAAAAAAAGAAAGCTATCCAGCAGCCGGTATGAATCAAAAAATGAAAACTATAAAAAACTGTTACCAAAGGATGATTTGGTCCACAAAAAGTCTCTAAGCAGAATACCAATCGAATCAAAAGATTCGAATAAGATTGATAATCACAGAGTGAACAAATTTGATAACTCGCAATTTGAACCAACTGCTCATAAAAATGATGGCTCAAATAGAGTCGAGTCAGCTCCTCTTAATGGCTATTTAAACACTAATAAGAACGATAATCATAGCAATTTGAATTTGAATCTGAATTTGAATTCAAATAAAAACAATGAATATTCCACTATTAGAAAAAACATCAACATCAATACTCTAAAAAAGAAATCTACAGAAACAAAGATAAAATCAACTATATCTATTGAATCCAAAAGAGCTAAATCCGTTTCCCCTGCAGCTCAGTTGAAGGATTTATCTTATCTGCAAATAAGACGATCAAAATCCACAAGCGTTAAAGATAAAGCCTTGCTGAAGACTTTGCTGAACAAGACCCAACAGCGACCTTCTGCACCTAAATATATACCATCTATCAAAGGGAGTCCTTCCAACAGACTTTCTTCAACAAAGGAATCTAATGATAATCAAGCGAAAAAAAATGAAATTGAGATTAAAATAGAGGAAACAGAATCGCTTGACAAAAATACTACATCTGAATCCGATGTGGCTAATAATTACAATAGACTATCAAAGAAAACAAAACAAGATCGAATAAAGGATAAAATAGATAATGACACCTCCTTGATAAATAATGATCCAGTAAATACCACATACCCAACAGATCATCTAATAGACATTTCCCATTTTCCAGATTCTTCACATTCAATTAAAAATGACTCAATTATAGAAATCCCCAAATCTGATTTTCTTGATCCTCTTGTTTTGAACATTGCAAAGGAAAGATTGGAGTTATTTGACGAAAGTAAATACATTGATAATAGAGAAGAATATGTGAAAAAGAGATGTGGAATTACATATTATCCCCCAAACGATTTAAAGGATCAATTGCCTGGAGAGATACCTGATTATGATTTCAGTTCAATGAAGGCACCAACAAATCAAATACCTTATAACACTTTTCAAACATACATTGAGGCTTATTTTAGACCATATACAGAAGATGATATAGAATTTTTAAGCAAGAAATTCGTCATTCCGGACAATTTATTAGAAAACAAAAATTATAATCCTAAAGTTAGTCCATTTATAACACCTAAATTAGGAACACTATACTCCAAATTATGGACGGAAGAAGACAATTCATTTGATAATAACAATTCCAATGTAAATAAAAACAGTACCATTGAAGATGTCTTGAGAGATAAATTGATTCCCAAAGGCAGTTCTGAACAATTGACAGATGAATTATTAGAAAAGGATCAAGTTAGTTGCGGTCCGTTAGTGAGTAGATTACTATCAGCTATTTTAAAACTTGATAATAATGGAGACAATAGTATGAATAGAGACAATACCAAAGATGATGATAGTAATAAAGATAATAACAATAGCAGTAATGGAGATAATATTAGTGTTAATAATAATGGGAATAATAATGACAGTGGAGATAATAATGGGGTAATAAAAATTAAAAAAGAAGATAAAATAATTGATTTGGATGATATAAATAATAAGAAAAGTAAAGAAAAAAAAGAAGAAAGCAACTATTTAGAGATATTTAGTAATGATCAACAAAATTACAAATTGCCATCAATAAAAACGGATTACAATTCATTAGAAGAACGAGTAAAACGCGAATTGAAATATGTTGGAGTGTTTATGAATCTTAAGAATAATAGTATTAATATAATAGAAGATAGAGTGTATAGTGATAATAAGAATGGAGGTGGTAATAATGGTAATAATGGTAATAAGAATGGAGTAGAAAATGGATATTTACAGAGCATTAGTGAAAATAAGAGTTTGAGTAATAATAGCAAGGAAAATGGGAATATGGGTTCTAATGATAGTTTGAAGAATAAAGGGAAAAAAGATGAAGGCAATGAAGAAGATTTTGATTCGCTATGGATTAAAAATCGACAAGATGATGAGATTTCTGTTGAGTTGAGGTTATTACAAAAGAAATTGAAGGTTGTTAATAAGAAGAACAACTTACGGAAAAAGGCACTAATTCCCAAGATCAATTATCTGTTGGCGTGGCAAGAGTATTATTCAATTTTAGAAGATTTGAGCAAACAAGTTGATCAGGCGTATATTAAGAGAACGAAGGTTCCCAAGTCTAGAAGGAGGAAAGGGTATTCCAATAATAGTACGAAAAGTAATAATAGTAATATTAATATTAATATTAATATTAATAGTGAGAACGGTAATAATGTTGTTAATAGTGTTAGTAATAATGGGAATGGGAATGGGAGTGTTGGTAATAATGGGAATGGGATAGTGACAGGAAATGGGACAGGGACAGGAAATGGAAATGGAAACGAAAATGGGAATAATAATGGAGAATATGATAGTGGGTATAATATGAATCAGATCAATCAAAGTAATCTAACACATCAACAGATAATAAATAATGGATTACGGTCGTTATTGGATAAGAGAAATAAATGGATAAATGACATTGGGATTATATTTAAAAGTTTAGAGGAGACAATTGGAATACCTAGTGAGAGCATATTTGATAAGAAGATTGAGGAGATCAATGATGATAATATCGATGATTTCATGGATGAAGACGACGAAGAGGAAGAGATTGAGGATGAGTTACAATTAGATGAGAATATCGAAGAGGAGTGAAAGAGAAAAGAGAAAAGAAAAAAGTCAATTGATAAATTGATAAGTAGATAAATAGTTTATTGATTATTTAATCATTTAATCATTTGTTGTTTTCATTTTGTAGAATTGTATTAAAGAATTTTGATTATATTATATGTGAGAAATAGAATAGAATAAGAAAAAAAAGCTATGAAAAGAAGTAAATATAAAGAGATAAAGATAAGATAAATAAAAAGGATTTGAATTATTTACATAATTACTTGAATAGGGAATTAATCGAATAGGGAATTAATTGAATGGTTATTTTAGGAAATGAGCGGATTAGGAAATGAGTGAATCAGGGAAACCAGAGTTTCATGAAAATGGAAGTGAAACCAATATCGTGAACTTCCATTTCGTAGATTCCTACCAAACTGACTAGGGAACCTAGACTTAGCAATCTTAAAGCAGTGTAGTGTAGTTTTCCGTAGACTCTTCTTGGGATATAATCGATGATACAACTGGTGAAACCTGCGTGGCAGTGGACAAGCAATATGATGGACAATATGGAGTCAGCGATGGGGGAGAGAGAGCCGGTAGCAAAGGGAGCGATGGTTAGAGGAACCAAGCCTATGCCCAAGAGTCTTTCGATGGTCCAGTGTCTTGAGCCCTCGAATGGGTCGGCAGGAGGAGGGATGTATGCGTCATTAACAGTTCCAACAATGTAGCCTGGGGGTTGGGGAATGGTTGGAATGAAGGTCTTTTGGGGGAGAGGGTTGACGTAGTTGGAGAAGGAAGTTCTGAATAGTTTTGGAGAGATTTTTGGGAAGGCAGATCTTGAGGATTTGAAGATGCCCAAGGCAGAAGTTGAGAAGACCATGCTGAGTAGGTGAGAGTGTGGATATAGATATAGATATAGATATGGATATGGATATAGATATAGATATATGTATATGTATATGAATAAGAATATGAATATGTATATGAATATGGTGAAGAAGAAGATGGAGAGAATATATAGAGAAAAGAGTCGACGAACAATAGGCGATGAGCAGCAAAGGAAAAAGCGAGAGAAGGAGATTAGAAATGCGTAAAGAACGCGCTTTCATTGGTATAGAAAAAGCCGAGCTGCGGCCGGGCCCGCGTTAGAAATAAGACCGGGAGCGCCAGTTGTGTGGATATCCACGTGGTTTAGACGTGTTATTACGTGAACGGTTAAACACGCAATGTTACATAAGCAGGACGTGTTTGGGCGAGATAGGAGGAGGAGGAGGAGGAGGAGAGGTGTAACAGAGAGGAAGAGAAACAGATGAATTGATTAATGCAGTAGATATTTGGGGAATCATTTGTAGAACCACTTGTTTTTTTCCCATCTATCATCTTGGATAAAGCTGGTTAGGATTTTTGAGTTTGAGGTTTGAAGAAGAGGGTGGCCAGCGACAATGCTGAGAAATTTTTCCAAGCCTTGTCTTCTTTTTTCGATTTCAAAGTCGTTGAATTTGTTTTTGTTGAGGTAGATTTTGGGGGGCAAGGAGGGTATTACCACTCGAGAGCTTTCGTTTTGGAGGGCGATTTTGAAGGATTCAAAGTCTGAGTAACGACGTCTAACGGATGAGGTTTTCTTTTTGAAGGCAGGAATATTTGTTCTACAGACTATTTCGTAATCGGTAAACATACCTCTGCCGTAGCCATGGGTTTGAGGGTCTCTGATTTCGATTTCTAAGAAGTTTTCCGGCTCGCCATAGATTTCATCGAAGGTTTGCTGTTTTATCTTTGGGAGGGAAGATGAATTGTATCTACTATCGGCAGAGGAATTATGGTCGTTTGAGTTGTAATTGGATGAGTATGAGTGGAAAGAGGAGTTTAGTGTTTCTTCAAAAGATCTAAAGGGTTTATCAGGCATGGTGGTTTAGTAATTGAGTAGAGTAGGCAAAGAAGTAGGCAAGCAGGCAGGCAGACAGGGCAGGCAGGGGAATTGGATAGATGATAAGGGAGATGATAGAGAAAGGTGGATGGTGATGGATCAGAAGATAAAGTATAAAAGGATGATAACGGACAAGAGCCCTAATTGCGAACTGGATCTTGGAAAGGCCAGGTGCGTGAGGACGCATTGGACACGCGTTGCACACGCGCCGTTGATTCTGCACTTACAGGCACACGCACGCATAGTGCATGTGTGCTGAAAAGAGGCAGTTTTCGAGCCCAAAAAGGAGTGTCCTGATTGAGGAGTGTTCTAGGCGGAAGCGGATAAACGTGGACGCGGGACAGACGCCGGGAATTTGAGAAGCGGAAGGAGCGCTTAGTGGGTTGGGCGCATTTGCACTAGGCTCTGATCTTCTGTATGGAGCAGTGCTGTGTTTGCATGTTTCCGTTGTGCTCGGTCGTTGGTAACAGTCGAAAGGACATCTTTTGGCAGTGTTTTTTGGCAGTGTCTTGAACATTTCACACGCCTGTGTTTCGAGGCCGTTTCTTTTCGTCTGCCAGCTTGCATTTGGCGTCGCGTTTGGTTTCTTTTGCCGGCCGCTCCCTCCACCGCACAAATGGGACGCGCACGCCCTCCTGGCCCTGATAAGCAGCCCCCAGCGTGAGGCGCAAGTGACTTTCCACTCTAGAAGCGGGAGAACTGCAGCGACTTACACCGAACGGCATTCAACGGCCGTCCGAGCCGGTTCGATAATTTGAGGTTGAAAGAAGTGTGAAAGAAATGTGAAGGAAGCGTGAAGGCTGTTAGAAAAGAGCCAATTGATGATAGAGATATAATAGAATACGCTGGAACAGGATATAATATCATAGAATATAATAGAATCGAGAACTTGCCATCAAACACTAGCCTCTGCTTGAATCTCAAAGTTGCAAAGGCCCTGCAAAAGGTACTGCTCTAAGTGAATAACGACGCCAGTTATCAACCAATAACTCAATCCCCAAAGTTGATCTAATACACCAGCACTAAGACATCAGCTGTAGAACACTTGAATAGAAGAGTTTGATAGAGATACTGAACAAATAGCGAAGAGATACTGAAGTGATACTGAAGTGATACTGAAGAGATATCGAAGAGATATCGAAGAAATACTCGAGACAATAAAAAAGAGAAGATACTGAAAGTCCTCTCTTTTTGTCCATTTCATTCTCTTTTTATTTAAACTTTTCCATAGCTCAATTATAATTTGTCTTTTAGTCCATTTTGTCGTTTTTATCACTTTTCATCTTTTCCAGTCATTTCAAGTCATTTTAAGTCAATTCAAACATTTAAAATTTTTAAACCTTTTAAACCTTTTAAACCTATTAAAACTTTTAAAACTTTTAAAACATTCAAAACACTTTCAACATTTAAAACATTTCAGATATTCAAATTTAATTAGTTTTAATTAATTTTAATTAATTCTAATCAAATTCTAATCAAATCAGATCAAACATACTCTCCCTTCCTTTTCACCCAATTAGCCAACTCTATTCCTTTCCGATATACTGTCTTTCAATTAATCTAATTTGCTTTACTTTAATCCACTTTACTTTAAAGTAATTTGCTGTTTTACTTATTTTATTGCTGTATTACCTTATTTTACCACATTACATTTCCATTACATTTCCATTACACTCCCATTACACTTACATTACACTCCCATTACTCTCTTATTTTCGCTAACATTAACATTGTTACTATTATTATTCTCGCTCTATCACTCTATCTCTAACTTTACTATCAACCTATCTCATTTCCCTCCCATTCTACTCTCATTCTTTCCTCTTGCTTTCCTTTTGGCTTTCCCTTTCCTCTCTCTCTCTCCCCCTCTACTTTCCCTGTTCTTTCTTTTTTTTCTTTTTTTTCTAAAAGAAAAAATGAAAAAAATGAGATGGACCTCAAGAAACAAACGTCGTAGTGTTTCTCACATTAAAAACTTTTCAAATTTACCAATCAATAATAACAATAATAACAATAATAATAATATTTCTAATAATAACTCTAACAATAACAACAATAACAACAATAACAACAATAATAACAATAATAACAATAACAATATTACTAATAACGACTCTAATTCTATTTCTATCTCTAATTCTAATTATAACAACTCAAATTCTGACTTAATACCTGATATTTCTCAATTTAACACTACTAACAACAACACCAACAACTTTAACAACTCTGTCTCTTCCTTTAACTACCAAAACTCCTCCTCTCTATCGCCTCGCTCTTCTTCCTCTTCAACTCTCGACAACATCCCTCCCTCCTTCCACAAAAACCCCTCCTCTTCCTCCTTCAACAACTCCTTCAACAACTCCTACTCAAACCACACTTCTGACAATAACAATAACAACAACAGCAACAGCAACAGCAACAACAACAATACTTCCCTATCCAATTCAATATCAACTCTAACTCCAAAGACACAACCCCACTACCAACAATCAAAACAAGATTCCTCTGATTCCTCCTCCATCTCAAACTCAATCGTCTCTTCCAATCAAAATATGACTGTTGTGGTCGACAAAAAACCTGAAATTTATTCAATCAACAACAACAACAACAATAACAATAAAATAAAAAATCTACAACACTCATTTCAAGACCTCTCCATTTCTTCAATGCCAAAGATAAACAACATCTCCTCCCCCTCAAACGTCAAACTAGACTACAGTGCACAGAACATATCCTCTCTAATCAATTCACAACCATCCTGCTCAACAACTGCCACCTCAAACATAAACTCTCTGTCTCTAAAGGAATCCTACGAATACGACTCCTCCATACTAACTTCATCTACTCTAGTCGAAAACCTCAACAGATACGATCTATCCCACGACGAAAATCATCATCATCATCAAAACAACAACAACAACAACAACAATCACTCCCACTACACTACAAACCACAACGATGATCCCAATCTCAACCCCACCATCAACATCAACACCACAAATGACTCAAACAACAACTCCTCCTCCTTTGTAAACTCTTTCAAAAACTCTTCCTCAACCTCAAATTTAAACATAAACATGTCCTTCAACTCAATTCACTCAAATCACTCCCACCCAAAACTAAACGCCAACAACTACGATAACTACTCCTTCAAAACAGGCTGGCTCAACAAAACAAGCTCCAACGTTAATAGTTGGTCAAACAATATCAACCCTGATTCATGGAGACTATACAAAGCTGAACTAAAAGGTCCCAGCCTACTCCTCTACAAACCTCCCAACGATCTAGGTGTTAAAAACTTCGACCCAAATCTAGACTTGAATAAACAAATCCTATATCCCCAAATCGACGAAGAGTTTCAACCCCAGTCCTCCTCCATACCAAACCCTTCCACTTCCTCAATAATATCTTCAAATCAACTGTCCTCAAATCAAATACGACATTCCAGAAATATGTCGACAATTAACAATCAACCCCAATCCATAAACCAAAAATCATCAAACAACAACAACAGCAATGCTAACACTAATACTAATAATGACAATAATAACATTGATGATAAAAACAACTCCCATAACTCTGATACTCAATGCTCAACCTCTTTACGATCCACTTCAACTATAAAAATAAATAAAATCTTATCTCCAATATCTATCCCAACCATCAAACCAAAACTAACTTACCTCTCAGCCAACTACCCTCATCCTCAATTGAAGCTAGATATCAACACTGGCTCGATTCTATCTGGCACTCTAGAAGCAATCTGTCATACTGTCCTATTTAACGATTCCGAATCTGAAAAATTCATCGACTCAATCCTAAGTATTGTCCCTCTTTTTGGCGATATCAAAGAATGCATTGAATACTTTATCGAATACTCAATCACCTTCACTTCCAACCCACAACAATTGAAAAAATGCATATCAAACTTAAAATTCCCAATACCCCAGAACATTTATACCACAATCCAAATCTCAGAACAAATAGACTCAAAAATTACAACAAGACTAGGCTCAGTTGTTGTTAAAATTCAAGACAGATTTTCCGGAATGCTATTAGACCAAAACATCTTTGAAAACTTGTTAAGATTACTAGAACTAATCACTATACATAATCAAGAATTCGGCTTATCCCTAAAAAATTCTGTTCAAAACAAACAAATCGAAATGACTGAACTACTCGTCTTCAACAAAAATAACCTCGCAAGACCTTTAAAAGAAGAACAGTCCTTATCCGCCGAAAGATTTCTACAAATCGAACTAAATGAATTTGCTGATCAAATAAATCTAATGGATCTAAGATTCAATCAAGAATGGAACCCTAAAACTGACCCTTCCCTACTATATGAAACTGGTTACACCTACTCTCGCTACAATCCTCTAATTTATGACGCTATATCAAATATCCATTACTTGGGCAGATTGCTAGTAGACCATTTATTTGTCGACGAAAAATCTAGAAATAATCCCGAATTTCGTGCAGAAATATTAAGCCGTTGGATTCTATTAGGACTGTTATTCGATCAAAAAGGTGATATGGTTAGTTGGTTGGCTATTGCCTCCGTAATATGCTCAATCCCAGTTCTAAGATTACGCAAAACTTGGTCCTTTATTGAGTCAAAGGTTCAGAAAATTGCTTCATCCCAATTTGCTCCTGTCATTTTTGAACTTGATAGAAGAAGTTTAATATCAGAAGCTACTCACAAGACTGCTTATCATGTCATAGCTCCTCAAGGAATCGGTAAAACATACTCTAAAAACAGAGTTGTCCCTTATTTTGGTGATCTAAGTATCAAAATGGTTGCTAGCTCGAATATTAAACAATGCGAAAAGAGAGATCAGCGTATTAAAATCTCATTTTCAAGATGGGATGAATACCTAGACCAAGTCCAAGATATAAAAGATTTTGGCCCATTTCCTAAACCCATCCCGGGCCTTCAAAAATTATTATATAATTTACTAAACACACATGTCTCATTGCCACCACTTAAGCAAGAAGATATAATGGAATTATCCTTAGAAGTTGAATCAAATTATACTGGAAACTTTTTCGAATATCATTTCTTACCGAAAACTCCTTTTACTAATGGAGGTTTTGCTCCAATTGTATTTAATGAAGTCTTACCATATTATAAATTTTTAGACCAAGATTCATTGTTGGAGGCCAGTGGAATTCCAAAAAACAGAAAAAGAGAGAGAGAGAAAGAAAGAAGGTTGGCCATTGCAAAAGAGTTTGGTGAAGATGGTGAGCGTCTAGAAAGAAAAATTGATCACATAACAGCGCCAAATATGAATGCTCATATTACTGGCATTGATGAGGTGGACATTTTAAACTATTCAGCAACTATTAAACTTGAAAGTCATAACCTTTTCATGGATTATGTCAAAGACATTTTTAATATCGACACATCAATATTTCATATATCTGATGGAATTGTATTTAAAACACAAAACGATAACGGTTTTAAGTTTCCGGGCTTTTCAGGGAACGACGAAGACAATAAATTTAGAAACAGTAAAAGAGTTTCTGTTGTTGATTCAAATGATGTTTTCAATATTTTGGATAAGCCTATATCAATTAATGTTGTTCTAAAATCTGTATCACTTGAGAGATTAATTGATATATTAGTTTTAACCCCTGGCATATTTTCTCATTTTATTGAAAAAGCAGACATTGATAAATATTTTTCTATGATTCAAACCGATCAAAACAGTGTTGGATATAATTTTGTCAATTTAAATATGGATTTAAGACTATTTACTGCTACATTTTTTGCCTGCTACAGAAGTTTCTGCTGTCCAATACAATTACTAAAAAGTCTTGGAAGACGTTTTGTGGGTGCTAAATCTGCTGCAATATCTATTCAAAGACTAAAAGAAAGTAACTATCATACTGAAGACCATGTTTTCCCAGATTGGGATTCATCAAGTGGAATCGATGATCCTGAAGTAAACTGGAAATATGCTGGGCAAATTGGAATAGGAGTTCTTGAAGCATTATATATCATGGTTTCCGATCATTTTAGTGACTTTGCTGATGATCTATCTACCAGACAAATGTTTTTAGAAATTTTGAAAATTATCGATCAAGAAGTTTCATTAGATTGGAAAACAATTCTTTCTAGATATAAATACACCGAGCAATATGCAGAACTCAAGCCACTATTTGAAAGGCTTTTGTCATTATACAAAAAGATTAGAAAAACATACATCAAAAAATCCTACAGGCCTATTGATCCTTATATGAAAACTCAGACCTATAGCTCGACTTTATCTACAATTCCTCATAATGGGTTGTTACCTTCTTCCAGCCTATTTAACGAAATTGAAGAATTCATAGAAAAACTCGACATTATCATTTGTGAAGCCTTTAACTATATTTCGGTTTCTGATTGGATGACTGTTTTTGAATTATTGGAAATGCAAATTATCAAAAATCCGACTAGCCTTTTTAACTATAAATCAATGAACACTACGACTTCAGAAGATGACTTAAAGATTTCAACAATTTTTTTATTTATTGAAACTCTATATGGTGAAAATTCGGATGATTTAATAATAAAAAAATTTCCTCCATCTGTGCAAAGTATTATTGAATTACATTCTAGGATTGAACATTATTTTAAAGCGTTGATTACAGATCCAAAAATTACCATTGTTGAACGTCGTGGAAGAATGGCTACAATACTAACAATGCTCAAAATTTCTCGTTGCAGAATGGAGAGCTTAGATTTATTCATTGAAAACTCACAAGTAAGTTCTTCAGCTCACATTCCATCCTTTCTTGAATCATGTATTTCTCAAGCTATCATTTCTCCAGAAAGTAGGTGGTTTGTAAATACCTGGATATACACATCTGCCAAAATTAATACTGGAAAGAATATTTATAAATGGGATACTTTATCCGACTTATTACCGGTATTTCCTTCATCTATTCTTAGTGATGGGTTGAAGCATAATTTGACTCCTTGTGTGGGTTGGTTGGTCGAGAGATTGCTTGAGATAGCGTTGTATATTCCAAATATATCTGTTCAAGATAGCAAGTTGATTAACTTTGATAAACGTCGTTTTCTTTTTAATACCGTAACGTCCGTGCTAGAAATGAAGCCATTTGAATATAATATTACACCAGAAGAGTTTGATCATATCAAAAATAATTTTGCATTTCTTTATGTTTTGAAAAAAGATCCTTTCAAAATTTCAGATATCAGAAATACTTCTCAAAGAGAAAATAAAGAATACTCTAGAAATGAACAAAGAAATAGATTATTTTCGACTTTAGTCAAAGCTGAATATGATAAATTGAGTAGAGATAGCAAAAAGAGAGATATGTTGGAGATTCATGAGAATAAGTACCGCAACCAAAAATTTCCTATTTCACAATTCACCTCTAATATCACAACTGGAAACAGACCAACCCATCACCAACCAACAACGTCTTCATCTTCTTCTATTCACTCCTTGCAAAATTCAAAACGTACTCAAACTAATTCTAGTAATAATTTGAATGAAAAATCTAACGGTTTCCAATCAAATTCGAAACAAAATGGTAGATTTAGAATTGGAGGGTTGTTTAAGAGCGCTGTCAGACCATTTTCAATCAATGTTGGAAATTCATGGGCAACTGATAAAGTATGTGCTCCATCAGAACTTCCAAACCCTTATACAATTAACGATCTGAGATCAAAACCTTTGTTTCAAATATCCTTATTTGAGTGCAAACCATTAATTATCCACTCTTCATCTATTCAAGGTTTTTTCAAAATAGTATCTCTATCTGGTGAAGAATATTCGTTTCAAGCTGCAAATAACAGAGAAGCTTCTGATTGGGTCAAAACCCTTCAACTTTCTAAAAGATACAATTACTTGTCAAAGGATTCCAAATGTAATAGCGACACTAAAGTATTTGGCGTTCCAATTCAAGATGTCTGCGAAAGAGAAGGCAGATACGTTCCTAGTGTCGTTGAAGATTTGTTATCTGAAATTGAAAAACGCGGGTTAGATGAAGTTGGTCTTTACAGAGTTCCTGGGGCTGTAGCCAACATTCAAGCTTTGAAACTTGCTTTTGACGAGGGCGAACGCATTTCTATGAATGATCAACGCTGGTCAGAAATCAATACATTAGCCGGATGTTTTAAATTATATTTAAGAGAGTTGCCTGATTCCCTTTTAACATCTGAAATGTTGCCCAGTTTTGTTTCAGCTGCCAAATCTGAAGATGTAATTGGTACTTTACGTGATCTCGTACGTCAATTACCAAAGTATAACTATTATCTTTTGAAAAGATTGGTCGAGCATTTAAATAAAGTGACTGAGAAATCCGAAAGCAATCGTATGGATGCACCAAACCTTGCAATGGTGTTTTCCATGAGTTTTTTGAGTGATGATGACTATGGTTCTAACTTGGGATCCTTGCAAACAATTTTAAATTTGATGATTAAGACTCCATATGATTTTTTTGAAAATACTTCTATGGATAGAGCAAGTGCTGTTTACCTTTTTTAACTACATAACCCTTTAAACATCGGGTATAAAAATAATTATGTTTGATTGTAATTATGTTTTAATTTTTTTTTATTTTTGTTAAATTTAATGTTTGCCTAAAATTTTGGGGTTGCTTATGCTTTTGGGTGTTGATTATGTTCCTATCTCAATCTTTGTTTTGCTCTTGAACCGGCAAATCCAACTAATACTTATCGGACTTTTTTTAATTTGTTGTAAATTTTATTTCCTATTAAATTTTTTTAATTGATTTTAATTTTCCTCCATTTTCCTTCATTTTACTTGATTTACTGTTATACTTAATAGTTTTGCTTTGTTTATTATTATATTTATTATTATATCTATTATTATATTTATTTATTACCTTTATTATTATGTTTCAATTTCTATTATTTTCACTGTTTATTTATTGATTGATTTCCTTCAAGGTATATTATTGTTTATTGTTTCAAGTTTTAAGTTTCAAGTCTTAAGTTTCTTGAAGCCCTTTATTTTTTATTTTTTTGTTTTAACAACTTTAGTTTTATATTTTTAGAAAGTATTTTTTTATTCTCAATATAGTTTGTAAAACAATTTTTAATTAATAATTTTTAAACGAATGTTAAGATTGTGTAAATTATCAAAAAGTAGAACTGAAGAATATCAAGCAATAGTTCTTCAGGTATCAAGAGAAACCTTTGCTGTTAAGCCAGTTGGAAAAACCTCTTGCATCCATGAAACCTCAATAGCAGAGCAATTTCTAGCATATCCTTTAGTGGTAAACACAAATTCAGTGTACATTATTGCTTCTTGTTTGGTACCAAAAATCAACGAAGAAGGATGGATCGAGATCAATTGACCTGAAGTCACAGTTCTATAAGATCTATCAGGAAGCCCCAAGGCAGTATTTGTAAAAAAACCTTTTAAAAAGGACTTTAATATATCACTAACATTGAATGCTTTTGTCAACTTTTCAGACATCATGTCTGAGTCATTTTCACCATCTAAATATAAGATGTGTTTATTGTGTTTTCTGTCGCTTTTAAGCATTGTGTTCATATAATCATTTAGCTGTTTTCTAATTCTGAGAACATTTTGAAATCCTCTGAAATTTAAAGACAATTCTTCACACCATTTTTTTTTCTGTTTGTCATTATTGATATCAACAAAATAATCAAAGAGCTCTTTAAACATCAATAAGTCGCCAAATCTTGAACCTAAATTGCATAAATTTCTTCTTTTTTCATTCACTTCATCTCGAACTTCAGGTAGTGGATTGAATATAAGATTTTGAACATTTAGACAAGCTACAATATCAATGACAGGTTGAAGGCAATTTAAATCAAAAGCTGTTAGCAAGACCACTGCTAGTTGAGGAGGAACAGGAAAAATAGCCATTTTGTTGCCTAGTTTTGTTATTTTGCCATTGTCATCCAATGCCTTTAAGATATACAACTGCTGTAAAGCTGAAAATAGAGACTCTTCACCAGGATGTTCAATCCATGACCAATTGATTATATCATCTACATTTAATTTTTTTAACATTAGTATGGGATGGGATAAGTCAGTTCTAGAAATCTCAGCTTCAGTTTGATGAGGTAATTTTAGATAATCATTTTCAGTATATAAACGATAAGTTTTTCCTGGTCTTTCTCTCCCAGCTCTACCTGATCTTTGAGTTGCGGAAGCTTGAGATATTGGGACAGTCAATAATGTAGCCAAACCTAGACTATGCCTCCATATTTTGATCTTTCTCAAACCTGAATCGATAACATATCTGACACCAGGAACTGTTAAGGAAGTCTCTGCAATGTTAGTTGCAAGAATTACTTTTCGTTTATTTGGACGTAATTTTTGGAAAACTTTTAGTTGTTGATGAGGTGGTAAGGCAGCGTAAAGAGGCAAGGGAACCAAAATTGGAGCCTCTTTAGGAATGAATGGTGCCAATTTTTCAAGAGATAAAACGCATTTATCGATTTCCTCTTGACCAGCAAAAAAAGCCAAAATGTCACCATCTGGTTCTGCTTGGTTTATTTGAAGTACTGCTTTTATCATCGATTCCACGATATCATTGGATGGTTGTGATAGGTATAATCTATCAACTGGATACATTTTTCCTTGAACAAATAATACGTCAGCATTATCAAAGAATTTAGAAAAACGATCAGCTTCTAGAGTAGCAGACATGATTATTAATTTCAAATCACTAGGTCTCTTTTTTAATAAATCCTTTAAAAAGCCCATTAGTAAATCTGTTAGTATTGTTCTTTCATGAGCTTCGTCGATAATTATAGTGGAATAGTCAGTCAAATCTAGGTCCAACATTACTTCTCTCAAAAGCATACCATCGGTCAAATATTTAAGTTTTGTTCTTTTGATTGAAGATTTATTATCAAAACGAACCGAATAACCAACTTGATCGCCTACGCATGTGCCATATTCTTCGGCAACTCTGGTGGCCAAATTTATAGCAGCAACTCTTCTTGGTTGAGTGACAGCTATCTTTTTGTCGTTTAATGGAATTAAAAACTGGGGTATTTGAGTGGATTTACCAGAACCTGTTTCTCCGATAAGGACAGTTACTTGATTTTTTTGAATATAAGAAAGAATCTTTTTCTTTGCTGAATATACAGGCAAGGTTTTTCTAACAATTAGTAGCTCCTTTGCCCTTTTTTTAATAGAGAAAGGATCTGAGCTCAATTGGGATTCCTGCTGGTCTTCTTCGTCATCTGTATGGTAATATACTATTTTTCTCTTTTGTTTCTTTAAAGGTGGGATCTTTTCAGTGATTTTTTTTGAATTCTTGTCGGAACTGTTGGGTATTTTTCTTGTTTTGAAATTGTCTTCGAGTCTTTTCACAGCATTTCTCTTATGTGAATGTTTTCTGTTCTGCATTTTTTGGGTCTAGAAAACTCGAGAGGCATTCAAGAAGGCAAACCTGTTTTCTCCTGGTGTTGTTATGAAAAGTTTCAGCTCAAGAGCTAAAAATGTGGAAAAAAAAAAGAATTAGACTTTTGAACCAGTGACACGGATTCCAAAAATTTTTATGTTTTTGTCTCACAGGTTTTGTGATTTTTGGAATTGCAAAAATTCTGTGGACTCGTGAAAATAGAAAATGTGATTATTGGATATGGAAACAAGTGATTATAAAGATAATCAAGATAATTGAAGCAAAGATGGAAATGGAAATAGAAATGAAAATGAAAATGAAAATGAAATTCTAGTAGTGATGACGAATCAGAAAGGAATTGGGCTTATAAATATACAAAAAAAATTACACAAGCTTTGAAAGGAAGTTTGAGAGAATGTTGGTTTAGTGATTTTAGGGGAGAGTAAAGTTAGAAAGCAATTTTATGAGATAGAGGGTATATATGATTAGAAGCAAAAATACCAAGAGATAATTGATATCAAGACAAAAGTGAAGAAAAAAAATGTGGTGCTAATAGTAGTGGTTACCCCAAGGCAATTGATGTTGATGCGATGTTGATTCTGACAATTTACTCTAGCAGCAGTGGTAATGAGAATAGGAATAAAAGTAGCCAGATCAGCCTTTGAATTTCTTTAGCATTTTCTCCTTGATGTTGTTCAAATGAACCAAATTCAAATCGTTGGAGTTGTCCTTCTCCTTGAGAAGTTTGATTTCGTTGACTATGGAGTTGATAAACAAGACGTAGTTCAAGTAGATAACCAAGTCTGCAGAGTCATTTTTGAATCTGATTTTGTCGTCATGGGCTTCAGAAATAAAAGCAGCCCTGGCCCTGAGAGCCTTTCTGAAGGAGGACCTCTTGATTTTCTTAAAGGGAGCCATCTAAGCAATGTCGTGAGTAACAGTATGAGCAGCGGTGCTGTGATATGGAAAAGAGTAGCCATTTCACCTTTCAACCCAAAGTCGGATTATATCTGCACACAGCTGCACCAACACGTGTAACTGAAAGATCCAGCCCAGCGGCTCTGATCTGCCGAGACCCATCTTGCTGGCGCTGATGCCATTTGCGCCGAGCCCTTGGTCCAGGCCTCGGCTGACACGCGCTGCATATCCGGAGCGCGCATCGGAAAACGCGCTGTGATTGGCGGAGAGGTCGCGGGCAGCGGGCGCGGGCTGGAGGTGCTGCTTCGGAAATGGGTCGGGATAGGCCTCAGCGCGCCGGCGGAGCAGAGGTGGGTATATAAGACTCTCGAGCTGTCTGTTTTCTCTCTCAGCTCAGATCCCCAGCTCTTGCCTGTTGGTCTTTCTTCTTCTCCAGCTTCTTCCTCATCCTCGTCCTGTTTCCTTGCCAAAATGATTAGATTGAACACCGCAGCTTCAATTAAAAGATCTTTAGTCACCATCAAGCCCTTCTCTTCCTTCAGAATGCAATCCACACTCTCAAAGTTCCCTTACCCAGACCAGGCTCAAGAGAAGGATTATTTTGCTGCTGAGGTCGACAGAATCCAAAAGAGATTCAACTCTCCTCGTTACAAGGACATCAAGAGACCTTACACTGCCAAAGATGTTGCTCTCCACAGAGGAACCCTCCCAAACAGCTATCCCTCCTCGATTCAGGCTGATAAACTATTCAATTTGTTGACCCAAAGAAAATCGGAAAAAAAGCCAGTCCACACAATTGGCTCGGTTGATCCTGTTCAAATGTCTCAATCTGCTTTAAATCAAGAAATTGTCTACATCTCAGGTTGGGCCTGTTCCTCTTTATTGACCACCACCAACGAGGTTTCCCCAGATTTTGGTGACTACCCTTACGACACCGTTCCAAACCAAGTCGACCGTTTATTCAGAGCCCAATTGTTGCACGACAAAAAGTCCTTTCAAGAATACGCCAAAAATGGCTTCGAGGGCAAGAGAATCGACTACTTGAGACCAATCATTGCCGACGGTGATACTGGTCATGGTGGTCTAAGTGCTGTCATGAAATTGGCCAAACTATTCGCTGAAAAAGGTGCTGCCGCTATCCATTTGGAAGATCAACTCCATGGTGGTAAAAAATGTGGTCACTTGGCTGGAAAAGTCATTGTCCCAACTTCAACTCACATCAGCAGATTAATTGCAACAAGAATGCAATGGGATCTTATGGACTCAAACAACCTTTTGATTGCTAGAACTGATTCAGAATCTGGTACTTTGTTATCTTCCTCAATTGATCCTGCCGACCACGAATTCATTCTTGGTATCACTGAACCAACTAAACCTTTAGCCCAAATCTTGAGTGAAGCTGAAGCCAAAGGGGAATCCTCTGCTGTCATTAACGACTTGGAATCAGACTGGTACAGCTCTGCTAAATTGCTCACTTTCAACGAAGCCGTTGAAGCAAAATTAAATCAATTGGGTAAAAGCTCTCTCTACTCAGAATATCTCTCCAAGGCTCAAGGTAAGGCCATCTTTGACCAAAAGCAAATCATCAAAGAATTAATTAACGAAGAAGTCTTCTTCGACTGGGATGCTCCAAGAACTAAAGAAGGTCATTACCAAGTTCAAGCCGGTATCAAACCCGCTGTCAAGAGAGCTCTAGCTTTCGCTCCTTACGCTGAATTATTATGGTTAGAAACAAAGACCCCTGACTTGAAATATGCCTCCGAATTTGCTAAACAAATCTTAGATAAATACCCAAACAAATTCTTAGTCTATAACTTGTCTCCTTCCTTCAACTGGTTATCCCAAGGTTTCACCGAAAATGACTTGAAAGATTTTGTATTTGAATTAGCCAAGGTTGGTTTCACTCTACAGTTAGTCTCATTAGCAGGTTTACATACCAATGCCTTAGCAACATGGCAATTATCAAATGCCTTCAAGACCCAAGGTATGAAGGCCTACGTCGACTTGGTCCAATCAAAGGAAAAAGAAACAAAGTGTGATGTTTTCACTCATCAAAAATGGTCTGGTAACAGTTATATGGACAGCTTAATAAGCTCTGTTCAAAGTGGTTCTTCTCAAACTTCTTCAACTGGTAAAGACTCAACTGAACACAGTTTCTAATTGGCTACTCAAATAAAAAGTATTTAGTTATATATATATATATATTTATTTATTTATTTATTTATAAAAAAAAAAGAACTTTATGATTTATGTTGCATTAAATATCTTTATTTTTTCTGGTTTTATATACATTTCTTCCTTCAAAACTTAATAAACTGTTAAATTAAAAAAAAAGAAGTAAAGCTACAATTACAATTACAATTTATATATAATATGTATTAGTACAATAACCATTCTTAATTTTGGTTAAAAAAATCACTTCATGATAACTATAAACATTAAAATTCCCTTTTTCTAATTTGATAAAGTGAAAAATTAAAACTAAAAATTGATAAAAGAAATAAAACAGAAAATAACGAATAAATAAATAAATAGATAAATAAATAAATAACAAAAAATGCAATAATCAAATTATTTATATGAATTTAATTAAACTGAGACTTTTCAAAGCCAAAAGTTTTCAATTTTCAAAAAAATAAGTAAAATACCACCAGGCTAATAGACATAAAAAAGAGAATAAACAAAAACTAAATTTTTCATTTTTTTCAATCATCAGAAGAATATAAACAAGCTTAATCACTATCAGTAACACATCCCTTTGAAGCATCTGAAACTAATTTGGAGTACTTGTATAATGTACCTCTAGTATATCTTGGTGTAGGTGCAACCCATTTTTTCTTTCTTTCAGCAATGATTGATTCATCCACCAATAAATCGATTTTGTTATTATCACTATCAATTACAATTTCATCGCCATTTTCAACTAAACCAATTGGACCACCAACAGCAGCTTCAGGAACAATATGGCCAATCAAGAAACCATGAGATCCACCTGAAAATCTACCATCAGTTAACAATGCAACGTCTTTACCTAAACCATATCCCATAAGCGCAGAAGAAGGTTTTAACATCTCAGGCATACCTGGTCCACCCTTAGGTCCTTCATATCTGATTATAACAACAGTTTTTTCGCCCTTTTTAATTTCGCCCTTTTCTAAAGCATGAATGAAATCATCTTCTTCTTCATAAACTTTGGCCTTACCTTTAAAGTAGGTACCTTCTTTACCGGTAATTTTAGCAACAGCACCTCCTGGAGCTAAAGAACCGTATAGAATTTGCAAATGGCCTCTGGGTTTTAGAGGTTTTTCAATAGGATAAATCAAATCCTGATCTTTAGATAAATCAGGAACGTCTACCAAATTTTCTCTGATTGTTTTACCTGTAACAGTCAAGGCATCACCATCAATGAAACCATGGTCCATTAAATATTTCACTATAACCGGAGTTCCACCAATATTTTGAATGTCAGCCATCACATATTTACCAGAGGGTTTGAAGTTACCCAAAAATGGTGTCTTGTTAGAAATTTTTTGAAAATCGTCAATTGTTAAATCAACATCAACAGTGTGGGCAATTGCGATTAAATGCAAGACAGCATTGGTTGAACCACCAGTTGCAATAATATAAGCAATTGCATTTTCAAATGCTTTCTTTGTCATAATTTCCCTTGGTTTTAAATTTAATTTCAACAAGTTTTTAATTGCCTCACCAATATTTGCACATTCATTGAATTTTTCTTTAGAGGTGGCAGGAAACGAAGAAGAACCAGGAAGAGACATACCCATTACTTCAGCAGCACTGGCCATTGTGTTGGCAGTATACATACCACCACAAGAACCAGGACCTGGACAAGCATGTCTTATTATATCGAATCTTTGCTGTTCAGTAATTTGCTTACTTATATATTGACCATAACTTTGAAAAGCCGAAACAATATCGATTGTTTCACTATTATTTAAAGATGAACAACCTGGGTTAATAGTTCCACCATAGACCATAATTGAAGGTCTGTTGATTCTACCCATTGACATTAATACACCAGGCATGTTTTTATCACAAGCAGGAATACCAATTAAGGCATCGTAATGTTGAGCTAAGGTGATTGTTTCAAAGGAATCAGCGATAATTTCTCTTGATTGCAAAGAATATCTCATACCTTTTGTACCCATTGAAATACCATCAGAGACACCAATAGTGTTGAATTGCATACCTTTTAAACCAGAAGCGTCTACTGATTGCTTACAAGCAAAATTAAAATCCAATAAATGAGCATTACATGGGTTACCACTCCACCAAACAGAACCGATGGCGATTTGAGGTTTGTTCATATCATCTTCAGAGAAACCAGTAGCATAAAGCATTGCTTGTGAAGCACCTTGATCCTTTGGTTGAGTAATAATTTTACTGAATCTATTTAACTGCGAGCTGGAATCATCATTTTTGTTGCTTGAATTTTGATAAAGAGCTGAGTTAATTGAAAACTGTCTCCTGATGGAAGAATTCAAAGGTAAACTTGATATTTTTGATATTTTTGATACAAAAGACATTTTAAATGATGTTATCTCTGGATTATATCAGGTTCTGTGTGTGGAATTAAAAAACTAGAGATTGTATGCTTTGAAATCCTACTGATTGAAAAATTAGCACTGAAATATTTAAAAATTTGTCTCGAACCGTTTTTCAGAGCCAAAATGAGTCAAAAGCCTGAAAACAATAGAAAAAGATCCTGTGACACATTGATGTGGAGAACAGCCAATCGCAGGCTGGCAGTTTGTCAGAAATAAGCTCAGTCGACGTTTCCAAGCAATAACGTCGAGAAAACCAGCTGCAGAACAGGAGATCAGTGGGAAAAAACAGGGGAATTGCTCATCCAACTCATTTTGACCCAAAATCAAAACGTCAAACGCCAAAAAATCACTGAAGAAAATGGAACCCACAGGACTGGCATCGTTCTGACACGTGCAGCTTTACAAATTTACAAAAATTCTGTGACTGCCACGGAAATATCGTACATTTCGAAAACCTCGTACACAATCGCAATTTCTTGAACGGTGAAAAACGTAGCAAGCTGCGTTGCTTTTTGTGACGCACTACTGTCGATCCGGTGCTCCGTCGTCTCCGCGTTTCCGTGACGTGGATTTGACAAGGATTTTCTCCAGCACTTGACTCATTTCGAACTTTTTCTTTATCTCGAGCTGTATTTAAAGATCGTAATCCAGCGATTGACTTTTGTCATTGGCTGTCTAATTGAATAAAAAATGAACTCTTTGAGAATGATTGCCTTAAAGAACCTCAGATATCAGTCTTTTAAGAGGTTCCAGAGCTCTTCTACTGCTGCTTTGGCCTATAAGGCACTTCACAGAAACTCAAGAAGACCTCCACTCCCAGTCTTCGACGCTCCTGGATGGAGTGCTGATTCTGCTGTTTCCTCGATTTTGTATGAGACTCCATTGCCTTCAAAACAACCTCCCAAACAACACATCTTCAATTGCTTGGTTCAAAATGAACCTGGGGTATTGGCTCTCATTTCTTCCACCTTGGCTGCTAGAGGGTTCAATATTGACTCATTGGTTGTTTGTAACACCGATGTTAAAGACTTGTCTAGAATGACTATTATCTTGGAGGGGCAAGATGCTATAATCGAACAAGCAAGAAGACAAATCGAAGATTTGGTTCCAGTGTTTGCTGTATTAGATTATTCCAACACCGAAATTATTAAAAGAGAATTGTTATTAGCTAGAGTGTCGCTATTAGGTCCAGAATATTTTCAAGATTTAGTCCACCATCATATGCTGGACTCCAGTTTGGATCTTTTAAATGAAAATATTGATCCAGAATCAGATTCGAAATCTGATCCAAATGATATCACACAATCAAAATACCATCCAAAAAACCTACCTTTATCTGAAGTATTAAGATTGAAGAACCACTATTTAACTGCTTTAGATAACTTAACTAGGCAATTTGGCGGAAGAATTGTTGATATCAGTGATAGGAATTGTATTATAGAATTGTCTGCTAAACCTTCAAGAGTCACTTCTTTCCTTAAATTGATTAGAAATTTTGGTGTGTTAGAAGTTGCAAGAAGTGGAATGATGGCTTTACCTAGAACTCCTTTGGATGATCTTACTGCTGATCAATCAAGTTTACTTGAAAAAGATTCTACTGATGTTGTTGATCTTACTCAATTACCTCCAGGTTAAACAATATCATTGTTTATATATAAATATGTAAATATATATACATTAATCTAATGTATTTTACATACTAGGAATTTAAGAAATTTAAAAGATTAATATGACAAATCCAGAGATTTCATAAATTAAAATTAAAATCAGATCAAACAAATACAAGAAAATAATAAAATGAAAAGAATAGAAAAATTCTTTTATAATTACAAAAAATATTTTACTATAATTATATCCCACACCATCTTACTATCAATAATTCCAAAAATAAATTTAGTAAAAAACTGACAAAAAAAGATTAAATAAAAATTATCAAAACCAACATAAAGTAGACAAGAGCTAACCGATCAAGCAATGAATTTTAATTCCATAATGTAGCATAATTAAAAATTAAATTAAAATATAATAAAATAAATATGAAATAAAATAAAAGAAATGTAAAAAAAAAAGTATAAAACAATTAAACAATAAAGACGTAAAAAAAAATGTTTGAAAAAAACCAAAAAATAAAAACCAAAAGAAAACGATAAAAAAGTATAAAAAATATCACAAAATTATTGAATATTTATTTGATTTACTGTATTTTTTTTTGTTGTTATATTTTTTTCCAATTTCATGTAATTGATTTTCTTTTTATCGGTGTTTCTGGCGCAGAATGCGATCCATTATTATTTTTTGATGATGACATTGTAAATGAAGATTGAGCAGTGCTAGATGTAGTAGTTGCTGATTTCTTACTATCGACAACGCTTTCGACTGCTCTTTTGACGACAGAGCAAATATCGACTCCAAAAAAATCTTTGTAACCACTATTGAATGTTTCTTGATAATATTTGGATTTTCTGCTTTTTTTGCCACTTCTAGCTGGAGAGCCATGATAATTTGAAAAAAATTGATCGTCATCACTATAATTTCTTGAAAGACTTGGTGAAGCATAAAAGTCATCAAAACAAGAGGGAGAATTCCAAGCTCTTCTCATAATAGAGGCAGAACTTGGAGTTTTAATTCTGCTTGGGGTTTTGTTGAGAGGAGTTTTTGCAATATTAAAAAATTCATCCTTTGAGGCACTAAATAAACTATTATTTAACCTTGGGTTGCTCATAATGTTTAGATTTGAAGTAGTATGTGGAATCAATTTTGAAGCTGGAGTCTTTGGTTCAAATAAAATTGGGCCAGCTGAATTTTTTTTAATTGGAGATAAATCGAAGTTTGGATTACAATTAAAGGAGGAGGGAAAAGGTAATGATTTCATTAAAGAAAAAGGTTTATCAAGCAAAACGGGAGAATTAACAAAGGGATTGTTATTAGAAAAAGTAGTATGGTTTTTCATGTTAAAATTTTCCGATTCAGTATCATTATAATCATTGAAATCATTATTATAAATATTGTTGAATTTATTAATATTTTTAGTTTTAGTATGATTTAAAACAAAGTCCAAGTTATCTTTATCTTTATCTTTATCTTTTGTTCTTTTATTTTTATTATTTTTATTATTTTTATTATTTTTATTATTTTTATTGTTATTTTTTGTGTTTTTCTTTGCTATATCGGTATTTTCATTATCAATATCACTTTTATTTTCATTGTCATTATAATTATCATTATAATTATCGTAATGATTAATATAGATGTCGTTATCATAACTATAAACGTTTTGATCATTATCGTTATCGTTATCGGTATCATTATCATAAACGCTTTGTGGTTGATTGGTATTGTTATCATCATCATCATTATCTGAAAGTAAGACGTTTTCAAGTTGAATTGTTCTTCGTTTTTTTCTAATTGAGAATCTTTCTAGACCAATAGCAGAGTTTGATCTTTTAATTGGAGATACTAGATTGGGATTAAAGGGAGGAATATTTAAGTGAGAGTTAAATATATGGGGATTATGAATGGTGTTGAGGATATTGTTATTAATGCTATGCATGTTTATACTATTGAGGATGCAGTTGTGGTTAATTTGGTTGAAGTTATCGAAAGTGTTTGTAGCTGTAATGTTGTTGAGATTATTTATTGAATTGATTGGGTTGTATTGTTTGATTAGAGGAGTTTGATTTTTATCATCTTGAGTGTCATCTGAATCATAGTCTTCTGTCAGTTTGTTGCTTGAGACACTGAAGATGTTATTTGAATCGACCAAGTTGTGATTTAAGTCACTTTCTGATGATAGAGGATCTGTTGTTGGGTCATCAATATTTTTATTAAGGTTTTTATTGTTATTAGTATTGTTATTGATGTTGATGTTGAGATAATTTGAAAAACTGTTATTCTTTGATAATTTTGGTAAAGGTTGAGATTTTTGGCTATTTTGAGAGGCAATATTAGAGAAACTATTTGGTGAATCTTTTGGTGAATCTTTTGGTAAATTATTTGGTAAACTCTTTGGTATATTCTTTGATGAGTCTTTTGGTAAATCTTTTGATAAATTACTTTTCAAATTTTTAGAAATATTGTTAGCGATATCACTAGTGATAATGTTAGTGTTATTATTAGTGATAATATCCGAATTTTGGGAAATATTTTTTTTAATTTTTTTTGATTTTAAAAATTGAGATTCCATTCCTGGTTCAATCTTCCAATAATGACCTTTACCATCTTTTGATTTTTCAGCTTTTATAAAAGCTTTATTTAGGGATAAATTGTGACGAATTGAGTTTTGCCAGCCAGCATCGTCTCTTTTATAGTAGGAGAAAGAAGTTGATATCCATGTATAGATTTGGGATAGAGTTAGTTTTTTGTCGTCAGATTTTAGTATTGCTAAAGCAATTAAACTCGCGTAAGAGTAAGGAGGTTTGTCTTGTTTTGAAGATATATTGGATAGAGAAGAGGAAGAAGATGCAGATGCAGATGCAGAGGAAGTGGAGAAGGATAATGAAGGTAATAAGTTTTTAGAAGCCGATGGTTTCTTTTTGAAAGTTGAGATTGGGATTATGTTGGGAGATTTGATCAGTGTTGCAGATGAGATTGAGTGTGAAGATTTGGAGAAAGAGTTTGAAAAGGAGATTGAAGAATTAGATAGTTTGATTATTGAAGATTGGGGAGTGGGAATGTTGAATGATTTAGGGTGATTCAAGTCCGTATTTTTATTTTTAATTTTGTTCTTACTTTTATTTTTGGTGGTGATGTTGTTATTTGTATGATTTGAATTTGAGGTAAGTTGGGGACTTGATAAGGATGGAGATAATAACGAAGGCACGATTGTAAAGCTGTTATTGTTGGAGATATTGACGTTGATGCTGTTATTTAAATTTTTGTTAATAAGGTTTTTATTTGAGTTTGAAGTTTTAATGCTGTATAATATTGGAGTTTCGGGTATTAAGCTGATGGAGTCGTTGGAGGATAGAGAGAGAGACGATTTGTGGCTTGTGGTGGGAGGAGTGATATCGTTAACATTCATAGCAATATTGTTTTGGGTGGGAATATTGTTGTTGGTGGTATTTTTATTGGTGTTGTTGGAGGAGGAGCCAACATTGGATTTGTGGTTAATCTTATTTACAATTTTGGAATCATTGGCTGAGTTATTATTTGAGTTGAAATTGGATTGAGGTAGATGAACCGAGTTCAAAGATTTAATGATGTTTAAATCGTAACTCAGGCTCCTGGAGGACATTGTGGAACAAAGAGAAAGCAGCGAGAGAGTATAGTATAGTGATATAGAGTTGCTAGAGATATACTAAGAAAGAATAGGAAAGAGCAGAGGTGAATAGTAAGGAAGAGAGGATACAGGCTGGAGATCAAAAGAAGATACACAATACCAGAAGCAGACAGAACCACCCAGCAAACGACAGAGCTTGGAAAGAGCCAGAGATCGAGAGGTAAGCAGCGGAAGAAGAAAAAGCACCAAACAACTGTGCGACAAATTCAGGGCAACGACAGCTTCAGAGAAAGAGAAGAAAATAAATCAGATAAAGACGATATAATAAATCCCAGAGATAGTAAAAAAGCGAAGACACACAAATACTGAAAGGAGAAACCCCGTTTCATAGACCCCCTGATAGACCCCTTTTATGAAGGCGTCAGTGTGCGTGCAGCCGCACATATATGAATAACAGCGCGGCACAGAAGCTTTTTGTGCAGCGAGCTGCAGGGCCAGACCCCTGGATCAGACGCGTCTGAAAAGAACGAGTCGCAAAGAACCCACAGCACTGGTTCGAACATTTCTCGTGTAATTTCCTCTTTGGGACGGGCTGGTGGTGGAGAGGAAGTTGGTGCAGAGGGAGAGTGTGAATTAGACTATGTATGGGGGTTCCTCACTTCTTGTTTGAGTCCTCCTTCAACGACACAATTCGGTTGAGAATCAAGTCCCTTCCACTGCTGTCTCTGTCCATGCAGAAGTAGCCCACTCGGAGGGCCTGGAATCTCACACTTTCGGGCTGGTTGGGCTTCTCTGCAACGTTGAACTCCTCAACCTCGCCCTTGATGTTGTAGGGACTGTTCTCCTTGATTGTCTTGAAGGCTGGCTCGATTATCGCTCCGTTGATCACCTCTTCGGATTCAGGGTTGATGTCTGCTAGAAACCCATCTGGGTTGGACGATGGATTCTCGCTTTTAAATAGCTGGTTGTGGATACGCACTTCCTTCACTCTGATTGGCGACCCAATCTTCTCGTTCTCTGGAATCCATTGGATATACGTCTTGGGTTTCTTGAATTTGCTCAAATCGTTCTCATAATGACAGTAAACCCTGACAATTTTCCTTTCTTTGTCTTTTTCAACGTGGTTCACTCGAATAGTGTATGGAACCTTTATCAACCCAACGCTTTGGTTCAATGTCAACCTGTAAAATTCCTTATCATCTTGCTCTCGGAAATCACTTCTGTCAATGTATATCTTATTTCCAAACAAAATCTCTCTGCTACCAAATTCATTGCCTTTTCCGGATTTGAATGGAATCTCAATTTTCTCTTGATACTTATCATCCAAATTTTCCAAAATTATCTCAATTGGATCCAAAATCATCATCAACCTAGCTGTACTGTCTTCCAAATACTTTCGAATACTGCTCTCAAATCTAACCGCTTGGATGTTCGTAGTAGACGTTGTAACCCCCAATGTCGATATGAACGACAAAATCGCTCCAGGTGGAATTCCACGTCTCTTAATACCTTCCAATGTATACAACCTCGGATCGTCCCAGCCTCGGACATATTTTTCACTCACCAATTTACTGATCTTTCTTTTACTCATTATAGTCCCGGTAATATTCAATCTTCCATATTCTCTTTGTGCTGGTCTATACACTTTCAATGCATCGCATAACCATTCATAACTCTCCCTTGATAAATAAAACTCAGTCGTACACAAAGAATGAGTAATATTCTCAAGCATATCACATAAACAGTGCGTGAAATCATATGTGGGATAAATCTTCCATTTATCTCCGGTTCGATGATGACTAGCATTTAATACTCTGTATGCAATCAAATCCCACATTTGCGGATTAGGATTCTCTAAATCTTGTTTCATTCTTAATGTGGCTTCTCCAACTTTATAATATCCATCTCTCATCCTACGAAACTCCTTGAGATTTTCTTCAACACTTCTATCTCTCCACTTACTACCAAATCTTTTATTTCCAACTGTACCATTAACTACTCCTCTTTGTTCTTTAATCTCCTCTGCAGTAGAATGATCAACATACGCTTTCCCATTCTCGATTAATCTTTCTGCAAATTCATACAATACATCAAAGTAATCCGATGAATATGTAATTTTCCATGGCTTGAACCCTAACCATTCAACCATTTCTAATATGCTTTTGAAATAAACTTCTTCCTCAGCTTCTGGGTTAGTGTCATCGTATCTTAAATAACAAACACCGTTGTGATATTTGGCAAATCCAAAATTAACCATAATAGCCTTGGAGTGTCCAATGTGCAAAAATCCATTAGGTTCAGGTGGAAATCTAGTATGAACTTTGCCCCCTGTTTTGATTAAATGTTCTTTCGTCAATTCAGGATACATTTGTGGATTTTCTCCAACTTTATGCAAATCTCCAAGAAATCCTTCATTGAACATTGATCTCTTTGGACCCTTGTTATTTGTGACATTTTTATTATCATCTTTACTACTATTTTTATTATTCTTACTGTTTTTATTCTTACCACTAGATTGTTTGTTTTTCTTATCTTTTTCCTTTTTGATGATATCTCTCTCATCTTTTGGACCTAAAACCTTTAAAATCTCCTCATCAATAACTGGTTTAAGTGATGCAGGATTTGCCCATTTTAACGATGGCAAGTTTTTAACCGAATTAATAATCGTTGGTAAAAATCTGTACCTCTTTTCATTAATTTCATCTAAATTTTCTTTGATGTACTCTTTCACTTTTTCTCTAACATCATCCAATGTAACTTCGATTCCCACTCCTGATTCTGAATCCAACTCTTCCCTTGTGGGCGAGTCTGTCGATTTGATATACTCAAAACTTGCGTTAATTTGTTGAACTGTTTTTAATCTTTCATCGTAAATCCCATCAACAATTAGCGATAATTTCAGAATTGATTCTGAATCCAATTGTGAATTTAAACTACTAGATCCATTTGTACCTGTTGATAATTTCAAGCCATCGTTGGCCTTTAAGAATGGTGATTTGGCTAATAGTGTAGCCAAATGATGAATCAAATTCAATTGGGTTTTAGATAACTTGACGCTGCTTTCGTGAGATTTGATTGTAATCAATTGGTACAAGTTATTGGAAATTTTCTTGTTTTTAACAATTTCTTTGGTCTTGTTATCATCAAACCCAATGTTTGAAAAGGCCAAAGTAAGTTCCTCGATAGAACTCATAATGAATAGACAATAAATGGCTTCTGTAGTAAATTAATTTCCCGGTAGACTTCTTAATCAATAGAACAATACAATTGACTAAATGCAATTAAAAAAATAAGTATAATAAGAGCACAATATCAACCCAAAACACTGAGAGATATGTTTATATTTAAATTGTGCCTTCAATGATCACACTCTTTGGTTAAAATTTTTCATTTCATCAGCACTCTTTGAATTATCAGCCCTTTTAGTGGTAATCCCTGCTTCTACCATGAACTTTCCCTAGAAAATGAGCGTGGTTCTTATCTTGCACATAGAAAATCCCTGCAGCTACAAGATACTAAAAAATGACTCACTTATGAAACAATCCTGCCTTAATGGGGCAATGATCTAAACAAACAGAATTGAAACAAGCGTCCCAAATTGGAAAAATCACTATTTTTGGATTTTACATCACAAAATAGAATGTTTTCCACTTAGGGTAGTTTTTTATTTGAAGAAACTATCTCGAATTTGCTCTTCTTTCAAGTGAAGGAACAATAATGTCGAAACAATTGAAGGTTTTCTTGCGAAAAGAGTTGAATTTCAGGCTTTCTTCTGTGTCCCAGAGAAGTTTGGATGCACAGGCATCTAATGTCTACAGTATTTTGAAAGATCTACCAGTCTATCAAAGAGCAAAGTCGGTTGCGATTTACATGTCAATGCCCTCAAAAGAAGTACCAACTTTGAGCATCATTAAACACTTATTTGGTGATGATAAATTTGTGTTTTTGCCAAAGTGTTTTATTAATTTGAACGAAATCAATGAAAGCGCCAGTGATAAGTACATAACAGAAAAATCATTGCTAAATAACTACTACGAAAAATATTACTTACCAGTTGATTTTGATCAAGATTGCAAACCTGAGAGAAATACAATGATGTTTTTTCAAATGAACTCGTTTGATGATGTCTTGGATTTAAAGCCTTCAGGCAAGTACAAATTAAAGGAACCTAGTGGTATAAATCAAAAGGAAATATTTGACTCTCAAATCGGTTTGGATTTAATAATAATGCCTGCAATGGGTTATGAAATCACGAATAAAAATACTCAAATTAAAAGGCTAGGACATGGGGCAGGATTTTATGATAGTTTTGTTCATAAACTCCATAGACAGAGCAAATTGAAAGCTACATATTTATTAGGAATAGGTTTAAAAGAACAACTAATTGAAAATATTCCATATGAAAAACACGATGTTTATTTAGATGGTCTAATTGTAGATGATATATTTTATGAATCCACTGATTCTTCTTATGAATAAATCACTAGTAACAAATAGTTTTTCATAGATCATAAATAACCGAACTATCAACTAATAATCTAGATTTACTATTTTCGATTTTAGAATGAACGCAATATTTATCCTTTTTACTATTTTCCTTATTAGAAATTTTTTCTATTTTGCTTTTAATAACAATAAAATTATTCGCAACAGTTGGAAATGTATAGCTAAGTTTTAAATTTTCTTTTTTAGTCGAAACTTTTTCTTTTATATTACTTTCTTTTAAAAAATGATAATTTAAAAAATTGATTGATAATTCATCCAATATCGAAGCTAATATCCCACCATGAACTAATCCAGGAAATCCACACAATTTAACCCCACAATGAAGTATACATATAATTTCACTATCGTCTTTAGGGTCTGAGTCTTTATCACCAATATTGATAAAAAAAACTGGTTCAATTGAAAACCCGCCAGGAATTGATAATAGTTCAATTGTTTTGCTTTTCTCACTTAAAATTTGATATAAAGTGTCATTTTCATTTTTATTTTCATTTTTACCATCAATTAATAAATAATTTTCTTTATCTTCTATCAATTTTTGATAAATTTTTAAATTTTTTAACTCATTTTTTAAATTTTCATTATATTTGGCAACTTGTTCAGCCGAATTCAAATCTGGTAATGATTTATTCGATATATTTCCATAAATTGTAAAAATTGGTAAATAATTTGCTGTAGCAATTCCAATTGCAAATGCAAAAAGATACAACTTCCAGTGACTCTTGGTTTTAGATTTTTCATTGTTTTTCTTCTTATTACCCACACTATCACCACTAATTTTTTCTTTCTGAGAATTGGTATTTAAAGTTGAATAAGATGAGAAGGAATAATGCAGACGATAAGACCAATGAAGATTTCCACTAAATCCAGACTGAAATCCAGACTTGAATCCAGATTTTGAAACCCAAACCAGATTCTTAGCCAAAGATGCTCGTATCATTGCAAATTACTACCACTCTTATATTATCCTCTGCTTGTTTCGCTATCTTTTCAATCAATAGCTCCAGTCACGAGAGATTCTGATTGGCCAGCATCCTCGAACACAAAACTAATTATAAAAAACAACCAAAGTGACATTTCTCAATACACACAAACAAAAAGCTGTCCAATCATTCTTTTTCTATTTGGGATAAGAACTTTTTGCAGCAGCAGCACCAAAACCAGCAGATAACCAGCAGTATGGTTTCCTGCAGGTGTGTGCACAACCCGCATAAGAGCACAATTCCGTTATCAATCGACCGTCTCCGTTTTCCGTTCTCTGTTCGTTCGAGATTTCCGTTGTCCGTTGAGAATTCGCTAGAAAGAAATTGGAGAGTCGCTTTTTTCTTTGGGAATTTCTCACCACTTCACCAATTCATTGTTAATATCTCTCTTCATTTATCGTTTGAATCCTTTAATTAATTTATTATACCTCAAATCATGGTAAAAATACCAATTGACTCTACTCTTCTTTCCAACAAGTTTGAAATTCTTGAAATCAATGACAAATCAACAAATAATACCGACACTTCTAATGGTATTGGTGAAAAGAATCTGAATGGGGGTACAAACGACAGCACATTCAGTGATCCCTATGGTCTTGATTCAACTATTCCTCATGAAAGAGAAGTTTGCGACCAAGTTATTGAAATTTGGAAGAAAAACCCCGAAAATGAGTCTTTATCAATTTCAAAGTTAAGGACTATTGTCAAATATAATAATCCAAATTGGGAATTGTCTGAAAAAAGACTCAAATCAATTCTTAAATCCTTTAATTTGTTGCCGTCAAACATTATCAATAACACATTTGTCTCCAAGATCACTTCTTATGAAACCCCAGGTTTAGATATTAATCATTATACTCCAGCTAATTCACCTAATTCAATTAAAATTCAATCATCCCTGAAAAAGGGTAAGGGTATTTTTGCTTTAAAAAAAATTCTAAAAGATACTTTATTATGGCAAGAAACTCCATTCCTTCTTCATCCTCCTTTGGATCATCTAAATTTAATCAAAAATAGCTATGCTTGCACATATTGTGGCAAATTATTAGTTAATAGAAAAAATAAAAGTTCGTTCTTAAATGGCCTTGATTGTAAATACTGCAATGAATCATGGTGTTCAAAAAACTGCAAGAAGTTGGATACATTGCATGTTTTCTTAAACCATAATAATCATTCAAATCAAAAAGTTAAATTGAATTCAAAAAATTGGTTAATTTTCAAAAACCATTGTGCAGAGACTAATTGGAATGGCTTATTTGCTGTTGGATATATCTATGCAAAATCCTTATTAGATAAAGTTGGTGAGGAATTTTTAAGTAAATTTAAAAGTTTCGCTACTATCCCCTTAAATGAAAAATTCTTAGCTTTAAATCCTAATTCAAAAAACTCGTTTGTTTATGAACAATCAGATCAATTATGGCAGACTGGATTTCAAAAGTTAAACGATTGTTTCCCGGATAATCCACTATCTTTTGAAAATTATATGCTATACATTGGTGGTTATAACTTGAATAACATCTCAGATGCCTTATTTTTGGTTCAAAGCCATTTGAATCATAATTGTGATTATAATGTCGACGTAAAGTTCGATGATTTAAGTCCTGCAAACGGTATTAAGGTTTATGCTAAAAGAGATATTAATCCACATGAGGAATTATTCACTTCTTACGTTTCTCCAACTTTCCATGTTAATCAAAGAAGAAAAGAACTAAGAGAAAATTGGGGTTTCCTTTGCAGTTGTAAAAGGTGTAAAAATGAATTGAAATTGGAACAGAAAAGAAAATCATCCTTTGGTTCCATCGCTCAAAATAACCCTCAAACTCAAACTCAAAAGCAGAATCAAAAGAAAAATCAAAAAAAATCGAATTCTGATTCCAATTCAAACCCAAGTCCGAACTCAAAACCCAATTCCAATTCCAATTCAAATGCAAATTCTCGTTCATCTTCGATTTCTATCTTGCGTTCTCATTCTCTGTCTCAGTCTGATCGCAAAAAAATTAGAGATATGTTAAAAAATGTGGGTAAAGTTGGTGATTTTGATTTAGATTTGCCGGGTTGTAAAGATAATGGCGATCTATATGGAACACAGAGGAGAAAGTCTGTTAGATTTGATGAGAAAGTTGTTGCTGTTAAGAGTGATGTCTAATGAGTTTTTCTTATTTTATTAAAGTATTTTTTTATGATCATTACTTTATTTTTATATTTTCGATGTTTGCTGTTATTTGCTTTATAAGCATGTTTTGTATTTCTCTATATATGCTTTTTTGTGATATCACTCAATTGTATATTCAATATCAATATAATAAATAAAATTATTTATACGTATTGAGTAGATTTTAATTAACCATCACTGTTTGTGGTAATTATTTTTGATAGTAGTTTTTATTTATTTATTTATTTATTTATTTATTTATTTATTTGCAATTTATCAATTTGAATTGGATAAATATTGGTAGTGTGTAAAATAAGTTAGGTAGAAAAAATAAAATGAAAAAAAAAACTAATAAAAAAACACATAATAAAAACAATATAAAGTAAATACATTTGAAAAAAGACAAAGAAATTAAAGAGAAATTAAAAAGATATAGTTTAAAATACATTGAAGAAACATAAAACCCAAAGGAATGACTAAGTTATAAGTTTTTTAAACACAACTCCACAAAAAGTACAAAAGACAAAAATGTAACAAAAAGCAAGAAATAAAAATTTAAAAATTTAGAAAATTGAAAAAAATATTTTTTTGATTTGAAAAACAAAAACAAAAACAAAAACGTCAAGTTGTAATTTTATAAAGAGTTTTAAGTTTAGTTTGTTGAAAGAAATACTTGAAGAAAAAATTATTTTATTGTATTCTTTGTTTTTTATTCAATGAACCAGCATCTAATAAATCGTTGTAAGATTGCAAAGAATCAGCTATATTTGAAATAGAAGACATTTGATTTGATAATGGAGTTGATATTTGGCCTAGAGGAGTTAAAGATTCTGGGTTAGGAGTTGAGTTATTGGAGTTGCTTTTTCTTTTTTTGGATCCATTAGAGAGGTTAGAATTGTTATTTAAAGAGCTAAGAGAACCGTTGTTTAATAAATCACCTTGATTCAAAGTGGGAGTTCGACTTAAACTTAAACTATTATTTGAGGATCTCCTTTGCTGTTGAAAAGCCTGTACTTGAGCTTGAGCTTGAGCATGAAACTGGGCTGCTTGAGCAGCATGAGCAGCATGTACAGCATGTGCAACTTGAGCTTCTGCTTGAGCTTGAGCTTGAGCTTGGGCTTGGGCTTGAGCTTGGGCTTGGGCTTGTGCCTGTGCCTGTGCTTGAGCTTGGATTTGAACTTGAGCCTGAATTTGTGCAGCCTGGACTGCTTGAGCTGCTTGTACAGCCTGAACAGCTTGAACCTGTGTTTGAACTTGAGCTTGATTTTGAGATTGAGCTTGATTTCTATGAGCAAGAGGAACTCTACCATTTAAATGTTTTTGTAGTATTAGATATAAATCATCTTTTGTAAAAGGTTTGGCTAAAATATCGCTCATTCCATGTCTCAAGTAGTTGGCCAAATCGTTATCGCCAATGTTACCAGTCATTGCAATGATCGGTGTTGATTTATCAAAATTTCTGATAAAGGAAGTGGCACTAGCACCATCCAAATTAGGCATTATTATATCCATTAAAACCAAATCATATTTGTTGGTTTCAACAGTTGAGATTGCAGCCAATCCATCAGTTACAACATGAACAGTGCAACCATATTTGATTAAGAATTTTCTGCATAGTTGTATACAAACAGCATCGTCTTCGACCAAAAGAACATAAAAAGAATGGCCAAAAGGAAAAGAGGAATTTTGAGCAGCGGTTTTTTGTTGAGAGAGGTTATTTGATTGAGAAGATAATTGGTTATTTGTAGGATTTGTAGAAGAGGTGTGTAAAGCAGTCAGTTGGTTAAAGTTTTGGGGCTGTTGAGTGGTTGTAGCTTGATTGATATTATTGGAGAGGTCTAGTGAGTTATTTCGAGATTGAGCACCGACGGGTAATGAAAGTTGAATGGATTGCAGGATTATTGGGGAGGAAATCGGCAATGAAGAAATGGGGATTCCATTTTTTTTTAAACAATCAACGAGAATATTGATATGATTGGATAGGGCATCAGTTATATTTTTGAAATTAATAAGGCTTTCTAGAACGGTTCTGTATTGGTTATTTAATTTTTTAATTTCATCATTATTATATTTTAGAGATTTTTCTAGAAAAGAGTTTTTTTGAATCAAGTTTTTAATTATTTCTTGATTTTGTTCATCAAAAGTAGAATTTGATTTTCTTGTTTGGTTGGGGCCTTTTCTTTTAATGTTTTCCAAGGATTTTATATTACCGATTTTAAAGTCTGGGTGTTTGAATTCCCAAGTGTCTTTTGGAGAGTTGTATTGATTTTTTAAGTTTAATTTTTCGTCATGGGTTAATTTAACTTTGTGAAAATCGTATTTATTTAGCTGTCTAACAAACGACGCAAAATTCGAGTGTTTGAAATGTTTTGGCAAGATTTCTTTAGTAAATTGATTAGTATCTAGAACGATAAAGGAATCGCCGTTTCTGGTCCAACAAACAACATTTTTATAGGAGGTGATTTCTAGCATTTGAAACAACTTTTTAACAAAATCGTTCGAGCTAGATCCATTGACTGGAGGAGGATTAACGTTGTTATTGATGCCAGTGGTAGTGGTACTGCTATTTGAAGCAGTATTACTACTGGTATTAATAGAAGAATCGGTACTAGCGATAGTGTTGTTTTTACCCTTGGAAGTATTGGTTTTGATGTTGTGTTGGGTGTTAGTTTGGGTGGAATTGTCAAAATCTTTGAGACTGCTATGGCTGTTGTTATTGCTGCTGTTATTGCTGATATTGTGGGTGCTGCTGTTGGAACCCTCGTTTAGTGGGTTGGGAGTACCCTCATCATAAAAGCCACTGGAAGGAGTCATGGAAGGAGATGTTGGAGAGGAATGAGAATTGTGTTGATCATTGAGTTTCCAAGAGGCTTTGGAGCTATTCAGATATTTTTTGGATTTGGGCAGTAGCGACAGACTATCGGTGGAGGTTTCAGCTTTGATAATACGTTGAGGTACCAGAGGCATTAGAGGCATCAAAAGTGAGCAGCAGCAAGCGCAAATCAACAAAAAGGGGACTGGAAGGGCTCAAGAAGAAACACTGGAAGGCAGCAAATTGACGAGGAGAGCAGTTTGGCAGAGACTAGAGCTGTTCAGCAGTAATACGAAAAGGGAATACACAGCTATTATATTTGTGGATGTAAAGAGTAATATGAGAGAAGGGGCTAGAACCTTTTTTTTAGGTCACAGAGAAAAGTCGGCACGAGGACGTTTTTCTGTCGGAACTGTAGTTGGAAAGCCGGCAGTTTAAACACGTGTTTGTATACAGTTATATGTAGTTGTACGCAGACACACGCGCACTATGCGTTTTCCCACACCATCATGTTGACGACGGGGTTGCTGTTGATTTTGAGGTAGCCTTTTTTGGTGAGGGACAACAAAAGCCCCAGTTCGAAGAGGTTCGAGCTGTCGATCCACACCACAGAGTCATGGGGCACTTTGATGCCATTGACGGTTCTGATCTTTAGGATCTTGGGGTCTTCGTCCAGAAGACAGATCCCATTGTCGTATCTGGTCCTGGGCTCCTCCTCTTCTGTGCTGATCTCAAGGCTTTGGTAGAAATCATTAATCATCTGTGTCTTGATTATTCGGTTCTCAGAATCCACTCTTCCAGCACTGAGCTTTTCCACTTTCATTCGAACCCCATCTAGTTTCGGTATCCAGAAATCCCCATCTCTCAAGATGCTGATTATATTCTCGATCTCCGGCTCGTCAATGATTGAAACTTGCGAATTTTTGATGCTTTCCTTTTTGCCAAATAGATATTCAACAAAATCGGTATTATAATCTCGTTTACAGTAATAATCATTCGAGCTCCACCTATCATAAAAGTTTTTCTCTAATTCAATCGATCCATACCCTATTCTTTTTAGATAGTTTGGCTGTTTCAATTGCTCGCCAAATCTTAAATCGATATCAAACAAATCATTCCATCCCAACATGTTTGAGTAGATTCCGTTGTCGCTACCACTGAATGGACTTATTTCGCACTCTTCCCTTGTAATAAGTTCGATCATACTATCTTTGAATTTAATTTCATACAATCTCTTATTAACAGTCTTGTTATTATCATTGTCATCACTTGTACTGATAAATCCAATCATTTTGGTCAGGTTTTTCTTGTAATCATTTTGCAATTGTTTGACATTTTGATACTTGTCCGATATCGTTTCAAAGAATTGCAACTTTCTATAATTAATTCCATCAAAACTAGAGTTTTTCAATGATTCCTTTAATGAATTAATAAATTTGCTAAACCTTGATGATATCAATAAATCTATTGACTCCATTACAGATTTTTCTCTCTCAACAAATCCCCCATTATTATTATTATTATTATTATTATTATTATTATTATTATTATTATTATTATTATTATTCTCATTATTATTAATGTTTGTTAAATAATTTTTTAAAATATCTTGATTACTTGCTGTCACCTCGTTTTCAATGCTGCCATTAACTTTATTCTCATTTTTGGATTCCTCAACAATATCAACAATTTCTCTATATGGAACTACCATTGACTTGTCTAACCACAACGGATGAGCCTCCGTAGAAAAAATTATATTCGAATTATCTTTATTAATATCGTTTTCGTCGTCAAACAATAGATACAAGTACTTTAAAGTTTCGCTCATAACAAAACTCTCCATTCTATCTTCTTTCAATCCGTTTCTAACGTCCTTTATTGTAGCAAATCCACACCTGACTTTAAATCTTTCTTTAAAATCCTTCAAGACTCTTGTACCAATTTGCAAATAAATCGGATCCCGCGTTGATCTATAAAGATAGTACGACGACTCAATGAATTCGGGTCTTAGTGGATACCATTCCAATGCAATTTGGTAATCTGGACCATTGAATTGCTCATTTTCATCCTGATCATTATTATAAAGAGCTTTATTATCTTTATTTTTACTTTTGTTTTTACTTTTACTTTTGCTTTTGCTTTTACTTTTAATTTTACTTTTATAATTGTAGTTGTAGTTGTAATTATAATTATTATTTTGAGCATTTTTTGAATCTTTTTGATAATTTGTTGAATCTTTATTAACATTGAAATAATTCCAACGTTCAGGAATACCTCCAAATGTATTCCATAGTTTTAAATACATTGTATGCAATCTTATGGCATCATTTAATTTCCCATCCAAAACTTGCAATCCAGGAAAGAACCCACTTAACGAATCGATCCATGACGTCAAGTAAAAGCCTGTGTTGGAATCAACATTTGAGAAAAACCAATCTCTTTTAAGGTGGATGGTCAATGCATTATAAGACTGGTCCCAGATTGACATCAACTCGTCATCATTGAATAAAATAGCTCCTTTTAATGCATATTCATAAAAGGAATCAATGCTTGCACCGATTCCCGATATAGAGTCTAACCATACTCCTTTCATCGGGTCCAACGACATTGGCAACAAATTTATATCAGTTCTCGATTCCCAAAGACTCAAAAATGCTAGTTTGGACACCTGTTCAAATATTGGATCGCCAGTTAGTTTGGATAGTAAAGTCATTTCTAAAATTGGAGAGCCTGCGCCTGCTGTGCAAGTCTCGATTAGTAGTTTCTTGGGAATATTTTTAATTCCACTTCTTAGATTTATTCTTGGGTATGGTATTCCAGTATTTGTATTGAAAGCAGGCAATAATCTCTTACCAAGATCATAGGCTAGATTTAGTAGAAACCCATCGTAGTTATCAATTTGAAACCCTCTTTTGCGATTAGATGCGTATAAATGAGCAGATAATAACCCACCCAAGGCTCTAATTGAAACTTCAAAAACTTGGATTGTGGAATCAAGATCAAAATTCTTGATATACTGTTTAACCAAATGAATAGAACGGTTAAAATTCTCAAAGTCGTCTAGTATTACGAACGTGTCTAAATTGTCTAATAAAGTGATTGAAAAATTACCAAGAACATCATTTCTATTGATATCGTTTATGTTGCCATTAGGGCCGTAAGGTTGACAAGATATTGGTAAGACCTCGTCATGAGGAAAGCCATGGGTCATGTAGGAGTTCCAAGCATGGTAAAATAAATCTTTGGTTTCATTTTTTAGGAAATCCAAGTGTTCTTTTGTAAAAGAGGAAGACTGCAATAATGTATCATTCGCATCATCAAAAGTGTTCGGCACATTTGAGCCAACATGTAAGGATACAGATAATTTAAAACACCAGAAGCCCAAAAAACAGGAAAAAAAGAAGAACATAATTATGACATTTGAAGAATATAGAGTAACCTTGTGAAGAAACAGTCCTCTCAGCAAAAACACAGAATTATAGTATAGGTATAGTATATATATGGTACAGGTATGGTATAAGGATAAGAACAAGTATAATCAGGTTGACTGCTATTGTTTGCTGCTTAAAGTTGGAGAAAGAAATTTCTCATTGAAGCTGTTATCCGGGTGATTTGCAGGTGTGGTGTTTCCTGGGTTCAGAGCTGGAGCTGGAGGAACTTGTAGTGGTTGTCCATGGAAGAGCCAGAGCATTGCAGACTGCTGGTGCTCTATCGACCTCAACAGCATGGCATGGGCAGGATAACTACGTCTACTGGGTCCTGCTCCAAGCCAGACTCCAAGTGCTTCCCCCTGTGTCACATCTCCACAGCCAGTGCTGCCAAACAGTGCTGGCTCTAGGAAAACAGTTGTTCTTCTCAAACACAGCGAGAAGAAAGTGTTGGATCCGTGAACTGAGAATCTCTGATCCAACTCTTCCAAACACCGCACTCACGACCCAAATTCTCTTCTTTCTTCAAATACTCCACTTTCCTCAAATGCGTCTTTCCAGGGTTGTGGAAACTTTTCAACGGAAATATCCGGATTGATGTGGATGAGTCAGCACTGACACATCCGTGAAATTCGGAATTTTGATGCTGCTGAAATATGCATCTTTGCGATTTAAAGTTGATGAGAAAAAATTTTTTTTATGAAAACAAACTGACTTTTTTGATCTTGAAAACACTGTTCTTATATCAACACTTTTGTATATTATACCATATAATCTTCTAGAGCATCTTTAAATATTCCAGTATTACAATGGTTAAAAGAAGCAGAGCAGCTATTTTGCCCACAAATGTTATTTTGTTGCAGAATCTTGTCAAACGTGATCCTCAGTCCTACAAAGAAGAGTTTCTCCAGCAGTACGAACATTACTACCATTTGAAAAATATCATTGTTTTGCAAGAAGAAAACAATTCAGAATCAATTCAGCAGTTTATTGTACTTATCGATTTTGTCACTGCTGTTTCCACATGTTTTCCAAAAGAAACTGCTGAGTTTCCCAATGATATAAAAGATCTATTGTTGAACTCCCCACAGTCATTGACCTCTGAATTAAGAGAAAAACTAATACAATGCCTAGTGACGTTACGAAATAAGAAAGTAATAACATCCGAAGAACTTCTTCTGATTTTATTTCCACTTTTATCCATTTACTCCTCCTCAAATAAGGATACCATCCTGCACTCAAATCTAAACGCAAAAGCTCTTAGAAAGCAGATTTACTCAAATTTAATAACGCTAATGAAATCTGTTAATAATGGTGCCAAAAATCAAAAAATAAATAGACTAGCTCAATCATTCTTGTTTAATTTACTTAAGGATAAAGAGGGCTCGCAAAGTTTATGGGTTTCCAAAATTGTTAGAGAACTATGGAGAAGACAAATTTGGTTCGATGAAACTACAGTTCAAATTATGAAAGAAGCCACTTTACATCCAAATCCAAAAGTTGCTACATCCGGTGCTAATTTTTTCTTGGGATCTGACAATGATAGAGAAGAAGCATTGGCCGATGATTCTAGCGACGATGAAGGAATTGATATGAACTCCTTAAAACATAGATTGCAAATCAATAAAAAATCCTCTAAAAGAGGCAAAAAATTTGAAAATGCTGTAAAACAAATAAAGAAAAAAGAAAGAAAAAATAATAATAATAGTGGTGTCTCATTGAATTTTTCTGCCATTCATTTATTAAGAGACCCCCAAGGTTTTGCAGAAGAATTATTTAGCACTCATTTAAGTGGAAAAAATTTCAAAAAATTCGATTTGGATCAAAAAATAATATTTATGAATTTAATATCCAGATTAATCAGTAACCATAAGCTAATTGTGTTGGGGATTTATTCGTTTTTCTTAAAATATTTAACTCCCAAACAGAAAAATGTTACTCAAATAATGGCTGCCTGTGCTCAAGCTACCCATGATTTAGTTCCACCTGAATTTATCAATGAAATGGTTAGAAAAATAGCCAACGAATTTGTATCCGATGGAGTCTCATCTGAAGCTGCAGCTGCTGGTATAAATACAATCAGAGAAATCTTATCCAGAGCTCCATTAGCCATCGATGAACCGTTGTTGCAGGATTTAACTGAGTACAAAGGTTCCAAAGCCAAACCTGTCAACATTGCTGCTAAATCATTAATCTCTCTTTATAGAGAAGTTGCACCAGAAATGTTGCTCAAAAAAGATAGAGGAAAGACTGCTAGCATTCAATTGCAAAATATTAAAAACGGTACAACTAAAGAGAAAAAATTGAATTTCGGTAACCAGAATGTTGTAGAGAATATTCCTTATATTGAATTATTGAACGAGTACCAAAAAAATAATAAAGAAGAAAATAAGGATGAGGGAAATGATTCTGATTGGAATATTGATGAAAATGATGAAGATGAATCTGACATGGAATATGGACCTTGGGTTAACGTTGACGACAATGGTGATGACGATATGAACGGATTCATAAATATAAATGATGATTCTGATGACGAATCTAATGAACAAGAAAATGGAAAAAGTCTTATAGATTCAGATCTTGACTTGTCATCAGATGAAGAAGAAGATGACGATCAAACTGCTCAAGAGGATGGTAAAGTCCCCAACAAAGAAGTGAAACTAGATGAAATGCTTATCACAAGCAGAATTCTCACTCCTGCTGATTTTGCTAAACTTGATGAATTGAAAATGGAAGCAGGTATTTCAAAATTAATAAGAGGTAAATCACAACCTGTTAATGAGGAAAAAATTGATCACTCAACTCTTGTTGGTCCAGTCAAGTATAAAGAAAGCAAAAAAGAAAGATTGACTAGAGTTCAAGAAGGAAGGGAAGACAGAGAAAAATTTGGATCTAGTCGTGGAAAGAGATCCAATCCACATTCTACAACCAATAGAGAGAAAGCTAGGAAGAAAAATTTTGTCATGATGATTCATAAAAGATCAGTTCAAGGAAAAGTTAAACTTTCATTAAGAGATAAACAAAAGGTCCTTAAAGCTCATATTTCTAAACAAAAGAAAAGAGGACATTAATATATATGCAATTTTAATCCATCGAAAAAAATAAAAAAAAACTATACTTATTACTTATATACAGATTTTTGTAATTAAAGAACATTTAATATAATTATAATGGTTCTCTACAAGACTATTTGATATAGAATTAAGCAGTCTTAGGTTCGGATATTTCTTTCATTAACGTGCTTTCATCAACACCAGTAATATTAACAGGAACAATTTCACCTTTATTGCTATATTGAGCTTTAAAAAACGAGTAATTCAATATAATATCGTCGATATTTCTCATCTGTGGATCTTCTGCAAAATCAGGGTCTATGAAAAAGAAAACAGGCATATCGACTTCTTCCCCAGCTTTTAATTTCTGTTCTTCAAAGCAAAAACATTGAATTTTATTAAAATATATCGATGCTTCTCCAGGTGTTATTGAATAAGTAGCCATTCCAATTACATCTTTGTCGCCATAGTTTTTAGCCTTGAAGAAAGCTAAAGCTGTTTCGCCAGGCAAAACATAAACCTCTTTCTGCTGGGGAACAAACTTCCAAGGTAAAACACTAGAAACTGTGGACGTAAAACTGATTTTGATTCTCTTCTCAAGGTCGACTGGAATCAATTTATCAGCAGTAAATTTACTTTTATCAGTCATTGGAGTACCACCCCAACCGACTCTTGAGCATAAAATTCTGTATAGAGGAACTGAACAGAAAGCGAAACCCAAAAACACGATCCCTAAGGAGGCAGCATAATAGCCTGCACTTCTATTATTGAATTGCTCTTTTTCTCTTCTAGCTTTTTGGTACATTTCATATAGCTCATACTGGGTATATTGTTCGTTATTCGAATCATTACTGAGCTTTTCCTTGCTCTCATTTCGAGCAATTGAGGTAGTCGAAAATGGTGAATAGAGAGAGCAAGTTTTTAAAGACGAATAGACATTTTTTGCTTGAGAAAAGTGTTGAACCAGCAATTTTCGACCTAATATGGCACTTCTCAAGATATTAGTTGGTTTTAGAAGCATTTTGAATCAGCTAAGAATTGTTTTCAAAAGCTAATTCCCCAATTTTTCCCAGCTTTTCTCAACTTTCCATGCAATATATCAAGAAAAAACTGAAATCCCGATCCTGTGAAATCCCTGGTTGGCGGTTCGGTTCCCGTCCGGTGCAAGATTTTGTTTCTTCTGCTTTCTAAGGTTTTTTCTGCTGGAGCAGTTGTGGGTCTGTGGTAGCCTTTGTTTCTCGCGAGTATATTATAAGCTATGAATTATAAATTGTGAATTGTAAATGTTAGATATACATATATACAGTTGTCTCTTTTGGTTTGTCTGTTATGCAAAGGAGTGAAATAAAGCAAGGCCTTTTTAAGAAGCTATTCAATCTTTATATGGACCATGTTCCAACCATACCATTAGATCTGCCTTCAACGAGGAATCCCTCTTTATATTTTACATAGTTTACTATTCCTTTGTAGTTGTCATTCTGCATTCCTTCTCCACACTCCCAATGTTTTTCTTCAATTCTGTCGAATATTTTTACGGTATTATCAAAGCAAGAGCAGACGATTTTGCTTTTGTCAAACTGTAGATTATTGATTCCATTATTATAATTAAATGAGTTTATAATTGATCCAGTTCTTAGGTCCCATATTCTAATTGACCTATCCAACGATCCTGTTATTAGATTCACGTCATCGAATTGCAACGAGGTGACTGGTCCTGTATGCCCAATGAGAGATCTGACTATTTCTCCCGATCTCAAGTCCCATAATCTTACTATTCCATCTGCTGTTCCTGATGCCAATGCAGCATCGTAGCATTGTAAGGTTCCAACAAACGGTACTTGTCCATTTCTGCTGGTGGTGTAATTTTGTTCATAATTCCTGACAATATTTATGGATGAGAGATAATTTGCTGCTGTGACAGAATTTGGATCCACCGAGTTGTGTGTAGAAGCCCACAAGACATCTAATGTCTGCAAGCAGGTACCTGTTTGCATATCCCATTGTCTTATAGTCTTATCTAATGATCCTGATAATAGGTTGTAATTGTGAAAGTATAGGGATGTTATTTCATCAACATGATCATCAAAAGTGAATATGCAAGGATCGTTTTCCTCGTTCGAGCCTTCTTCAGGTATTATATCGTCATCTAAGTTTGTAATTTTATTTAAATTCCATAATTTCAAGCAAGAATCCTGAGATCCCGTCACCACATAATTATCATCCATTTGTAAACAATTGACCATTCCTTGATGGCCTTCCAATAGGCCAATGCATTTGCTTTTAGATCTTAGATATTCATCTTCAGTGTCGGATTCAAAATCAATATAATCATTTCTATATTCCGATCTTACGGTTTCGTTTTGCGATAAATCCCAAACTCGAACTGTGCAATCTATTGATGAAGTTATTAGTGTTCCAAAGGGTAAATCAAAATCAAAACAGGTTATTCCTGAGTATGTATCATGAGCTTGGAATTCAAATATTTTTGAACCTGGGTTATAGTATTTTTGCAACGTTGGCATTGTCTTTCTTGAGAATTTAGATTGTTTTATAAAGGTTCTTCTTGTTGTTAATTTTGGTGGGTTGTCTTGAATTTTGTTGTAGATGGATTCTGATAATAGCAGATCTTTTGAGTTGATGTTTTGCTGATCATCATTTATGTTTTCATTGTTGTTATTGTTATTGTTATTGTTTTCTTCATTATTATCATTATTATCATTATTATTGATTGTATTGATTGTATTGATGGTATTGATACTGTTGATATTGTTTGTATTACTGGCGTTACTGGTATTATTTTCATCGTTTATTATGTTGTTTTTGTTTGAATTGCTTATCAGTTCATCGTCATTGTCTAGAGAGATAGTACTAGTGGTCATGAAATTTGAGGATGGAGGAATATTTTTTAAATTTCCATTTAATAATTGATCAATTTTTAAATTTATTTCGTTTAAAGAGTTTTCTAAATAAATTTCTTGTTTTTCCAAGCTAGCTATCTTATCGAAACAGACTTTTCTCATTTTATTTAAATTTGAGATTTTGAGATCGATTTCATTTATTTCATTTGAGTTTAGGTTTTTTCTTATTTCTAGTAAATCTAATTTTGAGGAAATTAATTTTTTAAAATAGTTTAAATGTTTCACAGAGTCTGAAGTTTTGATTTTGGTTGGAGTTATTCCTATTGGCAAGGGGTTGTTTAATTCTTGGTGTTTCTTTGAGGTGATAGCATTTTGAGATAGATTTAATTCTTTAAATAGATATAATTCTTCATTGACCTGGGGAATGGCAGCGTTAAACCCCTGGAAAAGACTATAGCCATCATCAAGATTTTTAGAATTCCTAGGTAAATTTAATAGTAGTTCATCAGGAATATGAGTAACAGCTCTATACTCAATTTCTTTTAACGAGAATTTTGAGCGAAGTAATTCAGATGGAGCTTTTCTGACAGTTGATTTCTTTTTGAGACTATTGTTAAATAAAGCTAATTCCTTTGAGGGTTTTATCAAGGTGTCGTAAATTGCTTTCTGGTAATGAGAGGAGTTCAATAGAATGTCATTAGTAGAATTTGAGTTTGTAGACTGGTTTATGATAGCAGTGGCAGTTGACGTTACAGCCTTTGAGAGCCTTTGAGTAGTGGATAGTACATTGCTATTGGAATGAGATGTATTTTCAGTCATTATCTATGTGGGGCAAAAGAATACTTGTTTTATTTTTTTTATATTTTTTTTATATTTTTGACTTTAAAAAGCAGAGTTATTGGAGCTGATTGAAATGATTGAAATGCAAAGTTCAAAATATAGTATCATGGATATAATAAAGCACTAAAAACCCAAACAAAAACGCTAAACAAATTTCCAGTAATTGCCTATTCTACTGTGAGCAGTGGGATTGTTGGCAAGTGTGTTGCTCGAGATAAGGATTGGTTGGTGGTGTATGGCAGCACTGGCAGCTAATGCTTCTGCGATGGAGTGTTTGGTTGGATCAGAGATGGTCTGGTGGATTCAGCAAAGCTCTGCTGTGAGTCTCTCAGAAAAGGGCAGTGGGAAATAGAGTTGAAAGGAAGTGGAAGTTTATGATCGAAGATTGGATAGCGAAGCTTTAGGAGAAGTGCATCAAGTACGATGGCAATACTGGCTGATTCCAATTGATGATTTGGGAATTTGAGTTTAGGATAATCTTTCAGGTGAACTTTGGATTAAATTTTTCTCAAATGGTAGAAAATGGAGCAGTACCCAAGATAAGTGCAGTCCACTGATTTGCATTTGATTTTGCAGTGTTTGGGCAGTGTTTCTATTCAACCTCCCAGTCTTTCCAAGTCGCACAGTTTTTTGTTGAACAAGACACTCCAGACTCATTGCCAAACTCATCGCCAGACTAAGCACAGAATATCCATCGAGCAACCTCTCGTCTCAAAGGACATCTCCATCTCGCAATACCAGACTCCTCGTCCACTCAGCGAGCAGCTGGACGAGGCAAGAGAGAATTTTATTCAAATTGCTATGCTACGTTTATACAGTTTCAATGCCACCAGCCCTGATGTTTCCTTCTTCTATTATCTCAAGACTTCTGGGGCTTCTCTTCTTCTATTGCTTTGTGTTTCGGAGCAATAGAAGTCTCTTAAAGTCAGCCTCTGATTGGTCCACTGCTCTGGAAAAAACCTTATTTGCTCACAGAGGCTTTTTGAGGGAAGCATAGGAAGCAGGGTGAAGAGCAGACTTCTTTTGCCGTCGTTGTTGTCTTTTCAAGTATGTTTGCCCTTCGATGGTGGTCCAGTGTGCCTGTCTTTTGCTCTTGAACTTGATCTTCTCTAGTTCCTTTGCCCACCGTTGATAGTGTTTCTCCTCCACCCTGTATTTTTTGCACAAACTGAACAAAAAGTTCAAAAACCCTCCATTGATGTTCTTGCTCTTTAGACAGTACCGAATGTAGCTGGAGACCAACTCGATCAAGTACTTCTTGCCTAAAGTGCTATTGAATTCTCTCTCAACTATTTTCTGGTAGCTGATACACATTCTCAAAATTCGGAAATCAATATGTGGGTTTTGTAATAACCCAATTCCAATTGAGCCTATGTACTTTATATACGGTTCTGTCCTCTTGCTTTTCCTTATTTTCAGTAACAAGCTTGTCATTAATCCCCTGGCTTTTTCAATGCTCGTGGGCTTTTTCGAAAATTGTTCCAATAATTCTGATGCAATCTTTATTCTGGAACTAGTATAAGGACTTTCAAATATTTCAGCTTCTGATTTTTGAATTTGATCCATATATTCGTAAAAATTATCTTTAATCCTAGGATTCCGGATTATTTTCTGTACAATTTTAAGATTTTTGGTTTTGATTAACTTTAAGATCAACTGTTTTTCAAAATGTAAATATAGTAAATCCTGAAAATTATAGCAATTCTTTCCATTGCCATTTCTATTATTAACACTCAATTTTGTGTTTTGAATATAATCAATCAAATCCAAATAATCTCCAGATGCTAATCTATAATCTCTTTGATTAAACGGATTCGCTATAACATTTAAAAACACATCGATTATCTTTATATATTTCCTCAAATGATACCGAATCTTTGAATAATTCAATGGTATCAAGCTAACATAAATTGAATCACTGATTATTTTGTCAATTACACTCTTTGTTATCGCAATTCTCCCTTTATTACTTATAAAAATGCTCTTTTCACGATTTGAAAAAACCCATTCAATTAATTTATTCAAAACTTGAACAACGGATACATCATTAATAACCCTTGAAAAATCCCAGAATTTTATTGTGTTGCTGAAATTATTGAAAAGAAATTTATCGTCGTCATTATGAATTAATATTATTATTCTCAGTAACGGCGTGAATATCTCAGCGCTTAAAAATCTCTTGCACTGTTCATCTTTATTCAAATTTATCAAAAATAGTTTAACAACCTCTAAAAAATTATCCTGATTAAACAGCTTTATTAATGAAAGATTATCCTCTAATATACTTGATCCAAATTTGTTTCCAATCTTTGAAAAAATATTCTTATTAAATGGAACTTCAGTTAGAAACGGAAAATTTCGATTCACTCTTTTGAAATTCTCTTTCAATCCAGGAAAATTCTGTTTCTGTTTCTCTTTTAATACTTTTAAACAATTCTCAATTAAAATACTCAATGACGACTTGATTATAAATTCATTCATTATTTTTATATTACTAGAAAGCAATTTCAACTTTTTATCTTTTTTCAGATTTTTCTTTTCAAAATCTTTTTTTGTAAAGTTATTTTTCATAATGACACTATCCAGAATATCAATTAAATACTTTTTAGACCAAAAACTTCCAAAAAGTTTATTATATTGATTATAAAGTGATTCTAATGATTGATAGTGGTAATTGACCCCAGAATTGCAATTGGAATCGGAATCATATCGATTCAATATCATTTTTCTATATTTTAGTAAATTATATTGAGATAATAAAATGTGGTTGGACACTACCGATAAATTAAATATCATTGATAAGAACAAGGGATCCCAATTGTCTTCCGGAAAACTAATCAACCTGTCCAATTCTGGTTTGGCGGTTTTCTTAAACATTATCAATATCCTCTCATGGTAATAGGTGAAAAGAAACAATAGACTCCCTTTGTATATATCCGAGAGTATCGCTAAATTATCAAGCTCATTCTGAAATTCTTCATTTAATCGAAAAGCACCACTTCCATTTTTATCAAAATGACAAGGAATAGAGCTTCGATCCCTGTGATCAATAATTTGAGGACTCTCGATGGTGTTGTTGTGAAATATAACTTTGGAAGAAGTTTTGGCAGAAGCATGAGACAAGTCATTGGGCATAGGACGCAGACGTAAAGAGACATGTTCACCACAATCTGTTTGAAGAAAAGTCAAAGGTTCCAAAGAGCTATCAGAACTCTTATAAACCAGTTTTTTGTCTACTGGAATACTTTCACCAATCTTTGTCATATTTTGAAACTTTGAGGATGTACCCTGGTTAGTGTTGACAACATCGTAAGAATGCTTAGAAAAGTAAATTGGACGAAGGCTTTGCACTGAATTTCTCAACTTTGTATTCAAAAGAGATATCAACTGCAAATTTTTCATTTCTTCATTCCTTCTGACCCAGATGGGGTTATAACATTTTGAGCTTCAGATCCACTTTCCACTAACCTATGAAAAGGCTCTCGAAAGTAAGAGCTTTCTACAAAACTTTTCAGACCGGATACACGTGTGAGTCTGAATTCCGAGAAAGACAAGGAGATGTTTTTGTGACGGGACGAAAAGAGTCTGGGGTTGTGCTTCCTCTGCTTCCTCTGCTTTTTCTGCTTCAGGGCTGGTGGGAAGGGCATCGAAGAGATACTTCAGCTGTGTTGGATAGACCTGTATTGCTGTTGTTGCTGTTGCTCTGGATTTATGGAGTCATAGATAATGAATTCTGGTTTTGAAGTGTTGATCAGTACGTGGATACCTTTATTGTTGCATTCTTGCTGTGAGAACTAATGTGTTCTAACCATNATAACTAGAATCTATGTCACCATATCTATTGGTAGTGCACTCCAAAAATGTTTCTTCACCTAATTTGGCTGATGTTAATATTTCATTATATTCTTGAGAAGATGGAAAATTTATGTCAGCAATTTTAATTTTTTTTAATAGTCTTTTCTTTTTAATAGATTTTTATTTTTTAATAGATTTTTTTTTGGTCTAAAATCTACTGAAATCAAAGATATATTGCTATGATGACTTGAGTTTCTGTGTTTGGGTGACTCTAAGTCCAATTTCAAATTAACAAGTATGCTCAAAAGATTGACCTTTTTAGGGGAGAGTATTTTAATGGAAAATGACTTTTTTTAAGTATTGATATGTTATATTAATTTAAAAATTAATTTTCTATGCAAAAAGTCTCGAATGTACACTATACAAACCTTTACATAAAATTCAAACAGCTTATCAATACTCACAAAATTGATTATCTACTATAGACTTTAAAAAGAAGATGTGATATGTAGGTTAGTTATAGCTCAAGCTGTTGACACAGTTATGATGAATATTATCAAAATAGCTAAGGTATGAGCAGATCATCTAGAAATTCTTTTGTTGATTCAGGTAGACATGAAAGAAGGTTTTCAAATAGACTCAAACAAACAGAGCTCAGACTGCACCCAAAATTTTTTGAGTTGAATTTGAACTTTGGTTTTTTCAAATGTTTAGAGTCTGTATGTTTTTACACCATACGATTTGTTTGAAAATATAGCTACTGTATGGGTGTTGGAGGCCAAACAGGCCCCTAGATATAACTGCTTTTACAGGTGCTTGTTCACCAGATCAGATATTGTGCTTCTTTATATTTCTCCAAGCCTAATAATACCAGGCAAACAGATCCTCCAGCTGCTGTTGAAAAGGGACTTGTGGTGTTACTTTGCATTTATGGAATCATAGATAATGAATTCTGGTTTTGAAGTGTTGATCAGTACGTGGATACCTTTATTGTTGCATTCTTGCTGTGAGAACTAATGTGTTCTAACCATCCATTGACCAGTTGGCGATTCCTCACTCAATAGCTTTGTTTCCTGGCGTTTGAGCTCCATTGGTGTCAAAGTCACATATATTTCTTCGTTTCTATCTCCTGAAGTGACCATTCATTGGAAGTAAGATTACACTGATTTTTTTCCATTTAAATGTGAAAATATTTGACTTGTTTTTCGTTTTATTCTATTCTGTTGTTTTTTTCGTTTTTTTTCAATGTTTGGATCTTTTGATCAATTGGAAATGACAATTATATTGACAATCACATTGTGTTTTTAGATCCACTTTGTATGGTGAAAAGAGCTATAATCCTTTTCTCATCAAGAACAGTTTAAATCATCTATTTGAGGGTAAACAGCACTCTTCAGCTCCAATAACTAATTTGGATTTCAAATACATTTTCATATCTTCAAGTTCAACAAGGATTTTCAAAAATACAATCAAATCCTTAAAGAAGAATCTCGATCTCGATAACTCCATTATTCTAATCGATTCGTCGTTTTCAATTTTCTTAGAAAGCTTCTTTTATAAGAAAACTTCAAACTTAAAGATATTTTTAATTTACTCAAATATCGATGCCAGATACTTGAACAACTCAAACTATTTGCTAGCCGATAACATTGACGAGTCTATTCAGATTGCTATTGGTCTAGTGCAAATCTCCAAGTGTTATTGTTACGAAATCCCAGTGTCTTCAGCTTCTCTTCTTGAAAGTGATTCAAATGCAAATGATCTTGACATTATCATCCACACTTTGAACACTTCTCTAGCTTCAAATCAAAATACCAGTCCCTATAATCCTGTAAGTAAGTTCAAATCTACAATTTCTTTGCCCATAATAAGACTGCATTGGTTGAGACTATTACACTTTATATCTATTGATGCCTTTTGCATGCTCTTTCAAAAGTCCAACATTCAAAATCTAGTTGATGATAAAAACATTTTTCCCTTGATGCAAAATTCTTACAACGAACTAGTCATATTTGGGCTCTATTTAGGCATTGAATTAAATCATAATATCTCCTTCAAAAAATTGGTATTAAATTATGCGAAAAAATATGAACGGATAAAATTAACAAAATTTGAAACAATTAATACAATCAAAATAAAAAAAATAAAAATTGCTGACATAAATTTTCCATCTTCTCAAGAATATAATGAAATATTAACATCAGCCAAATTAGGTGAAGAAACATTTTTGGAGTGCACTACCAATAGATATGGTGACATAGATTCTAGTTATAGAATATCCCAAACCACTGAAAAAGATAAAAAAATGTGAATTTTATTATTTTTGTTTTGTTTTTTTATTCTTTATTCTTTATTTTTTTATTTTTTTATTTTTTTTTGATTTGTGATATAATTGATAAACAGGTTTGGATTTTATTCATCTACACGTGTGATTTTGAATTCAACGATTAGAATAGAATTTATTTAATATATATATATATAACTAAATTGCTTTGCATTAATAATTTGCAATATCAATAAACCAAAGATTAGAATATTATTTTAATTTATTGTAATCCATTGTAATTATTTGATGATGGAACTGAGAAATCTATTTCATCATATTTTGGTAATGACTCAATATCCATTGGTCTTCCATTATTTTCTTGATTTTCTTGATTTACTTGATTTTCTTTTTTGGATCTTCGTCTAAAAAAGTTTACAAAATAACTATGATTCTTACCATTTGTATTATCATTATCATTTGTATTTCCATCATCATTTATATTATCATTATTGTTATTTGGTACTTTAGATTTTCTTCTAAAAATATATGTCAAATAATAATTAAAATTTTTATTATGATTGTGATTATCTTCTAAATTAGATAAGTTATTTTCAATATTTTGTTGCCTCTTTTGTTTTCTTTTTTGTTTAAATTTCCTAATTTTTATTTGCAAAAATATAAAAACCTCTTTTAATAAATCATATGCCAACCTTAGTATAGCCAAAAGTAAACCAAGAGCAAATGGACCGACAAAAACGCAAAGAAGTATATTACGTGTTTTGCGACTCACTTTAATATCTTTTCCACTTGAAGAAGATGAAAAAATTGCTATAACAGTTGTCAGCAGAGCAAAACCACTTGAAGAAAATCCCATCTTTTGTTGTTACACTTAAGTTCCTATTGTATATTTTCCGACGTTAGTTTCTTAATCAGTAGTATCTGAATCAAATTCCAGATTAAGAAAAAGTAAAACTAAATAAATAAAAAATAAAATAAATATCCCATTATATATAATTCCATAGTCCAATTTACCTTTGAACAATAGCATTTTTGCTTTAATCTGTTTTTATTATTGCTTCTTGCTGTTTTATATATTTCCAAACAAAGAGGTTTGGAGTTTGAGCCACTTTTGTGCAGCCCATCAAATTTGCATAAACGTGCGTCTATACTTTGATACAAGCATGATGATGCAATTTTGGTAATCGTTTTGTTGTTAGAATATGCTGTTTTTATTTTGTTCGTTAGCCTACTACAACTAAAGAATATACTGATAATTTAAATTGTTTCTGGTTGGCGTTTTGTTCAGCCATTTTGCTCACGTTTTGTTATTTTTAAAACCTAAAATAATAATGAAATAGCAAACGTAAAGTCAAAGCAATTTTGGTTCAAATAAACAGAAACAAAAAAAATAGAATACCGAAAAACAAAACAATAATTGAATTACCTATACTATAGCTATTGGCAGTAATAAACGAAATATTGTTAATTAAAGATACTTTTTTTTTGTATGGCGGTAGAAGAGGAAACTAAAAACAAAAAATTTCGAACATTTTTGATTTTAGCAATTTGTTTGGTTGTAAATTGTCAAACAAGGTCAGATCAGCTTTTTTGTGGATTGAAACAAACTTTTGGAAATATTAGAATTTGGTACATTCACTAACTACAACCCCTATAACTGGAAAAAAGTACCTGTCCCACGTGAAAGCATCTCGGCTTCTCGGTAGGCCATGATTCATGGTCGGAACTTCTAATAACGGCTTTCAAACCTCCGGATTGTCTTTCCAACAAAACCAAATGTGCAAACGCTAATTTCCAAGTTTGGAAACACATAAAAAGAACAAAAAGCAGGAACACAAAATGATTAAAGCGAAAACACAAAATTATTATTTCTTTTTCTACATTTGAATTGTTTTGTAAAAATATTATAAAATGTAATTTATTTTTTTCTATGTTTTTCTGTTTTATTATTTCCAAGATTTCTTTTGAGATCATTAAAATATAAAATAAACACCTTCAATATATAATCGGAATTCCACTATAACAACAAAAGATGGGATTGTTTGCAGCTATTACAGCTCTTTGGATTTGGATTTGGGCTTCTGCTGCCGCTTCAGAAAGTAGTAAAGAGAATAAAGGTGGAACAAATGATTCAGTTGAGGACCGAGTATTTACAATAATGTTAGGTTGTATTATTGCTCCATTTGCTCTCATAGGTATTATCTTCATAATTTGGTTTGTATTGGGAATCATAGCCGGTATTATCATGGGGTTGGGTTTTGGTGTGTATAACTTATCATTATTAGTAATAAAAGGTATAAGCCAATTTATAACGTGGATAAAGCCAATTTCAGGAAATATTATACAGAAAATAAAACAAAAGAGGCAACAACAAATTGAGAATAATATTCATAATGGAAATTCTAGTTATGATCTCACAAATTTCTTTAAAAAAAAATCCAAACAACCAAACGATATAAATAATAATAACAATGATGATAATAATGATAATAATTGGTTTAATTTTGGGAAATTTTTTGGACAAAAATCTAATAAGGAAGAAAATAGTTGGATAGCAATGGATCTTGAATCACTACCAAAGTATGAAGAAATAAATTGTTCTAGTCCACAATTAAATAATTCAAATAGTTTCAAATGAATTAGAATTTTATTCTTATCCTTTTCATTGCCACAACAGATAATTAATACAAAACAACTTAGATATATATATTTATAATAAATAAGATTCTATTCTATTCTAATTGTTGAATTCAAAATTACTTATGTAGATATTCCATAACTAGAATCTATGTCACCATATCTATTGGTAGTGCACTCCAAAAATGTTTCTTCACCTAATTTGGCTGATGTTAATATTTCATTATATTCTT